TCCAGCTTTTTTCTGGTAAACCTGAAAAAAGTGACACATGTGAGGCACATAAGTTTAGACACCACAGTGTGTGTTTTTGTCACACTCCAAAAAAGAGAGTACACCCATCCAATCAGTAAATTCAGTGTCACGCACACACACACACATATGCGCGCGCACCAACAGAGACATTCACGCGCGCACACACCTCTTCGGAGCTGCCGTGCAAGGTGGAATTAACGCTTAAAAACAAGCAAAGACGAGGCGAACAAACAACTTTATCGCTCAATTTCTGAATATTTAACTCGCGCTCATAGACAAACCTCGGAAAAACGGTGTGTTTACAACTTTAGTTCATCAAAAACACACCAACGAATACATGCGCGCACACACCCACCGGAGTATCGCTGTCAATTAGGAGGAAAACATTATCATGAAACAGTTTTTCACTTTAGTGTCATGGTGGGTTGACTTCCTCACCCCCGCAGTGGCGGTGCCGGTTTGATACCCTCTCCATCGCTGTCCAGACTGTGTGTCTCCCGGTAGTCGAAGAGCGAGCGTACGGTCTCCGCCATGTTCACACCAGCGATCGCTGATCTTCCGCCGCCGCACCGTTCAGCCTCTCTCTCGCTCTTCTCTTCAACCGCTCAACTGGCTCACACCAAGGTTATTCCAGCCGCTACCACCGCGGAGGAGCGGAGGGGTGTGCGGCGAGCGGCAACAAACAGCGCAATCTCAAAAGTAGACCACACCGTCTTTCTTACACGTTTTACCGTCTGAGGAGGGAATACTAGGACGATTTAATCAAACTGAAACAACATGGCGGGTTAACGTTGAGTTGAAGGACACTTTTTAGACGTTATTCGACGGTGCCCACCCCCGTAGACAGGTGGACGCGCTCATGAGGCAGATGAAAAAGTAGACCGTTTCTATGAGGAGTGATTACCTCTCTAACAGAAGAAAGAAATGATGAAAAGAAGACGTGATGATGGTGAAATAATCAGGTCACTTGTCTCCAAATTGAGTAATAATGAGGTTATCCGAGAAACATTTCTTTTTTTATTATCTGTTTTTTCAAAAATATGCACATGCTTGCATTTTATCAACAGGTTAACCAGAGCCGGCCCAAGCCTCAATGGGGCCCTAAGCCAAATTTGATTTTGGGGGCCCTTTATTTCTGCCAATAATATTGATTGTTGATCATTCACACACCTTCACAAATCTCTTTGATTAAGGTCCTTTCACACCGGGACCATTTTTTCGTGCCATTATTTCAGATATCAATATTTTTTTCGAACCCGTATCCTGTCATTACAAGCATTCACATCAGCAATGTTTTCCCGTCCTGCGATATTGCGGCATTTATTTTTTCGGATCACGGTCGATTTTCCCATACTGTGTGTCCACTTCTGACCAATCAGATTGCGTGTTGTTGCGCCATCTGATTTACCGGTATATCCAACATGGCCGACCGGCTGATTGTTTACGTGTCGGAGAACAGAGTGCTATTTGATAAAAGACCCAAACAATACAAAGATAGCAACCTGAAGGACAACTTGTGGAGAGTCATAGCATTGGATTTCTCACATGACGATGGTCTTTGTGCTTTAACATTTTGCTAAACGTCTTTGTTTTAACTTTCATCTGTGCTAAGTAACTTTAGCTCGTGAGCTAACCTGTTCAGATACAACATACCATATGTATTTTCACTGTCTCAAACTCGATCGCGTTGCTGTCACAGCACCATTAGGTCGTGTTACCTTACATTTATGGATTATAGTTTAATGTTCTTATCTGGTACTGGCCCCGACTCAGTACATGCTATCATGACAGACAGCCATCTCAACACTAGAGTCTAATCAGAACTGAAAACAGTCAGTCTGGTGTTGTGTCAGTCTTCTTGCTTCCACCGTCGACGCGTCTTATTCCGCCTGGAAATATTTTGTAATTTCGCGTCGTGTATTTGCATCGGTCCTGGTGTGTAAGGACCTTAAGTCATGATGTTTTAAGCGTACTGTCCTATGGTATGCTATTTATCAGGTCTGCTCGATAAATTGGGCTCAGTGAGTGATTCGTTCACTGAACGTTTAGAAGAATTCACACTGAACATGCACCGTTTCCTCGCAAACCGCTGCAATGATAGGATGCTGTGGGTTTAATGCACTACTTGTTACATGCTGTGTCCTATTGTATGCAAGTTGTTGTGGTGGCAATTTAGCGGTGAATAAAAAAAGGTAGTTTTGTTCAACAAAAATTATCCCAGAGGGTGTAGTTCTATGCTTGATTCGTTCACCAAGTGATTCAGGTGTCGGTGCATGTGGTCCCTTGTTCGCTGGCTGCTGGCCTGGCAATACTGTTTCTTACTTCAGCTCAACTGAAGTGAGAAACGAATGTATCACTTGAGGAAGTGATTCGGTTCAGTATGTTCACTTAAAAGATTCGGTTCTTTTGAACAAATCTTTGCGAACGACAAAGCACTAAAACATACCTTTATCTTGTGCACATTGCACAGCAGAAGCAAAGCTTTGACATATCGGCAGTAAGAATCATAGGCCTACATCAGCAGTAGCACTCAAATGTTTTTACTTTAATTTTTGTTTTTATAATAATATATATTTAGTCATACAGAAAGCATCACTCATACATGCAAAAAATTAAAAATATTTTATTTATTATAATTGTTATTATTTTTTATTGCTCTTGGGGGCCCCCTATTGGCCATGGGGCCCTAAGCAGTTCGCTTATGCCTTGGGCCAGCTCTGAGGTTAACACAGCCCACTGATTACAGTTTACTCAATAAATACATTATTCTTTGATAAAACACTTGTCTTCTGATTTTTCTTGTTTGCACATGAATAAATGCAGGATTAATAGAGGATATGTAAAGCTGGGATGTGATAACAACACCTACAAGAATAGGCTTACAGTGAGTGTCAGCAAACAGATGACTGGCAGCTCTTGCATAGATTTTTTTTTAACAAGGAGACGTTTAACTTCTAGTAAGAAATAAGAACACAAGGATAAAGTCAACACTATAATTTTTAGCCTACCACAAACAAGCTAGCATGAGTGACAATTGCACACTAAAACTTGTGGTTCGGTTGGTGGATTTTAGAAATCCATAATCAGCCAAATACCTTAAAAGTATGTGAGAAAAGACATTTCCGAGATGACCTTTTAGATGATGAGTATAGAGGTTTGTTTGAAGGTGACATGATGCAAAGGTTTTTTTTTTAACCTATTATGAAGTATGCTGCTTCTCATTTAATGTTGATTACTATTACCAGGCTTTACATTCATTCATGACAAGTCTAAAATTATCTTCAATTTTACCTAATAAAAAAACATATTTCAAATCACATACAACTCACAGTCTCACATAAAATCCAAAGAAATAAACATTTAAAAATAATAATAAGCCTGCCAGGCCATTGCAAAGCATTATCTCTAACAACAGCACCTGTCAACACCTTGCTGAAAATCAAACAGTATGAGTATTGATCCTAGCAGTAACCAAACATCCTTTAATGGTTTATCTTTTAGGTATATGAACAGAACATTATTATTTTAAAGGAAAAACCTAACTTCTCTGTTGACACAAAGTGGCACTGATTATATTCAGAGCCAAGTCTTAGTTGTTACAGTTTTTGAGGAGTTTAAAATTGCCGTTGGATTGATTTTAGACATAATTTTCACTGGCAAGGTGGTGAATAGGCTTTGGCTTGCAGGTATTACATTGTGTCCATGGTGTTTGCTAATGAAATGCTGATCACTGTGGAGAGTCGTCTAAAGCAACACTGATTAGCCGCTCCCAATACCTCCAATTTGCACAGTTTTTATTGCAAGACCTTGATTTCTGGACCATTTTGTAAGACTGTAAATCAGACGTCAATCCAAAATGTTCTTTACTTTAGCAGTAATAGAGGAAATTCATTTTTATGTAGTTTTTGACGGAAGCGTACATTTAAATGATGTATAAGTATGAATTCATCTGACCCTTTGAGGTGAAGGTGGAGCATATCAAACATGAACATGAAAATGTGTTCCCTCCATGTCAAGTCACAAGCAGACAAAAGGGTTCAGTATATGGATGTCCCATTTGTCATTCTTGTATCGTAAAATCTAGTCATATCAACAATCAGCATCAGAAAGTAGCAGCTTGCTGTGTGCCAGATTTTTTTTTTAAAGGGTGACTCATTTGGGCCCTGACACAGACAGGAGTGGACAGGGTATTTCTGTGCATACAAATAAATTAATAGCATCTATCCTTTCTGTATTCATTATCTACTTGAACAGCTATCATTTTAGTATAATAGTAGAGCTTTTATGTTCATGTGTTGTTGTTTTTTTCACTTTCAAGTGAAACCAAGAGGTGAAACATACATTAATCTTCTAAGCTTAATTCTTGTAGATATTTGTCTAAAACATTGTTTTGATGGCCACATATACTTCATCATTAATGGCGCCTTCCCAGATGTGTAAGCTACTTGTGCTATGGGCATGGGTTTGCATTCCCCAAACCATCAGGGATACTAACTTTTGAACTGTGTGCTGATTTACAAGCTGAGTGGTCTCTGCTTTAATAGTTTAACCTGGATACAGTAAAGAACTGTGTGAGCAGACAATGTTTTGGAGAAAAGATTTTGCACTAATGCAGTGATTTTCACTGCACATTTATGTACTGGGCTGTTTGGGGTCAAAAGCCGTACAGAATTGGTTTTCAGCCTTGTTCTTTTTGTGCAAAAATTCCAACAATCTTTTGCTGATGGTAAATATTTTAGATGATGATTTCCCTAAATTTTTCATTATGATGAGATACATCAGGCTGAAATCAAACTATTTCTCTATTGCAGTGTCTCACAAAGTGGCGAACCTCTTTCCAGCTTAATTTTTCTGTTTCTTTTATACACAGACATGTTACTTGCCTGTATCAAAATTAATGTAATTAGAAATGATCTTTCAGGTGTTTGTTAGTTTGGCTGGTTGGTTGGATTTAGCATTAAAATCTTCTCAGGGTTTTGCTATTCCTGTCCCAACTTTTTTGAAACATGGAAGCAAATTTAAAATGATTTTTTTTCCCCACAAAACCACAGGTTTTCATCTTCAACATTTCATATATTGACTTTGCACTAATTCCAGTTTAAAGGGATATTCCAGCGCAACAAAGAGTTAGACACCCCGTTGACAGATGAATGTTGTCGACCGCTTGCTTGTCTAGTTATACCAACTTAAGTAACGACTGCAGATAGCAATACAGAGAGCCATGCGCTCAACCAACAAACCACTCTATAGCCACTAATAATGCTCAGAACAGCACCTAACTTCATCAACAGTACATATAGGGTCCCAGCCATAGTACCAGCCACCAAACATCTTTTTAGCATTGCCTAATTTCTTTAGCAAAGAGACTAAACACAACTCACCAACTCTCTTCCAGCAGCCGCTTGTACGGAGAGCTCCAGGCGAGTCCATCAACTGCAGCGGGGTGACACAGCTCAAGGAAGAACATTTATGATCATTTCCTAATGGAAATGCAATCAGACTGAGATACTAAGGCAGAAGAACTACCGTGTCTGCAGTGCAGAATGATTAATATGATGATTACTACTTCAAAGAAAATGATAAAGTAATTATCATAAATGTTCTTCCTTGAGCTGTGTCACCCCACTGCAGCCGATGGACTCGCCATCAACTGCAAACCATCAAACTCTGTTCCTATCAAGATATTAATATGGGTTTTGAATTTTGGGGAGGCTGGGGTTGCAGAAACAACTTACTGATACTCCCTATTTTGCAGCTTGACTTTGCCTAGACTTTTTGAAAGCAATCAAGACATACTGTATGTATACATTTAAAAAAGGAAAAACATTTGCATAACCAACACAAAAACAGACATACTCTTGAGAGTGCATTTCATTTCTTGATCTTGGCCTGGTCACTCATCAATGTTGGACATTTGTAAAGTAATTGTAAGGCTAGATGGGAAAATCTGTCAGCAGAGCTGCCTTGAATTAAAATACAACATTTTACAAATTGGAGGTTTGAAAACTGACCAAATTAAAGGAGGCAAAGAAAATTACAAAATACTCTTTAGTTTCATAATGATGATTTCAGAGTCCCTCCTGCTTTGCAACTGAGTTTCTGAGAGATGTTGTCAATGAGATGCTTGTGAAAAGGTTAAAAAAATCCATCTTACCAGAGTTAGTATGAGTAAAGTTAGTTTTTCTTCAAGGGAGACTTTTTGACTGATAATGGACATGTCCTTTTTTAACCCCCAAAAAATAGAACAAGAAACTGCCTGAGCAGACTGAGTTGAGGGAGGGGTCTGTAAGGGAGGCCGCTGCGGTTGCTATGGTCCATAACAGCAACAGCACTGTAGATCCACCTGCTCCTATTGGCCACAACAGCCTGGTCAATTCTGAGCCCTGCAAGCCACGAGGCAGGTCTATTGATGAGTCTGCAAGGTTAATCTCTGGAGAAGTGTTAAGACCTGCGGCCTGTTGAAGTATCTGTTTGTAAGGTCAAAAAAGCCTGTTGTAAACTAATACATGTGTTTAAAGAGGTTAAAACAGTCATTAGTTAAGCAAAAGTCATTGTATCACAGAGATAAGTAGTAAAGCCCCTGCCAAGCATGCCAGACCTAAATGAGGATTTTAACTCAAAACCTGTGATTGATAGCTCCTCACAAGATATCCTGTAACCGTTTGCAGGCATTATAGGGGCAAAGCCAACCCTGGCAAACCCCTCTGTTCTCTGCCAACAACTGACCAGGATGAATTTTAAGGCAGAAGTTTTCACAGACTGACTTATGGAAACACTGGCTGTCTCTGAGAGCGCCTGTGGCCCTTTTCACAAATGTATTTCTAGACATTTCAAGAACATTTTGGCACTGCCTGTTGACAATTGTCCCTAACAGCATGAAGTTTTCTTTGTCTTCCATGTCTCAAGAAGACATGATGGACACTGCAGTCGTTATAGTCACCAGCATGATATTAACAATATTTTTAAGATGGAGGAAGGAACAAAACCAGCTCTATGTTGGGAGTATTTACTCTTATATTGGCGCTACATGTTTTTAGAAATATTCACCTTATCAGAGAAGTAGTGAAAGGCCATGCCTTAAAGGATCATATGGAGTTTTTCCAAAATGTAACCAAAGAGCTTCCAGGAGGGGTTTCAACCAGTACATTTACATTCACAGTTGAGTCTAGCTACTGTCATAACTTGATTTGACGATTTTACTGGACAACTGTCCTCATCTCAGCTTACCTGCACCAGGAAAATATCAAATTATTGACAGAAGCATGTCCACTTCTTCTACCGTAGGTGGTGACATGCCACATTCGAGCTCACTGCTATTGGGTGATCTCTTGGCTGACTTGTTATGAGTCAAAACAATCTATAAAACGGGTTAGCAAGAGGCTAACAAGATGTACATTCAAAAATGTAAACACAGTCACTTTTACAGCTCTGTAGTATTTATACAATAAGAAGATTTGTCTTTTTTATGTCCTTTTAGCCCATTGAGGTCTTGTTTTCTACCCAGTTTATGAGCAAAACATTCATGTTTTTCAACTTAAAGCCTGGCATATTAACACTGGAGCATGTGTAGAAACGAGCCGTGTACATGATGGAATCAACCCCCAACAGCATTATCCAGGTATGTTAGTCCAACTATGAGAGGTCCAGTTTAAGATGGTTTCTAGGGCAGTAAATATTTTTTCTGAGCATGTAGTTGCACTGACTAAAGATTAGGGCTGAGTTAAAGTTTGTGTTTACACATGCACACGTCTTAGGAGGTTTTTAAATAAATAACATTTTTTTCTGTTTATTTCCTGTTGCTTCTGTCCTGTGATCTGCGTTTCGAAATGGATGATGGTAATCTCACTGACTGCAAAACAAATCTACCTATGGGTACAAATGAGATAACCTGAGTTAACTGCATGAGTGAAACCACGAAAGCATCGAAGCACCAAAATGCAAAATGTTTGTTTATGGAGTTTAATCGGTATGTGCTTGATTTAATGAACCTGTTACCAGTGGATGTGACTAAAACACCTTACCTTAAACCATTTGTCCTCATACTTTGGCTTTGTATGTGAGGCACAAACAACTGATCCCATATTTAGAGATTAGTTACGAACAACTGCAGCCATGGCTAATAGATGATCAATCATATAGTTCTTTTGTTGTTGATCTCAAACAATAAAAAATCAGGCCACATCACCACAGAAACCATAATAGAGTCCAGATGTGTCCATCTGCACCTGTTGACCTGCAGTTAAGACTTATGTGAAAACTGGCACATTGGATGGACCATGTTGCAGAACCTTACTCAAGGCTCTATGCATATTTTATGCCGGAATTTCTGTAAAGGAACTACCGGCAGATATTTCTAGGGTTCTGCCTGGTGGAATATAGAACTGCTTGGCGAATGTTAAAGTCCAGGTCCAGGTACGCACAAGAGGGATGATCATGAAGCTTCAGAGCGATGATCAGCTGAGATAAAGAACAGAGAAGGATGTGAGGAGAAATGTATGGAGATCTGGAGCTGCTGAATGACTTTGGTTTAATTGTAATTCTGCTGTGTTTGTGTGTGCACACTATCATGAACACTTCATCACCCGCACCAATACCCCCAATATGCGTGTGTCTGTGTGTGTGTTATACACATACACACAAACTCACACACAGCTACACAATCTTTACTGGAGACAAACATTCACATGCACGTGCAGGCTGTGCACATGTACAGCAACACACAATTATCCTCCTCACAAACTACACACAATAAAGGACACACACCCTTTTCCACAACACACACACACACACACACACACACACACACACACACACACACACACTCTCACACACACACAAACACCGCATTCATTTCCCTTTCATTCAGCACAGGCACATATTGTGCTGCTGTACACACACACACACACACACACAAACACACACAGTCACGCAAACACACTCTCTCACACACACACACAAACACACACCATTTGCAGTGCTTGCTCCTAGCTCTCCCCACACACACACCCCTCCCCCTCTATCTCTGTCAGACACACACACACACACACACACACACCAACTCACGCACACACACAGTCACACAAACACACACAAGTACATGCACATTCCCTCCCACGCAGGCGCACTCACACACACACACACACACACACACACTTGCACGCACACACACCCTCTCTTTCCTTTAACACACACATACACACACATCTCCCTTGCACACCCCTCCCCCACTCTCTCTCTCTCACACACACACACACACACGAACATGTCCTCTCTCTCTCTCTCTCCCTTGCTCACCCAGTCACTCTCTCACTCACTCACTCACTCACTAACACATGCACACATACACACATTCCCTACTCTTGTTCTGCTTCTCTCACTAACAAACACACATTACACACACACACACAACTGCGCAAACATTCACAGACACACACATACACACACTCACACACATTCTGTCTCCTGCTTGCTCTTTCTCCCCTCCCTCTCTCTGTCTCCCTCTGTCTGTCTGTCTGTTTTTCTGTCTCTCTCTCTTGCTCACACACACACACACACACACACACACACACACACACACACACACACACACACACACACACACACACTCCTGCCCTCTATCCCCTTCTCTTTTTTCATCTCTGTCTCTCCGACACACATACACCCACACGCACACAAACCAAACACACACCCGTACACATGCACACAAGCACGCACAGACACACACACACACACACACCCATTTTCTCTCTCTCTTTCTCTCTCTGTAACACACACACACACACATTTTTTCTCTCTTGCTTGCTCAACACACTCTCTTTCCCTCTCACATATACACACACACACATGCACTCACACCAACTCTCTCTCATACACACACACACACACACGACACACACACACACACACCTCCCCCCTCTTCCACAGGCATCCTGGCTGCCACTCCTTCCTCACAACCACACACAAATGAAAAAGATGCACACACACACACACACAAACACACATATACATAAACACATCTAAACAAACACGCACATAGACAAAAACAAGCGCACACACTCACACACACACCCTTCAAAATACACACCCCACCCCTTTCGCTCAAACACACATCCTGTCCTCACTGACAGTTAAACATCAACAAACACACACACACACACACACACACACACACACACACACACATTCTTGTCGATAATATTCAAACTGTAAAAATAACATTTTTTTATCTCACACATGCCGGGTACCAAAAATCATAAATATTCACCGGTGTCTTAAAGAGTATCTCAGAGCCAATGTTTGTGAGTCAATCTGTTTGTAAGTCACAAAGACACAAGAGTCAACTTCAACATTAGCCAAGATCAATTTATTAGCTCCCACTCAAACACCCTCAGAAATCCAGTCAACAATAAATACGTTTTTACACCATCATTAAGTTTCAGCCATTTTTCTATACAAGATGCAGATGCTCTTTAACTTTTACCAAAAGTACAAAACCTGTTTTTAATCACTTTGCAAAATTGAATAAAAAAAAAAAAAGAATGTTAAGGCTTGTGACCCTAAACCAGAGGAAGGCCTCAACTGGTGGTCTATGCTAGAGTCAGTGTTACACTGCTTTAGGGTCCGTGTATTATCTGTCCATTCAACAATTCCATTCAATCTAGTCGACGAAAAAAATGAGTCAATATTTTGTTTGTTTTTTCTGTATAACCAACACATAAAATAAAAATAGTGTTTGTTTTCGTATTTTCAGTTCAAAATAGAATATATAATAGAGAAGGAAACGAAAACAAAATAAATCTACTTTTCGTTTTCGAGTGATGTCCCCATTTTCCACGGTGCCTTTCTACTGTTCACACACGCGCATTACGCGACAAAGTAGCCAACAAGGTGGACCAAAAACTCGCGGCCAGAGTGGTAGAAAAAGGTTAGCCTACTGTCATGGAGATGGACGCATCCCACGTAAGCCGCCAGGAAGGTGACACTGAAGAAGGAGGATATGACTGTAGAAAAAATTACAACCAGAGCTCTGTTACAACGTAAGATTTTGGCACTCAAACCGCTCTGTTGCATCTGTCGCCATGGTAACTGTCGCTGAGGATCATGGGAAGGCCAATGTAGCCTTCATGCATGTATGCTCAAAACAGGCGCACTCAAAATCGTAAATTGTAAATAAGATTTATTATTTCGTTTTCGTTTCCTTCTCTATTATATATAAAACAAACACTATTTTTTTTTTTTTTTGGTTATACAGAAAAACAAATAAACAAAATATTGACACTTTTTTTAAATTATTTTTTTATTAGATTGAATGAAATAATTGAACGGATGGATAATACATGGACCTTTTAGGTATCAAACAACATTAAATTATGTAACATTCTCCTCATAATGTTCTCATCAATGTTTTTATTCCCTTAATTTCTTCCCAAATATTATATTTGAAAAGTTTATTTGCATATTGTCGGTTCAAATGCATCATAATTTGGACAAAACATTAAAACAGTATGTCACCCTTTTTCTCAGTTAATCAAAAATACAATGCATCCTGTCTAGTGCACTCATCTATGCATGTTACATTTAGATTGGATTGTTTTAACTCCTCTAAAAATAAATTAACCTCTAAATACTCATCAGTTGGTCCAAAAAATCTGCAGCTCAAATACTGACCAGAACCAGGAGAGGAGAGCGCGTCTCTCCTGTACTAGCCTCTCTACACTGACTCCCCATAAAATCTAGGATAGGATTTGAAATTCATGTGTTGACCTAGCTCTCGAGGGTCAGACACCATCATGTCTTAAAGAATTCATACTGCCCTATGACCCTTTTGGAGGACTACACTCACAGTATGCAGCCTCTCTTGTCATTGTCATCCTACCTCAAGTCTCTCAAAGTAGCCTGGGATATATGGCTTTCCATTTTCTGGCCCCTCTCCTTGGGAATCAGTCAGAGGCAGGTCCTCTCTCCACTCTCAAGAGTAGACTCAAAACTTTCCCTTTTGATAAACCTTAGAGCTGGGGCTTGTGACATTTCTTAATTATGTTCCTATAGGTTTAGACTGCTGGGAGGACTGGCACACTGAGCATCTGTCTCTCCTCTCTATCTGTTTGAGTGTCTTTAAATCCTCATGTCCCATTAAAGTCACCTTCCACAGATCTTTCTGGCAGCCCCTGAGCTCCCTTGTCCTGTAGGTTCCCCTGAACCGTTGCTGCAGACAGCTTCAACCACTTAAATTAATTGTTACTGATGTGTGTCTCTATCCATCTCTCTGTCGGCACCTTCCTTCATCCCCCTTCCAATCCCAACACAGTCTCAACAGATAACTGTCTCAGATGAGTCTGGTTCTGCTCACGGTTTCTGCCTGTTAAAAGGATGTTTTCCCTGTCACTGCATCTTGGTAAATGCTGCAAAGTGCTCTGCTCATGGTAGATTAAGATAGGATAAGGATGGCTCTTATCTTGCAAGGTGAGACTCAGTCTTATCTTGACGTTTGTCAACGATAAAACATGGAGTATGGTCGACACCCGCTCTTTCTGTGAAGCCTCTTGAGATAACACATGTAGTTATTTGGTACTATATCAATTAAAATTGACAGATTGATGAAAACGAATTCAATCTAAACATTATTATTTTTTGATGTAGCACTATGATACTCAATCTGGTATATGAAAGGACACATACCAACATAGCATCAAATAAACTTAACCTCTAACTCAGACTGAACTGAGGCCATCTGTGTGTCAGATGAATGTGATGATGTTATACCTTTAAAGTCATGAAGGGGCTTTTCTCAAACTCCAAGAAAAGATTTATTCTAAAAGATTTACAGTATCTATAGTCATGAAGGAGAAGAAATTCATATTTTCAACCCAAAGATTGAATATATTTCTTGTGTGATCTCCTGTGAGTTCTTTGAGGGCCAAAAATGTTTCCAGAACAATGAACAACTTTTGGTTGACCAAAGTAGAATTTACAATCCAAAGGTTGACAGATCGTTAATTATGTATTTTTTTATGATAAAGCTTTTAGTAATACAGTCTTAACTGTGTGAAAATCCCTCAGGTACTGTGGAATCTCCATTAAGTGCGGTGGCTTCAGTAATCATTGCTGATGTACAGACGTGATGGTAATCTTTTATCATTTTATGTGCTTTAAACCGTAAAGCTAACTCCATCTGCAGTCGAGCTAAAAAGAAAAGGTCCCCTATAACTAAACATAGCAGATAGTAAGTCAAGGGAAATATTAATCAAGCATTGACCAACTGAGAGCACAACTGCAAATAAAATCACAGTTCTTTACAGTCTGTGACCTGTAACAAAGGGAGAGGCTAAAAAAACGCCACTAGAACCTGCTCATGCTTTACAATTTACTTTTAATTTTTCAATCAAGTGAATAAAAACACCCAACTATAGTATGAGAAGAGTTCACATTCATGGAGGTGCCAAACCAACTGAACTTCATGGTTCACACCTAATCTTCTCACGCCCGACTGGGTCAGTGGCCAACCAGCAAAGTCACAAGTCTAAAAACAGACACCAGATCCAGACATTCTCCTTAGAAAGCAATAAATATATAAAATATCATTTCAGAAGATCTGCATTCAAGCATACAGCATGGGACTAATTTGATCCAAATGTTATTTGGATATTTGGTTAGAAGTATCTGCATTTCTCTTTTCTGAAACAGGCAGATTAAAAAGTGACTGTGGATGATAAGTAGCTCTTACTCTCTTCAGGCTAACTCAGCATGTTTCAAATTTGACTAAAAGGCATTTTCATTTCCTTCTCGTAACAAACACAGTTTTCAGAAGTTAGAACTGGTCTGGGTCCCCTGTGTCACCTAAACATTACACGATTATCCTCTATCCCTCCAGTGCATCTACTTACAGTTTCTCAACCTGTAAAAACTTAAAACAGCAGCTGAAATGTCAAAATCTCTTGACTTTTCTGAAAGATTTTCCCTCTACACATTTTCTTAAGGCAGCAATTTTCAAAAATTCAATCAATAGTTAAAAAACAAAATACTGTATGTCTATATCTGACGCTTAAATGATGAGAAGCAAAATCATGTTATAAATTGAGGCTTGGAAGATGAGGATATTGACTATTTAAGAATTGTTGGACCCCATATCTTGAAACGATGAGATCTCTTCCTGTAACAACAATGTAAGGATCTCAGAATCCTGGATCATCTGCTTCTTAACCTAGTTTTGGTTTGAGGCAGTCTGAAATATCAATTCAGTATCTATGCATATCTATATTTTATCTATTCAGTATATTTTATCCTACACTACAGCCTGACCAGGGACAAGGACTGCAAATTAGCTGAATCTGGACGTCTTGTATGCATCAACATTTTCCATTTCTTGTGACGATGTTGTATGTATTGTTCCTGTTAAATAAACACTAAAATAAGTCAATAGAGTTTAAATGTTTTTGACATACCAATCAGCATTTCTGCTCTCTCCCCTTTTTTCTAAAATTTTGCAGGTAGGTGTGTTACTAAGTACACAGCAGATTTCAACCTTCCTACTTTCAGCATTCACCTTTTGTTTTCCTTTTGTGCCCTTATAAATGCAGAGAGAACAAACAGGCTGCTTTAAACGTTGTGTCAATGCACAGATTGATGTTGTATCCACTGAAACAAATGTGGAGACTTTCACAATCAACAGATGGGCAGATATTTAAGCACAAGGCACAGCCTGTGTGTATTCATAACAGCGAAAAATAATAATGACGAGTCGCATGCCAAGACACTTCATGCCGGGTGTTTGTTAGGGCCATTTGTCTAACAATATTGACTGTTTTGCATTAACTGAAATGTTAAGTAGTGGTGGGAGACTGCGTGGTTTTTCAAGGCCACTGAGACATTCTTGTAAAAACACAGGCTGCACTGTCAGGTGAAGCTGACAGTCACAGATGTGTGTCATTATGCAATCTAAATTCATTCATTTGGACAGACACATTCAAGTATTCAGTAAATGATGATATCCAGTCAAGATTTTTCATTAACACGCCAAAAAATGAATATCTTGTATGAAGACTCCTGGGCGGCAGTAGCTCAGGAGATAGGGCGGTCAGCCAATAACTGGAAAGTTGGTGGTTCGAATCCCACCCTATCCTTAGTCTGTCTGTTGTGTCCTTGGGCAAGACACTGAACCCACCTTGTTTCCAGTGTGTTCTCCGCTGGTGTATGAATGTGAGTGTTGTCTGGTGGTGGTTGGAGAGGCCATAGGTGCAAACTGGCAGTCACGTGTCCATCAGTCTGCCCTAGGGCAACTGTGACAGCTAAGGTAGTTTACGACCACCAGGGTGTGACTGTGTAAACAAATGAATGATGTATCCAATGTAAAGCGCTTTGAGGTCACTGACAAAAAGCGCTCTAAAATCTGATGCATTATTATCATAATCTATACTAGTATGGTTTTAATTGTCTGGGCTCTATTCTACATTTGTATGTTTTATCATTTTATCTCATATTTGCAAGGTAAAAGGTCCAAAATAATCTTCATAGATAGAAAAAAAATGCACCACTGTAGTTTTTGACTTTCTTTGTTTCAAACCAACAATCACACCAATCTGGGACAAATGACCTTCTTTGGATAACAGCTGCAAGCTGCACAAACCCAATAATAACATAAGTCGACTTGACCTCTCAATAAATTGAATGTAGTGTAGATCAGCTCTTATTGTCACCAGTGTCACCAGTGTCTTGAGATGACACTTTTTATGAACTGGCAAAATATAAAGGTAGGTTGATTGATTGATTGATTTCAGTCAAATGGAGTAAAAAAATGATAACGTGAATATATTTTGGGGGTTTCTCTTGCTGGCCTTTTAGTGTAAGCAGGAAAAAAGAAAAACATATTGGAAAAAACAACAAATATAATAATCAAAGGCCACAGTGACCCTTGTGACCCATCAGTTTTACTATGTACAGTAAACAAAAAAAAATCTGTTATTTTAAACAATTAAAATCAGCTCCATAGACACATAATAATAGACCTAGATCCTTTCCCAAAAATCTGAACACTCTGACTGTTCACGATGCACAGTATTTCCTCCTAAACACACGCAGATGAGTTTAGACTGCTAATGACGGTCCCTTGTGGCAAGGTATCACATAATTCATGGCTAATAGATGACCTAAAACATAAAAAGCAGTTGTAACAATAAAGGAAAGTTTTATATTTATCAAGAAAAAAGAAAAGAAAGAAAGAATACATTCATGTAGTAGCACCATCTTAACACCAGAGGGTGATGTTGTTCATATTTCCTCTTCATCCTTTCTACATCCTGAGATGATAATCTAAGTGAAAGGATTTATAACCACAGGCTTCATAACTAAATATCAGAGCTACAGTCTGGTGACGGCATGAATTTAAATGTCCTCATTTTCATCAGAAGGTGCTTCTTACTGACTGCTACCTCCACTAGCAGCAGAGGATCTCTGCAGTTTATCTTAAATAATAACCAAGCAAAGGAGAGTATGCATGAGGGAAACAATACCTGTAACGTTAACAGGAAAGAAAGTGAATTCCCTCAATACCAGAAGGTACAAAGAAAGAAAACCAGACTCTAAAAATGTACAAAATAAAGCCATAAATACGCTGTATCGCTGTAGTAGAGTCTGTCATGAATGTAATAAAGAAAAAAAATCTTGCTGTCTTTGTCCAGGGCCTCTGATCATGTAATAAGGCTCTTTCTTTTTGTTCATACATGCTGGTTTTGAACTCTGGCCCCCGTCACAACACTGTGCTTCATCTTCGCTGCCGTTCCCTCCCTTCACTCACCTCTCTCTCCTCGATTGCTTCACCCTCTCATTATCCCTCCTCACCTACACACACACTTTTCGTGCATCTGTCTTTTTTTATCTCCTCGCACTCCTTAGGCTCCTTACTCGTCTGGTCCTCACTCGCTCCTTGGCTGATACTGAAGGCAGGGCTTGCAAGGTAGTGATGGCCGTCTTGGTCCAGTAGTCCACTTCTTTGTAGATCTGGTAGATCCAAACCTTCAGCTCAAACAGAACCGATGGACCGTCTAACTGCCAATAAGAAGGGAAAGATCACCAAGCTCTGCCTTAATTTCACACAATTATCAACATTAAACACAGGGCCGTATTCAGGGGATGACCGGGGGGACCTTCCCTTCTAAAGGTGGCCACCCCTTAAAGGGATATGCTGGCGTAAAATTAATTTGGGGTCAAACACACCGTAATGCCGAGTTAGGGTCCTAGCCATAGCACTAGCCACCAAACATCATTTTAACTTTGCCTAATTTCTTTTGCAAAGAGACTAAACACAACTCACCTACTCTCTTCCAGCAGCCGCTTGTTTGTAGCGAGACCTCAGGCCAATCCATTATGGACGTCACAGCGGGGTGACACAGCTCAAGGAAGAACATTTATGATCATTTCTTTATCATTTTCTTGACGTAATAATCACCAAATCCACATTTTGCACTGCAGACATTGTAGTTCTTCTGCCTTAGCGTCTCAGTCTGATTGCATTTCCATGAGGAAATGATCATAAATGTTCTTCCTTGAGCTGCGAAACTCTGCTGTAGTCCGGAATGGACTGGCCTGAGGTCTCGCTACAAACAAGTTGCTGCTGGAAGAGAGTAGTTGAGTTGTGTTAAGTCTCTTTTCTAAGGAAACCAGGCAAAGCTAAAAAGATGTTTGGTGGCTAGGACCCTATATGTCCTGTTGATGCAGTTAGGTGCTGTTCTGAGCATTATTTGCGGCTATAGAGTGGCGTTTTGGTTGAGGTTTGTTTATTGCTCCTCAGACCACTTCGATTGCAATCGTGCGGTCGTTACTAAAGTTGGTATACCTAGACAGGCAAGCGGTCGGCAACATTCATCTCTCGAGGGGGTGTCTAACTCGGTGTTAAAGTGTATTTGACCCTAACTCAATCTTAGGGAATATCCCTTTAATGTCACTGTGTAAGTTAATAAGTGGAAAATAAAATCAACTTTCTGACCAGTGTAGCAACAGGTCCTTCATTCTGTCACATCATTTTCATTTTTTTAATCTAAAGATTTATAAATGATGTTAACAGAAGTACTCTAAACATGTGAGGGTACTAAGTAAAGGTAGAAGGGATGTTTTCTTTTTGCTCTGTTTCTGTATTTGTGGAGTGACTGGGTTACTCCAGTTGTTTGGTTTCTTTCCTAATGGAGACTGATTGGGCCGTTGCAGCATGATTGCCCATTTCAGCATCATAGTTTCATAACCAGCTAAAGACTCAACACAGGACCCTGAAAGTAGATATGAATGGTGGAATAAGAAATGGTATTTATTTTGGACTTGTATCATGGAAATTCTCTCTACAATAAAGCCCCCTAACAACACTCCTGTTGTTACTGACATATCTGAATGTTGTTTTTGTTGTTCTGTCTGTTTTGTTGTTTTTTACGAGTAGGCTGCAAAACTGAATTGATCTTTAGGGGGTTAATAAAGTTCTTTGAATTGAACAGGATTAAAATGTGCTCTTTGATGGTGCACTGCCCTCCATTCAATCTCAGTCAGTCAAGTGTGGACATGCCCCTGATTATGACGTCTCTGTCTACACCGGGACCTACCTCCAACCCCTCCACGCTAGGAGTCACCCCCATTGTGCCGTCCACAGCTTTGAGAAGTTCCCCAGTGCTAAATATGAGAAACGACAGTCTTTCCTTCACCATCCTCCTCTGGGTCGTATACTCAGTCTTCCTCCCATCGTCCAACTCTTCCCCCTCTTTTGCGATGGCTCTCTCCATCAAGCTGCGGCATTGCAGCAGAGCCGAGTGGAGGCGCCAGATCTTGTCCCTGGTGTCCAGTTGGGAAGATGGAGGAGGAACGGACACCAGACGACCATCAGACACAGAAACATCTGGGGGGAGGCTCTCCCTTTTCCTCTGAAGATAAAAAGATACAGAACAGAAATGGTGAAAATACAAAACAGTAGCTGGAGAGTGGAGTGCATGAATGAAGAAGCAAAAAATGCTTTCCTTCAATTACTAACCATACTGACGTCACTTCTGACAGCAATTTGGCTAGATATTGAATTTATAATTCTCACTGAAGCAATAGGGATTGTCTCCTAATCCAGCAGGAATTTGCTCAGGCTCAATCACATTGCCTCAAAGAATAAATCATAACAAACAGAGATGATGGAGGAATTTGCCCGCAGCCCTTTTCCGGTAAGGCTTTATCAAACCAACATGTAAAAGGTCAAGATGATTAACTTAACAACACTCAAGAACCACAGCCACGAGGGTGAAGAGAGAGTAGTTAGATAGGTTCAACGGACACAAGTCACGAAAGTATACCAAATAAATGACACATCTATAATAAAACATTATAAAACACACATAGTCTCATTTATGAATATTTTGACATATCAGGGAAGGAAACACATACTTCTGTAAAAAGTTGGGATAATTGAAACCACTGTCAGCCTGTGGATGATTATTTTGGCCAAGAATTAAGAGTGAAAACAGCTGGCTAAATAAAAAACAGATTGATGATAAAGTTTGCTTTTGAATCTTTGATTTTTTTTGGTTTGTTTTTGATAAGCAGTATTTTAGGTTGGTGGTTAAGTGCTTCACCAAGACACATCCAGGATAACTATGCTACACTAAACTGATTTTAAATAAAACAATCTGAACGTAACAGAGCCAAAACTGAGTTATGTGTCTGCTGTAACTGTCCCAATGGTAATTTTAGCAAACAGATCAGTTTTCTAACATGTGAAACTACAATTCTTTAAAACCAATTTACAACAGACTAAGAGCAAAGGCCTGTTTCTTTAACTACCAAACTGACATTGTGATCCCCTCAAAGGTGTGTAGCTGGCATCAGCACTAGTTACTGCATGATTTGTGAATCCCTGAGGCTTCCTCGTGACATTGTACTCAGGCGTTAATGTTGAACCCTGTGTGTTAATTGTTCGCAGTGTGACGAGCAGCAGAGCAGAGCGGAGGAAATGTGAATCGGGCGGTTATGGAAACACCAGGAAGAGATGCTATAACCTGGAGCACTAGTTTCATGGAACTTTGCAAACTGCAATAACACTGATAATGATTTAGGAGGTATTAAACAAATGTTGCCATGTGTTTCCCAACCAATGGACAGTCGAGGGACAGCCTGACTGGAAAAAATCATATTCTTCCAGTAGCAACATCCTCGTGTTGTGTCGTTCACGAACGATTCATTCAAAAGAACCAAATCCTTTAAGTGAACGTACTGAACCGAATCACTTCCTCGAGGAATTCATTTGTTTCTAACTTCGGTTGAGCTGAAGTGAGAAACAGCATTACCAGGCCGGCAGCCGGCGAACAAGGAACCACATGCACTGACGCCTGAATCACTTGGTGAATGAATCACGCACCGAACTACACTCTCTGAAATCGTTTTTGTTGGACAAAACTACCTTTTTTTTGTTTTTTACAGCTCAATTGCCACCACAACGACTTGCATACAATAGGACACAGCATGTAACAAGTAGTACATTACATCATGGTGCATGTTCAGTGTGAATTCTTCTAAACGAATCACTCACTGAGCCCAATTTACTGAGCAGACCTGATAAATAGCATACAATAGGACAGTACACTTAAACATCATGACTTTTGCCAAAGCAACACAGCCAACACTCCTGTCTCCCAGTCCCAGAAACTATGAGTTGAACTGAATCCTGAACTGTTCAGCTGTGTATCAGTTCAGGAGGTCAGGGTCGCAGGCCTCTCCCGCCAAGCGTTAAGTGATTCAGTGATTTGGTGAACAATCTTTTGAACGAATCTTTTTAGTGAATTGATTTTAGTGATTCAGTACACCTAAAAGAACCGCTATGCCCATCACTAACATCCTCTTTCTGCGTCAAACTTAAAGAGAATTACAGGAAGGAACAAAGGTGACATGCTCAAACATATCCAGTCACTTCATGACATGTTTAGAGTGCGATATAGCCGAGGGGCTGTGCAAGATTTTCCGAGGAAATCTATAGCCAACTAAATAAATGAGGAGTATGTCTGAGAAAGAAAAGGAAGGGTCTGTAACTGGGAGTGAAATGGATGAAGTTATATTGCCAGACCGCTCCCTTGCTCCCAGCAAGGCACATAAAAGAAAGGATGAGACGGTGAGCTGGCAGGAAACCAAGAAGTTTTAATAAACTGCAGCTCATACACCTATGGGCAAAAAGAGACAGGCATGTGGGAAAGAGATGAAGGCTTGCTGTGTGGGTATTGATGAGTTTGTGCCAGAAAAAAACGCCCACCTCTGTCATTCCAGCACAGTTCACCTCCTTCACTCTGCATTCTTACCCCCTGCTGTCTGAGACACAATTTTCCTCTCTCTCTCTCTCTCCTTCTTTCTCTCTTACATACACACACATTATGTGCACACATTCACTCCAATGCTCTTATCTTACTTTTGCACGCATCCTCCTTCTCCTCTCTCCCTCTTTCTCACACACTGTCCGTATACCTCTTTCTCCTCAACCATGCACACAAAGTCACAGATATGAGACACTCACACAAGTTTTAATAGAAAATCCATTAATTTTCCATCTAACCTTGGTCTACTTTTCACTGTCCTTCACCCACGCACAGATTTCTATTTCTCCTCGTTTTCCTACTCTACTCTGGACTCATACTGGGATCTGTGCTACAGGTAGTAATGTAGCCAATGGAACCAGTAATACTCACATAAAGTTCCAGTAAGACGGAGCACTCATGGTGCAGCTGTTCGGCTATGCCCACGGCCCTGTCCGTGGAGACGGTGGTGCTGGTCCTGCTCAGGTCCGAGCCGGTCATGCCTCTAGTTCGTCTGGCTGCCATTGGACCTTTACTTTACCGGGAAGTCAGTGTCGCACTTGAAGTAAGAGAGGAAGAGGCCAGCCCCCTAGATTAAGTCCGTGAACACCTCCCTCATCCTGACAACTCCTCAACTCTTCTTTCTTTCCGCTCTCCTTTCCTGAAACTCTACTCTAATGAAAGCCAGACCCTTTCTCCGTGTCTCTGAAGTTTCGGTAAAACTAGTTCTCCAATTTAAAAGGTTAGGGTTAGTCTCCTCCTCGCTGCCGCTTGTATTACTCTCCACCCTTTCCCCCAGGAATCTGATGCCAGGCGGCAGGAATTTAACGGGACACGCGGGGGCGGAGAGCCTCGGAGGGGGAGGAGGACCAGAGTTCATCGTCTTATTCAAGAGCTTACCACAGTTACTGGTAGCAGTCATTTGCTAAAATGGTCTGAAATTAAGTAGGATCTGCCATGTCTCTCAGCAAACGATCGTCAGAAAATCCTTCAACTCCTCAAATTTCTCTGTTACACAATCCATTTATAAAATAAATAATCTTTCACTGTAAATTGACAAAATTTTACAATCAGCTTAAGACTTAATGCTTATTAAAGGTGGGGTAGGCAGGATTCCGTTAAAGAAGCTTCTTTTTTGTGGTGTATATACAAAAAAGCTTTTAATATCAGTCAATAGCTATTAGTTATTGATGACATTTGTAATATAACAATATCGCAGTGTTTTGTTACGTCTGTGTGGTCAACATTTTAAATTTTTTGAGGGCCCGCTCTTTCTAAACGTAAACAAAGCCATTCTCCGCCTCCCCAAACCTGATTGGTTGTGAGGCAGAGGCTGCTCCCCTGTCGTAAACGAGCCCGAACTAAGTTAGCGTGGTACAATGTCGGACAGTAGAAACCAACAAGGAAGTACAGAAAACTGTCAGAATCCTCCTTTGGCCACGACTGCCGACACAAGCAAGAAAACGAAGTAAATACCGTATACTCTGGCGGAGTAACAGGTGCTTAAAAAGGAGGTGGACTGGACAAGAGCTAAGAAGCCGGGTCAACATAAATGATGGGGGCTGCTTCGAGATTTCTTATGGACCCTGTAACCTTTCTGCTCGACAGGTAAACCGCTTTAACAAAGTAAGACAAGTGTCTGTAACAGAAGAGTTTCCTGTTTACCTCGGGTCCTGGAGTATGTCACTTTATACTCGTTGTAGAAGTCCTGCAAACATTGTGTTTTCATGTTCTAAGTATCAAGTGCAGGATACTGCATTCATCTCGTTAACCATACGGTGCCTTGCCATACTGTCGGCAAACTACAAACGCCACTAATAGACTACTACCAATAGAATTTCCTGATCAGAGCATATATATCTCTCACTCTCTGTTAGTGTCAGGATAATACAGCAAAGATAATTCACCTGAGGTGACTTCTGATATGGAAAACATGAAATAATACTGTGGATATCCTTCAGCACAGAGTACAAAAGCAACAGGTGCCACCAGTGACAGTGATGATACATTTAGTTTGTTACATTTAGACTGCCAGTAAAGTCAACATGCGCGATACCAGAGTGCTTTCAGAATAAGACGTAAATGGAATGCAGCTGTTACACCGTTGGCTGTTTATTTAACCTGCGTTTAATATATTGACTCATCCTCTGGATGATACTATATGTTGTTACAAGCCTCCTTCAAGGATTGTAATCTTACACTTTATGAAATATCAGATATCATGGCATCTTTTCTTAAACACCAATTTAAAACAACTTCTCTTAAAACCATTTAACAAGTAAAAGTTCTGAAGTAACATATTAAATTTGTGACAACTACGATACTTTTCAAAGCATTGGTGGTAATGTTATAGTCATTAGGTTTAAGAAAAAAATATGTTGTTGCTGCACAAACTCCATGAACAGAATCTGGGTATACATCAAGGATTAGCTGTGGCACGGTGCTAGAGTTGGTTGTCTCCCAATCGGAAGGATAGGGATTTGATCCCAGGCCCCGTCATCCACATGCTGAGGTGTTGTTTGGCAAGACACTTGATCCATCCCACTGGTGAGTGAATGAGGTCATTCAAAACTAGTGGGCTCTATACAAAGCATGTGTAAATGTGACATCATGTAAATGCATTTTGAGGGGTCAGAAGACTAGGGAAAATGTGATAAAAATTAGTCTATTTAGTATTTTTATGCTGGTTGTTATTCACAAAATTTTGATGTGACTATGGGAGTATGAACCATTAATCACTTTTGTTCTACAACCCAAATTCCAAAAGAGTTTGGATACTGTGCAAAATGTAGATGGTTTTCCAATAATTTAAAAGCTTAAATTTAATTGAAAATAATGCAAAGACAACAGATTAAATGTCTAAATAAATTAAGTTTCATGAATAATATGTGCTCATCTTAAATTGGATTTCAGCAGCATGTTTCAAAAGTTATGACAGAGGTATTTTCCCCATTATGCAGCATCTGTAAACATCTACCAACCAAGGATACCAGTTTCTTGAGTACTGAAAGTGAAATATGACATTATTACCTGATATTACATTTAAGCTTCTACAATGTTTGGGGTCTCCTTTATCATGTTTTTTGTGTCATGACCACAGACTGTATACAGACTGTATAGTCTATGGTCATGATACACCACATATTTTCTACAGAGCTACGTTGTCGGGATACCAGAATAAGTGTAAAATGTAGTTTGCTTTCTGTTGCTGTGTTGTGAAGGTCTACCCTGAAAAATATTTGTCTGGGTTGCAGCATGTGTTGTTCCAACACCGTATCATAAAGCATTAATGGCGCCCTTCATAATAAGCTGTCTATGCCACCGGCCCTTCCCCTCACCATCAAGGATGCTGACTTCTCAACTTTGTGCTGATAACAAGCCACATGATCCCTCTCCTCTTTAGAGTAAAGACACAGCATCCGTGATGAACAAAATGAATGTCATATTTAGATTTGTCAAACCACAACACAGCTTTCCACTTTACCTCAGTCCACTCTTAATGGGCCCTGGCTGCCATTAACTCTGAATCATGTTTACATATAGTTTCTCTTCAATTTCCTCAGTTTTAACCTGTATTTGTGGGTGCAATGACAAACTTTTCATACAGTAGACGTTGATATGATTTTGATCCTTAGCAGTTATTTCCACAACAGAGTCATGTCTGTTTTTAATGCAGTCTAACTGAGGGTCCCAAAGATCCCAATCATCCCATATCAATTATCGGCCTTGTCCCTTTTCTACAGCAACTTCCATATTTTCTGTATATGATATTATGTACCATAGTTGATGAAATCTTCAATTTTGCAGTTTTATAATTAGAAACATTATTCTGAAATTGCTGAAATAATTCCTCTTACATTGCAGTGAATTTCTTCCCATGTTCATTTCTGAGAGACTCTGCCTCATTGGAATACCCTGTTTATACCCAGTCAAGTTACAAATCTGTTGAGAATTAATCTAATTAGTAGGAGATGTCCCACCAGGTACTTTCTGGCATTACACCACTTTAGCAGAGTTTTGATGTCCCTGTCCGAAATGTTTTTTAATGTGTTGTCAGCAACTAATTAAAATTGTGCCTATATTTTCCATATAATAACACACCATATCTTCCCGCATAAATACACATATGTATCCGTATACACATACAGAGATGCACATAGTCATCTCTGTATATCAATCACAGCCTACTACACTCAAGATGCAAAATGCTGGAAAATCGATAGTGATAAGGAAACAGAGCCGTCCAAGGCATAAGCGCCTGCCTTGGTCACTGCCCCGAGTAGGGGGCCCCCACTGCAAAACCGAGATTTTTAAATCAGTGTTGTGGGTCTCTTTGTAGCGTTATAAAGATGTAATACCGCCCCTGTGCTGCAGGGGTCACTGCAGGAACTCAAAATGTAAACACTGCGTAGTAGCCATGTTAAAGGAGCTGCCAATGCTAGTATAAGACAAAGATGTTTCTTTTAGAGAACAGTGCTGTATACTTCAATGTTTTTCTGCTAGTTATTTTCTCTAACTCTGTTGCTAGCTTTAAGCTTTAGCTTTACAAGCGGTGTTGGCTGGTTTTGTATTGTAAGTTAGCTAAGCAGCTGTAGCTACCGGTAATTGCTAGCTTAGCTGCAGTTTGATAGAGAATAAGCCAAACATGAACTCTCTGGTCGGTTATGTCGTCTCTTCGGGGTCTGACAGCGATGAAGACACAGACGGTGGAAAAAACAACAACACAGTTGGGTGGGTACTCTCTTAAAATTACAGACTCTAAATCAGAAATTAGCTAAATGCAGTAACATTAGCACGCCAGCTCACACAATTTCGTAACTTCTTTGCACATTTATACCTTCAAGTGGTGAGACTGCGGATGAGACATCAGCTGTCAAACGCACCCGCAACTTCTTGTTGGAGCCTGGTTCAACTTCCAGCGAGTCAGAGAGTGAACCAGAACCAGAGGGAGAAGATCCAGAGTCCTCATCATCATCTCCAACACCAGCAGGGACTTACCTGGCAGCTCTCCAACCCACTCTTTCGCCACCTTGCTCGGGCTCGAATAAACTACCTCCCCCTACTCTGAATACGAGCTCCGACAGCAGTGTGTTTGCCAATCCTTTCAAGGCACAGGCGGACCAGAAGCTCAGCGCCCTGCAGAAACACGTCCCCCTCACACTGCAGGCCAAACCCTCTCAGATAGGAGGGAAGAGGGTGTGTGTGTCCTACAGGAAAGATGGAAGGTGTAGGTTTGGGATAAAATGCAAGTTTGCTCATGACAGTGACCTCCAGACCCCGGTCACTATCACTGACTGTAACCAACCTGTCAATGAAGAAACACCAGCATCTGATCCAGTCCAGTGCAACGAAAGCGATTCATCATGTAGTGGATCCCAGACCCCCCAGCAAGAGACAAAAGAGAAAGAGTCAGGGGGGCAACAGGTGAAGAAGAGGAAGGTTGGACTGAGTAACACCTTGATTCCTCCCAAACGGGCTATGAAACAGTATGCCATGCTTAGGGACAGAGAGCAGGTCAATATGCGTTGATGCATTTGTTTTCATAAGCTTTAACACTGTGTTGTCACAAAGCAATAGTATTAATGTACCTTTAAAGGGATATTCAGGCATAAGGGGGGGGGGGGTCTAACTCGGTGTTACAGTGTGTTTGACCCTAAATTAATTTTACACCAGAATATACCTTTAATATACCTTTAAAAAAAGTATTGTGAATAAAGTTTGCACTGTAAATTGTAGGACCAATTAATAACTCAGGTAAACACATCTGGGGAATGCTTTTGTCCACAATAACCCACAATTAAGCTACACACACACACACACATCAAGAGCAATATACAGTTTCTCAGATGGAGCTTTTGATTACATCACTGATCTATGCTAAGTGGCTGCAGCCCTAAATTAATCTGGAGAGGGTTCTAGGTTTCTATTCCAACATGATGGTCTCAAAAAGTCAATGAATACACACACTCTGGGTAAATGTTAAGACATTTATTTACATTGTATGAACACTTTTTGTGTCTCTCCTACCATACACGTCCTATTTCACAAATCAGAGAGGTGCAGATTTTAGTATTGACATAAATTCTAAGGTTTCTACCATGTTTTGCTAATTAAATTATATAGCGTCATAAGTTATTGGGGGGAAAAAGGATTTCTAATTCAGCTTGCTGTTATTTTATGGGTTCATCAGTGGTTTACAAAGTTAAAGGTCATCTTTTGGCACTCTATTATAGCAGAGGACTTTTGTGAGTAGGCGTATCTCATTCATACTATTATTCCTTCACTTGAACCAACAGCTAGGACCTAGGATTGATGGCACTGCCTAAAACATGTACAAATATGCACATTTTGTAGTTTTTTGTCCTCTAGACTAATAAAGGTCTCTCTATACCTCTTTTGACTGTTTGCTGCCCTCTACCTTTCCGAATAAAGGCTTTAAAGTAGATCTGGATTACAAATGAAAAAATAGCTGCCTATTTATTTCAACAGAATTAACTCGCCCCAAACATAATGGGGTCAGTTTATAGCTTTCTTGTGTGTTTTCATGATAATTCAAAATATAAATAGTTGATTTCTTCCATAAGAAACATTGATGCCACACACTTGGCATTTGATGTGCTGTATATTACCAAGAGGTATGTTATATTATTGCATAACAGCAACAGCTTTGCAACATAACCTCAGCATCAACACACACACACACACTCAAATAAAAGGCTAGTGAAGTTTACACAACTGTTATATACAAAGGCAACAACTTACACAAACAGACACACATCTTTCCCTGATACAGATACTCTAAAAAGCTACCAAATCTGACGATGAGTGAACAGTACATAATCTATTGGTGATCCTACATTTACTTCAAACATTGCAATACAGTATACCAGGTCATAGGTGACATAATTTTCCTCTTTGTTCAGTGTGTTTATGTACTCTTCTTGTTTTACATAAGCGCCTGCTGTATGTGTCTCTCAGTGCTTTCTGACAGAACTTCCCCATGTCCTGCCTGATCCCAAACCACCCCATCCTCCCCATGAGTCTCTGCCTGTTGGAGGGAACCAATTGTCTGAGAGGGGGATGACAGCACTGGGTTGTCCAAACAGAAGCTGTCTCCATTGGTGGAGGTTGGATCTTGTGACTGAGGATGGGATGGGGACAGCAGAGAAGGGTTGGGGGTGGCTGTATGCAGCGTCTGAAGCTGCTGAGAAGTAGCAAGAATGGGGATCTGCTGGATGTGGGTCTGAGACTGGCTGACAGGCTGGAAAGTCATTTGAAGGATTTGTGTCTGCCCGTGGCTCTGCTGCTGGGAGGAGTAGGACTGGAGAGGCTGCAGCTGTGGCTGGTGCTGGGTCACCACCGAGCTGGAATGGAGGGTCAGCTGTTGAATTTGCTGCTGAGGCTGCTGAGCTGCCTGCACAAATTGGACAGGCATCTGGAGCTGGAGGTGTGTCTGCTGCTGGTTGTCAGCTGGTGAAGGGGGGTCAATAGGGGACAGGGCTATCGTTACAGGCACCTGCATCGTATGGAGGCTCTGGTCTTGTCCCAGTAAAACCACCTGGTGACTCACTTGTTGTGCCATATGACCCATTTGAGACACCTGAGCCACTTGCTGCCCGACTTGTCCTTCCTGGCTCAGCTGTTCTGCTTGTCCATCCTGCCCTACATGGCTCACATCCAGGCTGGTGACCTCTGCCTGTATGGGGTTTCCTGGCAGCTCCAGCAGGGAGGCAGGGGTTGTGATAAGAGCACCGGCATTGGCTGCAAGTGCCTCTGCAATCAACACCTCCGGGTGACTCTTGGCCTTGTGAGCCACCACACAGTCCTTCTTTTCAAACTTCTTTCCACAAATGGAGCAGGAGAACTGATAACTGGCATCAGCATCGTGCTTCTTCATGTGCCAGTTTAAGGACGCCTTCTGACGACACGTGAAGCCACAGATCTCACACCTACGTGGGAAAAATTTAAAAGAAATACGTCGAATTAGCCAAAGAAATGTTAAGAGGAAGAAAAAATGATCAAAAGAGGAGAGCATGTGTACAGTAAAGCTCTTACTGGAGGGGTTTCTCCCCTGTGTGGATCATGCGGTGCACTGCCAGGTTGTGGGAGCTCTTGAAGGCTCGAGCACAAAACTCACAAATGTAGTCCCTCTGGTCTGTAATCACATTACAGTCACATATAGATTCATCCTACCACTAAGTGGTTGCATAGAGATTAAACATTTTGCATTTTTTACCTGTGTGGTGCTTCGCGTGTCGCAGAAGCTGCTTCTGTAGTCTAAAAAGCCTTCCACATGACGGGTGAGGACAAACGTATTTCTTCTTCAGTAAGTGCTGGTACTTGATATGGTGCTGGTGTGTTAGACAAAAAAGATGCAACACGGTCTATCAGTATCAGTTACACATGACAGCTTACATACTGACAGCTGTTGCTGAAAGAAAAGGTCTCGGTTCAGAAATCTTATAATTCCCACGTGTAATGCAGTCATGATTATGTCTTTGCAGAAGCCTTTCAGCTACTGATATCGACAGAACACTTCATTAGGAAATAAACTTGGACCTTTGAACGATCAAGCAATTAGCTGTTGATTCTTTCTACAAATATATGGAGAACCCATTCTTCAGCTCCACTCTGGAACTGTCAATTGGGTGTCGAAACCCAGTTGGAACAAAGATTTAAAAATTAAGCAGAGTAGAATTTTATAGTTTGGTCACTGAAATAATATTTATATTAGATATTAATATTCCTCTTAATCATCTTGTCGTTGCTGAAACAAACCTGTAAGTAGCGAGGATGAGCCAAGACCGTCCCACATCCCTCCATCTCACAGCGGACATACTGCACTGGGGGCTTCTTCCTGTGTAGGTGATGCACATGCCATTTTATGCTAAAAGCATTAAAAACTACAAAAAAGGACACACATCTCAGTGGTTTCTCACATATTTGAAATACTGCTTAACAAACAGTCACAAATGACTAACACTTGCTTTTTAATGGATAGAAATAAACAGACTTCACCTTCTTTTTGGTAACCGTGGGGTTTTGTCGTCTTTTTTCCGCCGGCCCCTCCTATCACAAAACAAATAAAGATGCTTAACAGATGATTTAACAGCAAATGTAGTGCACATGTAATTTTATTTTTCAACTGACATCTGAGCCCCTTTCACACACGCAAGAAACCCTGAAAAGATTTTTTTAACTGTATCTGTTAGCTGCATGTGTGAATGCAGACAGCCATCTTTCTTACCCAGACTTTGGACTTTTTCCAGCCAGTCCCTGACTAGAGTGTCTACAAGGCGTCAGAGTGAGCTGATGTGAGAATGCAGCAGGTTCAAGTCAGTAACAGTCCCTGCTACTGGTTGGGTGATGTAATGACGCCGTCCACATTGACCTCACTTTCTCTGTTTGATACTCTGAATTGCTCATCTTAGTTGTTAGTGATATGTTTCTACTTTTTTTGTGTTACAAAAACCACCTGGTGATATAGTCTCTTTCTAATGCATGCACTTCCCAACAACCCCACCTCACCTCAAGATGTGAGACAAATATTAAGAAAACATCTGGAGTTTACATGTAAAAGGGGCTCTTGATAGACACTGGTTGGTGCTGTACTTACTTTCTAGGTCCATCCGGGTCCTCCACTGTTTCTTCTTCTAGTTTTACTTCCTCTTCTACTTTCTCAACGATGTCTGCACCTTCAATCTTTATCTCAGCGACTTCTCTCTCCTTTTTGGGGGCCTTTTCTTTCTCTTTTTTCTCCTTTTGTCTTGGAGGAGCTCTGCGCTTTGGTTTGGGTACATCTCTGAAACAAAAACAAGAAGAAAGAAATTGTGTAACAACTTTCACTTTATGGTTCATACCTGTAACTATGCCAGTTACAGACACACACACATACCTTTCAGCTTTCGGGTCATAGCTCTGGTCATTTAGGTCATCTCTAAAAGGAAGATCTTCATCACTGCTGAAGCCCTCTTCCTCTTCCTCTGCACCACTAAAGGAAAAACAACATATCACTTAAAACAGGATTTTCCGCCTGGTGTGTAGTTTATGTTCTTGACATAAATTGTACCTCTGACTCTGCGGCTGGTGGCTCGGATCATCCTGGAATGGACGGTCTTCATCCTCCAAGACTGGCTCAACTACATCCTCAATCTCCTTCTCTTTCTTTTTACTGTGACAAGACGAGTGGTCAAGAAAACACATCATCAAGCTGTTAGTCACACATCGAAACAAACAGGTATGCTTTAAAACAAGTTTTACACAAGTACATCTGTTTTCTCCTCTAACTTTACCATTTAATTAAACTGAAAAAAAAATTACATGACTAGAAAACTCAAAGAATTTGTGAGATGTTGGAAGTTTAAATAAGGTCAGGACATAAACTTTCACTCTGAGTGACACCCTTAAAGCTTTGAATGTTCATACCATGCCAAAAATACTTACATTTCAGGTTTTTCTTTAGTGTGTTCCTCTTCTTCCAGTGCTGTAGAACAAACAGGAGAAAGGTGTGATGAGTTCAAGAAAGGCAACAAAAGCACTCTGAGCCTGTAGGAATCATATATGGAGTAAACAGAGAAAAAAATTGCACATAATTGATCCATTTAACTCTAAAACATTTTATTGAATATTTCTGTACAAAAGAATTAAATACTCTCTCATTACACAAACGATACGTAACCATAACAACCTCATGTCAACCATTAAGGTACGACACAGGTTTCCTACAGATTTCGTCATTTTCCTGGTGAACAGAAGTGAGCAAGAGGCTCATGTGCTTCTGCATGTTCCACCTTTGAATTTGTGAATTATAGGCCCACACATGCTGAACCATTGTCAGACATTGTCAACAGGTTGCTCACCAGCTGGATTCTCCATTCCAGGTTCAGTCTTACACACAGGCTTGGCAAAGCTGCGGGCAGCTCTGCCAGACGAGGGCTTGGCACGAGTCTGGGCTGGGGGGCGTTTGGATGGAAGAGCTGGAGTGAGGGAGCAGAAGCACGGTATCAAACATACCATGTGCCCTGACATATGTGTGCATAATAGCCACGTGCAGACACAAGCCAGCTCTGAGATTAACACTAACTACTCTTGAAAAATACTTGACATCAACCTAGATTAGGGCTGGGCGGTATGGGAAAAAGTGCATCACGATATACTTTTTTCATATCAGTCGATATCCATGTATATCACATATAAAAAAATGAAATTTAACAGTGCTTATTGGTAGCATGTCTTTTGCAGTAGAATAAGCTATTGCATCTGTGAGGTCTTTGTGTCTCTTCAACATTTTGTCCTACAGCGTTGCACTAAAGAAAACAGAATGGTCGGCTGTTTCGGCTGCTCAGGTGCCATGGGCTCCTTGCTCTGCTCGGGGTTTGTAACCTTTTGCATCGCGCGTACACTGCTGCAGGTGGTGAAAAAGATTTGAGGTACTCACGACTTTGCGAGAACATGTACTCGACATAATTTGCAGTGCACATTACTCTGCTTCATGTCCGTCCTCAAAAAAACAAAATACCTCCACACCACCAACGTTTTCGTGCCAGTTTTGTCAACGATAACATCATCTATTGAGCCTTTATCTGCATTTCTGCCGGGGGTAGCACGTATTTCATTTTTCTCAATGACAGTGCTGTCAGCTTCATGTGTTAACATGCTGTGGTTGCATGTAGCTGCAGCCTGCTTGGTTGTAATTCAGCACATGATTGGTTCGGCGCAGCGCAACCTGGAGCAACTCCCCTTTTCATTGGCCATTTGTATAATCTACCAAAACATGGCAGAATGCTGACTATCTAAAAGTTTATTGACCATGTTTTATATTGATATTGAGGGAAATTTTTTTATTAAATTATTTTAATTATTTTCGATATATATATCGTTATCATTTTATCGCCCAGCCCTATGCAGACATGGAGAAGACTGTTTCATCAAACAAGTATCTCATATTATCTCATTACCTTGGGCATCTGAGGCAAGTGTCTTTCGGTCCTCTGAGCTCCTAAGGAGAAGGGGGAAAATACGACCATGAGATCTGAGATGTTTTCTACTTAAAAAGAAAGATAGCACACTTCCCCAAGTCTCCTAGGCAATCATATTTTAAAGTTCTTGCATTAAAGCTACTGTGAGCAACATTCAGTTTGTGTGGGGTTTGCTGTCTTCTGTGGATAAGACTTCTATTTGTATCTTTCAACCATGTCAAACATTGGGGATCTTTGCAGTGATAAATGTAAAATAGAGCTGTGTTTGAAACAGGGTGATGTTAATATAGTCTGACACCTACCCTGTGGTAGTGTTTACTGGCATCTTCTCACAGATGGTCTCTTTTGCTTTTGTAGGTCATACAGGCATCAGTGCCAATTTCAGTCTTAAACATAACTGTATGAGAACTCCTCACAGGAGCTTGAAACTGAGCATTTGTAAAGCCAGGTGAGTGTTTCTCCACCCTCCTCATTCAGAGCTTCAGAAAGGGGAAGAGCCATGCTGGAGGCGTGCTTTTGACAGGAACTCACCACACCGATATAAACACACAAGAAAATAGCCCAGAGGAGACTGAGTGAAACCAGTCAATGAGTTAGGGTTGTTAAACGAAAAACTTACTCTGTGCCTTGAAGGCTTTCACCTGTGACCCCCTTTCCAGACTCTGCCGAACTCGCTGCCTCAGAGTTTCTTTTGCGTTTGGACTGAGAAACTTTCCTCCGCTTGGTCGCACCGGTGTCCGGGCTCGGTTCTTCTTCGTCGTCGTCGCTCTTGGTGTCCTTCAGCCACGCCGGTACTGCCCTTGTTGACCTGTCTCTTAACACCCGTCCGGAGATCTGCGGACTGGACGCTGCTCCGTTAATGTCAGTCACGGACCTCGGACGGCCCGCTCCCCGCTCTCTGAGCCCCCTCCGCGGGGTGACGGTCATACTGGTGGCCGGGGTCCGCTCTGAGGCCTTGTCCTCCGCCTGCTCTTCACCTTTATTTACATCCTCGGTTCGGTCGCCCGGCGGTTCCATCACCTAAAGACACTTTCGCTTACCCCGAATTTAGCAGACAGTAAGGATGGTTTACTGAATATTTCAGTAAAAACGGGCAACATCTGGCTAGAAGACGTTTTGATTGCAGGCGGCCTTCATCCAACTGTGATGCATTTTCTGTGATTGCGTACGGTTCGTCGCAAATTAAAAACGTATATTAATTGATTTGGAATTGCAAACTTTTCCTAATTGTCTATTCGGCAATAAACCTTTAGACACTATTTTTGCGTTCTTAAAGCTATAGTAAACCTACTTATCCGCCTGGTCCTCCTGCGCAACCATTTTGTGAGCTTTGTTGCGTCTCCTTTAAGCCAAAAATAAACTGAGGTTACGTTCAGGAGCGGCAGCAGATTTTACAAGCTTTAAAAATCATCTGGATTTTCCTTCGTACCGCTTTTATATCACAGCAGTGTAGCTGGATGTATACAAGTCTACAAAACGGGCAGCAGCGGCGCAAAAGCTGCACGCATACGAATGATATTTGAAGGATCATGGGAATTGTAGTTCAAGCTTGGGGCAAATAGTTTGAACTTAGATTTAATGATATTGTAAAAGGTTATTTTCTTGTTTTAATTATTTTAACACAAATACATAATTGTTCAAGCCATCATTTAAAATAAATAGTACACTTTTATTTCTCCAGCACTAAAAATTAATGAATATCATAAATTATTTTTTCACGCATGTAGAAAAATTCCTCTCCCGCAAAAATAATGTATATAAACAAATGCTATTTAAATGTTTTTATCATTTTAATATTCAGGATTATTTTCGGGCTTCTAGTTAATCAATGAGTTTGAATTTCAATCTCATCAAAAATCAATAAAATTTACAAAAAATATATAATGACAATAACAATATTATTATTATTATTATTATTATTATTATTATTATTATTATTATTATTGTTATTGTTATTATTATTATTATTTTATTTATTTATTTTTATTATTGTTGTAATAATAAAAATAAATGTTTGATGCAAGCTGGAAAATTCCCCCGACACACAAATAAATGCACAAAAAGTAACATGAATCACTTATTTTAGTTCATTTTATCACTAGCCAGAGAATTTTTTTGTGTGGAGGTGAATGATTGATAGGATCAATGGCAATATTCTGATTTTATGTATGCATCTTCTTGCATGTATTCATATTTTATAACCAAAAGAAGACAAAATGCTTATAATAACAGTGTTCTGGTTGATGACTTTGAAGCTAACATGGCTGCCAGTGAAAAGCTGCACTCACTGTCTGGCCACAGTTCTAATAGGCTTTATTTACCACCAGGTGGCAATGTTGGCTTTTCAAAAGAAATATCTTGTTGCACAATGAGTACATAGCTTTTTTTTATGTATAACAATCCATTTATTTGTAAAGCAAATAGACAATATCTCAATCAACGGTGATAAAATTCTGTCATTTAAAGGAGATTTCATTTAGTGGGAAACCACATGCATAACTTAAAAGATTATTATGCAATGTACAAGTACTTGTAAATGCATTTTTGAATCTGAAGATATGAAGCACTTAGATGTTTTCTGATGATAGTATAGTCACTCTTAACATAGCCATGAAATGTAAATGGTAAATGTTTATTGTGTCAGGAACAAATCGGAATGAATTGGTCTATCCAGAGTGTTAAACTATTACAAGGCAGAAAAGTGTCTTGGTATCTATCCTTCATTACATATACATGGCAGAATATGACTCTATTCCTGCACTCTTTGTCCACTCTGAGTGCCTCTTATGATCTTGAACATTTCCCTGGATTTGTCTTAAATTGAGCCTGTTTCTGGAGTAAAGTTGACCTACCACACAGAAGTTTATGAAACACTTTGTCCCCTCTCTTCTGCACCCTGACACATTGCCTAATATAAGCTGATGTGTGAGGTTAGACATTGGTTTCCATTCACAGAGGTCAGAATCAAAGTCCACACTGACTCTGGGCCTTTTAGGAAGCTTATGACACAATGAACACACTGAATGACAACACAGAATCCTTTTCAGAATGCTTTATTTATCTACTTTATCACTATAAATATAATAATAACGAACAAGCTTTTTTTTTTTTTTTTTTCCAAATAAACCATCAGATAGAAAACAGTCTGCATCAGTCTGCAAAGGCATAGCAAAGGCCACATCTTGGCAATAAGGCACACACTAGAAAGAGTTTCAAATGGTAACACCTATGTTAAACAAGGCATAAAGCGCCAAACTACTGACACCAATGGCTGTAGAGTGGGTGAAATGCAAGCAAAAGAAAGAAAAGCAGGTGTTCTGAGTGGGAGGCAGAGCCAAACAGTTATATGCCACAAAGATGAGATGGCTGGTTAATTGGTGTAGTGACAGTTTCACCTAAACTGACAGGCAATGATGCATCCCTAACAGCTCACAGTGTCATAAAAAGCTGTAACAAAGGGCCAGTTTCAGGTTTTGCTGTTCAAACTGATAGAAAAAAAAAAGCCATTTTATTACCCACTCATAACACCAAATCTTGTTCAAAAATAGCAAACAAAATATTACACAAAACAAAAAAACACAATAACCTTTAAGTTTTAAAAACTATTGGACACTTTGGCGCCAGAAACATTTTCTCTACTTTTGTTACTCTGACTTTTATCCCTAAACAAGGTGTAAATACAGAAGACATATGTTTAAGAATATATTATACCTTTTCTTCTCACTTCATAGACAACACATGTAATGCATATATTAAATATATCCTTATTGTCATCATACAATATAAAAGCAGTGATCAGCAGTTTGTTTTCTAACTCAAATCCAGTTTCAGAGAGTCAAGGAGCAGCTGAATGTAGAAAACAGAGTGAGATGAGAATTAAGCAAATATATCTCTTTTAGGGAAAAGTGGATCTTCTTGTTTAATATTTCAGGCCGCAACTACGTCATGACCTCATTGTCAATCTTGAGATCTAGCTTCACAGTCAAACTCACTGAGTTGTTTCATGGGCAAAATGTAGTCAACTATGTAAGAGAGTGCTGGAAATGAAGCAAAGAAAATCCCCTTTGAACACAAAGAAATGGCTGAAAAGTTGAAGACTACAAGCCAGCACTGTTAATGTTTCGCATGGTCTCATGTAAAGATGGCTGTTGTGTTTGCGTGTGGTGGTACAAACATACATGGCTACTTGTACATTCCAGCTTGAGGTATTGCTCTGATTAATTCCAGTCCAACAATACATACTACAGAGTTTCAAAAGTGCCTTCTAAACATTCATCAGGGATTTTATTTTTTTCAAATCTTTTCTGCCTTATCCAAAAGAAAAAACTGCACAGATACTGACAAATGAAAGTTCACACATGAATTAATTCTCAGTATTTCATATCGCTTCATCTGAACGTCACAATCTCTCGCCTTTTATAAATACATTTAAGTGCACCTCGGTCAAGCACAGTTTGAAGGACGAGAAATAAAGAAGAGATGAACATACGGAGTGTTTTACTGCAGGAGCATTTAGAGGAGTGACTACAAGAGAGAGGTAGCCTCAAGACTGAAACCTGCTTGTCTCAATACAGTAATACCACAAATCCTCATCAGAAATATAAACGGAGCAATCTCTGATGTGCCAAACATTTTAGGGCCTCTCTTTTAAAGAAAAGGCACAGTGTAGAACAAAGTTTAGCACATGCTGTTTGCAGATGTAAGGCACTGTATTCAGGTATAGAAAATGTTATTTGTTGTCTTCGGTCTTTTTGGCAGAATAAGGAGCACTTGGATGAGTGACAGAGAGCTCCAGTCCATTTAAAATGTCTCTCATTTCTGTCCATATTTGTTCACCTTCACAATAAAAAACAAAGAAATACATAAAAGAGAAAAAACAACTATAACTGTTCAGTCTTAATCCCCTGTTGGTGCAGTTTCTCAGGATGGGAAACATCTCAGAGTTCATGATGTTGCTGTCTATCATCACTTCAAAAGCTTTCCAGTTTACTCTTTCTTGATTTTGTTCCCCAAGGATTCTGTCACAATAATATAAGTTAGCTGGAAAGTTTTTTTTTTTTCCTCCAAGATAAAATGTCTCACAAAGTTTTATAAAGAGACATTGAAAATGCAAACTAGTTACAGGCCAATGTAAAAGCATCGAAAACCTTCATTTAAAACAACCAAAACACAAATAAAACTAAATGAACCAAAAAGTACCAAACAGATGTGTTTGAAGCATAAACATTTAACCAGCATGGACGGAAAGCATCACCTACAGCACACAGAGTTGGCTGAAATACTACATATTCATAACCAAAAAAACAAACATTAATACATCTAAGAGCAGTTTTTCTTCAGTGGTGTCTTCTCTTGTCGTTAGTTCAAGTTGTACATTTTCTTTCTTTCAATTAGAATTCTCTTTCTTTTTCACGTCTGTGTTTTTACACTTGTGTAAATGTCTATTCTTCCTGCATGAGAGGAACAAAACAACCCCAGTGAGAGAAAAAAACTTAAGAGAATGCAGCCTTAAATATCTATCTTCTCTTCATAAATACTAAAGAGTACCTTCAGTGTTTCTGTTGCCACAGCAACATGGTGACAGGGGTCAGAGACACATTGAAAGAAAAAAGATAAAGATTGGAGTCATGACTGCCGTTACAGTGAGATATGCTTGTTAATGGACTGTCCTCTGTGTGCAGCATCACTGTTTTGAGTAAACACACAGTGCTGCTGCATGTTAAAGACTGTCACTTGGTCACTTCAGGTCTATCAAACTGTGAAGCCACAAAGAAGGACAGATACTGGATTCAAATGACGTTCCTTTAGTCCTTTGGAGCTTTTGGATGTTCATCGTTCAAGTGATGTTTCCGCCTGATGGCACAAACATATGTTGCTGTGGTGGTTCAGTCACATGCAGGGGTGTTTTGTCGTTTCACGTAGTCTGACTGTCAATATGTCTGGTAGACATCGTGAATGGGCAGCTGGAAGGCTGTGGCGGGGAAGGCTTGTGGCACTGCGTAGCCTGTGTATCCTCCATACGCTGCAGCCGCAACTGCTGCGTTTTTCTGCAGAGCCGCCAAAGCTGCTGTGTTGGCTGCGTAGTTTGCGATGGGGACGTATCCGGCTCCGTAAAGGCTGCCGGGTGCAGGGATACGCTGCACATTGTGGGCCATGGCATAGACGGGGGTGATTGGACGGCCCTGTGGAAATGCAGAGAAGAAGGATTACAGTGAATAAGATTATTTCCAAAGCTTGTCCTCAACGACCAGCTCAGAGAACATTCAGTACATTCATTGTACATTTATTCAATACATGTTTTTAATTACAGGTTCCTCATAGTGCCCAGTTTAAAACTACTGAAAGGGATATTTCGGAGTAAAATTAAGTTAGGGTCAAACACACCGTAACACCGAGTTATAGACACCCTGTTGAGAGATGAATGTTGATGACCGCTTTCATCTCTAGTTATACCAACTTAAGTAACAACCACAGATAGCAATACAGAGAGCCACACACTCAACCTAGAAGCCACTCTAGAGCCACAAATAATGCTCAGAACAGCACCTAACTTCATCAACAGTACATACAGGGTCCCAGCCATAGCACTAGCCACCAAACATCTTATTAACTTTGCCTGATTTCTTTAGCAAAGAGACTAGACACAAGTCACCTACTCTCTTCCACCAACTGTTTGTTTGTAGCGAGACCTCGGGCGAGTCCATCGACTGCAGTGGGGTGACGCAGCTCAAGAAAGAACATTTATGATCATTTCTTTATCATTTCCTGCCATAGCGTCTCAGTCTGATGCATTTCTGTGAGGAAATGATCAGAAATGTTCTTCCTTGAGCTGCGTCACCCCACTGCAGTCGATGGACTCGCCCAAGGTCTCGCTACAAACAAGTGGCTGCTGGAAGAGAGTGGGTGAGTAGTGTCTCGTCTCTTATCTAAAGAAACCAGGCAAAGCTATAAGATGTTTGTTGGCTAGTGCTATGGCTGGGACTCTATATGTACTGTTGATGAAGTTAGGTGCTGTTCTGAGCATTATTTGTGGCTATAGAGTGGCTTTGGTTGAGGACGTGGATCTCTGTATTGCTGTTGTGCGGTTGTTACTAAAGTTGGTGTAACTAGAGAAGCAAGAGGTCAGCAACATTCATCTCTCAATGAGGTGTCTAACTCAGTGTGTTTGACCCTAACTTTATTTTACACCGGAATATCCCTTTAATGTTTCATATACTTTGAAAACTGCAAGTCATGATAAATTCAAGATACAAGATTATTAGGCTATATGAAACTAAGCAAGTCACTAGACAGATTGTATGATGTGGTTACCATCAAAACACTTGTCACAAGAAAGATCAGGTTCTTTACATCTCAAACAGCACGGATCACATTTAATATCCAAGTATCATTACACCCACCTGGAATGGTGGAGGGGTGGAGACCGCAGGAAGCACGGTGGCAGCAGCAGCAGAAGCGGTGGTGTGTTCAGGATGTTGCATGGCCAGTGGGTTGATGAGGTGCTCCACTGTGTGCACCTTCCCCTCCTCCATCAACTTGGCAGCAGGAGCTGCACTGAACACTGGGTACTGCCCAGCCAGAGTCGGCAACCCCACTGCACGCAACAAGAACACAAGAATGAGATCTCAGATAACATAAAAGGCAACAGTTTGTTAAGAGACGGTTAATATGTCTGTTTTCACAGAATCGGAAATAAGTGCAGGAGACAGATACATACATGAACCCATGCACGGATAGAAACAGAATTATTAATCCAGAGGTGATCAATGAAAAGAGTGATGAATGTTATTGCAGTGAGAGATAAACAGGGCAGAAAAGGTTAAAAGAAACAAGTGAGGAAAGAAGAAAATAAATTAATGACAAAAGTTGGCATTTGGGTGTGATTTGGATTATGATGGTGCTAAAAGTGGATTAACCTCAATGCTCTGACACATACACACACACACACACGCACAGAGAGAGTGAACACAACGTCAGTCATTGTTTCAGATGGACAAAAGTCTTTTCAATCTGGTGGTGACCCTGTGATTCCACCCTGAGTGGGACTAAGACTGAGGTCCAGATTAGGGTCACTTGTCCAGAAACGAGACAATGCAGACATCTGATTGCCAAACATGTTTGTCTCATAATAAAAGAGTGTAGTTTACTAAAAGATGAAATAAAAACGTGGTCTGAAACGTTTTGTAGACTAGTGTTTTACAATTAAGTGAAGATTCAAGAATAATACCAGTGTATTTATCTACTTGTTGAATTTCTTTTTCTAAAGGTTCCTCTAAAGTCATACATGAAGCTTCGAATTTCAGGGTTGCATTCACATAAGCTATAAGTTTAATAGTTTCTGTTTTGTTATGTCTTAAAAGGAGAACTTCGGTATTTTTTTCCCTTCAGTGGTTTGTGTTTAAGTTTCTAAGAACACCATTGTCTTCTGCACATTGTCAATAAAGAAGAAAGAAAGAAGAAATCAAATTTGAGATCAGAGATTAATTATTTTTTAGAAAAAACCATCATCCTAACGTCTTGCTTTCACAATGTTTTTGAGGCAACAGTAGCAGGGTCTCAGTCTGTTGTACATGCAGTGTAAAATGACAGGTGTTTGCATAGATAGACAGACAGGACACTGACCTACCTTACACTGGTATTAAACTTGTGATCAGAATTGATGATGAAAAAAAAATCCATCGCTCAGCATTTAATTTTGCATTTCAGCTCTTTTTTTGACCAAAACTATCATCACACCAATAAAGTGTTTGGACAAAAAAACAACATCAACAAAAAAGAAAAAAAAAATCAATGACTTAGCCAGTAGTTTCAATTCTTAAAAATGGAAAAAAAATCATATGACTGGTTTCTTCACAGCACCAACCAAAAGCGGAATGACGAGACATAATCAGATTTTATCAGAAAAGATTTGGTGATGGGAGCAGTAAAAAAAGACATATTTTGTAATGTTCAGACGAGCAACAGATCTGAGAGAAAAAAAATCATCATAGAGTTAGTAATTTCAATTAGCAATGCAGAAAAATAGCCTCCATAAAATGTAGTTTGTTCTTGCAAAAAAGCGAATTTGTCTGTCCAGCAAAACACTAGGGTGGCAAATCTAATAGTTTTTATGTATTGTTGCGCTGTTGGGTCTGAACACCACGTAAAATTAGTAATTTGGGAGAGAAGAAGAGAAGGAGGAAGAAAAATGGCTGTTCCTTTTCGGTCATGTTAGAAAGGACGGATATGTCGTGTCAGAGGAAATCCTTTTGCACATGACCATCCAGCTACAGCCATCATCTTGATTTGTACGACGTTCTTCAAACCAGACAGAAAAAAAAGAAGAAATTTCGAGCAAGAGGTTTTAGTAAAGGCTTTGAAGATGGGCAAGGACATGGTTGGATAAATCTATCTCACTGACTTGTGCCAGGTTTGATGCCAACGGGGTTGACGGAGGCAGCAAGCTCCAGACTGGGCATCAGCTCATAGGGCTTTTCAGGCTGCTTGGACTTGCCCTCATGGTAACGGCTGTAGATGCCACGACCGGCAGAATAACCCCCCAGGTATGACCCCCTTGGTCCAGGGGTGCGGTTACCTGCAGCAGCACGACCACGGCCACGCACAGTACCTGCTTAAAATACAATTGGAGTCATGTGATGACTGGTGATTGGGCCGATCCAGGGAGACTTTTACTGAAAGTTGAGTAGCTTAACATCCAAGGCGAGATTTCGTGATGGTTTCAAACTTCTTGATAGTTCCTAATAAGATATCGGGACCAGGAACGCTGACATTATTCTCCAGCCTTTCATCGAGGCAAAATGGTCTTTATTGGGTCATTTTTTGGCAATATCTCATCAAGTTTGGGAGTTTTAAGCTTTTTGGGCCTTTTCTCTACACACTTCTAGACTTTGGAGATCCAGGCACTGTTATATTGTGTTCCTACGGTTTCTGGGCTTTGTTTTTTTTTTATCTCTGAAATAACCCAGCAAGAAATTGGAGTTGACAGCACAGAAGGAAAAGGGTGGTGTTAGAAAACAGTTTGTCACATGGCAAGGAAGCTCATTGTTCATTGAAGGAATAAGTAGGAATAAGGATGTGAGAGATTACCATTGTTCTGTATCATTGGGGATCCTTTGGAGAGAAAACCAAAACACAATGATTGTTGAAAGTCAAATAGATTGTCCTGCTACCACCCAGAGACATAATGTAATCAATCATCGAAGGTAACAGGATTAGCATTCATTGGTCCATCACCTTGTTTTGTCTTTGGTTTTTAACAACTAACTGATTCCATCCAAAAACCATCAGTTAAATAATTTTAAACTTTATTTTAAATGAAATTGCAGTCATCAAAGATTTTATCATTATAACGAACATTTACAAAAATCACAGATCCCTGTTAATGTGAAATTCATGTTATTCCATTAATGTCATTGTTAAGATATACGAATGAGATCTTTAGCAGTGCATTGGCCAAAGAGTTCAAACTGCAGCCAACATTTACAAAAATAGCTGGCTCTCAGTGAAACACTTTGGCTACTGAAACCAATGTCTGAAACAAAAAAGACAAAATGAGTTCTTACCTTTGACGAAGTAATCCCTGTTGGGTCCAATGAGGGTGTTGTAAGGATAACCATAGTAGGCCAATGTGTAGGGGTCACATTGGTAGACGTAGTTCTGCTGAGTAGCCTCTGGAGTGGCCGAAGCCCCCTTGGAAGCCTTCTGACGTGAGTATTGCTCTTTATCAACGGGCTTGGCGAGCGTCACCTCGATGCAGGACCCTTCCACCTCTGTCCCGTTGAGGTGGTCCATGGCCAGGACAGCATCATCCCGGGAGGTAAAGTGGACGAAGGCGTAGTCACGGATTTTCTTGACACGTTCGACACATCCAGGGTTCCACTGGCTGAACACCTGGTTGACAATGGCAGTGTTGAGTCAAGAGTTGTTGTATGGCAGTACCATCTCTTCTAGTCCAGTGACAATATTCATAATAAAACCTGTAAAATGAAGACTCATTCCTACCTGTCTGATTGTCTCCTCGCTGGTCTCCATCATTAGATTTCTCACGTAGAGGATCTTCACTGTCTCCATAACATCTTCGTCCACATCGATCTCTGGTTCAGCCCAGTCTACTGCTATCTGGTGGCCCCATAGCTGAATGCGTCCAGGCATCAACTTCCTGCGAGCCATAGCTGCAGCACGGTGTGACTCGTACTCTACAAAGGCGAAGCCTCGGTTTTTCATCTTGTCTGCTGCGCTGGCATAAACTATGACATCCAGTACCCCTTCTGTCACCTTGGAGACTTCCTCAAGGATCTCCTCACGTTTTTTGGTCTTGGGAATGCCACCGATGAAAAGACGACAGTTGTCTACAGAGGAGCAGACCCCCAGAAGCCGTCCAGGCCGCACTTCATAGTTGTTGAGCTCCCTGACGGCCCGCTTGGCCTCGTGTTTTTCTGTGTACATAACAAATGCATACCCTCGATTCTTCCCATCAAAGTCCATCATAAGTCGCATCTCATAGATGCGTCCAACAGACTCAAACACTGGGACCAGCTCATCCTCATAAACGTCCCGTGGGATCTTGCCCACAAAGATCTCACACCCCCGTGGTGGGGATGGACTGCTCCAACCAGGAGGAGGGCCGTATTTACGCTGGCCATTTTCCTGCACCATACCGTAACCGGTGCGCTCCATGAGAGCCACGAGTGCAGCCTCATTATGAGCGCCTGCAACCCCCTCAGGGACGGATATCTGTCCGTGAGTTGAGTGGTGGGAAGAACCAGAGGGTTTGGAGGGTTTGGAGGAGGCAATGTTATTGCTCATGGTTGAGGAAGAAGCAGGATCTTCGGCTGTCATTCTGACAAAACCATCCAATCAGATCTGGGCCTGAAGAGGACAAAAAAAAATATATTAATCTATGTAATATTAAATTAATAATAAATACTTTTTAACACAGATTAGAAAACTCAACAAGGGAAAAATCTAAGCAGTGCAACATTAAAAATAACAAAGAATTGTTGTTCACTTGTTGACACAGAAATGATCATCATTTTGCTGGCACAATCATATGCCAGATTAACCGCCTAACAAACCAACCGAGGCACACTGTGTGATAGAAATACAGCATCTATAAATCCACACGGCTCCAGTCCCTATCAGTGCTTTTACAACCTTGTTTTGTTGAGTCCTTCAGATCCTGAGCTGACCTCTGACCCCTATAAGAGAAAATTAAGGGCTGTAAACCCTGAAACCTCCAGCTCAAGGTTCACTGGGTATGACTGGATCACATGCTCATAATATGTGTGTGTGTTTGGGTGTTTGTGAGTGCGAGAAGGAAGTCGGAGTTAAGCTATAGGAGGAATTTGGAGTTAAAAAAAATGACCTCAATGACTCCGTTCTCCTACAAAAAATACTGTTCAATAATCTATAATCTATCACAGGCATGAACCTGTTGCGCACACTCGCTCGCCACAAGAGGGTGTTGGACTTTAACAGTGTGTGCATTAAGCTTCTTGTTTGTATGTGTGTTTGTGTGAGCCACTTCATTAAGAGCTACAGCTCTATAAAAGGAACAGAGAACAATCAAAAATCGGCTTCCCGAGCGTAAACCTCTTACTCTGTTATTTTCCAACACTGCCTACATTCAGGGTGAAAAAACCCACAGCAATTTAAATCCCCAAATCTCCACACAGCGTACAACACTGCAGCAACCAATCAAAGCAGACCAAAGTAAAACACTTAGCGAACTCAACATCCTGTAAGCAAATAGGTCGGGTAAAAAAAAAACACCTGTAAGCCTAACAGTTAGCCAGGTATGCAATGTGTGTATTTGAGAGCCAAGACTGTCTGCGCTATGATGTGGATGGATGAAGCAGTCAACAAAGATAGAACAATACTAAGCCGAGCAACCATGGAAACGGCAACTTATTTGATTTGACCCCACTCACACACTCACACCTGTTTGCTTGCAGACAGGTTAGAATTACCTTGAATCTACCTCCCGCCTTTGTCACATGCAAATGATAATGACACAAACGCCAAACACATAATTTAGAGATACTGTCAGAACAAGTCAGCTGAAATGCAATGTAAACTGTTATATTCCCAATGCTAATCCACTTATTTATGAATTTGTACAAGAAGCATCAAGGTTGAAATGAGGACATTTGGTAAACAGAAACATACAAAACTAAGAGTTTCCAAAGATAGGATCTTGTTTCCTCCTTTTATCTTTAGTAATGGGCGGCTGCTTGCTGACCCAGGTCAACATGACATAAGGTTAAATAAAAAAAATCACATTTTGGGACACTCTATTATAGGTTGCGCTACTGCATGAAAATAAACACCACTCAAGGTTTTCTGAATGGCCTGCTAAATTAAAAAAAAACCTTTAGTGACTATGTCCCGCACCTCTGTCCTCACAGCTTGGAAATCCCTCCCTCTGTTCCTTCTATTGTGTGAAGTGCTAACATGACTCCATCCCTTATCAGCCTTATCTGGCCAGGCTGATGACAAAGGGAGGACAATATTCACTTTGGGAGTTCTGCTTGGTGATAAAAAAAGAAGCTATGTGACACTGGGAGGCTGGCACTTCTGCAGTCAGTGTAAGACGGAATATTTTCTCTGCATGTTTGGGTTGAAATATAAAAATTCATCCTTCCTTCTCAGTGTGGGGTAACTTATTTCCTGCTTTAGACTACTTGGAGAAACTCCAAACTTCCTCAATGCGGATCACGGTTGTGCTGAGGTCTCTCTGCTTTTGAGGGGGGAAGCCAGGAAATCACAGCACTTTGTGTGTTAGAAGTGAAACTCCGATTATACTCTTTGCAAAAACACGAACATAAGAATAAGTAGTGTGTGCATGTGGGAATGATGCACTGTTAGATGATAATAGAATATAATGTATTGAGAGAAAAATGGCACCTTTTAAAGCTCTGACCCCATACATAAGGGTATGCAATTGTGTGCATTGTGTATGTGTGTGTGTGTGTATGTGAGAGAGCAGTAAAACTAAGGCAGTAACACGTTGATGATTAACCAGGATGAACACAAATCACAGCCTCTACTCACAGAGGGCAAAGATTTACAGATACAGCGAGACTAAATCAAAATTGTGACAGCTCATGCATGATTCTTCTATCCTGGTTTCACCTCTTTCTAGCAGGGAAAGAGGAACAGCGAACATCTATTAGGTAAAACATAATCTAGACAAGACTGGTCGAGCTCAGACTCAGAGTTCACCTGGTCAAAGGTTGTGAACTTAGGAGGAAAGAACTGGCTGGCCATTGCAAAGGAAGTAAGGGTTTTATTGGTAGCAGCGCCAACATGTCAGGTTAAAGTGTTCCAGTTATAGCTGAGAAGATTACCCATTACATAGTGTTTATGATTGATAGAAGCACCTGATTCTCCAAGCATTAACAGCAGGTAACCGGGGACTGAACTGCTTTATGGTCGTACAGAAAAACTATTTCCGGCCTCTTCCACTTTATATCATGAGCACGAATCAAGCACGGCTAGTATATTCCATATTAAAGCAAATAGAAAGTATTAAAGTTCCTCAGCAAGAAAGAGGAAGAACACTAAATGCTTTCACACTGCTAACTTGTTCTTCTCAGGGGTTTTATTCAGAAGTTTGGGAGCTGACGGACTTCTCTCCGGCTCCTTATTTAGTGCAGATTATAAAACAAAGTAAACCAAAGTGTGTAGGAAACAATGCACCCCTTAGTATGCTGTTCTATCCTGAGTGACACTGATCCAGGCCTCAGGACGCCGCCATATTAGCAGTATACACACACACACACACACGCACAATCGTGGACACATGGAGGCGATTGACTCACGGCTTTTACACAGCAGCCCCTAACAACAGGGTCACAAGGCAGCAGAAGAGGATCACTGAAACAACAGTGCTTACAAACAGCCAAATCCTGCTGTTCTCACACACACAAAGTTACATCAGCTGAGTCACGCAGAAGGTATTCAAAAGTAAGGCAAGTCCTTTGATGTAAATACTGACAAAATTTAGTTACAAGTTATAAAATCTTGTTATTGGAAATGAAAGACACAGAGGGAGAGAGAGAGGGAAGTGAGAGTGAGACAAAGCAGAAATCCTGAGCAGGATTTCAGAGCAGATGGGATGTTGGTTAAGAGGAGAAGAGGAAGGAGAAGCAGAGAGTGGTCAGATGGGAGGATAGCTACCCCTGTTGCTTCACAGCGCTCCAGTGCTTGGCCGCCTGCTATGGGAGTGTTACTCCACCTCCATGAGAGACAGGTACAGCAGGGCACTGAGCACAGAGGCCGGCCTCCTTCTGCACACACATGCACACACTGAGCCCAGGCTGCAAGCATGAGAGGTGAGGAGGGTGGAGCTAAAACAGGTACTTGAAGTTAATGTGTGTGCGGCGTGCCTGTGTGTGTGTGTGTGTGTGCGTGTGTGTGTGTGTGTGTGTGTGTGTGTGTGTGTGTGTGTCCAGGGGTGGATCCTTCAAGAAGGTCAGCAGGAAGTTCTTTTCCTGAGAAGATCTACTAGCTTACACATAAATACTAGCAGCCTGATTGTACTCACATACTTCAAAAAATGCACTATTAGATACACGTATTTAGATTTACTGCTGAGTCTGTTCACTTTATCATCATAGTTGCAGGCTCTGATTTGTGAATGACAAGACAAAATAAAAACTTTACATGGCTGTGTTAGTACTTGATTCTGATTGGTCATTACTTGGTACCATTTCATAGCAACAATTGACTATTTCTTAATGACAGACCACAGCTAATTTGGGGGGGCTTTTTCACCCCTATTTAGAGGTAGAACGGTGGATAGAGGGGGGAAGTAGGAGGAAAGAGAGGGGAATAAGAAGTGGATCTAAACCTGAGCTGTCTGCTTTCAGGACTGTTGCTGCGTCTGAGTTACCTCAGAAGTCTAAAAATGACGTCACACCATTGTTATGGTTAACAAGTTGAAAAAACAAAACAAAATAGGAGGCGAAAACAAGATGGCTACATGCAAGAAAGTTATTTTAGCGCTTGCCTTGTATTAAATATAAGGCAAGCGCTTAAATAACTTTCATAGATGTAGCCATCTTGTTTTAGGCCCCCAATTTTGCTTTTTTCCAACTGACTTCCGAGGTAACTCAAATGCATCATGTAGCCTTTATAAATGGGGCACCCAATTCAGCTCCTCGACTAAATTGGTGCTCCCTAATCACTGACCTTGGGGGACTCGCTGTAATTACATCAAAGTGCAGAAACAAGAACGTTAAAATTGACATCTGTTTGATTACAGGAAGAAAACCAAGAGAACAGCTGAAGACGGGGGCAAAAACAATAAAACCGATAAATGCTCGCCCTGATGAAGTCCCATGCTCACTTGACATTGTCTATGTAAAGGACAATGCATGACACACAGAAAGTTATGTAAATTAGAATCCTAACAGGGTCAGACTAGACCCTGACTACCCATTCATTATGCATTACCCTACTTATCAACCAGCTACTGACTACAGTAAAAAAGAGTGATTGAAAGACAATTCTACTGATCTAAAATCAATATTGGTACAGAATATTTTTAAAATATATTTTTGTGACACCTTTGACCAGACCTGGATGAAAAACAGGGCCACATGCTTGAGGACGAGTTTCTGTACACAAAGCGCATGACTTAACCACTAGGCCAAACTTGCGCCCCGCCTATTGAACTTTTACACTGAAGTATTGGTAAATTTATGATGTTGTTCCTCTTGCAACACTGATAAATGCACACCAAAGCAGCTGCCGCACAAATCGACAAACCCTGACCCTGTGACTGATGAGCAGGAGGAGAGAGGGGCTGATGGGAAGAGTAGTTTTGTGGGTTTTAGGGTTTTTCTGCTTAGAGATGCAGAAATCAGAAAAAAACAAGTCAGGAAATGTTCAAACTGGGGTCTGAAAAACTTCCTCATATTGTTGTCAGAAGGAAAATCTGCTTGGGTTCTGGTGTGATTAATGTCATGTCAGCACAAGATGATGAGAGTGTGTAAGTGTAAGAGTAAGTGGTGTGTGTAGCCGGGCATGTGCACTTTTTTTTTTTTTTGTGCCTAACAACGGAGAACATGTGCCTAGCACAGCTTAACTTAAGCAAACAACACACACCTTCCTGGACAGTCAAGAGAGCAGATAGAGAGACGACTGAGAAAAAAACAGCCAGACCAGGGCACAAAATTTAAGAAGAAAGTTTCTGTCTGAAAAGTTCTTAAAGTGCTCCGAAAGGGGGAGGAAAAAGAGGAGTGAGGGACGGAGAGAGCAGATGGGGTGAAAGGGAGAGAGAGATGAAAGTCACAGTGTGTGGTCAACAGTGCGCTGAGTTTCAGCTGCTATTGAAACCAACCCCACTCCTTAACAACTGAGTAAACAGCAGAGGAAAAAGTCTTTTTGCATAAAGACCTGAGAATGATAGATAGATAGAGGAGAGACAGAGAGAGAGAGAGAGAGAGAGAGACCATTAAAGCATGTGATAGAGAGATATTTGTGGACAGGAGCACATTGTATTTGCTTGCAAAACCAACCAGTTATTACAAAACTTGCAAAATAATTACCCTGAATTAGGAATGACTAAATCCAAAACTAACTGGAAAAAGGTGTGTCTACAAAGGTGTGGGTGTTAAAACATGTACAGAAAGATGTGAGCACTTCTAAAGGAACTTTGCATAATCATTTCACTTTATGCCAATGTGAAGAAAACACTGATTTCTGGTCTGAGCAAGATCACAGATCAGTAACAATCAAGGCCTCCTTCAAGCCAGAGGGTCAGTCTTCATCAAAGATTAACTGTCAGTCATCAGTGAGAGCCAATCAGGATCCAGAAAGACCTCAGAGGGGTCAGGTGTTCTGGTGACCGCACAGCAGCACTATCAGGTCAACGGTTAATCGTTGAACCCGACACCAAAAAACAAAAGATGGAGGGGAAAACATTTACTGTCTGTCACTTCTTAATCATTGCACACCCTCTCTCAATCATTCGTCACGCACAAAAATATGAAGTTTCACCACAGACAAACACATCTAGAAGTCTCATCGGTAACACTTTACAATCACCATCACTTATAAATGTTAAAACGACCATTTACCAATGGTAAGCAGATAGTTTAATAATGTTTAATCATCATTTATAAACAGCATATAGACCATAAATAAATTTTAAATTTTAAATTTTTAAAAACCTAACCCTAACCCTAACATTAACCCGAACTTTAAAATAACCATCTAAGTAATGTTTATAGGTGGTTTATAAACCACTTATTAATCATTTACAAAGTGCTACTGAGACACATTTTAATCTAGATGTTTTAAAACCAACATTTTAACCCTATATAAACCTTTAATAAATAGTCCATCAATAATTAATGAAAATTAGTCATAATTTCAGTGCTTGGTAATGGTAAAGTAACTAATAACTTCCATTAATAAATTCTGTTTGCCATTTATATTTGGTCTATATGCTGTTTTTAAGTGATGATTAAACATTAATAAACAATCTATTTACCATTTAAAAATTATGTTTATTATAAAGTGTTACCGTCTTATCTTGATACCTGCAGACAGTTTATTTATGGTTTGAAGTAATCATCACAAATGCAGGGACACGATAATTTGTAGATATTGTGCAAACATCAAATCTCATTCTACTTAGTTCTTAGATCTAATTAGAGTTCACTTCAAATCCCATCATCTACGGAAAAACTGGTCCTCACCCTACACACACAAACTACACACTAAGCAACAGACAGTTATTATACATCTAGTTTTTTTTAGACCTAATTTCAACCATCTAGATTCTGTATATTTGTAGATGGAATTTAGACGTTGCACTTTAACCCATTATTTGATAACTATTTATTTCAAAAAGCAACTGTGAGTTGCACAACTGACCTCCAAGTACTTCACCAAAATAATTACAATACACAGTGTCATATAGATATAGCCAACTAGTCAAAACTTATACGTCTAAAAAACTTTCATTTTTAGACCTGTTATAGCCTGATTTTAGACCTGTCGTCTAAGCTACATTTAGACGTCTATTAGACCTCGTTTAGACCAAAAATGCTCAGTGGGTCCACACCTCTGCTTTATACCCACAGCAAACACGTGAACAAGCAAGAATAAAGTCAGTGATAAAGCCATGCTGGTAATCAGTATCTTAGCGGCGGCCATCTTTCATTACAAGTCAGCCATATTAGTCAATGAGTGGCATGTCACAAGACCGGAGAGCTTGATGTTCATTTCTGCGGAGCGATACAACCGTTCTGAGTATGCTGACGTGTTTGATCTCAAACTGTGCTTTCCAGGAAGAAGTTCCTCTCAGATTCAACTAACAAACCTCTGAAATGATGTTAAATAAAACTTACAGTTGTGTTTTTTAATGGCAGTGTATACACCTCTAGTAATGATAGACAGTTATCATGAACTCAAATCATGAATTCAAAACAGGAATAGTTGTTAAGTGGCTGATATTAAACCGACTAACGAAAGACAACACAGAGAGAAGTAAGTTTCGGTGCCTTTGGGTCGCATTATTTGTAAGAGTCAGCTACAAAAAGTGACCATAGCAAAGTGAAACCTTGAACCTGCGAGAGGAGAAGTGAGAACTGTGTGACCCCTCAGCACACATGATGTCCTCGCACAGTGGTGGTTCACACAGCCTGACTGTCAGCACTCTGACTCCAGCAGGATGAAGAGTTATGTCACAATTAATGGAGCCATATTACCTCTTTTCATTTGTCTTTGAACGGTTTGCTGGAGCTCAAATATCATAGATTACATACAAATGATACATATGTTGATTCTTCTGCTGGTTAATGTTAGAAAGTGAAAATGTCAAAGAGTTGCTCACACATCATTTGGAACTTCCACTGATTTTATATTAACTGAGATCTCTTCTACTTTTAGAATTACATCCTCGCAGCTCTATCACGGTTTCAGCGCTGTACAAGACTTAAACCGACGTTTTAATCAAGGGCATGATGAGGAAAAAGTACAGACAAGTATTTGCTTGTCATAATGAATTTGCAGAGCACAAATAGAAGAATCTGGAGCACTAGAACCAGCTCACTATTTGGCTGTCGGATATGCAAATTTGCTGTTCAGTTTGCAGCTGGAATTTTTAGTATTTTTTGCCCAGTTTCTAAAATCTATTCTCAGGCGTTAGTCACTAACACAGCTAGACACTAACCTCATGTTGTTCAGTCTCTTAGTAAGTTTCACTTTTTCTCTGAGGACACTTAAACGAAAACCTAAATGTCTTTTAGTACTTTCATTTTTAATGCTAATTGAATTTGCAGTCAACTTAACTTAAGTTTCAGCTCCGTCAAATGGCGTGACTCCAAACTTAACAGCGGTGGCTCTTGAAGCTTTTTCACTGGCAATCAAACATGTGAGTAAATTATTTTTGTGTGGGTGGAGAAATGACTCCGTAGAACAGTTTTCTGGCAGAAATCAAAATTTGAGACTTCTAGGTCATTCCCTCCTTGTCCTCTCTTCTCCCTTCCATGTACCTGTCACCCTCATTCCTCTGGTTCAGTCATGCTCACAGGAGTGCAGCAAGACGGGAGGGAAGGGGAGGGAGAAGAAGGGAAGGTGTGGAGAGGAGGGCAAGCTGGGGGGTGAGGAAAAGGGGATGAAATGAAGGGAGAAAGTGTGCGGGAGGTTAGCGGACGAAAAGACCAGATGTAGAGGAGCAAATGAGGCCAGAAAATAGGCCTCCCACAGAGCTGATAAGTCATTCAGAGTGAAACCGGCCTGAAGAATTTCAGGTCATCAGGAGTGCGTAAGTGACCGCCTCCGACTTCACAACAGAGGGATGATTCCAGCTCATTTACTCTAGGAGCCCTCCTGCCTTCAGGACCTTCACATTTGCCCACTAAAACCACAACCATTGGGCTCAAACACTCCTGAATCAAACAAAACAGAGAGCCTGCAACTTCACATCTCCTTTTTTTACTTCAATAACAGCATCTATCCAAACTTGAACCCGTCCAAGTCATAATTAAAGCACTGAATTAAGGTTCACTGAACGTTACCACATACAATATGTCCCCTCAAACAGTCACACAGTCATTACTAATCATAAGAGCTGCTTTAGCTTTAGCATTAGCCAAAAGGGGCTTTTCTTCCCTTGACAAACACATTCCTCAGGCTAATCAGCTAGCCTGTTCAAGGCCACAGCAGACATTGTTTCAGACAATTACTACTGACGTTGACAGTGTCCCGCACTCGTGATAGAGGCTTTAGTGGCCCCCTGAGCGTGAGTGTGTGTGTGTGTGGAGAAACCAGCAGGGTTTAAAGCTGAGGAGCTGCTGATATTTGATGCACAGAACAATAAAACACTCAAAACGCTTGGATATAATCTCTCTCTTTTTCAGCATCTCTCAAACTACACAGGCTTGCAAAGGAGTTAACCTTCATACACACTTTTATAATCAAACAACGGCCCTCCCTGTCGGCAAACACACGTCTGGAGAACGTGTGTCAGACTCCTACAATGGAACAATCGCAGAAACTTGGGAATGAAGTGACATTTCTGTCGACACAAAAGCGCTGTTCTAACACAAGTCAGAAAAGTTCTTTAAAAAATTCACTTCAAACTTCAAAAATGTCAAATCTGGCTTATTTTTTTACCACTTATTTGGTTTTTTAATGAGCCCCAGACGTATGACAATTTGCTCTAGGTCACTGGATTCTTTGTTGCCGCCTGTCACGCACAAAACTAAACACACACACACAAATGACACACAACAAACAGCTCACCTAAGAGGGGTAAAAGTCCACAGATTATATGATGAACAACCCGGAAGTCTGTAGGTTAAAGCAGCCCTACCATTAAGGTACTGAAGCACTTTTTATCCCCCACCCTAAACACACATATGCACACACACACACACACACAAACACTCACACACTCTCACATACACATACAGTGCCATGCCACTCCACTGGTTCCACTGGTTTCATTGTAAGGAGATCTTGATCTCCATTCCAATCACTGATTGGTTTAAGTACCTTTTGTTGTCTGTTTCCAATCATTTTTGCTCTGTTGAAGCACTGATACAGGGAGTCTGGTCAACTTAACTTTACCTCTGTTAAAAAATAAATCATGTTATATATATAAAAGAAAGACGGGCTGCTTTGCTGAAGACCGTCTTACCTGGAAGGCTGATATAGGAAATCTTTACAACATACAGAAGTGATAAAAAGTGCTCAGGTAGAGTTAAAGTGTACAAGCCACTGACATAAAAACATTCAACAGTTTTAGATTCAAGAGAAATTTAAAGGACACAAAAAATACGTGTGTGTATCAATATCAACAGTTTACCTGTATCCCAAACCGAGGAGCGCAGACAAACTGGCCAAGAAGACACAGCTGGTGCTTTTTCAAGCTTTCTTGAGTCACTTTACACATTCACACCTGTCTCCAGAACTTCACCTTCTTCTGACTGTGACAGACTGCAGCAGTAAGTAAGAGTCTCCTTACCTGCCTGTGTGTGACTGACTGTTTGAGTGAGGAGGTAAGCAAAGGTGGTTTAGTGTTTACTCATTCTCAATTGCCACAAGAGAGAGAGAGAGCGAGAGAGAGAGAGAGAGGTGGGGCCACTAAGGAACAGGTAACCCCCCCACCTGTTTTCTTCCTCCTACAATCTCTCTCTCTCTCGCTCTTAGCTGATAAGGAATGAGACAAAAGGGAGGGGAAAGAATAAAAGAGCAGAGGGTGTGACAAAAGGTGATGATTGACCACAATGAGGGAAAAGTCATGAGTTTGTGTTGGAGATGGACGGCGTTTATAGATATGTCATGTGCAGGTGTGTGCACATCCATCATCAAGTGAAAGTCACAACCGCTCAAAATATCTTCCACTTTCTATTTTTTTTCTCCATTTATGACACGAAACAGCTGAATGTTTTCTTAAATATACTCATGTGCTCACAGTGGCAATCCTTATACGCTAATATTAGGTGCAAAACTGTTGTCTGTTGTCCCTCAGTGGACAGTAAAGTTTCAAGTCTTCGAATGGTCATTGGTAATGAATTCAAAACAGCTTGTTATCAGCTTTATACTTTAGTGTTTGCCTCTGTTTTGCTGCCTTGACTGTAAATATGTCGACTGAACGTGGGTGGATTATCCATTTGAACTTCATCGCCATACGCCCACTTACAAACAGATTTTTTCCACGTTTAAAATTAAGATAAAATAGAAAAAGCTGATTTTAGAGTGAAGTTTAGTTGTTCAGTTTGAAAATTGATGATTTGGTGGGTTTTATTCACAATGTAAACCAACTTAGTTTTTAATGTTAGCTTGCCAAGATGCTAATAGCACTTAAAAAATAAGGGCGCGGCACATTGGATCTTCTTTTGGAGGTATCTGGGCGTGATGAAAGTAACAGATGACTGTGAAGAGATTTAATCCTCTTGGATTCATGAATGTTTCTTCAAATTGACGCCATAATAGTGGCAATTTGGACTTGAGTCGTGGTTAGCCATAAGCCTATCTGTGCCCATCAAAACAGAGTGAGTCAAAGTGTAAACTTTATCATGATCTGTTATCTGCGCTGGCATTATTTGTTTACCTGAAATGTTTCAATACTCATCATTTCCTTATTTAGTTTCTTCTTCCTCTAGATAACTTGTAGGCTAGACTTGTCATAACTCAAACAGAGTTGGGAGAGAAACTGTAAATCAGCAGAACCACTTTAAGGCCTCGGGCCTTTTGGGATAAACCTGACAAAGCCTGACTTTGGTTTAAATACAACCGAGCAGAGTTTTCAGCAGGTTTCAAGGATAAACACAGTATTTTATCAGCCTGTAGTTAAAGGTTTTCTTTGATTTCAGACTGAAGTTCAAACAAGTTTAAAAAGTCCATCACACATTTATGGTTTTTGCAACGGTGTGCTAACAGATGTCTTCTGATCAAGCCAGGTGTTAATGAGGCGTGAACCCAAAATAACTAGAAGTGGTTATCAAAAAAAAAAACACACAAAAAACTGAAAACTTTCTTCTTGGGTGTCTTGGTGTGAATTGTTAGTCATTCATTGGCGATAAAGAGAACGCAGTCCAGACTGAAGCTGTCACATTCCAGTCATATTTACCAGAAACACAAAAAGAAGAGGAAGGAGACCACACTGACAATGTGTAGACGTGTGTGTAACCTTAAACAACCCTTAAAGAGAGCGGGGCCCGTAAGCTCTTACGAGGTGTCGTTCTACTACAGCATGTGTGTGTGTGTGTGTGTGTGTGTGTATGTGTGTGTGCACTATTGCCATTGTGCAAGTGACACATTAACCAATGGCTCTGTTAATGAAGCACATGCAATCACTTATTCTTGCTTATTTTGCAACACAAAGACACACACGCGCACACACACACACACACACACACACACACACACACACACACACACACACAAACAAAGAGTACATGTAGAAAGGCAGCTCAAAGTTTACAGGTGGAGAAATCTCTTTCAGTCGAGAGTAATCAGGTTAGAGTGAAGGCCGATACCACCATAAACTCTTTTTTAAGGTGGTAGTGACTGTGATTAAAGGACCAAGATTACTTTATTACTAACACACTGCAACACACATACACACACCCTGCTACACATACTGTATGTGTCAAGACAAGTAAAGACAAACCCACTTGTTAAACCCTATAAAACAGACAAGTCTCCTTAGTTTGTGTCACGGTTTCACATCAGATTAAGAAACACAGGTGTAAATATCTTGGAAATTTTTAAACATATAGACAAAAAAAGGATAATAATGGTGAATTTGTGAATTATTTTGTACAGCAGTATACCACCTAATATAACTGTGTACACTAATGACTAACATGACAAGTAGAGTGTGTGAAACTAATTTGTTATCACATGATAACAAATGGAAATCGTCAATATTCCACTACAAAGTCCAAACTATTTCTACAGTGTTTAGTTTCACAGCTCCTCACAACATTTATTTTTACATTTTCAAGAAAGACAGGCGCTAATTTTCTGTGATCACATTGTACAATTATATAATCATGTGTCCTTACAGTGCAATTAAAGTAACTTAGAAGAGTAAATGACTGTTGCATCATTACAATGTTTCTCCTGTGAGTAATAGTCTCCACTGATTCTCATTTTAAACACTGTGGAAAATCAGTAAATTTTATTGGTATTTGATTAAAATATGGACTTAGACTCAGGAGTTACCTATAGATTTCTGTAGAGGGGTCATGCAGCCTAACAAAGACGGTTGCCATGTGGGAAATGCTGACTCAAGCCATTTTGAGGTCAACTTAGACTCAGGCAAAGAGGGGGGAGATGGAGACGCTTCCTGGCAAACAACTAAAATCTGCTTGCCTGTCAGTCAACTCTGCCAAGGCCCTGACTTTGCAAATCCATGCATAACTGTTAACATTAAAACAGATGAATAACATAAAAATCAACTCAAGTAAGAGTGTGCACCAGTAAAGGTACGAGCTATTGAGTTTAAAACTGTTTTTTTTTGGCACCAGGCTGTAGACATGATTGTGTCGATATGTAATTCTGCTGCAAATATGAGAGTTATAGGAGATTCCTTGGCTTTTGGCGTCAGCCTCCAGTGGACACTTCAGGTACTACAATTGTCTGCACTTCTTCATGATTTCCACACAACAGCTTAAACACAACTGAAAAACATCTCTGTGATAAAGTCAAGAGGTCACGCACCAATGACAGATGACCTTGTTGACGATGGCCATCAGGTTGATGCCTCCTGAGGCAGAGAGAGACAGACAGACAGAGAGGAAGAGAGGGACATGTGGGAACTAGCTCAACAGGTCGGATATGATCCCGTACGAGAGGTTAAATTTCTGAACACAAACAGTCTTTGAACGGTCACTGAGACAGAAAGAGGGTGTTCAAATCTGAAAGAATATCTCCTGTGTACGTTTCTCACTTTGTAACAGCTGTGAAAAGTCAAATCGTTGCACATTATTACACCCTCTAAACTTTAAACATGAGGTCTAAAAATCGTATAATCAGAAACACAGAGGGAGCCAGTGTGAACTGAGTTGTATTGTTTGTACGTTCTTTACAAACTGTCAATGGAAACATAAACAGTACAGAAACGTCAATGACCTGAGATGTGTTTCCTTCCTGCTGGGCATGTGAGACAGCTGAAGAGCCTCAGCAGGAAAAGGCGCTTTTTTAAAAAGGAATAGAAACACCGCAGGCAGCAGATTCACACTGTCAGAGTTTGTAACACTTTGGATCCTCGTGCGGCTGTGACCGTGAATCTTTACTGTCAGTCTGTCTTTATCTCATCACGACTGTGCCTATCTCTATAAATGCCCCAAATTACTTGTGTATCTCGTTCCTTCTTTATCTACTTTTTACGGTGTAATGATTATCTAAAAGTGGAGGTCAAGAAAATATGTCAATGCTCAAAACAAAAGAATTAGGCCAAGTGACGGGAAATGAAGGAGTGTAACTGATATAACCTGAAATAAAAGAGACAAGGACAACTGTTTAAAGGAAATATTTGGATCTTTTTCACTCCAATAAACAATCTAATCATAGGTGCCATTTAGAGGACTGTTATGTTCTCCAGAAGCAAACACAGGGGGTCCCAGTGTGAGCACAACTCACAGGTCATTGTGTGAGTGTGTGTGTCTCTGCTTTGAGCTGACCATTGTTGAGTTTGTAATTTCTGTTCTGCCGAAAAAATTCCTGTCAGACTCCACTTGTGCCACGAGGGAAAAGTCTGCTCTTTGTTAACACTTCCCCCTTCAAAGAGTCACCTCTCAACCTGCGGCTCCTGAGTCGCTGTCAACCAATCACAACGTCTCGCTCATGATTAACAATTATGACTCAGCAACAAAAGAGCACCCCCCCTTTCCACACACACACACACACGCACAGGAGCTGACATTAAAGTCCAACTTTTTTTTTTTCTTCCATCTCGATGAAAGAAGTTTCCCCTTTTGCCTAGAATTCAGTCAGCTGACACTGCAGTCATGTGGCTTGTCACCACCCAATGGCAGAACAGGTTCTTTGTGTGTTTAGGTGCTACAGTCACTGCCAAGGTCAAGGAGACGAGGAAGGAGGAAAAAGGAGAGAGAGAGAGAGAACAAGAGAGAAACCTGAAGGATCTCTGAAGAACTACAAGCAAGCACTGAGATAGAGAGTCATCTTATGGTGTGACTTCTAACCACACTGTACCCTTTTATTATCCAGCCAGTAACCATTGTTGCGTCAACATGAGTGACTCTCCTGTCTCTCAACGCTGAGATAACATGCCACCTATCATGTGACTATGGTATAACCGACGTGTAGGTGGGATTATAACACAGACTAGGCTGGAAAATGATCAAATCTGAGAGCGCAAGTACACAATTAAATGCAGAAGTGTTCAGATTCTATGCAGGAGTAATCCCACTTAAGAAAAACTATCAATTAATGAAACCCCAAGAATAATTTTAGCATTGAAAAAAAGCATAGAAATTTTTCTGTCATTTTATCAGATCCCTGTCACATTCATGTCAACTAAGTCTTCATAAATTTGCGAATCATTGTCTTAATTAATGGACTGGTTGTTTCATTAAACTGGAGTCTATCGTGTGTGCGTAACAGTGAGAAGTAGTTCTGCTCAGAGAGTAAGATATATGCAAATTTACTGTCTAGCAATCTTAAACCTGCTGTTTGGAACGTCCCTCATTTACCAGAAGGTGTATTGTTGTCTTACACGGACACAGACACGCATACGTGCAATAACACCGAGAGGAGAAAGTAAACAGGTGGATAAAAGCAGGTGAAATTCAACATAGGGCATTACCAGCCACATACACACACACACACGCCCCTCAAGTGTAGGTTAGTACACACACTCACACACAATAGATTTACAGTAAAAAAATACAACAACCTAGAAATTTAAACCCTTTGAGATCAACTACTTCACTGCAGACTGAAGCCACTGATAGATGGTCTGACACTGAAGAGAGGGAAGGTGAGAACCATGTATGAGAATAAAAACTTGTTTTTCAAATGGGTTTCATAAAAAGAAAACACCCAAGCAGCTGAGACATATCTTTGTTTACCGTTATGTCTATTGAGGTGTCTTTTATAACAGCTGTTTCAGATTACTTTGACCACGAGGGCGAAGTGTCTCCACATGGCGATTTTTTTTTTGCTCCAGAGGGTTTAAACTGACACATGTACAAGTTTATTTCACCGCTGAAAACAGCCTGAAAAAAGTACATGCACTGATTAAGTCTCATTCCCTTTCTTAACCCTTTAATATTGACACATTAATATTAAAGCTCCCATGAGGAGTTTTAAAACAAAATTTATATTGATGCCTTCTGACAATATTCAAAAGCAAATAAAACCATCAGCTACAAGACCAAAGGTTTTAATGTTCTTAATTTTGATGACTGACACCAGTAAGAGGGGAGGTGTCAGTCTAACAGATGAGGAAACAGCATTTTTTAAAATTCCCACTTTAAATGCTCACGATGAATGATACATTAAGTCAGCAGGATGAGGATTTTTCATTACTAAAGTATGTTGTAGCCAAAATTAGCAAAGATTGCATCAAATTGACGAAAACCAAAAGTTCCTCACAGGAGGTTTAACACTATTATATTACAACTACAGTTTGTAGGATCAGTATGTCTGACATGAACATTATTGTGGTTGGAAAAGGCAAAATAAGACATACTGATTTAGACTTTGTAGGTCTAAATTAAGTTAATCCTGTTTTTATTCACCATATTTGTACAGCTAGAGTTACACATTGTACTGATTATCAGCACAGTAGTCATTAGTCAATATCTTTTGGTGTTATCACTCCATTCCTCTCTCTTTCTGCAGATGGCTGTTCACCAGTGACACTGGTTCTGCCCAGGGTTTCTGCCTGTTAAAAGGAAGTTTTTCCTCACTGCTGTTTCCAAATGTGCTAGCTCATGAGAAACCATGCTGGGTCCTTAAAAAATAAAGTGATCAAATAGACTTGTGACTTGGCACTATAAAAGCAAAAACTCATCGATTGATTGATGCCATATGGTCAAATAGATCAGAGTCATGACAATCCCCCCATGATCAGACAGCACTTGAAGTCTTTTAAATCCAGGTGTTAACAAGGTCACTTAGAGCGGTGGTTCTCAACTGGTCTCACTCTGGGACCTACATTTTCCCATGGTCCTTAAGTCGTGACCCTCTTTTATAAAATTCAAACCAAGCAAATTTAATTTTTATATAAAAAAAAACTTTAAAGACTGTAATCTTTAACATAAATCCACTTGTTTTACTGAGTAAAGTGCATTTCAGAGCACATGAAGGGGACAACATGAGGATGAACATTACTGAAGTTTGCTTATACAGAAAATATCAACATGGCAACTTTTTGTCAGATTTGTGAATGGGTTCACAAAGTTGGTCTGTCCGTGGAACATTCCATTCTAGCAGAGTGAGGGGGGGGGGGGGAGTAGGGTATTTGTTTGTGTGTGTGTGTGTGTGTGTGTGTATATGCGTGTGTCTGCATGTGTGTGTGTTTGGGGTTGGATTTTATCTTCGGATGCCGCGTAAAACGCTGTCTTTCCCTCAAAACCTCACACACCTCAACACACTTCCACACATCCTTCAACACCACTAGCATTTACTTACCTTTCCTGCCAGAATCAAATGACGCCCCCCCCTACACACACACACACACACGCACACACACCTTGCCTCTTGGCCTGCTGTCCAGACAACAAGCCCATTGTGTGCAGCGACAGGTATGCATAGAGAAGCCCGTTTGATAAAAAGGCAAATGGACGCTCCGTCTTCAAAGATAACATAACATCTTTTCAGGTCTCATTTTTAAATATTCATGTTGTAATAGTGACATTTGCACATGTAAAGTAAACTGTTATGAGTCACTGCTACCATTCAAATTTACTATTTGAGGATCCCTCCTTTCCTACGTAAATTAAATAAAAGTTTTGTAGATTTTGGATTAAACTCTATCACTCACAGGTTTTAACTAAACTAGGTGTGCCTTCAAAGACAGTATAGAGAACAACCATGATCACAGTAATCAGCGTAATAATAATAAGTAGTGTACAAAACGGTAAGTAGAAAAATAATGAGTGATTTGACTAAAAGGAAACCTATCCTTTGCTGCGCCTGAACACTCATCACACACACACACACACACACACAAAAACTATTACTGCAGGAGGAGGAAACTCGCTGTGAAATGAAGCATAATAACAGCATTAGTGTATGAACAGGTTGAAGGAGAGAAGAGAGGCTGGCTGGCTGGATACAAGGGGAGAGGGAAGAAGAGGGGGATGCAGGGGGTAGAGGTTATGTAGGGGTCAAAGGTTGGGCAGCAGAAGGTGGGGGTGTAAAGGGAAGACGGGGAGAGGGGGGGCGACTGTTGATGCAGCCTTCACAGTGAGTGGACACGGCCTGTTTACACACTCAACAGTGAGCATCGGCCCTGCCATGAGAGACGGTTGCACAATGTCTCATTTCAGCTCATGCAGTATATTGCTGTCAGTAAAAAAACGACAGGGTTTTTGCACAAGTTTGGCGATCTGGTCACAATATTGATTCTCTTTGCCTGGGCTTCTCAGGGTATTAAAATAGATTTTGATACTTTTGGTACTGTGGTATTATGGATAATACTGTATTTTTCTGACTGTAAGGTGCACTTAAAATCCTGAAATGTTCTCAAAAATTGACAGTGCGCCTTATGAGCAGCAATGTGCAGTTTCCATGCAGCTGTGTAGCTTTTTTTTATGGTTTCCCTTCATGTAGAGTTTGATATCCTTCTAGCTAACACATTAAAATATCTCTTTCTGCATTTTCTACCAGGTATATTGGTGTGACACATCCTACATTTTAGCCCTGAGCATGTAATTAAAAGTGTGTCTTCAACACTAAATTGTACAGCAAATGTTTATGAAGGTGTCGATGTTTTTTTAAGTATTAAGCTAAAAAATAAACAGTCTGTAAAAAACAAAAAATCTTATTTAAAATATCAAACAACCAAGACAAAATCAAGACACGAGCCACTGGAAAGCCGCAGCTGTAGTGTCATCATTTCATAATGATATATGCTTGAGGAGATCTCGTGGTCTTGTGGTGTGGGAATGATGAGATTTGTCAGTCATGAGCAAATGCAGCAGCGTCACATTGTTGTCCAGGCACTTAAACTCCTGATGGAGGAGGTGTGGTCACCAAAGAGTGTGACTTTGACACAAGTTTAAATGACCTCAACCCAGGAGGGATTTATTCACCGTCTTTATTATTCCCTTTAATCAAGCCTCAATCTAAATGTGAGAGTGCATAGGTGATGATGTATAGGTGGGTGGGGTCCTGCCTCACCTTGCTTCCCTCATCCCCTTCCCCCTGTGTCATTCTCTACAAATACTTGTTACTAATACTAGTTCTTGAGATACAGTATTCACGAAAAAGGACATGACCTTTGACCTTTGACAGTTGTCAGGTTGACTAAAATAATTATCACTTAACTCTTGGGTCCAGTGAGATATTATCAGAATAATCACATTCATAAGGACAAGACCAAGTACTTTTGTTGTGTTAGTTCAACATCTAAACCTGCAAGTTTTGGCAAATGCATCATTTGAACTTCTGCGGTGAGTCTATCCTTCATCCCCATGAGTCCTGGTGGACATTCTTTCAAGGGTGAGTACATTCCCTTCTGGTGTTTCTGAGATGTTACATTCACAAAAAATGGAAGGTTGTATGAAGTTACGATGGCCTCCGACTTTTTTTTTTAACCAAAGATTTAATCTCTTTTATTTTTAGGGCAAGTTGATGTTAGTGCCAAATCTGAAGGACGTTCTTGAGGTATGTTTACAAAGGGACAGACTGATGACTGCACATAAAAGAAGATAGTGGGAAGTGTTTCCCTTTACCAAGTCAAAGCTAAAACATAAAGTTCTACTGAGATAACAACAGTTTATTATCGTTTCAGTTATTTATCATTTGAAATAAAGCAGGTGACCCTTTCTCTTGAGATGGTTTGACCATAGACTGTATATAGAATGGACAGCGTCTGCCACCTTGCCACCTTGAGAACAGCACCCTCTAGTGACGGGCTGCAGTATAGGTCATAAATCCCGTCTCCGCCAGCAAAGCTTATGGAGCTGTGGACCAACTTGAGAAATTTAAAACGTAAATTTTGCGTCCCTGCTTGCGATGTTGACATATAGTTATTGTAAGACTGGTTTGTGCTCAAGTCCTCTTTTTTCTGTACAGCTCCATTTTTAAAAGTTATTAGGGGGTTCATGTTTTCTATGATTGACACTTGATACAGCCTATGGGCGTACAAGGATTGCGTAGCTCACCCGGGGATACGCTGTTTGAGCCGAGCGTCATCACAGACTCTCCCGCCGAATGTGTACAACGCTACTGCGCAATGTTGGTTTCAGGAAATGGAGAAAATTTCAGCGGAATTACTGAGAACTTTTTGGCTTCAAATCCGTATCCTGGTTCAGACTGCCTTTTGTTTCAGTTAATTAGATATCTTACTCAGCAGCTCTCTCTCTTCTGTCTACCTTTATGCCCAACCCTTGATTTCACCTGTTTCAGCCTCCCCCTCATCTGAGCGTTTGGCCTGAACAGGAGGGGAACTGAAATGGGGGGTGGAGGTGAGGGGGGTAATAGAGGGGGAAGAATGTGGCCATTGTGCTGTCAGGTATGTGTGTTTGTTACAAACAGAAAGACAGAGGGAGAGAGGAGAGAGAGGCTGATCAGATCTTGTTACAGGTGTTTTATAAACAGCACAATAGTACTGCTAACAGGTTACTCTCTCTCTCTCTCTCTCTCTCTTTCTCCTCTCTCTCTCCTTCTCTCTCTCTCTTTCTCGGCTTCTTTAGTCTGCAGCTTTAGACTTCTGCTCCAGAGTTGCTGGATTAGGCTTGTGGCTCTGTCTCACACACACGCACACACTACACCGAATCTTTGCTTCCCCATCATGAGCATGAGATGATCATGTGACAGTCATGTGACACAGCCGATTACTATGTGTGTGTGTGTGTGTGTGTGTACTATTCATGCTGTTTAAGCTTTTTTGGGTCTTTTTGCTGAACGATAAATTTCCTGTCAGCGTCCTGCTTCTAAAGAAACGACGACCTTCGCAGCAGGACAAAGAGATTTTCTATTTTTCTTCCTGTTGCCCTTTGTTTCTCCAAAGTTTTCCTGTAACCAGATATCACTTCATCACATTACAGAAAAATATCTTCATTCCAACTCCTGTCTAGGAAATCTGTTTGTCACTTTTTGCATGTGTGGAATGTAATCGAGTGGGTATGGAGATAAGCATCATTCTGAAAAAATAGTTCACTGAACCGTCTCACACAGTCCGCAATGAAGCCACAGCCACATTCTGAGTCTGACAGACAGAGCGACCCACACGCACGCAGGTCTATTAGATACATATGAGCGTCCTTTACTAACCCACTTCACAGTCTGTGTCTATTTTTGGTTTAGTTTCTGCATGAGCCAGTTTTGATCAAACGTGTGATCACCCCGTCAGGTCTGACCAGTGCATCAACACACACACACACACACACACACACACACACACACACACACACACACACACGCCTTCAACTTCCAAAACTATTTAGAGTATTCATGAGGAAGCCAGTCATCTTCATCACGCACCTCCACCTCTACAGCGGATTGTCAGGAAGCAGGAAGTTAAAATAAAGAGAAAGTAAGTTTCTAATAAGCTTTAAACAAACTTAAACACCATCTGAAAGGAGTCCCTCTGTAAATCACACACTTATTTCACTTATTTCTATCAAAATGTGACTTCGAGGTTGTGGTAATTTAAACTATCAAAGCTCCAAAAAAAGTGGAGTAAATAATAACCCATAATACAGTCGTTCAGCCTCATCTGGTTTGTACAACAGGACACCCAAAGCTAAGTGGCGCCCTGCTCAACCAGTTTCTAGAAAACACACAAGCATACACACACACACACACACACACACAACGGCTCAACAAGACAGCAACTGATCTCTCACACACATAAACACACATCCCAACACAAATAAACACTGAGTCCCCGTCCCATAACCTTGTAGTGAAGGTTAAAGCAGTCAGCTGGATCAGTGTGAACACTGGACCAGCTGAAGAAATGTCCTTCCAGATACCCACTGTGTGCCGGTGCATGTGTGTCTCTGTGTGTGTGAATGTGTGTCAGTGTTTGTGTGTGTGTGTTTGTTCTTGGATGTCCAGGTGAGAAAACACAAGTCCTTAAAAAAGCAGAGCTGTTCTAAGTCGAGATAAAAGTCATTAAGAAAGAGACTCATGATGAGTTTGCAGCTAACCTGTGGGATGATGGGACGTGTAGTCTCTGCGTTGCCGTCGGTTCTTCTGCCACCGTTCAAAAGCAACAATCCTGGCCTGTCACTTTTTCATCTTTCCGTCCCTCTTACTCTCCTCCTTTACGCCGTCCGTCAGGGTCTCGCTGGCCTCTCGTTTTGCTGTCAAGGCGCCTCCTGTCTTCAATGACAGGTCCCCCCCCCGAGAGCACAATCAGAAGAGGTCTCAGATCACATCGAACAAACACACAGCACACACACTGAACAAGTCACAGTTTCTCTTCTCCTTTTGGTGTTTTTTTGGATCCTGACTCAAATCCTCTCTGTTTTTTTGTACTCTCCTCTGCTCCAGTCACGACAGCCCTGGTAGACGCAACAGCGGGAGACAGGAGGGGGAGAGGAGGGGGAGTGCACAAGGTCTCCAAGTGGAGGAGAGAGGAGAGAAAGAGCGCTGAAGGTGGCGGAGTTGAAGGAAAGAGGGAGGTAGCAGGAGGGAGAGATGGAGGGAGGAATGGCAATGGTAATTAGTGAGTCTGTACCTGACTCTCACTGACATAAGCCTCACATTCCTCAGAGGCAAGGAGGGAGGGAGAGAGGGAGGGAGGGAGGAGAAAAGAAAGGAAAAAGTCAGTAACACACTGCACACACACACACACACACACACATTAGCACGCTAATGATCCCCGAAAAAAAAAAAAAGAGAGAGAGAGAACACACTCCTCACCAAGAAACAAACCGAATACCCTCTTCCTCGCAGAACACCATCCTCAAGGCTGCATGATGATGACGATGAGTAAAGGTGCTGCAACCGTCCGCCACCTTAACTCCCAAAATCCTCCCTTAAAAAACTTTTGATTCCACTCCTCTTTTCAATGGACGAACTCTCCCCTCTTTCTCTCTTTCTTTCTTTCTCTCTGTCTCACTCTCCGTCCTCTCCCTCTGTCTTTCAGCGTGTGTTTGGTGTACACACTGCCTCCTCCTGAAACTCACCAAACCAGAATCTGCACTGCCCAAATCCCCAACACACCTCCGCCCTCCCTCCTATCATTCCGGATGGGAAATGCTATCCTCCTTTAGCCCTGTTCAACCTGTATGTGCGCGCACCTGTGTCTCTCTCTCTCTCTCTCTCTCTCTCTCTCTCTGAGTTCATCCACAGCAGCATTCCTCTAGAGGAGTCTACTACACACCTAGTTTAAAAGACCTCACACCACATGACTGCTCACATCCACCACATGCTTATTAGCGATGACCACACAGGCTCATCAGTTTTTATGCTCATTCACAAAAGCGTACACCCTGATGTCACCATGACACGCTGTCTTTATGCTCCAGCGCTCCACTCCCTTGACGTGTGCAGATCTTACTGTAATGACAACTTTCAGTAATAATAACCGGCTAACACCCTCTCAGATTTCTTGTGTTTATCTGTCAGCATGAAGAGGACATGAGCGACCGCAGAGGGGGGGAAACCTGACGCTCTAACTGTCCAATATAAACACTTTCTCACCTTTGTCTGAGAGGCTCCTGCTTTCAACATGAACTGAAAGTAAAACAGTGAAGTTATACTCAACTGTAGTTTCTTATTCTCCTACTTCATATTTCTCTCCCCACCCACTTTTCATTCTCTTTCATTTTGACAAAAAAAGTGCTTGTTTGATCATGTAGAGCAGTGTCAACACTCCAGACCTCCAGCATTCACCTCTCATTCAACACAGTTTTAGAGCGAGAGAGAGAGAGAGAGAGAGAGAGAGAGAGAGAGAGTCAGAGAGAGAGAGTTTGCTACCTGAATTCCTTGAACTTCCTTCTTCCTGGTCTCAGGTGTTTTTCAAGTGCAACGTCTTTGTGACAACCAGTTGTCAAGGAAACTGAAGGAGAGAAAGAAAGAGAGAAAGAGAGAGGGAGGGAGAGCTGTAGTGATCTGTTACAGCCGTGGTCAGCCAACTGAGGTCAGAAGAGAGAAGTGAGGAAGCTGGGTTTCTGTTTAGTGTAACAGTCCGCACACTGACACACACACACACACATATAGATTCAGATAAAGTCCAACACACACACACACACACACACGGGAGGGAACTTGCCAATGTGTGTGTGTCTGTGTGTGTAGGAAACTGAGATTGAGTCAGACATGCTCACACAGAGAAATAACGTTTCAACACAGCAGCTGAACGCTGGGAGGGAGGAGGCTGGAGGAGCAGTTGGATGGGTTGCTTAATACGTTTTCATGCTGATGCTTATTTAACAGAAGTCAAGGAAACATTGGCGATAAAGAAATAAAGTTTGTATGACTTTGCAGTTACAAGGAAGCTGCGGAGTTTGCAGGTGATTTTCAGAGATTCATTGGAAACATTCACACACAATACTTTTCTTATTATCTCAAGAGAAAGCTCTGACATGGCGTGTTCAATCATCAATATCTGTTTATGGAGTATCACTGTTACTGCTGATAATCACTGAAAGATAGGGGAGAGTGGGGTAAGATGAGCCAAGGCGATCATAGTTTTGTCTCTAACTAGTGTATCTGCATATATTTTAGGATGTTGTGTATCCCTTCAAACCAACAGAATGTGTGTAAACAGAACTGTGTTGATAATATAGCATGTCAAAAAAAGTGGTCTCCTATGGTCAACTTACCCCGTGTATGGGTAAGTTGACCATAGGAGCGGGGTAAGTTGAGCCATATCCCTACTACACCCCCACTCTCCACCCCAGCCCTCCTTCACCTTCTCTCTCTCTAAATAACAGTCACTTCTTCACATTTACTTATGACAAACTAAATTCACTTTCAAGAGTGAAAAATGTTTTTTTCTTGTAAATAAATGTCTAACCTCTTCACCCATGTGCTTCTAACCTTCACAGACTCCATGAATTGATGCTCATCTCCTAAATATTTGGTCACATGATCAACTTTTTTTTACCATTTCCGAGCAACAGGGGGTGGCTCAACTTACCCCACTCTCCCCTACATCAATCTTTTCCACGTTATCTACAGTGTATGTTTCTACATGCTATCTCCAAAAAAAAACAGAGTTATCACTGAGTAAAGGAGTAAAAGTTTGGACAAAACACAAATGGAGTACGATTGACTTAGGATTCTTTAAAAACATCTTATTGAAGAAAGCCTTGGTAGGTTAAACGTCTGCTTTGAGACATATTCTTTATCTAAAAAAAATATTATGTGTAAGCGTACTGTTGATAGCCTTGTCTGACACCAACCCGTGACAAGGTCATGAGCGACCGAGGCTCACTGACCCGCTTAGTGAGCAAAAAGCTGAATAAGAGCTACCGGAGCTGAAATCACTGACTTAATGCTGGTTCTCACAGAAAGGTGTCAAATCATTCAGTACCTCACAGTCCTTTGCAGCTGTGTGGACGCAGAATTGCCAGGAGGAAGAAAGGTAGATATGTTTGAAACTCATTAATGCTTTTATTGGTAAGTCTTTCTTTATATGCCCCTTGGCACAGCATGAGTTCACCAATAAAGATAGTTCACCAGGGGGTTAAAGTTTCAAAGTAGCTGTGGAGCCTTTTTTAAAAAGATTTTATGACAGGTTGTAAATGATACTCTTAATTTTTAATAGCGCATAATTGCTAATTACAGAATAAATCAGTTCAAGTTGTACTTTTTTTTTCTCGTCACTGATACTGTCACTGAAAAACAGATGAACATTACCTTAAAACAAAAAGGACACAGACTTTAGGCCACCTTGCAGTTAAGCCTGATAAAAACTAGAATTATAATAAAATAGCTCCTCCTTTGGACTCCTGAATACTTGGCGTAGTCAGACTAAAATAAATAAACTCTGATACTGAGAAAAGTCGCTTCATGGAAGTTTTAAGGATGGAAACTTATGAACTCTGCTAGAAAAGTAGCTTTTTAAATCTTAATACTAAATCCAAAATATTAAACTTATCCTTTGATATTAAAGGCATAATAAAAAAGGACAAAATTAGGCAAAATTTTCCCATAAACTACTGCTATCCTTTAATGATAGCTTTGTCAACATTTAGTTTATATACACACACACAGAGACATGAACATGCAGCTTTTCACAGGGTACAAACAAAAGCAAACCCTTCTCACAATAAGCAGCACAGACCCTGCCCTGGTTCCTACACAATAGACACAGAGACCTGAGACACACAGTGCACAGATTCCCGGAAAAAAAAAAAAAAAAAACACACTACACTATAATCCAAAGGGCTGACAAAGCAGCACAAAGACACAGGGTAGTGGATCCTTTCCACCGCAACAAGTGGGCTCAATCAAGCGTCACATGGCTTATGAGAAACTAAGAAAGGAGGAAATCGTGGATCTTATTACGATAGTATCAGCTGGTGAACACAGTTTTTTTATGTCCATTCCTATCATGTGAAGAAACCTTGTTGTGCACATTGTTGTTGTAAGATTTTCTACACTGTATCATTTCCTCTCTTGCTGACTGCTTGATGTTACAGAAATTAGATCAGTCACAAGTATGACTAACCGACAGCAACAGCGTTTCTCGCAGAGTTCTGACCTTGTACTTTACACAAAAGCGGCAATCTCCATTTTGCCACAATAGTTAAAAACCTAGCTCTGTAAGTGGGCAGTACTTCAAAGAAACCTCTTACCATATTATCATGGGGGGAAACTTGTTAGGGAGGAAAATTCAGCAGAGTTGTTTAATTTGTAACGTGCCACAGAGAAGATTATGTTCTCGTTAAAACACACACATACAAACAATGGAATTATGGTGGTCTAAATGTGTCTGGTTTGTAAGTCTGTTTGTTTTTGATTGTGCTTTTTCATTCGATTCATTGACTTTAAATAGACCAGTCAAAGGCAACATCTTTCTAGGTGTTCCACAAGGGTCTATTCTCGGTCCTCTTTAGGTCTGCATATATCAAATATAGTAACCCTTTTATTCCCAACCTTTAATGCCTAATTGCCAATGGCTTCCACTCAATTTTAACCCCCAATGGTTTATAGTGTAAACACAAACATTTCTGATCTTTTTAGCTAAACACAAACTTACAGGTGGGGTAGGCAGGATCTGAGGAAGTGCCAGTTTTTGAGAGAAATGTTGAATGTAAATAAGACCACTCCCTCCCAACCAGTTTTACCCCCAGCTCCTCCTCTTCCCTCCCGCTCTGCTCCCGCAAGCCCCGCCCACAAACAGACGCCCCTGCTCGATCGTATCGTTTCAATTAAATTCAGATATAATGCAGATAAATACTTCAGATGATTACAAATGGGGCCCAGTCAACGTTAAAGTAAAAAGCATTGGTGCTACTGTAGATGCCAACAGACTACCAGCAAACACAATGTTTGCAGGACTTCTACTACTAGGATAAAGTGACATAGTCCAGGACCCAAGGTTTGCAGTTTAGCAGTGCGACAACACGCAGCAGGTCCCATTTGACGAGAAACACTTCTGTTACACTTGGCTTACTTTGTTAAAGCGGTTTCCCTGTCCAACAAAAAGGTTACAGGGTCCGTAAGATCCCAAAGCGTCCCCATCGTTTATGTTGACCCGGCTTTTTTAGCGCCCGTTATTCCATCAGAGTCTCTGGTATTTACTTCATTTTCTTGCTTGTGTCGGCAGTCGTGGCCAAAGGAGGTTTTAGACAATTTTCCGTACTTTCTGGTTAATTTCTACTGTCCGATGTTGTTGCACGCTAACTTTTGTTTGGGCTTGTGAACGTTATTCATGGAGCATGCCTCACAACACGAGGAAGCAGCGTCTGCCTTACAACCAATCAGGTTGAGGAGGCGGAGAATGGTTTTGTTTACAGTCAGAAAGAGCGGGTCGCTCAAAAATTAAAAATGTTGACAACAAAGACATAAGAGAACACAGTGATATCGTGATATTCCCAAATGTCACCAATAACGAATACCTGACCTAACTAATACTTATCCCACCTTTCAGTCAAACTTAACTGAGTATCTACTCCTGTTAACAAAGTGGCAATTTTCTCTGCAGCCTGTGAAAAGAATGACAGAAACTTTCAACCCTTACCACGAACAAACTTCAGTTCACTTACTACAGCATTGTGTTATATCAAATATTTCGTCTGCATTATTAATACCAGATTTAAATAAAACTAGAACTCTGACTCCTAGACGAATCTGCCACTTATAAAAGCAGATTTATCCTCATGACTTTGTAATACCACATTCAACAATCAGGAGCAGGTATAATGTTTGATCAGACACGTACTCACATCTCAACATCATCTGTGTACACAACACACACAACAAAAACAAAAGTGTAAATATTAACTGAGATTAAGTCACATTAATGTGATATTATAGATGAAATTTTTCCAAAGGTAAAATGATCAAAGAGAGAGGAGATTTCTTTTCTTTGTCCAGCACTGTACAGCTTCCCGTAAAGATTAGACCTTTATTGAGAAAATTCCAGGTCGGCTTATGGCTGCACGACCCGCCGTCTCCAACAGGGCCGATTATTGAATAGGCTGTAACACACACAAACACGTACACTCACAAACACAACACATGCAGAGAAACCAGGGGCCTGTTGTGAGGCGACATTGATGACGCGTGTTGGATGGGATAATCTCTCCAGCTGGACCCTCACACCCGCAGAGAAGTGAGGCTCATTTGGCTGCAAAAAGCTGCTGACTTTTTTATTTTTTTTCAACACATCTCTTCTTTGTTTTATGAAAAGTTCCGCGGCCCAGAAAGCAGTATTTCTGAAAAATCTAAACCTTTTGTTGTCAATTTCTACTAAATGTGATAAATAGTTCAGCCCTGCTTGTTCCAAGTTCAGTTTGCACCGTGAACAATCAACACCGAGGCTGATTTTTAGAGTCAGTGGTCCCAAAATCAGATAAACCTGATAAATACATTAGTCACACTACGGCAAGAGTACAGCTTCTTTTAATGTAATCCAGCAAAATGTCTCCCTCTGTTGATCAAGCCCAGACATTACATATATTTAATTTTTAGTATCACTATACAAAAGGGGCTTTTATTTTTATTTTCCTGGAGCACAAAATGACATTGTTCATAACGTTTGGCAGGAGTAAAAGACGACCTTTCTCTGCACAATTATTGTAATGCAAACTCTGATCAATACAACACCACAGGGCTCGAATGTCATAACCAAATCACTCTGTTTTAACCATATAACAGGTCTTCAGCTGAGTACTGAACTTGATTTAGATAATTGGGGGGCAGCACTGCATAAAATCAGGGAGTGTTCAATGTCTTTCCTCTGGCTTTGAACCCTGGTTTACATATATTAATAAAAGGTCTGGTCTGAGCTATAAAGTAATAATTCTTAAAATGGGAAAGGCCCATTCCTCCTTTTTCCCTTTTACAGGGTCATTTTTATGTCTGAGACTAAGAGAAGAAACTGAATTCCACCTGTAAATGTCTACTTAAATTTTTTGCAAGGAGACAGGCATGAGTAGTCTAAGCCAATGAAAGAACTGGTTTTGGTGGATAAACAGCTTAATACTTTAGTGAGATCTGAAACAATTAAAAGTAGAATTTATCCTTAAGGTAGCTTGAGAGTGAGTTCATAAATGGCATTACATGTTTATTTTATATCCTTCATGCCTATTAAATATCTCTATAAGGTCCATTCGTTACTAGAGGGTTTGCTTGGATAGACTCAGATGTCACCGGCATACAGTGCCACCCTGTGGTCTTCTTCATTCGTGCAGATTTATTTGTTTTTTAGTCTGTCTTCATAGCTGTGTGAGAGGCTCTGTGAAAGTGGAAAAGGGGTGGTGACGGGGGGCCTCCTTGTTATGTTCCACATGCTAACATTAAAGAGTCTGAAAGATAACCATTTATCTAAATCCAGGGTTGACTGTAAAGGATACGAATGATCTCAACAAACTGTTCATGAATGCCAAATTTTTTTAGGGTTTTTTGTAATACATCAAACAAGATAAGAAGAGCTTTATTTGTCCCCGAGGGAATATTCAATATGAGTAAGCTCTAATCTGCTTTTTTGGAAAGCATCATGGGATAACAGTTGTTAAGATTTTACGCTATATAAATAAAAATTTATAGACTAATTATTATGAGAAAGTTAAAAACTTTTATCTCTAATTGATGCCTTAATAGTCTATTTTCTTGTATGCAGTCCTCCACAAAACTGTCTCTTATTATCTTAACCTTAATAAGTTTAAAGCTCCTGTGAGAATGAAACAGACTGAAATGAGCAGTGGTGTCTCTTTATGTTGTCAAAAAGCAAATGAAACCGGCAGTTAAGCCTTCTGCATATGCTCCAGTGTTTTCATGCTGGGCTTTGGGCCGTAAATTGAACAGCATGAATGCGTAGCTAGGAAGCAAAGTAGTAAATGAAACCGTGACAGACAAAGAAGTGGCATAACTGAGACTTTCCAACTATCTATCCATCCTTTTTTTTCCGCTTACCCCGCTGGGGGGTCGTGGGGGGTGGAGCCTATCCCAGCATCTTAGGGGACACCCTAGACAAGTCACCAGTTCATCGCAGGGCTAACATATAGGGATGAAAAACCATCCACACTCACACTCAGGCAATCTGAAAGTAACCAATGAACCTAACCCCACTTTCGCATGATTTTGGGATGTGGGAGGAAACCAGAGTACCCGGAGTAAACCTACACAGACACAGGGAAAACATGCAAACTCCACACAGAAACGCCCAGACCCGGATTCGAAACCCAAGACCTTCTTGCTGTGAGGCGACAGTGCTAACCACTACACAACTGTGCCGCCCAACCTTCCAACTATACAAAAAAATAATAACTCAGAGCTGTTGAAGTCACAGTTGTCATAATTGAACATACATCTTGTAAGCTTTGTCGATTGTTTTGAAACTTAATAGGTCAACTGGGAGATGACCTAATAGTAGCAAGCTGAAAGAAGGCATGTCGCCACCTACCACAGAGAAGGTGTACTGTACTCAATACGTCAATTCTTGTAAACTGGGATAAGAAAAGTAGTAGAAGTATACCATGCCAATTGGCTCAGGCCATATTATTCGCTGACATCCTTAAACCTAAATTGTTGTTATCATTTGTAACCTTTGTGAGTTCTGCTTACCTCCTTCTTTAAACCAGTACGACTTTAAAACCCATTTTCTCAGGAAAACACAGGGAGATGACTGACTATCAGGGGGCGCAAAGTGAACTTTGCACTAATTTTAGATGTTGAAAACAAGTGATTAAACAAAAAAGGAGTATAAGATTTTTTTTAATATATACATCCTGAGGTGTGAGCGTTTACAGAGGCCAGAAGGGGGCAGTCTCAATCTGAACTACATATATCATTCCTATCCACTCTTACCTGCTATTAAGTCAGAGGTAATGTGAAATAGATTTATAATGAGACCAGCTGTTGAGACCTGACTCTGGGTACTGGACTGTTTTGCATGCTTCTTTGTGTGCAAAAGTATTAGTCCAACATACTTGAACACTATGGTGCAGGTTTACTTTAACCGCACTGAGCAATTTGATCCTTTCTGCATCTTTTTTCCTATAAGAGGATTAAAATCACGATAAAGGATTAACAAAGAAAATGGCCTGTTGAAGGGAAGCTCTGTCGCTGAAAGAAAGAAAGATCATGGCGAGCTCTAAATGCTGAACGTTACTTTGTACAGGTATGTAATGTACTTACAGTATACCTGTCACAGGGACGAAAGGGCCTCCTTCATTATCATATTGTTGCCATGGTATTTCAAACTCAGGGACGACTAAGAGGTGATGATGTGCTTTAACTACTGGGGACAGTATATGATACCTGATGCAGAGTAAAGCTTGGAGAGCAGGACATTTGTGGTTCATAGTTGCTCGGGTTGCATTTCTTTGAGGAGATGAGCTGCGCTGCTCCCATTAGGATGAATCTGAATGACAAAGGTAAGACCTGCCATACAATTTTAAACAGCCCGTCATCTTCTATGCAGATTACACTAAGCTGCTGTAGTCTTTTCTCCTGGTCCTGCTCGTCTGAAGTGGACTTTCTCTTGTGGAGCAGGGAAACCTCATTAAATCACTGCTGTTTGATATTCATTGATTTATTCCATTTGCTCTAACATTGGACACGTTGCACAATTCTGGTCAATTCCAACTTTGTGCTTAAAGATTGATGAGTGCTGTAAAAGCCGATTACAGCCTGCCACTGTTTCTCTCTGTAAATCCAGTTTAATTAGAGGTTGGCTGTCCCTGCACTTGTGCATGTTAATCCTTATGGGACAGTTCGTATTGTCAAGTCAAGTGATGTCATTCAAAGCATATCCTGCAGACATGTCGAGTGTTGCTTTAGTGTGTGTTCGCGTGTGTGTGTGTGGAGCAGATGCATAGGGATGAGTGGGGCAGGTCAGTGAGAGGTAGACCTTTGTCCAGGATCGGACTGCTGCCCATAATTTATTCATGCCGATGTATCTGACTGGACACCTAATTGCACCAGGAGGAGCCCAATTACCCTCCACAGTCTCACATTCACACTGAACGGAAGCTGTATCACATGTCCACCATGACTAACAGCACACTTCTTATTTACATTTCCACATCTCAGGTGAAACTACGTGAGTGGAAAGATGTTTTTTTTCCATTTAAGTTTGCCAGGTTGGTTAACTAGAGAAAGACACGTTTTACAGAGAAGACTAAAACTGATGACAAAAGTGCTTCAGCGTAACTATTTGGTTTTGTTGCTGTGAGCATGACAGATGAAGGTAAGCTGTTTATGTTTGCTTTGTGTTGTGTATGCATATGTGTAACTTGAGCCAACACTCTCTCCCCCTCTTTTCCAGAAGCCTCATGTGAAGATGTAAATACTAACGCAGTGACAGAGGAAATCATTTCAAATCAAGAAGACAACCAACAACAGACCGACAGAGAGCCTTTTAAGTTTCTGCTCTCGCTCCCTCATGTTCATTCATCTTTATCCGCACAGGGTGAGATACATTTCCTCCCTTTTATTACTTTATATGACAAACAGAGAATGTGTTACCATATCCAAAAGTACTAAACATGATTTTATTGTGTAGTGAAAGTCTCTTATATTGTCCTGTGCTGTTCAGTTTCTTAAAAATAGATGATAATTGCTGCAGTATACCTCAGTACAGCAGGCAGGCAGGTGGGTCTCTAATTTTCCTTCTTTCAATATCTCACCACCCTCCTCTTTTTGTTCCTTCAGTCTCCTCTCTGTCAGATGAGGCCTATGTGTATGCAGCTGCCATTTTTCAGCACCTGTGGACTGAGAAGACTGTCACACAACGACACCTGCATTATGACAAGAAGACAGACACACCACTGCCAGAGACTGGGGACAAAACCACCCAAAAACAGGCCTTTCAGCTTGCCTTCAGCACACTCAAATGTATGAATCAAATGTTTGATTGTATGTAGGAAGTTGGAAATCTTAGCATTTACAGCTCAATTTAATTTAAAGTGGAGGCCAACACCTTATGTATTAAAGGGCTGACTGATGGTTGAATACAGAGTCAGGGAGAAATTAATTTGAATCAGTGTACTTCTGCTACCTCTGCAGACCTCACACACCACCTATGAGGAGAGGCCTTATCTCTGTAATGAACAGGAGTGGAGCAGCAGCATGTGTCAACTCCAATATTCACTTCTGAATAGCAGCCTGGACTGAAAACTGAAGATTAAGTAGTATGTACATATATATAGTCCTACATTTCATTCCCTCAGGGGACTGCAAATTACTTCAGCTGGAGGGGCAGCAGATGTCTGTAAAGGAGGTGATAAGAGGGTGCATGCATGTGGACACACACATATATACCCCACTCTCTCCACCAGACATACACACACACAAATACACACACAGACATGCACTGCATGCTCATGCAAAAAGTGCACACATATAAACAGACACACTAAATCATACATGTCAGGGGTGGCTGCTCTCCAGCCATGCAGATCATTTGGATTTGACTTTGACAGGTTTGGAGATTACACTCTCCTGATGTTTCCAATGAATTTACATTTAAAACTCCTCTGATAAAATTCAGGTCTTACTCGGCTCAGCTGAGTGCTGTTATAGTTCATATCAGCACAGTGGCACGGTGCCACAGGGTGAGTGAGTAATCACAGCCCTGCTGATGTATTCAGTGTAACACTCCACAAACAGCACAAAGTTGTTTACATTGATAACTTACTCCAGATTATTATGATTGTAATCCCTCATTTGGCTCACGCTCTGCAACTTGTGCTAAACTTTTTACAAGATTTAAGATGGAAGAAACAAATATGTTTACAGAATATGCAGCAACAAATAGTGAAAAAGTAAGTCATGTACAAAATAAAACAGCTGGTATTTATCAAATATAAATACATAAAGGACAGAATATAAATAGAGTACAACACATACCACTGCTTCTTCCTTTAGAATCATTGAAACTACATAATGTACTATCATTATACTATAGTAATAATGGTAGGTTTGAGTGCACTTATACTCAGTATTGAAATGGCTACATTGGAACTGACTCTTGTATATATTGCACTCATTGGGCTGGTGTATCAACCCACAACTTTACAGTGTTTGAGCCTTTAACGGCAAATAAACCAGAAATTAATCAGAGGAATTTAAAATAGGTAAATGGTTGGACAAAATTCATGAAATAACCAGCAATAAAACCCCAAAGCTGTTAGCTAACAAGTTAACCGGAATAACTTTATAAGGTAATAACAATCAATCTTTTTTAACCTCCAAGTTAGATTTATTTATTTTTTATTTTAGTGTCTTTAACAGGAAAAATCTCTTTAATTTACCGCCTTTGCCAAGATCATTATTACAGGGTTTATATTTTTCAAAAAAAAGGTATCAGAACTTTACAAACACTTCTTAAAATCATACTCTACATTTTTCCATCGCTGCAAAAACCACTGAAATTATCTAACTGAACGATCTTAACTTTAATGTTACAGAGAAAGAAAACCTAAAAACTGATTAACACAAGTTGGAAATTTCTCCAATTTGGGTAAACTGTGCCTTTACACTTTTCTCTTTATATGAAGTGTCACTTCTGTAAAATCCAAGTGATTCTTTTGATTGGTCTCATGTACATTAAAAAACATTGTTTTTCTTACAGACCAAGATTTACTGGAGGACATCATCACTGACAGCTGCTTCCACACTTCTCAGCACATTGTAAGTCCCAGCAAATTTTGATAGAAGCAGTGGCAAACCAAAAAAAACTGATTAAAAACTCTTCAGCAGTTACTCACTGACTGTTAAACTGTCTGGGAGTTATCTGTCTTCAAACAAAGTATCTGTGCTCTCTTGGTCCATATGTGCCCCATCAGAGTATGGAGGAATGGAGGCGAGGGAGACGGAGAGGCAGTTAAAGGCCATTTGTATTCAGATCTGTACGTCGTCTGGCTGGTTATAGGTGGCAAATGATGCATACAGCAGAGAGACAGACACACTCTCTCACGCTGGGAGGGTGTAAATGGCGCCATAAAACACTGTGCAATGACACATACATGGACAAAGACACACACCTGTACATGCGGATGTGTGTGTGTTTAAAGGATGGCTTTATTGAGGGATGGTGAAACAGAGGATGTCTGACAGTATGACTATAAAAAGCTGCTACACGCCTCTTTGTAATTCAGCACACCTCTTTACTGCAACACACACACAATCTACCTCCCACACACTCGCACACACATATACACACACACCTATCCTGAGGAAAGGAGTGGAGGAAAGAGATAGTGAGAACAAAGTCACAAAAGGAAGAAAAGGAAGTGCAATTTTAGTTTCCTTAATGCAGTTAAAATCAATATTTTTTTAAACAAACTATGGATCACATGAGTATAAATGTTGCTTGCTTAACAAACCCACAGGGGGATGTTTTCAATAAATTAGCTCTTTAAAAACTCCCCGTTAGCAAACAGCAGTTAAACACAGTTGAGAGTTTCATTCAGGGGCGGATGAAGGAAAATGAATAAATGAAAATGAAATGATGACAGTGCTCTGCCACTGCTGGATGCATCAATAAACACCTGTTTGAAATTTTGTCACTACACCCCAGCTGACAGCTCACCTCAAGAAACACAAACCACCAAATTTATCTACTTACACTGAAAGAAAACAACCCTACGACGACAACAACAACCACCACTACTATCCCAAAACAAGCACTATAGGGCTGAAACGATTACTCGAGTAACTCGAGTAACTCGATTAATAAAATTCCTCGAGGCAAATTATATGCCTCGAGGAATCGTTTAAATCCGGAACCATGTGCAGCGCACGGTGTTTGACACGGACGGTTATTTCTGTTGCGCAGAAGCGTGCTCTTTCCGCTCCTTCCGCTGCCGCGCGTTTGGTTCAATCATGGAGGGAAACGAGGACAGACAGAAGCTGTGTCCGAAATGGCATACTGCCTGCTATCTACTTACCTACTCAAGCAGTAGCTACTGCCTACTGACTACTCAAAGATGATTTGAGTATGCCGCGGCTGCCCGAGCGTTTACACACATACATACTAAATACCCCAGAATGCATTTCGTGCCGGCCGGACGCAGCGCCGGGAAAATTTAAATAGTCCTACCACAAGCTACATAGAACGACTGCATACCGGACAAATTACATAAATTCATTCAATAATAATATTTTTTCTAGCGAGAAAGTAAGTGTTTACATCACGATTATGAGCCCAGTTGTTTGAAATAGTGGCTGTTTGTAAATTTGTCTCGGCGTTTTCGGAGACCGAAGCGTCCACTTGGTCGGTGTTTGCGTCTATTTACCGTAAACACCGGGCAGCAGCAGCTCCCCCTTCACGTGTCCAAATTATTGCGAAGTGTTTTCATAATCAACATCTACACGACACAAACCGGGCGGCAGTGGATGAAAAAAATCACACAAACATCCGTGTATCCATGGTGATAATGCTATACACCACCTGCTAGGCGTGTGATGAGCAGCAGAGGGCTGCAAAATGACCAACACACAACAACATGTAAATAAAAATGTAACACTTTTATATATTGAATAAATGTACATTTGCTTGTCAAATTATGTTAGTATCCAAGAATTATATTATTTCAGCCTATTAATTAAACAAGTAAAATTAGATCCAAAGCCTGGAAATAGTTGTGACTGGTTTAGTGAAAACTGCAAAGATCATTACCATAGCAATTAAAAGACCATCTGCAGACCTTGCCTTCAGTAGTTTCATGTGAACTACATGGTAAAATGTAAAACTTTTGTTTCCTGATTTATGCAGTAAAAATATTCATTTGAAAGACCTGGCCTATTTCAGTTTTGTGTGTTACTGATGGTTTTTAATGAGGCAAACGTGATTCAATGCAAAGTATTACAGTGAGAGCAAAACATTTCTTATCCGATTACTCGATTAATCGACAGATTAATCGATAGAGTACTCGATTACTAAAATAATCGATAGCTGCAGCCCTAAAGCACTACGTGGCAGAATCAGGTCGGCTGCCTGAGGGTTAGTCAGCTTTTATACCAGGAGAAATTGCCATTATAGTTCAGCTTTGTTTTTCCTGATCAAGAAAAAAAACAAGTTAATAACCAACAGCTGTTAATCTTCTAGCTGTTGTATTTTAAAGCTCCTATGAGGAACTCTAGTTTGTGTCATTTTTGGCGCCCCCTGTGGACAAAAAAGTCTTTACTCATAAGGTCTTCTACATGCCAAACTAATGATTTATGATTTACAAGCTCATCCTGTTGAGTTTTGACAATCGAATATAGGACTGGGCAATTTGGCAAAGAATGATCACGATATATTTTGTCATATCGTCCGATCTCGATTATTATGAAAAAAAAAATTGTATTCTTCTTTTAAATTGCCGGTTCTAAAGCATCTGTATGAAAAACTAGAGATTAGTTCACTATTTCATTAACATACAAAGTAAATAACAAAGCAATGAATAAGAATAAGATAATCTTAGAGAAATATAAAAAACATTTTAACTCAACAGGACAACAAAAGTAGATAAATACTAAATAATATAGTGATCTAGTTTACAGTCCTGAGTGTTTTTGCAGGTATGCCAGACCTAAAATAAACAAATCACCCCCTCTGTGATAATGAAGACACCTAAAAATGTAAAGATTAGAACATATAAACTTAGATGATAGGATTGATTGCTGCTTTGGTCTGGTGCATAGACTGTATATACTATGGACAACTTGGTTCCACCTTCGGCCAGTATACGGATTTGAAGCCAAAAAGCGCTCTGTATTTCCCCGTTTTTCCTCCACTTCCTGAGAGCAACATTGCGCAGTGGCATTATTTGCACTCCACCACCTGCGCAGTAGCATTGTACGCATTCGGCGTGATAGTCACAGAGAGCTACGCAATCTTGGTACGCGCATAGGCTGTATCAAGTGTCAATCATAGAAAACTTGAACCCCCTAATAACTTTTAAAAAATGAGCTGTGCAGAAAAAAGAGGACTTGAGCACAAACCAGTCTTACAATAACTACATGTCAACATCGCAAGCAGCTGGGAGAAAATTTATGTTCTGTCTAATAAATTTCTAAAGTTTGTCCACTGCCCCATAAAAATAGCTGGAGGAGGTTGGATTTATGACCTATACTGCAGCCCGTCACCAGGGGGCGCTGTTCTCGGGGTGTCTTCACCCAGCGAGGAGGCAGACGCGACCATTCTGTATACAGTCTGTGGGCTAAACTGCTAATGCTACTTGTGTCGTCAGCAGTAACAGGCTGTGCAGACTTCACTCGTATTTTCATGCTTTCCACATAATCACTCGGTATGTACTTCTTTAAATGATTAAACAGATCTGTCGTGTTGCCGGTTTGTAAGGACGCCGACATACCTTATACGTCGGCTTAACCGCTCGTCGTCACTTTGGAGATACCCGAACCACCACCGCACAACCGGAGTTGAGTAACTTTTCTTTTTCTCAACCATGGCATCTTTGGAGGATGACTCAAAATCATGGCTGACATCCATTTTGCTGCCTTCAGCTCCTCGGTTAGCTCCACGTTCGGTCATTCTGTTTACTTCTTCTGTTTACGTCACCGGTATCTCACAGAAGTGAGCCGGAAAAGCTCAACTCTGATTGGCTGTTTTTACGCACATTTCCGCCATGTTTGATCGGGTAAATATGCTCACAGTCGCCCAGTCTTAGTTGAGTATATTCTTTTGTGAAAATACAGTGGAGCTGTTGGGGATGTCTGCTGCCCACGTGTGTTAAATAGTTTGTATTAAATATTTTTATCTTTTATCTGTCATCTCTTGTCTCTTTTACCTCTATTTTATTTTGGCTTAACTGTCTTTTTAGTTTTTGTTATACTTGTACTCTTTTCTTAATTAACCTTTTAGGCTTTTCATTGTTTTATCTCTTGCTCATTTCTGTTGCTCTATTTTATCATTACTGTTATTATCAGTAGGCCTACTGCCTGTTATTTTTTTTATTATCATTGTTGATATTATATTTACTATCCTGTTTCTGCTTTTGACCCCCTTTTAATTGCATTTTCCTTTTTTCTTACCTATTTGATGTTTTTATTATGGTCCTTATGGTCTCATTTTATGCTGCATAGTTCTTGTATTGTCTGGGCTCCTTATGACATGAAAATGGTCTTCAATTTCGTTTTTACTGAGCTTTTTGTTTCTGTCTTTTTCCATGTGCTTTATGACTATATGTCAAAGCGCTTTGTAAACTTCTGTTAATTAATAATAATAATAATAACTAGGGCCCCGTTGGGGCACTGGCGGGCCCGAGCCGCGTCGCGCCCCCCCCCCCAACGCGATCGCCTCCCCGTCCCATTCGCATCCTCTGGCCATTGCCCTCTCTGGTAACGCCCATCACTACAAAGACCCTTTTCCTTCATCGGCATTTGCTGTTCTTCCTGCCATTGCGTGTTGCTTTCACTTACACTTCTCACAGCCAGCCTTGTGAGTGCCTGGCCTGGTTTGACCTTTGCTCACCATGATTGTGTGACCTTGGTATCGGCTACTTGGGAAGTTCCACCGTCGTGGCAAAGCTTTGTTTGCGTGCTGTGCTCAACCACCTATTTTCTATGGATGTGTAAGTAAACCACTTTCTTTTCTTACACAATGACACACTCATACTTATCATTCACTGCTACTGATGTGCTCTGTTAGTAAGCATGCAGGAAACCTGATGAATGAAGAAATGCCCAGACTAGCCAACATCTTAATAAATTATGAGGTATGACATCACTTGAATGGTTTCATTGGGCTATGCTTCCATTATTCTAATTCTGTAATAAAAAGAAATTTTGTCCAAAAGGACTGTTGTTGTTTTTTCTTCTAATAATTAACATATTTAACATAATTAACATTCAATATGCGCTCATTACACACGTGCACACTCTTTGATGATCTGTGAAGCAGAGCTTAAAGGACAGTAGGAGCAGCTGAACAAAGTGTATTTGTAGGAAAACCGTAAGAGCTATTGAAACGCTGTTTTCGCGGGTTGAAAGGTTAGGGTCTCCACCAAAGGTCAGAGGTCAAATAACATTTGTATCTCAAACTGTGACGTCACAGTCAAGGTCCAAAGATGGTGTGCGCACCTGTCTTTGGTCATTTCCCATTATAATGAATGGAAGGCGCAGTTTCTACCAAAACGCTCGCTGCAGAAAAACTACATGTCCTATTTGAAAAAACTCTGGACCATGAGTGAGGGCACAAACACAGCAAGGATATATCCAAATGGCAAGTTGCTCCTCTGTGTCCACATGGCTCAGAGGATAATGAGACTGCCTGGCACTCTTAAGGTTCTGCGTTCAAGCCTCACCTAACCCAAGTTGAGGTGAATTTTAAAGCCTTGTGTCAACAAAGGGCAGTGAAATAGGAAAAAACCAGACAACTCCTCTGTGTCCACATGGCTCAGAGGATAAGGAGACTGCCTGGCACTCTTAAGGTTGTGGGTTCAAGCCTCACCTAACCCAAGTTGAGGTGAATTTTAAAGCCTTGTGTCTTCAAACGACAGTGAAATAGGAAAAAACCAGACGACTCCTCTGTGTCCACATGGCTCAGAGGATAAGGAGACTGCCTGGCACTCTTAAGGTTGTGGGTTCAAGCCTCACCTAACCCAAGTTGAGGTGAATTTTACAGCCTTGTGTCTTGAATTGTGCTTGTATGTATCTACTATTTTGTGTCTGTGCGAGGTCGCACAATTAAAAAATAAATGCTGCGCTCCGCGGGTTTTCTTTAAGTCATTCGTGACGCGAGCCTGAGGGCGGGGACATTTGGCGACTCCACCAGGAAGTCCTCCGAAGGTCTCCAAATGTCCCCGCCCTCAGGCTTACGTCACGACTGACTAGAAAAAAAGCTGCGGAGCGCAGCATTTATTGTTTTAATTGTGCGACCTTGCACAGACACAAAATAGTAGATACATACAAGCACAGATCATTCCCATAAAATTAATCCAATGATTGTTTTGTATGAAGGATTATGAGGGCCATATTGAGAATTTTTTTTGAAGACTTCAAGATTTAAGTCGTGAATTTACGAGAATAAAGTCATTAATTTATGAGAATAAAGTTTTAAAGTTTCCTGTTATTTCAGAGGAGACTTTGTTAAAATTAGGGCCATGAAGCATTTAGAGGAACTGTGCTTCAGTATAGGTTTCACAAACAAGGAGATACTTCATCCTCTGGCACATCAGCATCACATTGACATAAGTATAAAGACTTAAAAAAGAATATATGGGTTCAGGATGAATTGTGAAGTCCAGGAGCAAAAGTACCAAGATAAAAGCACGCAGAGCTCATCCCCAACAGTGGATGGTCTCCGGTGGCGCAGTGTGGTAGACATCTAACACCCTAATGTGAGCCATGTGTTCAGGTTGAAGACCAGCTCCTGGTTCGAAACCCGCTCAGTCCAGGGGGGTGGGGTTACCCCCCCAGGTGTTTCCAGAGAGATAAAATAGGGGGGTTATGCTACAGGAAGTCAGAGCAGGCTGAACTTTAGAGTAAGGGTGGGGAGAAGGGTTGCGGGGGGGATTATAGGGGGGGCACGGCGGCCGATGGCCGGGGGCTGAGCAGAGGGGCGTAACCACAATAAGGATTGAACCCACTGACTCATGTGGACACACGAGACAATCATTTTTTTTTCATTTATCACTGTACTTTGTAGACTCTAGACCTTCAAAATTCACCAAGAAGTGGGCAAGGTAGGACTCGAACCTATGACCTTAGGAGTCCCAGTCAGTGTTCTTATCCTCTGAGCCACTTGGACACACAGGATTATACCATTTGTTTCCTCTTTCACTTTCCTGTCTAGACACTATACTTCAAAATTCACCTTGTCCCAAAAAAGGCTCGAACACACCACCTCAGGAGTCCCAGTCAGTCTCCTTATCCCGTGAGCCATGTGGACACACAAGAGAAATCTGTTTTTTTTTCACATACTGTTTTCCTTTGTGGACTCAAGACTTTAAAATTCACCTAAAACTAGGTAAGGTAGGACTCGAACCTATGACCTCAGGAGTTCCAGCCAGTGTTCTTATCCTCTGAGCCACTTGGACACACAGGATTATACCATTTGTTTCCTCTTTCAATTTCCTGTCTAGACACTATACTTCAAAATTCACCTTGTCCCGAAAAAGGCTCGAACACACCACCTCAGGAGTCCCAGTCAGTCTCCTTATCCTGTGAGCCATGTGGACACACAAGAGAATTGGGTTCTTTTTTCACATATCGCTGTCCTTTGTGGATTCGAGACTTTAAAATTCTCCTAGAACTGGACAGGGTCAGACTTGAACCCACAATCTCAGGAGTACCAGTGAGTCTCCTTATCCCCTGAGCCATGTGGACACAGAGGGTTATCATGTTTTTTTTTTTTTCATATATCACTGTACTTTGTAGACACATCTCAGAGCCTACTATGTCGGAGGTGAATTTCAAGGGTAGCCGACTGAGAAACTCTGCATGTGCTGTGTAGCGATCCACCAATCACCTTTGTCCTTTACTCAGTTGCCAATCAGACTCAGTTCTCAGTTGCCAATCAGACTACCCTGCCAGCTGTCAATCAAAATCAGAGAGGAGGAAACTCACCCCTGCACATGTTCTGCACATGGAGTGAGACGCGTGTCCGCTGAGAATTATTTATGGAACTTCACTGACTCTTAAGCCCAACAAATAAGAACTGTATGGGTTTTAAAATGTATATTTCCGTGGACCACTCTACTATAAGCGGTGCGCGTTTTGCGAGGTGCATGCAATTCTCGGAGGACATGCGTTTCTCGGCACAACACCGCTAACAACAACAACAACAACGATTGCAAAATGAGCAACGAACAAGAGAAAACCACCGAAAATTAAGATTTGTTGCCAAAAATAAAATGAAAGTCAGTTATCTGGAATTATTTCGGTTAAAAGAAGGATGATGTCGACCAAAACACGTGTTCTGTGTTCATCTGTCGCCACAATAACGTCCCAGCACAATAAAAGCTAAAAATATCTCTGAGACAGACAGAAGCCCTTCTAACATTCACAAAAAGAGGTAAGATCAGTGCAGGTTAACTGTCCTCAAGACTTCAGCAGTGCAGTATAACATTAAATGCTATTCAGGTCATCTGGTGAAAATTCCTATATTTTTAATATCACAATATATATCGCAGGGTTGAAAAAAATCGCAATGTTAGTTTTTTCCAATATCGTGCAGCCTTACTCTCTTGCTTTGTGCCTGGTTCAGTAAACTGCACGTGCAATTTCAGCAAGGCATTACATCACTTGCTTGACTTGTCAATCAAATCAGACCTCTTAGCCTACTTGACACACGAAAATAACCGAGCAATCCCGATGTTGAAAACTGTCAGGCGGCAGACTGAGGAGAAAGTTGTAGCAGCAGCTAAACATGTCGGCTTCAAAACCACGAAAGGTAGAGAATGAGAACAGGGTGTTTTATGGCGAGTGGACCGAGTCATTTGCATTCATTTTACCCGCAGGAAGCACACAGCCAATTGAAAGTAGGCAGTTATTGGCAATACAAATGAAGTGAATATTTCAAAAGAGTAATGCACTGTAAAAAAATAAATAAATAAAAATCCCTGGACCCAGGCCTGCAGGCATTTCATTCAGGTGGACCCACTGAAAATTTATATGAAGACCCCTGCTCTAGACCTTCAAAATTCACCAAGAAGTGGGCAAGGTAGGACTCGTACCTATGACCGCAGGAGTCACAGTCAGTGTTCTTATCCCCTGAGCCACTTGGACACACAGAATTATACCACTTGTTTCCTCTTTCACTTTCTTGTCGAGACACTAGACTTCAAAATTCACCTTGTCCAGCCTCTCACCTGAAATGCGCAGCTGTGCTTTTGATTGGCCATGTCAATCAAAAGCCCAGCCTAAAAGTCCTGATTATCAGTTCTGGGTCCCTGGCAATGACTGTTGGGTACAAACTGCAAAGCTTTCTTCTGCAGGTAGGGCTAGGCTTTTCATTGACCATGTGGGTCGAATAGTTGTGTGGGAATAGTGTGTCGTCTCAGCCACTATGTTTTCTGCAGTTGTGAGTAGAGAGCACCTTGATAGCTCACTTGTTAGAGCAGAGGACTGCAGGACGTTCCTCATATGAAATGCTGTGATACTAAGGTCGCTGGTCCAATTCCAGCTCAAAGCACCTGCATTTCGTTGGTGTGAGCAATGTTCTGGGTCTAATCACATTGAAATAATGCCAAGCCTTGTCTTCATCTGTCAGCTCCTCCAAAATGTAAAAACACAAACAAGATAACTCCTGCTAAATTTTCCAACCATAGATTTTTTATTCACCCAGCCTAAAAGTCCTGATTATCATTTCTGGATCCTTGGCAATGACTGTTGGGTACAAACTGTGAAGCTCTGTTCTGAAGGTGGGACTGGGCTTTTGATTGGCCATGTCAATCAAAAGCCCAGTGTGGGGCTGTGTCCACATGGCTCAGAGGATAAGGAGACTGCCTGGCACTCCTAAGGTTGTGGCTTCAAGCCTCACCTTACCCAAGTTGAGGTGAATTTTAAAGCCTTGTGTCTACAAAGGGCAGTGAAATAGGAAAAAACCAGATGACTCCTCTGTGTCCACATGGCTCACAGGATAAGGAGACTGCCTGGCACTCTTAAGGTTGTGGGTTCAAGCCTCACCTTACCCAAGTTGAGGTGAATTTTAAAGCCTTGTGTCTTCAAACGACAGTGAAATAGGAAAAAACCAGAAGAGTCCTCTGTGTCCACATGGCTCACAGGATAAGGAGACTGCCTGGCAATCTTAAGGTTGTGTGTTCAAGCCTCACCTAACCCAAGTTGAGGTGAATTTTAAAGCCTTGTGTCTTCAAACGACAGTGAAATAGGAAAAAACCAGAAGAGTCCTCTGTGTCCACATGGCTCAGAGGATAAGGAGACTGCCTGGCACTCTTAAGTTTGTGCGTTCAAGCCTCACCTAACCCAAGTTGAGGTGAATTTTAAAGCCTTGTGTCTTCAAACGACAGTGAAATAGGAAAAAACCAGAAGACTCCTCTGTGTCCACATGGCTCAGAGGATAAGGAGACTGCCTGGCACTCTTAAGGTTGTGCGCTCAAGCCTCACCTAACCCAAGTTGAGGTGAATTTTAAAGCCTTGTGTCTTCAAACGACAATGAAATAGGAAAAAACCAGACTACTTCTCTGTGTCCTCATGGCTCAGAGGATGAGGAGACTGCCTGGCACTCTTAAGGTCGTGGGTTCAAGCCTCACCTAACCCAAGTTCAGGTGAATTTTAAAGCCTTGTGTCTTCAAACGACAGTGAAATAGGAAAAAAACAGAAGAGTCCTCTGTGTCCACATGGCTCAGTGGATAAGGAGACTGCCTGGCACTCTTAAGGTTGTGGGTTCAAGCCTCACCTAACCCAAGTTCAGGTGAATTTTAAAGCCTTGTGTCTTCAAACGACAGTGAAATGGGAAAAAACCAAACGACTTCTCTGTGTCCACATGGCTCAGAGGATAAGGAGACTGCCTGGCACTCTTAAGGTTGTGGGTTCAAGCCTCACCTTACCCAAGTTGAGGTGAATTTTAAAGCCTTGTGTCTTCAAACGACAGTGAAATAGGAAAAAACCAGAAGACTCCTCTGTGTCCACAGCGCTCAGAGGATAAGGAGACTGCCTGGCACTCTTAAGGTTGTGGGTTCAAGCCTCACCTAACCCAAGTTGAGGTGAATTTTAAAGCCTTGTGTCTTCAAACGACAGTGAAATAGGAAAAAACCAGACGACTCCTCTGTGTCCACATGGCTCAGAGGATAAGGAGACTGCCTGGCACTCTTAATGTTGTGGGTTCATGCCTCACCTAACCCAAGTTGAGGTGAATTTTAAAGCCTTGTGTCTTCAAACGACAGTGAAATAGGAAAAAACCAGAAGAGTCCTCTGTGTCCACATGGCTCAGTGGATAAGGAGACTGCCTGCCACTCTTAAGGTTGTTGGTTCGAGCCTCACCTTACCCAAGTTCAGGTGAATTTTAAAGCCTTGTGTCTTCAAACGACAGTGAAATAGGAAAAAACCAGACGCTCTGTGTCCACATGGCTCAGAGGATAAGGAGACTGCCTGGCACTCTTAAGGTTGTGGGTTCAAGCCTCACCTTACCCAAGTTCAGGTGACTTTTAAAGCCTTGTGTCTTCAAAGCGCAGTGAAATAGGAAAAAACCAGAAGACTCCTCTGTGTCTACATGGCTCAGTGGATAAGGAGACTGCCTGACACTCTTAAGGTTGTGGGTTCAAGCCTCACGTAACCAAAGTTGAGGTGAATTTTAAAGCCTTGTGTCTACAAACGACAGTGAAATAGGAAAAAACCAGAACACTCCTCTGTGTCCACATGGCTCAGTGGATAAGGAGACTGCCTGGCACTCTTAAGGTCGTGGGTTCAAATCTTGTACAGGGTGTATTTTAAAGTCCAGCAGCCAAAGTTCCAAGATAAAAGGGCACGAACATCATGCCCAAATGTGGACGGTATCCGGTGGCGCAGCGGGTATGCAACTGACACCCCCCCCCCCCCCCCGGTCTTTCCAGAGAGATACAATAGGGGGGTTATGCTACAGGAAGTCAGAGCAGGCTGAACTTTAGAGTAAGGATGGGTAGAAAGGGTTGATGGGGGGATGATCTGCTCAGCCGATGGTCATACAGACCATCAGAGGGCGTCCCCAATAAGGCTTGAACCCAATGACCCGTGTGGACACACGAGACAATCATGTTTTTTTTCATATATCACTGTACTTTGTAGACTCTAGACCTTCAAAATTCACCAAGAAGTGGGCAAGGTAGGACTGGAACCTATGACCTCAGGAGTCACAGTCAGTGTTCTTATCCCCTGAGCCACTTGGACACACAGGATTATACCATTTGTTTCCTCTTTCACTTTCCTGTCTAGACACTAGACTTCAAAATTCACCTTGTCCCGAAAAAGGCTCGAACACACCACCTCAGGAGTCCCCATCAGTCTCGTTATCCTGTGAGCCATGTGGACACAGAAGACCAACATGTTTTTTTTTCATATATCACTGTACTTTGTGGACACTAGATTTCAAAATTCACTTAGAACTGGGCAAGGTTGGACTCGAAGCTATGACCTCAGGAATCCCTTCACAAATGTGTTGATGGCTGGACATTGCATCATCCTAGAAAACTTGGAGGCCAGTGAGGACAAAAATAAAAAGTTATAAGACTTAAGAATGTGGATTTTTGGGTTATCTTTGGCGCCCCCTAGAACCTAAACCGTGGGGTGCAGCGTCATGATTTGTACAACTGTTAATGGCCATGGGGTGTAGATTGGCCTGAGCAAATTTGGTGCCGGTGGAACAAAAGCCTTCTGAGGAGTTAGCGAAATTTCAATGTGTGCGGATCGGCAAAAAATCCGAAATAGCCCTTTAACGGTACATTTGACAGATACGCCCGTGCTGACTTTTTTGTAGATCTTATTGAGATACACGTGTGTGTCAAATTTTGGGTCATTTAGACAAAGCGTACAGGCGTCAGGTGAGTTTTCACCTTAGGGGGCGCTTTGGAGCCATTTTTCATTTTATTGTTTGGGCGACTTCAGAATATCAAATTTTTCACCAGGCCCGGTCGTCCTGCCAAATTTCCAGAGTTTTCGCCAGTGGAGAGTGGGCCATTTTCCAGTTTAAAGCGGAGGAAAAATAATGAAGAAGAACCCATACAGGAACAAGAGGGCTCTCGCAGCTGCTTAGCAGCTACGCTTGGGCCCTAATAATAAAAATAATATTACATTGATGAATATGATTGAGATGGTCAGTGCAAAAAGTTGATACTGGTGATGTTGGTTGTTTCTCACAGTCCAGAGACTTGTTACCATTGGCGATGGTGATGCTGTTTGACTTCCAAAATAGCAAGTTTTTCTTGCTTGAACGTTCAACGAAGGATGGAGATGAGCCTCTGCATGAAGTCAGGAGCATGGAGAGAAGTCTGCTGAGGTTTGTGTTGGTTAAAGGGATATTCCGGCGTAAAATTAAGTTGGGGTCATACACACCGTAACATCGAGTTAGACAAACCCCTCAACAGAGGAATGTTGCCGACCGCTTTCTGTTGATGCAGTTAGGTGCTGTTCTGAGCATTATTTGTGGCTACAGAGTAGCGTTTTGGTTGAGGTTTGTTTATGGCTCCTCAGCCTGCTGTGTATTGCTATCGTGCGGTCGTTACTAAAGTTGGTATAACTGAAGGAGCAAGTGGTCGTCAACATTGATCTCTCAAGGGGGTGTCTAACTGGGTTTTACAGTGTGTTTAACCCTAAATTAATTTTACGCTGGAATATCCCTTTAACACCTATACTTTCAACATCACTTTAAATACACATAATGCAACTTTGTCTTCAGATCAGATTAGATATGAAGATAAGTCAATATTGAGACATCTGCTAAGTGCTGTGTGTATGTGTATCCGCGCAGGTGTAAGACAAAGCTGGCTGCATCGCTGGCTCGCTGCAGAGTGAAACAGAGCCTGCAAAGCGTCTCCTGTTTTTTGTCTGAACCTGTAAGGACCAAACAGCACAGAGCAAAACATTTGCCTCTTTACGCATGGGTCAATACTTTGAAGACCAGGTATGTTTACACACACTCAAAAAAAAAAGGCCATGCAGTAGGGGGGGGGGGGGGGGGTCGCACAGTTTGGGGTTAAAGGTAAGTGAAGCCCACTGGAGCATATCTGAGACAGGAAGTTTCAGCATTTCCACAGCTCCAGGGTAAGAAGAGCCTCTGTGGTTGGTGATGTAAAACTAAACACTGCAGCGCCGTTCTCCGCTCTGTTAAACAGTCAGTCTCTGTCTTAGCCAGTGATGCTTTTGAGTCTCAATTTTTGTTGTGGATGCGTTTCTCTTCATGTGGGGCAGAATGACGTGCCTTGTATAAATTTCTGCTATAATAAAAAAACTCTACCTCCTGACACGTTTTATCTCCCCTCTTCTTTGTAGTGTTGAAGAGGTGTGTAAAGCCTTAAAAAGCGCCGGTTTGAGTGAAGTGAAGAACTTGTCTGATCTCAAGGAGTCAGCATTTTGCCGAGACCCTCTCTGTCAGGATACACTTGTATTCTCTCAACAGCTTCATGCTCTGCTCCTGCACAGCACAGTTACATATGCAGTGAACATACAGGCAAGTATCATTTTAAGTGTGCACAGAAGTGTGTGACTGAACTACAAACAAGTAAAATACGCTAATAAGGGAGAGGGAGGTGTCTTTCGCCTCTAGAGAATACTCTTAAAGATAAAAGGGGAAAAAACTAAAAAGCACATTCATTTGACAGTAGTGGAGGTACATGGATTGTAGACTGTAGAAAAGTCTGTGACTTTCGTTGATGAAGGTTAATACCTGATGACGCCTCATGATAATGGTTACCAGATTAAAAATGCAGACCCTTATGTAACGTTCAATTAGGGGAGACTGGGGCTTGTTGTCACACATTTTACACTCTTATATATTTCTTGGAATCAATACATCATATATAAACAAAATGTGAACCAGATGAAAGACTAAAGTCTCAGGTATATATGTCATATTCATGTCACTTTCATATCTTGTGTCACTGCATAGTTATAAGCAGTCAAATAGAGAGTGTGAACATGTGACATGTTGCCCCACCATCGGGTAAGTTGTCTCACTGCATGGGGTAAGATGTCATGCTGGATTTTGCAGCTTATAAAACAAAGACAAAATTATTGTTGTTATAAGTTTTTACATGAAAGTGAACATCAAAGACAGGCACAGAAAATGTTTATCATTGAGCTTGAAAAATTCAACAAATGCTAACATAAAAAATTATGCAACATGCTCTGGAGTTTGGAGAGCTGTCTGACTCTGTGTTTTGGCTGGGGTGAATGTTTAGCATTACCAAGCCAAGGTATGGTAGTTGACATTAAAGTCCTTTATCTTACTCCAGATTGATTTATTAGCGAGGGTCGTCTGTCTGTTAATTTTTTTTACTTTGGGTTGTACAAAATGGTGAATTGATGCTCATCTCAGCTCACAATGTAAACATTCCCCGTTAGCAAACAGCAGATAAACACAGTTGAGAATTTCATTCAAGGGCTGGTGAAGGAAAGTGAATAAATGAAAATAGAAGGATGACATTGCTCTGCCGCTGTTGAATGCATCAATAAACACCTGTTTGGAAGTGTACCTTTTGAAGTAAATAGTGAGGTTACTGATTCTGGAGAGAGTTTGCTATTTTGTCACTACACCCAAGCCAACAGCTCACCTTAAGAAACACAAACCTCCAAATTTATCTACTTGCATTGAAAGAAAACAACCCTACGACAACAACAACCACCACTACTATCCCATAACAAACATTATGTGGCAGAATCAGGTCACTGCCTGAGGGGTTAGTCCGCTTTAATACCAGGAGCAATTGCCATCATAGTTCAGCTCTGTTCTTCCTAATCAAGAAAAAAACACATTAATAACCAGCAGCTGTTCATCTATTAACTGCTGCATCTTAAAGCTCCTATGAGGAACTCTAGTTTGTGTCATTTTTGGCGCCCCCTGTGGACAAAACAGTCTTTACTCATGAGGACTCAATGTTCTCTTCTCTCCTCAGATGGGACACATCCTCTGACCATGTAAAGGAATAAAACTAGTATTCCACTTTTTATTTGCGCCCTCCTGTGGCAAAGATAATTGCAACGTGACAACTTACCTATGTGACAACAAGCCCTGGTCTCCCCTACTCTTGAAACCAACTAGGCAAAGATAATTCTTATCTTAATTGTTGTCTTTTTGCTAATATTATCATTACCACCTTACATAGATGCCCCAGAGGCGTTGTTGGCCTCACAGTTTAAGTGTGCTCCATGTACAGATGTTACAGACCTCATTATGCTGCTCATGAGATTCCTGATCCTGGCATCGCTTGTTGATGTCCTGTCACTTCCTGGCTGCTCTATCAAAACATTAGCAAAGTGATTAAAAAGCTATCACTAGTTTATTCTTAGTGTAGCAAGCAACTCACCAACTACTCTGTTTTCTGGTGTCTTCTGTATCTGTCTCTCTTTGCAGGACAGGAGTGTGTGCATAGCAGTTAGTGCGTTACGCCCCCTGCTGTTTGAAAATGGGGACGTGCTCATGGTGGGCTCTTTCTCTGCCATGACTGTGGCTCATGTAGCCGTCGTGGCCGCTGCCCGCTCTGGACGAGTGTTGGTGTGCGGCGCCGATCACACACCTTCACACATCGAGGAGATACAAGAGCTGCTCAGCCAAATGGACATAAAAAGTGAGGATATAATTAAATATTTGTACTCATGCACACTCACTCCAATTGAAAAAGTTTTGTTTTGTTAATTTTCCCCCATGTAGATGTCAAAGTCCTGACAGAAGCGTTTTTTGGTCTGGATGAGTGGGACAACGGCGTCCAGCGTTTAAAGGTCATCATAGTGCTGCCTCAGTGCTCATCCTCCGCCCTCAATGACCCAGTACCCACTATGCACAGTGAACGCGGAGGTAGGCCATGTCATAACAGAGAAGGGGACACAGAACATAAAAGAGGGAAAGTCACCCTTCAATTTTCACTGTCAAAGTCAGAGGCAAAACGGCCTTTAAAAGAAGAAAAACAAGAGGAGAAACAAAGAGTGAATTAGAAAGTTGATCTATTGATTTATTTATCGTCAATCAAAATAACACTTTCATTCTGCTGACAGACTGGAATCTGCTGCCGGACTTGTCTCATGGCTTCTTATCTCAGAGCAGAAAACATACAATGACCACACAGCAGACACGACTACTTTCACACTCTCTCTCCTGTAAGTAAAAGCAGAAATCACAATCAAAGAGAAATGTATGAACTCTCTTAAAACCGAAACACAGTAATATAAAAGTGGATTTTTCTTTGTTCTTCATTTTCCCTCTCTCAGTCCCAAAGGTTCAGACAGTGGTCTACTGCACACGCTCGGTGTATCCAGAAGAAAACGAACAGCTGGTGAAGAGAGTGTTGGAGAAAACACACTCCTCCTCTAAACTGCTGCCTTTCAGGTAAACACAAGCAATGATGAGAAACAATATCTACAGAAAAGAACGAGCTGATATTATAGCTCATTATCGAGCTTTTGATTTGGTAATCAGGATTTTCATTACCTGTTTCCAGGCTCACAACAACAGTTTAATGAGAGCGCTGATACCAGTCATGCCCTGTTTTTACTACAGGTCAAACATATAAATATAAAGCCACCATGTTTATAAGGAAATATTGTTCTATGTGCAGATAAAGTAAAACAAGAAGATTACAAGCCTTTATAAAGAGCAAGTTTTACATAAACTAGACCTGCAGGTTCAGTCATTAGGCTTTCAACACCTCAGAGACTCAGTTAGTCTCGACCAAAGAGATATCATAAAAACTCTATTCCAGTCCAAGCCACTGTTCAGTCAGATAAGAATAGACCATTTTGCACATCATACACAAACATTTGTATTTTTAAGGACAACCACTGGGGTTTATGGCCCATTCAATATACATGCCAACAGGCCAAGCTGACACGTTCCTGCTCACCGTAGGCTTCACTTTGTTTTAATAGGTTTTAAAATCACTTTTTCAGAGAAAAGTTTTAAGATAAATAATGAGCCGTGGAAATAATGGAAATAATTTGTCCTTTCGATAGTTTTACAGGTGTCCTAACTTCAGCGGGGGACTTTTGTTGTAGTACTGCCAGTGGGTAAAGGTGAAATTTGAAGCAAGGCTGGGGGCACTATAGGCAGGTTTTGATACCATAGCCATGGACTTAATCAATGCACACAATTCCATTACCTAAATACTATCTGCTCCACCATGTCAACTATTTTCACATGTTGTTGTTACAGGTAATAGTATAAAGTGGCACCTACAGGTATTGTAAAATGACGCCTACGCTGCACTTCCTTGGTTGTCGTCTTGATCAGAGAGATCCTTTCAGAGCCCAGATCATAATCTCTACTTTTACAGCAAATTTAATCATGTTCAGATCCTTGAACCTGGTGGTGTGGTAGCTGCTCACCAAGCTGCAGGTCTGTGGTCCTCTTTGCAGTTCCTTAGATTTATAGAGGCGGAGTTCAGTCAGCATTTTATATATGGGTACCACCATTATTGGGCTTCATAACACCTCCTCAGAAAACAGTGGGCGACGTCACTGAAACTGCATCTTCGTTTTTTTTACAGTCTTTGTCTAAAAGCTTGACTACTTTTAAAGGTAGTCAAGGGACTTTGTATCTGTCCACATAATAAAATAATTAACAGACCCATTCATATAAGTGTGGTTTGAGGGTACTAGGGTAATAGTCACTAATTGGATCACTGATTCTTGTCTTCATGAGGGTGAATGTAGCCAACAGACAAATGGAGATTCTCTCTTAGCATACTTTCAAAAGGAAAAAGTCTTTACACAAAGCATAATAGAGCTAAACTGATCATTAAAGATTAGCAGGGAGCATGTGAGCTCAGTTTACAGTCTCATAAACAAATAGCTCAGCTCAAACAGCTGCTCATTCAACACCGAAATGTGTTTCTAACTGCAGAACCCGTTCATGAGCGCTGAGCTTTATCTCTGAGTTTAACAGACTGCTGGAGGGACTTTTACAGATGCAGAGAGAGTCACTAATGTCTGTGTTTTGTATATATGACAAGGCATCTCATAAATCTACAAATACTGTGTGGTTCATGTGTGAGTGTGTGAGGGTGATGACAGGATGAAAAATACGCTGTGGTTACCGTGGGGGCGGCAGTTAATCTCACATTTGTAGTGGATGAGGTGGAGAAAATGTTAGAGTCTGTTTCACGCCTGCTGCTCCAGACAAGTTACTTCTTGTCATCCATCCTCTCAGATATAGATATTTTTTAGCATACGTTTGCTTTTTAATCAACTGACCAATATTTAACTTGACAATCAGCAGCTGCCCCCTCCACCATATTTATTTATTTATTTTTAAACATTATCTACTGTGGGGCTTTGTTGCCTTAAGTGCTTTCAGAGGAGTTATTTTGCTCTAATTTAGAGTTTGATTCTCTAAGCCATCATAAAATGCTTTCCATATTTATAAAGAGATCAATTTCTATCATAAATTTATAAGATATAAACAGTCCTAAACGAACACATACAGTATGGTCCCCTCAGGTTATCAAATGGAAACTTGACCTGTAACAATACTCTTCAACTATGCTGCTCCATGGTCTCCTCTGATGTCAGTTTTGCATTAAGAGGTGGAAACTATCAAGTGTTCAGGTGTAAATTAAGTTTTACCGTGTGAGACTTCCTGTGAAGACTCTCACATATGTGAAACTTAATGGACGGGAACATGACCTCTAAAACTTAAAGAATCTTCACACAATCACACAAATCTTGGTGCCAGTTTCAAGTCTAAGAAAAGTGGGTCAAAAGATTGCATACATAGACTTCATATAGAATGAACGCCATCTGCCTCCTGCTAGGTGAAGCCAACCCGTGAACAGCACCCTCTGGTGACGGGCTGCAGTATAGGTCATAAATCTCGCCTCTTCCAGCGATCCCTATGGAGTGGTGGACAAACTTTAGAAACTTATTACACAGAATATACATTTTTCTACCCCCTGGTTGTGATGTTGACATGTAGTTATTGTAAGACTGGTTTGTGCTGAAGTCCTCTTTTTTCTGTACAGCTCCATTTTCAAAAGTTATTAGGGGGCTCAAGTTTTCAATAATTGACACCTGATACAGCCTATGGAGTTACAAAGTTTGCGTAGCTCACCCGAGGGATACGCTGTTTGCGCGTCATCACAGCGTATAGTATATACAGTCCATTATTGCATAGGTGAACCATGCATCACAATCAAAAATGTACATAGTGGATTTGAACCACAGATGAACACAAGTCACTTTTTTTGCAAGTCCAAGTCGAGTCTTCGGTCTCTGAGGGCTGTTTCTATTAAACTACCCCATTTATGTCACGTACCTCTACACAGTAGAGTCAAGTCAATTAGAGAAATATTTAATACTGACTTGTAAATCGTGGCCAAAATAGTTGATTTCAACCTATGTCCGTCTTCTGACGAGGCAAAAAGCCAATCATTGTTCAGGATTTTGGGGTGTTCAGTCAGATTTTTGAATCTACCCTTAAAAACTATCACTTTCCCTTTTTTTTACCAGCTTTCTTCCTAGTCCAAGTCAAGTCTCAAGTCGGGTCAGTGTGTGTCTCAAGTTTAACTTCACTCCCTATCTCTGATTGAACCCACATTTACTGTGACAAACCTGGCACACCTTAACTATGGTCAACCAAGTTTGAATGTTGAAACCTCAGCTGGTGCTCACAGGGTTACATCGACAAGACTTTTAAAAGCATGAGATCCCAAGACACAGAGGGCCGCCAAAATCCCAGTTCTGTGTATTGATTAAACTCTTGGCCTGAAATGGGTTTGGAACAGATTCCCTCTAATGTTTTATTGATGTTAGTTTTACAAATTACAGTAACTTTCTTGATGTTTCTACACCGGATAAAAGAGACACCTTATCAAGAGTGTAAAACAGTGTCTTTGATCTCCTTTGTTTCACTGTCACACCTTGATGTATTGATGGAGAGGTAGACTGTGATATTACTCTTTGATATGTTACAGGTGCAGCACATCAAACTTATTATCAAAACCATCTTTGATATCGGCCGCTGTCAAAGATGCCAAAGAGTTTTTATTTTACAGCTTTTGAGGGTATGGAAATCTGGCTCATCAAACTTTTGTGAAGGTTAATTTTAAAGAAGAAGAAAAAAAGTTGCTGCATCTTTTAAAATATAAGCTCACTAAAACTCACCTCAAGAGTACTTGGCCTGGACCCCCTTAAAAGGATAACGCTGAAGGGTGCGATTTTAAAATCTGAAGAGCGGTCATTCTGCTCATAATACCAGTGAGTGTGAATAACCACTCTGGGCGAGCTTTCGGTGAGAATTTTAATGGGAATGAAGGTCATCATATTCATATTTAAACAGACTTTAGTCACTGTTTGGTCCACAGAGAATTGTGAACCAACATTCACTAACTTTTCTATGGTTGAGGGCACTCACAGCAGATGTTCAATAAACAGCAACCAGCAGGGACAGCTGGCTGTGAAGGACCAATAAACATGCATGTCCTCTGGCTTTGAGATGAACAGTATGTGTGGAGACACACTATAAGGCTGGTGGACATACTCATTAAACTACATTTACAGTAAACAGCTGAGCTTTTAAACCAAGGGTGTGTCCAGAAGGGGGGAAAGAGGTGGCAAGGGCCCCTCTGGTGCCACCAAAGAGTCTTCAAGTTTGATTGGTAGTGTTGTGTCATTCGTGAATGATTCGTTCAAAAGAACAAATCTTCTAAGTGAACATACTGAACCGAATCACTTCTTTAGGTGATTCGTTCGTTTCTCAGTTCAGTTGAGCTGTAGGAAGTGCAGCTGCCATAGCAAGTAGCATTGCCGGGTGAGCAGTTGGCGAGCAACTGCAGGGAGGGAAGGACTGCATGCATACCCACAGCACTCTCGTATCTAATGTAGAGTCGTTCATGAATGTTTCGTTCTACAGAAGCTCAGCTGCGAGCCTGGCATGCCGGTCAGGAGTGGAACTGCCGCCTCTGACTCTTTGGCGAACAACACACAGCCAGCCAGCAACGAGTGGGCGGGCGGGCGGAGTCTCTTGATTCACTCACAGCGAATGAACGACATGTATTAGTCAGTGAACGAAACGTCTGTGAACAACATGTATCAGTACGTGACGGACTGATTCAGTCAGTCTGTGAACAACATGGTGAACGAAACGAACGACTTCCGAATGACTTGATGCAGGCAGAGGAGGGAGGGGTGTAGCGTCGTTCACTTACTGCTGAACACTGGTTTATTCACTGAGGCTAAGATAAAACAGTGCATTATTGTGCCTTTACAATGATTCATGTGTATAAACTTTCCCGCAAGAAGGATTTAATTTCAGTCGATTTAAAGCAAAACGCTATTTGATATCTTTCAACACAGCTGCTATGTTTATTTATTTTTAATCTCTCCACTTTTACGCGAAATAAAAGAAAAATGACCCACGCTCGTTAGCGGGCATGCTGCTAATTTTTTGTCGAGTCATTTTAATGAACAGATTTTAAAGATTCACTAAAGTCAAAAGAAATGTTCTTCCCATCACTACTCGGAAGTCAGAGTCTCCTCCTGCCAAGTGCTGAATGATTCAGGGATTTGGTGAACAAATCTTTTGAACGAATCTTTTCAGTGAACTGTTTTTAGTGATTCAGTACAACAGAGAGAACTGCCTTGCCCATCACTAATGATTGGCATTGATTTTTTGAGGCCTTTCCACAAACTATTTTGGCTGCACTGCAATAGACTATCTTCCTTTTGAGTTTTTTAAATATGCATATAATAAAATAGATGTTGCATGGATGTAATAGGCGTAGAAGCTAAAACAGATAAGTGAAGAGGGAAAATGAGTAGATTAATTTGGGAGCGTGTGCACATTTGCGTCATGCCACCCCTGTATGAGTGAGAACCCAAGTCTGATTTATACCATTAAACTTAACCAGGAGTTACATAATATTTCTTTATGTCCAAATGTCCTTATAAAAGTGGTAGGTGACCTGGGTAAAAAGATCATTTTGTAGATTTTTGCATCAACTGATCTGTAACAAAACATTAAATGTGCCACAAAAATTTGTACAGAAATATTTCCTGTAATTATTTGTCAAAGTACTTTTTAACAACCTCTCCACCTGCTGCTCCGACTCTCAGGGTGAACGGTCCGGTTTTTCCTGTTGAGTCTGCATCAGGAGACGCAGCAGACCCCCGGTTCTTCAGACTGGAACCATCACAGCTCACGAACGGCTGCTTCATCGCACGGCTGTCCAGACAGGTGAGAGGCAGAGGACGTAAACATGTGAGAGGGAAAGACTGAAAGGGAAAAGAGCGAGAGGGACGTTTAGAGGGCAGAGTTGTGTTTGGAGATTGAGTAGTAACAGAGATTGTACGCTGTGTGTGTGTGTGTGTGTGTGTGTGTTTGTGTTTGTGTGTGTGATTGCTCTGCGGCGAGACCTTCCAGTTGTGCTGAGGCTGCTCTTTTTAACTGTCTGTCTGCAGGGAGGTCAGTTGGCGCTGCTTGTCTGCACCATGCACACGCACACACACACTTTCTCTCTATCACACACACACATACACACACACACTCAAAAGACTATCACTCTGACACACTGCAGCACTATTCCAAACTCCATAAAAAGCAGACATGTTCAGGATGAAATATGCCTCGACTTGTGAAAGATTTCTGTATTTTACAGCGAAGATGAATGGATAATTCTCTCCATCTTCCCTGTCCCCTTCAGTCTTGTTGCATCACCTCATTGTTCTGTCTCTCTCCTCCACTCATAAAAACAAGAAAATACAACAGAGGGAAGTGAAAAGCTGCTCTTCTGATTCCCTGCAGCTCAAGAATGGTGCAGGGAGGGGACTGTGCCTGTATATGTTTATATCAATACTCATACACACTCCCACAAGCATTCTGGATAATTAAAACATAACGATTATCACATCTAATTGCATTAGCCTCCACTTTTACAGTGATAAACGGGACATTAAAGCTGTGGGATACTCTTGGTGGTCCAGTGCTGCTCACATGAATGACTGTGCAGGAGAGGACGCTTCAGAGAGATCTTGAATGGTATCAGACAGTGACAGCAGGGAAAGCAGAAAGAGACAGAGAGTGGAGATGAGGCAAGAGAAAAACTCCAGGAAAGTAGAGAGACTCAGAAAAGCAGACTTTATGATGCAAGCCCCTGTTTTAAAAACCTGCCTTCTGCAAAGTGGAGAGCACGTCTTAGTTAGATGAATGTATATTAGGCACTTTTATGAATCACTAAATGATGCTGCCATATGGAGAGGACAGGGAAGGGTATCAGCAGCTGGTTAGAAGTCCCTACACACCAATGGTTTAAATTTGGAGGAGGCGATGACTGCGCACTGGAGTGTGCTGATCCACTTAAAGCTCTGCTAAAAGTCTATGTAGCACTAGTAGCAGTAAAATGCTAGCGTGATGGAGCTTGTGTCCACTGGAGGTTATTAATTTCTTTTTAGCCGGCAGAGCCAGGGACGAAACTTCTAAACTGTCACATCTCTTCAAAAGCAATATACACAAAGAAGAAGAAGAAGCAACAGGCTGCTAGTGAGCTAGCTGTAGCAGCCTTCTGGGGGATAATAAGGCACTTAAAAAAACGGATGATTAAGAAAAAAAAATTGATTAAAATATGTTTTCAAGAGCAAGCATCACCATAATTATGATGGACTATTTTGGCCATATTAAGAAAAAAAAAAGAAGACTTCAAGAAAATCGGTGGTCCGCCACATTCATCTCTCGACGGGGTGTTTAACTTGGTGTTATAATGTGTTTGACCCTAAATTAATTTTACGCCGGAATATCCCTTTAAGTCCAAGTACCATATTGGAAGTAAAAAAGTTGTATCGGGACACCTCTAATGATAAACTATCTATTTGTTAATGCTTTTCTTCTATCTATCTATCTACTGTACACAAAATACAGTGATATTGATAATGGGAATCTCACTCGTGTTGTACATTTTTGTTCGTAAACAAAATACTTCAAAAATTAAAAGTTACCTCTACGGCTTCAGTGAAGTTCGGGCATCATGAAAGTAATGACAATGCTGTTGAACAAACATGTCACATGATCAGCATGGACGTCCTGAGGCGAAATAATGAAGGAAATCAATAATCCAAAGATCTATTTATCAAGACATAAAAGCAAAAAACACTTTAAAAGCATCTACAAGGCTGCCATCACCCATGCGTCTCTGCGGTATACTGTAATCTGCTCCATTTTATTACTAACTGCATAATTAAAGTGTGGGAGCTTAAAATGACTTAGAGCGCACAGTTAAGAAATTGAAAAACAGTGTAAAGGAAGATTAAACACTGAGAGTGAAATAAAAGATGCATATGCAGTTTTTTGAGCTGTGCAGCGAACGTGATTTAACTTTAATACGAGAACAGATAATATAGAGAGTGAACATTATGAAAGGAGAGGGAATGTATGCATATATATGTGAGCATATACGGTAAATTCCAAGCATACACAAGCTAAATTGGCACACTTGGATTAGTTTGGATGTAAAAGGCACCAAACCCCATGAGATCCCCTCTTCTCAGTCTCTTCTCCTTCCTTTAGCAGGTTCCTTGTTGTGGCTTATGGCTCATTTTTCTGCAGTTGTAAAGATCTCCTCGGTGTGATGTTATCCCAGGGGATTGTTGTTTTTAATGTGTCGTATCTTCACATCAAATCTCAAGCTGTCCTTGCTCTTTTTCAGGCGGATCCCACAAAAGTAGAAACAGTCCAGGACGTGCTAGCAAGGGCAGCGGCAAAGGGCCTCCTGGGTGGAATAATTCCTGAACAATCAAAAACCGGTAAAAAGGGGAAAAGCAAGAAGAAGCGCGGAGCTTCGGCGGGTAGCAAACCCTCTTCGCCCCACAGCTATGAGAGGGAGACAGGAGAAGAGCTGGAGAATGGAAAAGATCAAGTCGCAGCTTCAGATCAGGAAGAGCAGAGAGGTGAATCTAACGAGGAGGAAATAGAGGTTAAGGGAGGGAAGAAGAAGAGAGGGCTAAAAGGCCAGAAGAGAAAGGCCAAACAGAGCAGCAGGACTACAGCTGGCTCCAAGAACCCCTCTCAAAGTCACAAGAAAAAACCAACGAAGAGAAAAACGAAGGGGCGTCTCATGAAAACCAAACCGAGGAGGATACCTCGTCTCACACTGTCATTAATATCCTCAGCAAAACCCCCTAAACACTTGTCTCCCATCACAGCCCTGGCACACAAGCTGATCGACGCCCCTGCAGTTAACCAACAGCTGACTGTCTTTAGCACCCCCTCCTCTGCCAGATCTGCTCGCCCTGCTCCACCTGCGGCCTCCAAGCCGGTGCAGAGAGAAAGCGTAGAGACAGTCAAAGAGAGAAAAGCTGTTAAAGATGAACCGGGCTGTTTGTTAAAGACCACAAGAAAGGCTGAAAAAACAAAATCAGAGGTGGTTGCAGAGACAACATTAAAGGAGTCTGATTTCATCCTGCCGCCCATTTCTTCCCCCTCCTCTGGTTCTCTGAGCGGCAGGAGTGTTAGTTCTCCCTCCCAGCGCCCATCTCAGGCCTCCCACTCTGAACTCGCCCAAATATCTGCATCCTCCTCCTGCGTCTCTCTGCCTGGATTGTAGACCTGGGGATCAGACTCACCAGTGGGGGAAATAACATTAGCAGTGCAGTGTTGAGACCACAGGAAGCAGACGAACAAGTAACTTTTCAAAAGTATTTAATTTGGATGATTGTATTGAGATTATCTACAGCTTGATACTATGGTCTGTGTGTGTGTTTTTTTAATTTTTTTTTTTTACTGTTTTCCACATAACAGAGTGGCTACTTGCAGTTTGCACAAATTCTCACTAAATACAAAACCATTAATCTCAATAATTTCTTGCTGTGTGCTATACTGAACACATGGCAGATGGCAGCCCTCATGTTCCTATTTAGACACGGAAGACTCAGTTTGAATAAACAAAACCAAGCTTGTCTTGTTAAACGCTGCTAAATACAATACGCTGCGCCTTTAAGTGTTGAATGCTTCAAATTTCTTACTTAAAGGGATATTCTGGCTTAAAATTAATTTAGGGTAGAACACACTGAAATACAGAGTTAGACATTCTCTCAAGAGATGAATGTTGCCGACCGCTTGCTTCTCTAGTTATACCAACTTTAGTAATGATCGCAGTATAGCAATACACAGCGGTCTGAGGAGCCATCAACAAACCTCAACCAGAACGCCACTCTATAGTCACAAATAATGCTCAGAACAGCACCTAACTTCATCAACAGTACATATAGGGTCCCAGCCATAGCACTAGCCAACAAACATCTTCTTAGCTTTGCTGGCTTTCTTCAGCAAAGAGACTAAACACAACTCACCTACTCTCTTCCAGCAGCCGCTTGTTTATAGCGAGACCTTGGGCCAGCCCATATTGGACTGCTGCGGGGTGACACAGCTCAAGGAAAAACATTTATAATCATTTCTTTATCATTTCCTTGAAGTAATAATCACCATTTGAATCATTTGCACTGCAGACGTGGTAGTTCTTCTGCCTTAGCGTCTTGGTCTGATTGCATTTCCATGAAGAAATGATCATAAATGTTCTTCCTTGAGCTGTGTCACCCCACCGCAGTCCATAATGGACTGGCCTGAGGTATCGCTACAAACAAGCGGCTGCTGGAAGAGAGTAGGTGAGTTGTTTTTAGTCTCTTTGCTAAAGAAATTAGGCAAAGCTAAAAAGATGTTTGTTGGCTAATACTACGGCTGTGACCCTATATGTCCTGTTGATGAAGTTAGGTGCTGTTCTGAGCATTATTTGTGGCTATAGAGTGGCGTTTTGGTCGAGGTTTCTTTATGGTTCCTCAGACTGCTGTGTATTGCTATCATGCGGTCGTTACTAAAGTTGGTATAACTAGAGAAGCAAGTGGTCGGCATTCATCTCTCTCGGGGGTGTCTAACTCGGTGTTACAGTGTGTTTGACCCTAAATTAATTTTACGCAATAATATCCCTTTAAGTAAGACACCCAGACCCCCCTTTCATTACTTACACCTCACTATGTTCAAATAACACCTTACCTGTTGTTACCAGGGGTTGAAAAACTACAAACAAATTCTGTTGGGGTTTGAACTTGCACTCTTTGCCTTGATTCCAACTCTGTGACCACAGTACATGTTGAAGAACCCGGGATCATGGTGTTGTCATTTTTGCATCTTTTCTCTAAAATTCATTTCAAACAGTCTGAGCCATGAGTTCATTAAAAAAATGAATAAAAACAAACAAATTAAGTGTGAATCACACACACAGAGGCCAGATGCTCTATATTATAATGCTGTTTATTCTCACAACTGGTTACATTGATAAAGTGTACAAATCAGTGAGCAGCAAACGGAAGCTAACACATCCACCAGTGGGACTTGTTGGATTGTTGTTGTTCATTTGTGTGAGATTGACAGATACACTGGGAGTCCACCACTGTTACATCACCTTCATCCTCTTCCTCACCCCTGAACCACTGATGGACTCCCAGCTCTGAGTGCGCTGTACAGGGTGAAGATATATTTCCTTTTTCTGCCTGTTTCTGCGAAGCGGAGCGTGTTGTTGTAGCATTGTGAGTTAACCAGAGACTGAGACAATGACACCAAGTCCAGAGACTTCACTTGCCTCAACTAATAAAACCAGTATATACCTTTATAAAATAGAATAAATAAAATAAAAAATATTTCTATTCAGTACATACACCCTTCTCTCAACCGTCCATAGGCATGCAAGGATTTTATGACTTTCATTTCTCGAGATCAAAAGAATGCATAGATAATTGCTCAGTGAGATCAGCATCAACGTAATTGACAACTGTGACAGTTTTCCAATCACTTCTTCTCTTTTCATTATTGGCTCTTGTATTTTTCATATCTACAACAATGTATATCACTATTTTACACTTTGGCCATTTGGTGAGTTTTTCTTTTAAAAAAAGGCATTTCATTAAAAGAAAATAATAGAAAACTACAAGACATTCAAAATGAAAAATAAACATAGCTTATAACAATGATTAATGCCAAATGTTACATTTATATGGATAATATGTACACACAAATGTTGTTGCTTCATTCACATTTCAACATCCTTGTGACAAAAAGGTGAAGTGGCTTCTGTTTCTCATTGAAATCTCAATTAAAGCTCCTACGTCCTTGAATCTCAAACTCATGATGATGTAATCGTGTTGGTTTGCTAAGCCCCGCCCCCTCGGTTACTGCTGCTGCCTATGTCACGCTAAACCTTAAACTGCACACACAGCAGATTTCCGACTCAAAACTTTAAAGTTTATCCAAAAATAATTCAGCTGGATCTCATGCAGGAGTAATCAAAGCAGACTCGTATTCAAGCAGATACTGTTCGCTTGCTAATTTGCTATATAAGCTAAACGGGAGCTCCAGAAGTTTGTTGAAGTAACTGTTTCTTGTTGGTCATGCTATCGTACTGACAAACTAAGACTGGAGTCACATGCACCAACGAAAAGCTAGCGAGTTTTGCCGATCATTCTTCAACGTTTGAAATAGTTTTTCTGTGGCCAGTGTGCGGACTGTGATGTTGTGCCCAAACATTCCCAAAACCTGTACAAGGACACTGCTGCCAACACCACCTGTAATATAATGAGTACCGTATTTTTCGCACTATCAGGCACACCTGATTATAAGGCGCACCATCAATGAATGTGTCTATTTTCTTACAGAAGGTGCACCGGATTATAAAGCGCATTAAGCCAAACAAAACAGTCAGATAAGTCAAACTTCATTTAACTTGATCAATAACTCCGCGAGGCTACGGTCACTGCAGTGCTCCGAAAAGCACAAAGGATTTTAAGTGCGCCTTATAGTACGAAAATTACGGTAGTATCACAATGAGCGTATGCCATGAAAAACATTAACCAGTTAGCCCCACAGAGTACATTTTAGTCTTTTTGTTGGTTTATTTTTTTTTTTAAATAAACAGGCTAAACCTTCTTTACTTTTCACTTCCTGATTTTTGGATTTGTGGCAGCCATAAAAAACACGACAGTTTGACAAGGCAGCATCATCTAGTTACTGTTCTTTCAACTAGGATGGAGGGATGTAGCGAGCAGCAGACAGTCATCCGCTGTCGTGTTTTTGTACATTTAAAGGATTACATCACTAACACCGTACACCCGACATTTTCAGATGTGTGATGATAAAGGCTAGCAGTGTTGAATTGAGATTTACATGAGACAAACAGACCGAGGCGAGTGATCTTGTGGCATCGATGAAAACGGTCATAAAAAAAGGAAGTGGGTGATGAAAAGATAGTGAAGGCGCATTAAAGTGAACAGAACCCTGGAGACAGGAAGCAGCCCAGGACAGTCCTGTTGGATAAAGTCAACATGTCTCACTGTTGGCTTTTCTCTGTAAAAGAACGGCTGAGGAGGAAAGGAGGTGAACTCGACGCTCTTCCTCTCACCTCCCCAAAGCTCAGCCCATCTGCGGACAAAACCAGCACTACCACACCCAGACACAAACACACATTCCTCCTCTCTTCTTCTTCTTCTTCTTTGCAAGATCATTGGAGACTTTCCTGTTTCCAATCCTCTTATGAAGTCTCTGCTGAGGTGGGATCTAAAGGAATAAAATGTCAAATTTCCTCCAGCATGTGTATTAAAGAGCAGCAGCAGCAGCAGCAGCATGCTGATGTCTCCTGCCTGTAGAGCAGCAGTCTCATAATCTTTACAGCAGGGGGAGGAGTAGACCTCAGTTCATTGCTGCATCTCTTCCTCCATTATGGCTATAGTCTGTCATCTTCCAAGGTGAACGAAAGAACAACACAAGAGGAACAAGGGCGATGTTTTCTGGTGAAAGGTCACCACTCGTTCAGAGCCTCCAGGCTGATTCTTGCAGGAATGAACAAAAAAGCAACAAAAGACAGCGTGGCTTTGATTTCTCATCCCTTCAGTCTCTGAAAGCAGCAGCAGATTGTTGATATTTTCTAGTTTTCTTCTGTAAAAAGTTCATGCACAATCAGTTAGACAGGTTAGACTGAGGGTGTGTGTGTGTGTGTGTGGACTGATGGTCAAATCTACTGTGTCTGTAGCAGCTTCCTTCGATTATTTATCACACACTAATATTAGAAAATCAGACATGATGGCTTCATTTTTTCCAACCTTCCATTTACACCATATGAAAGTCTTCTACGGTTTGTGAGGAAGAGGGAAGAAGGGAGACGAGGCAGCCACTACAAACTATACACTGTATAGAAAGACGGACTAAATAACCGCTCCCCAAAAGTGAAGCCAGAATATTTGCAGCACTTGCAGTCTACGTAATAAAGCTCACTGCCTTTATTCTAACAAATGGGACATCCAAATTTTATTCGATATGCACATCAGACATTTGATCTAAAACGTGATTTCTGTCATGATGGTTTTTATTATGCTTATTTCTGTTAATTCTTGTTTTTATTACAGATTTAGACAATTTTTTGACGCCGTAAAAAAGGTGATTAAAACCTCTGTCAACGATTGCAGCTTGTATGATGCTGTGTTCCCCGATTAACAGTGTAGAAGCCAAACAACAAATCTATTATTATGAATATCTTTTTGAGACTGTGCCGACCTGAGGAATTTTGACCGCTAAATGCTAAATGTTTGTTCAGGGTGGCAGTAAAGGTGGAATGACTGCTGATCCTCTCTGTGCAGAAACAGGCTTCACAAGTCAACAACAGTGCTACACATCAAGGAGTATTTTGGCTTCAATTTTGTACAACAGGAGCAGGTGAAGTCGTGTCATCCATCTTTCTATTCAGTCGACGCTATAGACTAACAGGACAGCTAGGTTACTGATGAGACCAGGTGTTGAAGGTCATGCTCGCAGCACAGACACGGACACAGATACAACTAGCGCATGGAGAGATCAGCAGGTTGGAGGAACTTGAAGGAGAACTTCCTGCTGTAGATTTTACTTCCAACCTCATCCCTGTTACTGCTATGTACACAATCGCCATCGTCACCACAATTCAGGTGCTTCTTCGTGGTCTTTCCTTCTTGATATCCGATAAAGAGTCATTCTTCACTCGGGTCATTTTTTTTAAAGAAGCATATTTGAGTTTCAGGAGCTTATCGACACAAAAAGTCAAACTCAAGTTGTAACCAAGTAAAGTGAAGGAACAGTTGCAGGGTTTCTTAAACCCTGGGGCTTTGCTGTGTTTCCATAGCTACCAGGGTCTACAGTGGTGACAGGTTTTGGCAGAGATATGACTGGTTACCATGGTGACGAGGGGTTGTGGCAGGGAGTCAGTAGGGCTCAATCATGTTACTGCGGCAACTCAGTGACAGGTCTCTTCTGTTTGAGGGTGTCGATGAGCGACAAGACGCCTCTTTTCACGCTGGTGGAGACCCGGCGGGACACGGAGTCACCGGGGGGAGACGAGCCACAGGCCTTCTGGGAGGGGGGTCGAGCTACCAAACACTTCTGGTACCGCAACTGGGAGAGAGGGAAAAAGAAAGAGGAGGAAAGAGAGGGAGAAAGAAGGAGAGAAACAGACATATAGTAAATAAAAGAGAGTTACACCTGCTGAGTGTACGACTGAGGAGGTGTCTGCCTGTGTGTACTAGAGAGAGAGAGAGAGAGAGAGAGAGAGAGAGAGAGAGAGAGAGAGAGTGGTGCAGGCTATTCCCTGTGATCAATAGTAATGACTGATGTTTCTTGTCACCATGAATCAGTTTTAGTGTATGTGTGCCTCTGTGCACCTCTGTGTACCTCTGTATGTGTGTGTGTGTGTGCTTCTCATATATTCAAAGTTGTGATGTGTGATCAATAGCCCAGCTTGCAGTCGATTAATCTTATGACTCACACAGAGCAGTGAGGGCAAAGGAGTGTGAGGAATTGCAGAGGGCATCCTGAGTGTGTGATTATGGAGATTATAATGATCAAATTAAAACGCAATTATGATTCTACGTGTTTGTTACATGGATTAGTGATTCACTCTACATGTGTCCTCTTAAGAAATGTATAACAGGATGGAAAAACAGCTAAACGGAAAATCGACATCTTTCAAGGACAGTCTATGTCAGAGAGGATTAACACAGAACACACTCTGTATTTTCACTTAAGCTGGTTTATCCAGGTTTTAATGGATGTTTTACAGCGACAACAGTTTGACAGAGGAACCTATAACAACCTGAATAGAGATCAGGGTTGGACAGTAAAACGCCAATATATCAGGGCTAAAAACCCGACTCAAACTGAAGTACCATCAAGGACATTTAGTCAGTCCGTTTACATGCACAGTTAAGATGAGCAACGGTTAGAGCTTAATTAGGCAATTTAATTGGACCACTGTCCTTGTCCCAGTACTGAAGCACCAGGCAGGAATCGATTCACTGACTAAAGTCAGCTGGAGTGGTTGGGCGTGTGCTCCCTTTCTGCCAGTTTCTACAGGAGATTTTTATTTGCTTGACCTATCACGTTGCATATGAAGCGCCAAACGAGTTAGCGAGAGAACAAGAGGTCAAAAACCTGGACAGCTTCACAGCTCTGTGACTTTTGTACATACATAAGTTATTTTACTGACTTATGCTGGTGTAGGTCTAAGCCATGCATGCAAACTGTTGAGCGTTTGCAGACCTAAAAGGCCAGTTTGGTTCTGATCACAGTATACACAAGCAAACAAAAGATGCATTTTTCCCCAAACTGTGTTCACCTGGTACAAGTTAGACGTCCAGGAATCCAACTTAGAGCCATTTCAGACAGACTTACATGTTGACATGTATTTCAAAAGTCTAGCTTTAGTCATGGTTAACAGGAAACCAGAAGGTTGAATGAAAGAGCATCTTTAAAGTTAGAGTTGTGGTCCCTCACTGAAGCTGAAATCACAAACTCTGCAGCTATTACCGTGTCTAATGAGGTATTCTTAGGCTTCTGGAGCTTAAACTTATGCAAAAATAACCAAATTTGGTAACACTTTATCTGACACCTATCTCTAATGCATTATAAATATATTTATAGCAATAATCATAACACAATATAAAGCATTCTACCATGACTTACAAGGTCAGGTATTATAATGTGTTATAACTGTTAACAATAGTTGCATTATCTATGTGGGCATTGTCAGTGAGTTGTTAACAGTTTACCATTTATGAGTGTTTATAACTATAGTTATACAGTGCTATGATATGGTTATAACACATTATACATGTATTTAGAATGCGTTAAAGAGATAGGCGTCCAATAGAGTGTTACTCAAGTGATTATATCATTAATTCACATCATAGACCAAATTAGTTGTTCATGATGCATGAAGAAGAGCACATGTGTGTTCTGCCAACATATAGTGCAAAAAACAAACGGGAAGAATAAAATGCTGAAAAAAATGTCCAGAGCTAAATAACATAACAGACTTAACCAATCTGCAGAAAACTACAGCTTAGCTTTCATACCAGCACCCCCAAGCAGTTAGTCTTTAAAAGGGGCCGAGCAGACTGGCAACTGTCGCGGCTTGTACACTAACAAGTGACATGCAGCTCATATAACCATAGTTCAAAAATACTGAACTATTCCTCCAGAGACAAAATGAAACAGCAATTCAGATTTTGCAAGTAGATGGAGAACATGAGCGTGATTACTACAGCTGACACATTAGTTTCCTCCCTCATCCTACTTCCCTCAACTGCACGGCTAAACGGAAACTTCTTACCCTGCTGATGAAGGCTGTAGCACACACTTTAGCGTAAATCAAAAACCCACATAAAAGACTGGCTCATCGTTAGCCTCATGGACTCAATATCCTCTTCAGTTGTAGTGCTTGACTGATATCAGAGTATTGATTCTCTTTGAATTGATTTAGTCTGGAGAACAAGGTGAGCTCTCTTTACATGTGATTCATGGTTATGTTTCATGGTTAAAGAAAGAATGAAAGAGCATGTCCAGCATGGGAGATTTCTTGTTAAGCAAACTAGCTCTCTGTCAGAGTTGGCTCAGTGTTGTGGGGTCCTGTTGTCAGCCTTCCGTTTACGCTCAGTGACTCACCATACAAGCTGCCTGTACAGCTTCGGACACACTTCCAGCGTTGGGCTCACACCAGAAGACATGACAGTCGAAGCGATGGCCACCAGCGTCCATGACGAAAGCGAACGTATGCACATCACGCCCGACGCCCATGAAAGACAGGAAACGAACACGACACTCCACCAGCACTTCCTCTTCATCCTGGTCAGAGTTTTGAAGTATGTGAGATTAATTAAATAAGCGCTTGTACAAAGGGCAAATTAGCATTCATATGAATTTCTTTCAGATTTTACTGCCTGTGTTCCGCTGGGAGACCTCACAAAACCACTGAAGGAATTTACAATAATCTATCAATTTTCTGCACTCGTAAGCAATGATTCATACAGTTATTCACACAGGAGGAGCTGTCTAGTAAAACAGCAGCTGAGCTTTAAGAGCCATGTAAGAGCAGAAAACCATTCATCATTCAAAAGGAGAATAAAAAACAGGATCTCTGTTTTTATTCTATATGGTCACTTAACACTGTGAAGACTCAACCTGTGGATTTGAAGTGCGTAAAGTCTGAGCTTCACTTTTGCATAATTGCTGAATAGCTAGAGAGATGATTAAGAAAACACCAATGCACTTTAATCTATGTTGTTATTTATGTCCTGTACTCATTAAGTGCAACAACATAATGAAACGTTTCATTTCAGATAAAAGAAAATTGCGTTTCTTTCACCTCTGGGGTCAGTCTGATTAATAAGAGCAATAATATCGACCACATAAACACTTTTTATTCCTGGTGGACTTTGCAGTCGTATTAAACTGTTTCATATAGACGGCTGTAAAGAAGGAAGAAAACCACAGAGGTTATGGTTTTGTTCAGTAATGGTGGATGTGTCTGACCTTTTCTTTGCTGATAGTGACAGTGGCATCTGCCACATTGAGGGCGACAGGAGTCCAGTCCTCTCTGTTCGAGGAACCAACTAAACTGTCTATGGCTCCATTCAGGATGTCCATACCTGCAGCGGAGAAGTTTAAAAAATAACATTTAATAATAATAATAATAATAATAATAATAATAATAATAATAATAATAATGATAATGATAATGATAACAATAATAATAATAATGATGGTTGAAAAAAATAATAATAATAATAAAAATTATAAAATAAAAACAAATAAATAATAATAATAATAAATAAAATAATAATAAAACAACAACAACAACAACAACAACAACAATAATAATAATAACAATAATAATAATAATAAATAACAGTAAAACTACAACAACAACAACAATAATAATAATAATAATGATAATAATAATAATAATAATAATAATAATAATAATAATAATAATAATAATAATAATGGTTAAAAAAATTATTATAAAATAATAATAATAATAAAAAAATAAAATAAAATAAAATAATAATAAAACAAGAACAACAACAATAATAATAACAATAATAATAATAATAATAATAATAATAATAATAATAATAATAATAATAATAATAAATAAAAGAATAGTAAACAACAACAACAACAATAATAATAAAAATAATAATAATAAATAAAACAATAATAAAACAATAATAATAATAATAATAACAATAATAATAATTCAGTCTGCCCCTGAGTACAGTTTAGGTGAGTTTTCGGTGTGTTTGTGTGTCAGACTGACCTATTGGTCTGGCTACAGGCAGCATCCCGAGGTAGAACACCTGGAACTTCTGCACCAGTTCTGTCTTTGGCGTAGGGAACTCTGCTAGGAGGAATCACACAGACACACACATTGAACATGTGCTCATGTATAAGAAGCAGCAAACAAATAATCAACAATCAGTGATATACGTTACTAGAATAAAGGGTTCTTTTCTGGACGACAAACATCTTTCACTTTAGATCACTCTAGTCTGCAAAGGTAAGAGCTACTTTTTAGTCCTGATTCTGAAATGTAAGTGCAAGTTTAAACTCTTTTGGACCCAATAATTAAAAGGTGCCGACATTTAATAAAACCCATTAATTTAGACAAGTGCAGTTGACTGGATTTCCCCATCTGTCACACTGCCCTTTTTTTTATTTTTTTACCCATGTTTGAAAAGTTGAAGTCAGTTTTTTTTTTCCCTGAGCAGAAGCAGACAGTGCAGCTATGTGATCTGAGCTGTCAGCAGCAAGCCGCACTGTTTGACAATATGAAAGTGAGATGATGAACGCTAGCACATCAAACTGATACAACAGACCATCAACCTCTGTATTTTCTTTTCACTGCGAGAGTTGAGATCATCCTGTGGAGATTTTGACTACTACCAGTGGGAAATTGGTCTCTTTTTTTCCACCCCTCTATGCACCTGAGTGCGCAATTCAGAGTCTCACAGTTTTCAAAGATTGACAGCTGGCAGCAGTAAAGCACAATGGAGCATAACAATGAGCCGACGCGTAAGATCAAATAGACTGCAATCTGGGAAATAGCGCGTAATAAGGCGTATTTAAATTAAAGTTTAATGGGGAGTAAAATAAATTCAGCATACTTTTGGGCGGCACACATAATGGGTTTGGATGCTAATAGCAAATATTAACAGTTTCTCTGTCTACCAGTCACCACACAGCAGCATTTAAAGCCTATATTTACTCATATGAGATATTCTGAAATATTTAAATAAGATTCAAATTAGATGAATAAAAAAATCTAACTGCCTTAGTGCATCTTTTCCAAACAAGTTCCCACTAATCATCGCAGCCATCACTCCACACACATACACTGAGTAAGGTACTGTCTGTATGAAGCCTACCTTGTAAGGGGAGATCAAGTCCTGCCTGCATCCTGTCCTGCAGAGAGCCTCCTGCCATTGCTTTGGCATTCTTTCGCTCAGTCATTATCTGGAGGACAGAGAGAGCGATAGAGCAAAAAAACAGACAGAAAGAGAGAGGAAGAGGAGCAAAAAAAGAGACACAAGTATGAGGAAATGGCGTGTAAAAAAAACTGAGCAGAGTTGGTAAAGCGAGGCAGAGACACAGGGGAGGAGGGGAGGGGGGTGAAGAGACAAAGACAAAAAAATGTGTGAAAGAAAAAAAACATGAGGGAGGGAAGAAAAAAAAAAAGATGAAAGACTCAACAAGAAAGAACTCGGGAAAACCTGGAGCAGTTTCACCCCTGATACTGTCATGTTTTCACCCAGGAGCAAACACACACTGAAACACAAACACCCACACATTAAGCAGGTCGAAGCCCCTTTTCCAAAACGGGGGTAAAGGCTTTTTCTGCAGTGCAGCTCACATTAAGAAACATGTGTACACAACTAGAGAGAGAGGAAAACAGCATCACGCTCACACAAACACAACGCATAATTCATACATGTCCTCAATCAGGGAGTTTGTCAAAACAAATCTGCATCTGAGCGACCCCCCCTGCTGTGACAAACTCTCCGCCTTTCCTTATTTGCTCCTCGTCTGTGTGAGAAATCTGCAATAAACAGACTTCAGCTCCTGAGATATTATGGGTGACTGTAAAATGTGGGACAGTTTGTAACTACATGAGGGATGAGGAGGAGAAATGGCCCCTTCATCTTCTTCTTCTGACAAATAATACCACATGAACACACTCTGTTTGAGCCGCTGATCGTAACAAGGTATCTGTGCGTGTGTGTGTGTGTGTGTGTGTGTGTGTGTGTGTGTAGGGGGGGGTTGTAAAACAAACCTGTGAAAGTGCTGCATAGGCTTGAATTAAGAACCAAATTATAATCCACATAAATAATAAAGAGACTTACAAGATCTCTTCCAAAATGGAGTTCGAATTTAGAGGCAAGAAATGTGTTTTACGGGGAAGAGGACAAATCCTGTGAAAATACGGTGTTAATACTTTCTCTACTACTGTTTGCATTCGTTCTGAGAGTGCAGAGAAAAGCTATGATATCTGTGTTTTTAAGAGAAGATAGAAGTGTAGTAGTCCCTGAAATGTAGATGAGTTAATTCTTGTTTCTGAACTGTTGGAGGAATTAGAGTGTGTGATTAGATTATTGATGAGTACATGCGATCTTTAAAAACACAAGTGCACTTGCAGCCTCCGTCACCGTTCTTCCTAGCAGCCTGTGCTGTGTGAATGTTGTTTAAAACATGTTGTATTTGAAGTTGTGTGTGGACAGGTGTTTCAATTTAGTGTGTAAGATTTTTGATGCAAGAAAGATTATGACAAGAGGTTGACAACATAGATGCAGTACAAACAGACAATGGAGACAACACAAAGAGACAAGTAAAGCAGGAACACGTGACATTTAGATATTTTAAGTTTGAAGGCTGTGTTTGAATAAGTGTGGCTGGGTGGGTGTTTTTAAGTAGCCATGTTTACATGGGCAAAATTTCTTGATCCGATTAAAAATTTGAGGGATCGGATAATCTAAATTTAAGTTTAAATGGGTGCAAAATCAAATAATCCGATCATGATGTGCGTATACATGCACCAAGTTTTATTCAGATTAGAAGCATTTGGACATGCGCAGAGTTGTCTGATTTTACTAAAACAACCGCAGAAGAAGAGTTGTATTTATGCCTGTTCTGTCAACAAACCAACAAACGCAGTAGTGGCTCAATCCATCCAATTCAGGAGTTTCTCCCCTGTTAAATGTTTCACTAGATGGCGCCTTTATGTACTTCTTTAAGTGTTCTGTCAAAGGTTGCACTGTGCGTGCAGATGTGACATCATTACCCTGTATGTACGCCTTGTTATGATACCGGAGGAGCAGACACAGCAGCTGCGGTTGTGTTTTATGCCAGAGTGTTAATGATGAAACCTCCTGTACTGACCTCAATAAATAAACCAAAGGCTAAAGAGTGAAGATCGAGTCAGGTAAGAGAGTCACGATCGGAAAAAGTTTTTACATGGACGTGTTTTGGAATAACAATCGGCATAAACCACCTCTCTAGATCGGAATACAATTTCTTTTCAGACTCAGAGGAATTGGATCAGAATCTTCTGATTGAGATGTTTACGTGAAGAATTTTTATTCCGATCGAGCATTTATTCCGATTATTTTTGCCCAGCTAAACACAGTTGCTGTGTTGAGAAGTGTGTGTTTGTTGGTGTGATTGTCCCTTTTTTTCCCGCCTTTTAAATTTTAATAATTGTTGAAAAGAGAATAAAAGAAGAAAAAGTAACAATATAAAATAATTCCAATAATAAAAAATTATTATTATTATAATTATTGAACAAAGAAGAAGAAAAAAGAAGAGGAAAAAAATAATAACAATAATGAATAAATAAAATTAAATTAAAACTAAGTAGAACACCCCCACCCCTCCTTTCAAGTGTGTAAGATTAAATGTGTTTGTGACCGTCAGCCTGTTTCCTGTTTCAGTGAGTTTCCCTCCAATGACTTAGCAGCTCCACTCAGCTCAATTTGCCAAATCTAAACTTGTTCATGTGTCTCCTCGCTCCAGCCTGAAGCACTCACCCGGGAGCAGATCTCATGCAGGCTGGTGGCAATGGCTTTGGCTGGTGTGTCACAGCGGAACACATGACATTTCAGGATCCTGGTGTTTTTGTCACGTGCAACATATGCAAAGTCCCTGGGAGAGAGGAAAACACAAAATCAAACAGAGACACCCCAAAAAGAGAGAAAAAGAAAAACAGCAGTGTGGTGAGAATGAAAGACGCATTGATTTCACTCATTTTGGTGCCACTAGGATGTGAGAAACATACAAAAGAGAGGTCGTATGTGTGGTCATGTTTCATGGACACTGAATTTGAAACTCGAAACAGACGATTGAAGATGGATGAGGTGACCTTTACCAGTCTCATGAAAACAGGACATACATATACACCGGTTGATGGACCCCTGAGATCAATAAAGCAGGAAACCAAGAGGGAGTTGAATGAATGACAGCAGAGGAACTTTTCCCAGAACTCAGTGGAGCCCAAAGTAATTGAAGTCTGAGACGAAGTTCAAGAAAGAGAGAGAGGGAATGCAGACATCGACGAAGAGGAAATATAAAACTGATTTATGTCATAAAAAAAACATCTAAATAACTTTCTTCGAGTTGTTTTCTTCAGCATGCAATGCAATAAGAAATACAGGCCTGAGGGTTAACAGGCGTCCTCAGAGGAAACTCACAAAGATTCTTATTTGTGTGTTTTTGTATGTGTGTGTTTGTGTTCATACTTCAAGAAATGCCTCTAGACAGCGAAGGATAGGGGAGGTCACCTTCACTTTCTAACCCTGTGTGTGTTTGTGTATGTATATGTGTGCGTGTGTGTCTTGAGTCGAGGGCTACTTTGAACAGGAGAAGAAAAAAAACTGAGACACAGAGGAAATTAAACAATAAGCAACGCTGGAGATGGAGAAGAGACAGCGTAAGAGGGTGGAGGAATGAAAGAAAGGAATGTGTTTACCTCTCTCTGAGTCCGAGGAAGCAAGGGAGGAGAGAAAGACAGTTAGCAGAAGAAAAGGAAAAAAAAATCATCATCTTAGTGACCCCCCGCTGAGGGACAAGAGGCACAGAGGTGGAAAACAGGCACTTATAAGCACACTAACACGCCGACTTACATACTCTGTCTTCATCTCTGCTCTGCCAGAACCACTTTACATTAAACTGCTTCAAACCAGAGCAGAATATGCATGTGTGTGGGTGTGTGTACATGTGTGCGTTAAAAGGGTGGTAGCGCAGGTCCCGGCAGCTATGCAGATGATTTTTTTTCTGCACTCAACCTTGAGTTTAAATATTTAAAAAATGAGCAGAAACTGAGCAACATCTGAAGGAAATGGAGGAATCAGTAGGACAGAGAGGATCGAGTGTGTTTTCAGGAAACAGGCTGGTAGTTAAAAAAAACAAATGTAGAGAGTAGTCAAGAGAGTAAAGAAGACAGGTGAAATAAGAGGAGAGGAAATTGGAGGTGAACCACAACAACGCATGGGATGAAGATAAAAAGAGTACAGACGACAGCAGAATACATCAGTAGATGATGAGTGAAGATAAAAGTCAGAGGAAAGAGAGGAAGAGGGAGGACAGAAAACAGTGATATCTCATTTCCAATATCATCTTATCATCATGCAGACGTCCCTGAAAATGTCAAGGTTGCTGTGGGAATCTGTAATCTCTAAGGCGATAATGAGTTTCATGGCACATAGGGAGAGGGGAAGGCACCAGGATGCCGCTCTTCAGCTGACACAGGCACTTCGGTCTATCACTAAAGGTACGAGGAGTGTTTAACGTGTGTGACAGAGGAACCGTGGTAGAGGGGAAAAGCCTTGTTACAACCAGGTTTCTAAATTGAATGTTATACCCTTCAAGCAAACTGTTTAACACAATATAAAAAAGGGCAAATATCATGTTTTACAAATTACCACAGAAGCCTCCAGTTCATTTCGCCCTCCACAAGCACATCTTGGGCTTCAGAAAATAAGCTGCAGGCATGATACAGAATTTAATGACTATGCGTTTATTTCACTCATGCATGTTGAAGATCTGAACTGCACTATTGTTCTCTATAGAAACACTTCATAAAAAACACAAAGCTCAAATTAACACCATCCTTTTTCAACCACCAGACGACCACATATATTTCTTACATCCTTCCCAAGTTCCTTCAAAACTCTGTTGACTGTAAAGAAATCGACTTTCAAACTACCCACTCAGCATCATCCTGAGACTGAGGCCTGAATCTACAAATCTGAAGCTCATCCTTCTTTCCCCCCCTGTTGGAGGAAGTCTCTGAAGTGAGATAAATGACGAAAAGATGAAGATTTAAACATACTCACAGAAGTTTGCTCCCCCGTTTTGGCGGATTATCCTGTGGACAACAGCGTCTTTGACACTCACATCATCTATTCCTTGTGATACTGCAGGCACAACACACTCCTAACCCTGTCTGCTCCACAGCTAGTGAGCACTAACCATACCTCCCCCTCTGGCAGCTTCATCACCCTCTCTCCCTCTCTCTCCTGCCAAAACCCCACTCTCCACTTTCTCCTCCTCCTCCTCTCTGCCCCTGCCACCAACCATCTCCTCCTCCTCCTCCTCCTCCTCCTCCACTTCCCTTTAATACAGCTGAGGTATTCTCACTGTTCCTCTATTTATGTTGTATCTAGATGTGGTTGGGGGAATTTAAGGCTAAGAACCCTGGAAAAAAAACAAGGGGGGTTTTATCTAAGAGGGTGATACCAGAGTATGCAAAGTGTGTGTGTATGTGTGCGTACGTGTGTGTGTGTGTGTGTGTGTGTGTGGCTGGGAGAGCCCTCAGGCAGCAAAATTCTGCAGTTCTGCAAACGCCAAGAGCTTTTAGCCGTGTCTCTTTCTCTGAGTGCACTCATACTTAGGTGTGCGTACGTGTGTGTCTATGTGTGTGTGTGTAGTTGCATGTTTGCGCATATATGTGCGAGCTGGTTCTTGTTCAGATTATCCAGCAGGTATCCACCTCTTTAGTCCACATCACCCCGTGCTGCTTCTTAACCTACATTTAGGTTGTTGTCATGCATTCAGCAGCAGTGCCAAGCGCCCCCCAGTGGTCACCCAGTGCTATTACGTCACTGTGTTTGTTTAAGGTTGCATTCTTGTGTTCGCCACTTTTGCTCTAACTTGCACTTATGAGAAAAATCAAACTGAAGGGCTGTGAGTTTTCTTGATTTTCACGGCGCTCCCTGTCCTGAGCCCCCTGTGGTGAAAGCGAGGGACGAACAGTCGGATGAAGAAAGAGAATAAAGGCCGTTCTCTCTCTCTCTCTCTCATCCCCTCTTTTGTGCTCATGAATTAATCTTTCATTAGTATCCCTTCATCATCAATCATTAACTCTTCTTCCCTGTCTGTCACAACGCCAACCGTCTGCTGCCCTCAATTGATACACTGACCTTTACCAAGTGTGTGTGTTTGTGTGTGTGTGTGTGTGAGATGCACTTTTGACACAAATAACCAATCAATCAATTTAACCAAAACAAAAGCCTCAATGATAACGGCATATTAACATCACAGGAATGTTACCGAGGTTTCGAACATGGCGTTGACATCCTCCACAGGCATGATTAGTCGAGAAGTGAAGCCAAAGGGGATTAATGCATTTTTTAAAAGGCCAAACAAAAAGCACTCTGGTTGCCATGATGACTGACCTGCCGTTGTCCCGGCCAACGCCCCACACTCGGATGCTCGCTATTGGTTGTGAGTGGAGCACGCTGCGGTCCATGGGGTCGACCAAGTTTAACATGTTGTTCTCGAGGACCAGGTACATGTCCTTCCCCTATACATGCAAGGACAAACACACAAACAAACACACACAAACACACATTCTTCAGATGTCATTTCAATAACAAATAATCTCCATTTCCTAAAGCTCAAGGTGTCGCGAAACAGAAGCTTTTTAAAAGGTCAGGTGCTTCCTGTTACTTACCGATAAAGTGTGTTTGACTGTGTTTGTGTGCATGTGTGTGTATGTGTGTGTGTGTGTGAATCTAAATAAATGATCAAAACCTTTTTAAAAAAAGGGGGTGGGAGATAAAAGGTTATTGCAAAAGGGATGAAGCTCTCTCGCTCTTTCGGTGCTGTCGCTTCACATTAAACACAACCAGTGCATAGAAAGGGAAAGACTTGGTACCACTGCTCCACTTTCTTCTCCTCTTCCTCCCTCCATATTTTGACGCTCATCGAAGGAGACTTGTGCCCTGGCGAACATCTGCTGCACTTTTTCTTTGCTCTACGTTTACCTTTTGGTCTTCAAATTTTAATGACTGGCCTCGCTTGCTTTCTTTCTACATGCGCCCTTGCCTCCAAGTTTCTTCATTTTCAGGAATTACAGACATGTTGTCTTTTATTTTACATCCCAAACACACAGATATCATCCCTCCCTCACCTCTCCCCAGATGCCGACAGTGTCTCGGATATCATTCTTGCAGTAGGACAGCTGTCGGATGCAGTTGTTGACAGCGACGCTGCTCTTTCCAGGAGCCAAGTCCTCCTCGGCCATCTCAACCCAACCGAGAGAGCGCACTGCAAAACACTGGGACACACACCAGAACCATAATACCGTTAAATGCACAAATATGTATACATTCACTCACATACATTTTTTCATACAGATCATTTCTTTTTCCATGACTTTTAATCGCTCTTAATGCCAAACTCAGAGTTTTAATCTGACGTTACTGGGAGGACTGAGCCAACAATTTGAACTCTGATAAAAACAAAGTTAAAAAGTTGACATGTTGGTAGATAAAAAGAGACACAGAGATGAGAGAGACAGACAGTGAAGAGTCCTCATCAAGTATTCATTTGATGTCAGCAGTCCATTTAGAAGCTAGTATGCAGACTACAGAGAACCTCGATAAAAGAGGTCAGACAGAAAGAGCGGTGACAGACAGTGAGCTGTAAAAATCTAGTTCACATGTGGTTCAGATGTTCAGATCAGCGAAGCAAAAAGCACGCATGAAGTATTTCTGTCTTCATGTGATCTGGAAGAAGAGCCGTTTAAAAGAACAAAAGTTTTTTACTCCTCTTTGTTAAACACTCACAAAACAATACGCCTAAGTGTTTCACTGCACTCCCACAGAGGGCCATGATGTCTATAAGGACGGGGTGTTCACACTGCTGACATGAAGCTGAGTGGGGTTGACAGGTGTCTCGCGCTCTCATTCGCTCAAACACACACGTGCGTGCACACACACACACACTGATAGAGAAGCAGCAAGGACTAACACTCATGTGCATGTTCAGTCACTCCCACTGGGCTCCATGTAATGATTTCAGGAGTCTGGTGAAGGTTGTGTCATGGTCTCCGTCCAGCAGGTGGAAGAGCTAAATGACACATAAGCTGTTGGGTTTCTTTGTATTCACTACATTAACATTTAAACCTGTCTTCATAGTACTGAGTGATTTGTCCTCAATCCAGTTTCACTACTCATAGAACACTTTACTACATATATAATAAATAAAAACTTTTTTGGTCAAGATTTTTTGTTGATTTTTACTTCATCATCCTCCAAAAGGTCTTTTTCCTGTTTTGGGTCATATTCTATTACATGACTATTTATATTAGGGATTGTGATTGTGCATTGAGTAGGGCTGTCCCGATACAATATTGATATTGGATATTGGTCTGATTTTAACAAAAAATCAAATATCGGATTATATCGGCCTGCATCTAAAATCTCCCATATCAGCACTCTGATACAAGCGGTCCATTCCAGACTCCACTCCGGCACCTCTATCTAGCAGTGCCCTGATCCAGCATGTAGAGCCCATGTGATCACAACAACAGTGTGTACTAAGGTACTAACAAAGTACCAAGGAGTAGGAGCGATGTCAGCCCTGTGAGAGTATTTTTCATTCAAGTCCGAAAAAGACTTTGCAGTAGAGTGCAAAACTTGTCATGCAAAACTTTGTGCTAATATCAGATCAATATCGGTATCGGCCAATATTCAGGGCTACAATATCGGCATCATATCAGAGGTAAAGAAGTTGTATCGGGACACCCCTAGCTTTATGTGTTGAAATTGACTGGTGGTTAATGAAGCTTTTTCCTGCAGTGTCTAAACTTTTCCTCTTAGATTTAATGTTTTTACTAAGTCCAAGATATGTCCAAAATGAGGGACAGTATGCTGTTGCACAAGGTGGAGAAAGTAAGAGCAGAATTATCATTACATGATGATATTGTGCTGAAGTGGTAACAGTAATACTGTGAGTTCATCACTGATGTCTTTTTGCCACATGTCATAAAACAGATGACAGCAGCAGACGGTCCATGGCTGGAAACAGCTCTCCAAGAGATGATAAGACACGTTTCAAAACTGAAAATCCACCGTTTTTTGTGGTTTCAGAGCTTTTGGATTACTAATTAATTTAATAATTATATTTCCTAGTCATTCATTCAAATGTTTTGGTTCAGTTCTGTTAAACATGATCTATCAGAGGTAGCTTACACTTCAAAATAAAAGCATAGTTTTACAATGTCAGAAACAAAGCATGCTTCACAATCATTTTATGAAGCAAAGTCTTCTCCAAAGTTTCAATAACACAAACAAGGAAGTGGATAAATCATAAATTCAAACATAACAGTGTTTATAAGTGAAATAATTGGGCCTGAAATATTTATAAGCATTCATTATAATCCTCTGTTCTTCTCTTGTGTTTAATATCATGACAGCTCTAGCCTGATATCAAACTCCCTTACTAAGTATAAAGAGGTTGTTATATTCCTTTACTGCAGTGGGATTTTCTGCAGTGATTGTGTGTCTGTGTCTGTGTGAGAGAGAGAGAGAGAGAGAGACAAAATGGAACAGATGCCCTGACTGCAGGTCTGTGTTTGGGTCTGTTATTCATCAAAGTGTCACTGTTGCTAAGGATTGTGAATTGCCAGACAACACACACACACACAGAGGGAAACAGGCAGTAGACAGCCAAATCAGCAGCACGTCATCAGGATGATTGTTGGCTTTGAACTCTGATCTGTGATGACTAGACTACACTGAACATTTGTCTGTGAAAACATCACAAACACACACAAAAAACCCTCATAAATTCATCCTTTCTGCCCTGAGCTTTAGTTACTAACAGACTCTGAATTTGATCAGAGGAATAATTCATCAACTTTTCTTCTCTACCACTTCTACTTAAATCTAATTAAAAATTTGTTCAGGCAATTATGTGTACAAGTCTGTTCCTTATAAGAAGGGCATTCCTCTGTTTTATTGACTACTCATTACGAGCTTCAAATGTCTCATTTGAGTCTGTCATTTGAATATAAAAGAGGCCTTCGTTTTTCCCATCAAGATGGGCAGAATAAACATACACCTATCACGACTAACCACTTGGGGGCAGTATTGTTTCAATAACATTTAAAAGAGAGCCCAAGGAGCCACCATGATGAACATAAACAGCGCCATAAACAAACAGGCTTGGAAAATAAACAGACTAGAACACACACACAACTTTTGGTCGAGAAGTAATTTGTGCAGGAAATGTTGATTTCATGTTGATTCTGTGTTTAAAAGCCCAATCAGATAACACATGGGAGTCACTTTAGATTGTACAGGAGACAAATTACACATGGACTTAACTACTGGTCAATCAATAATTCCTGTACAGCCTTCAAATAAGCGACGCAGGACAATCACGATGCCAAAGCCTGTTTTGTCAGAAATGGAAATTCAAAGGTCTTAACATCCATAATAAATCCACACTAAACCAAAGACAGACATTGATCACATGGGTTTTATCCTGGAGTCAGACTTCACAAAAGAGTCCTTACTTTTGCCTCTGGGTCACTGTTGATGCTGTTTGATTCCTCTTCCTCTACAGTTGGACGGTTCCTGGACAAAAAAAGAGGAAAAAGTGCTTAAAAAAACAGATGAAGTTATAAAGTCAGCAGAGTTCCAGTGTTACCACTCAAACCATTTGCTACTTCAGTGACACAGATCTGAAAGCTCAAGACAGTCATTACACTTTAAGGGAACATGAAGGCATTTCCTGAGTACAAGAAGTCACTTCCTGCTTTGACTGACCTCGTTTTACTTCGACACTGATTCAACTCAAGATTAAAGAAAATGAGTAAAACATGTGGAGGGAAAAGTAGGGGACATAGCTTGAAAAGATTTCTGCACAGAAGTAGTTTTTTTTCTGAGTCTGTCTGGGTATTTCACCTTAGCTTGAGTGATGCATAACGGAGCGTAGCACCCTCAAACTCCTTCAGGCTGGGGTCAGGGTTCACCGTAGCTGCCTGCAGGTCCTGGTGTACAGAATTACATCATCAGATAAAGCACAATAAAGTCACTAACAAACAATCTTCTCAGGTCAAAAAACCACCACTTAAAAAAGCCCCTTTCACACATGTAACCTCAAAAGGTGGTCTGGGTTTGGTGGCGGTTATCATTATCTGATGGTGTGAAACCAAGAGCCGTGATGTCTCCAGTTGTTTTTATTTCCAGGCACACACTAAAAGATCCAGACATAATATGATCGCCTTTTTTAAGTGCCAGTATGGGTGCCTTTTAGTCACAAATTTCCAAAACCAAAGCTTGAGAAAGCAGAACACACTACTGTTATATATAACTCTATATTTTGCTTTCGATTGAATTACTTATTTTTGTGTAAAATCAACACACAACTTTTTGAGGAAGTTCTATCTTTTCCTGAGAATTTCGTGCTTTTTTTTCCCCGACAGCCAGGACCTCACGTCTCACTGACTGAGCATCTAAAACAAAATTTGGTTTGCTCAGTTTTTTTTAGATAACATAGACATAAATAACTGCCGTGGTATTCACTTGTTACATGGCATGTGGGAGTGGGGCTGACAGAGGGGACACAAACCTGGCAGACACCAAACGTAAATATTTTGACCCTGCTTAGTATAAACCAGCATGCAACCAAGTGTGGGAGGAACCGCTTTGCTGAATGGAGAGATGGCATTGGTGTGTTATGTGTAATGAGGCATGCTGTACATCGAGGAGAGAAGGTTAACATGTGCGAAACACAATCAGGTTTGTGCCTGTAGACGGTGAAGAACACAATATTTCAGCTATGAAAGTAAAGAAAGAAACATCCTGTTGAGTGTGTCTCTGCAGCCAAATGATCAGAAGTTTTATCAACAAGGCGTGACGAAATGCTGTGTTTGGTGCAGTCACATTTAGTTTAAAGCATCTGCAACACATGCTTTTTGCAAGGCAGTGAATATATATATAGCGCATGATGCATAAATACACACTCAAGGAGTGGTTGAGGATAGACCAAGAACAAGACTCATTGGCACTGAGTGCATTATACTTGCCTTCCACACTTCACTATCAATCTTTCCGCCAAAATCACTCCACACCTGTTTCTATGTACAGCGTTAAAACACACACGGTGGTTGGGCAAAGTTTGGGGGGGTCAAAGGTGGGAGAGAAGCAAGGAAAGAAAGACAGAATAATGCTGTTAGCTGTCTAGCTCGCTCCACACAGAGTGTCTGTTGCAATAAGGAGCAACTCAGCAAAACATTTCTGAATTGAAAAACTAGGAGTAAGACTTCAAAATGTTTTCTCCGATGTTTTCTGCTCCTATTGAACATTCACCTCCCTCTGGAGAATCTGTTGATTCTTCATTAGTACAGTATAAAAAAGTGCAGTCACGGGGTACAGTCAGTGCGTATTCAGAGAGTAATGCTTCGCCTCATGTCTTCAGATTAAGGCAACCAAATTCCATCACATTTGTGCAAAAATGATGACAATAAAAAATAAGCACTAAATTATAATTAACACTATATTTTTGATCACTCCTCATTAGCGTTGAAATAATTTGATGATGAATTAGGTGTCTGGAGAGCACAAAGAATAAAACTACAAAACGCATCTGTGTACAATTACGCACTGACTGCACTGTCACAGAGGTAGAGATACTTAAAAATACACAAACAAATGCTGAAATGTCTCTTTGTGCTTTTTTCCATGCTATACACACATATTACACTCTCACACAGAAACAAAAAAAAGACACAGATAGAGATAGACAAAGACGAGATATGGCAAAACTTTGAGCAATCAGACCAGAGGGCAGTAGAAGAAGAGAAATCATCTGTGAGAAAAGACAAAAAGCAAAAACAGAGTTTGGAAAGATTCTACCTTATCCTCATCTTCCTGATGCTGAGAGAGACCCTCCGGATCGGGCATCCCCTGTAGAGATGTGGAACGAGGCTGGGAAGAGACAGAGTGGGAACATCAGAGTTTAGAGGAACACGCCTCTCATCCACGTTGTTCTGTCTGCCATTTTGGCTCTTGTGTCACAGGCTCACACTCGAGTATTCTGCAGATAGATGTGCCAGAACCTCAATTTGGCACATCTATCCGTCTCCATCAGGCCATTCTCACTGGATCAATGTTTTATCTACACCGTGCTCCTCTCCATCAACCCACTCTCCCTCTCAATTTCCCTCCATCATTCTGTCTGATTGACTGATTGACTGACAGGCCCTGTGCCCTCTCTTCCTTGTGCTGTGCTGCAAGACTGCAGAACTCATGGTCCTTTCTCTGTCTCAGCTGTATCGCTGCATATTTCTGCCAAATCTTCATTAATCTCAACGAGACCAAAACACACCCGCTTTTTTAAAAAAATACTCTTACTCCTCCTGAAAGTGAAAAATCCCCCGGACAGTGAGTACAATGAAGCATATCAAACCTTTGGTTGAGTACTTACAAAATAGCAGCTGTTGACAAATCCACATGTGGTGAGGGAGGACTCGTGCGAAGGAAGAGGCTCGACTGAGCTGTCAGAGGTCGTGCTGCCTGAACGAGTTGACGCCCTGTAGAAGATCTCTGCCTGGCATGACTGCATGCACCCACAGACACACAATAGCAGTTATCAAAAGCTTCATTTGAAAAGCTTCCTAAAAGCAGTGACAACTCAGAGGATTCACAAATTGACTAAATATAGTTCAAAAAGTAGGTTCTTCTTCTTCTTACGGCAGATTCCGGACTATACAGAGCATTAAGCTCCTCTGATCATGGAGAAAAACATTAAACTTGCATGAAGAGTGGAGTTACTATCAGACTGTGTATTCAGCTACATTACTACTATTATTGTGCAATCTGACAACCCAGGGCTCGACAGTGCAGCCGTTTCACTCACATTTGCAACTAAAAATAGATGTGTGCGAACTGTAGAATGTATTTAGGGGCACATGTGCGCATAAAAAAATCAGCTGAGGCAACAAATGTTTTCTCATGTTAATACCGCAGTGAAGTTAGTTTTAGGTTGGATACTCAACGGTCATTCACTGTGGATCTACTGGTGTCTTCTCAGTCTCCATAACCAGGAATGGCAAGAGCAGCGCGGTTAAATCTACTCGCCACCCTCGCTGTAAACGTCTCGTGTTAAATAAGGGACTGTCAATAAATTACCTGTTGATGTTCTCAAAAAAGGCTGTTTCCCTTCAATAGCTTCCATGTCATGTGACCAATTGACTTAAAATTGATTTTAAATAATAGCACTAAGGTCGAACAATAAGACACACCTCTTAATTTCCCAAATTTGTCCTCTTAACATTTTTTGTGTTAAATCTAAAAGGCAAATTTTGAACCTTTCTTTCAATAGCCTCTGTGTCATGTGATCAAAAGACCTAAAATTGATTTCAAATAATAGTACTTATGTCGACCAATAAGACAAACATTATTTGATCAATTTTCATTGTGCCCCTAAAGTTCTTTGTGCGCTCCTTACTTTTTTACTTCAGGGCACATGTGCTCCTTGTGAATTCTGCTTTGTGTAGTTTTGTTGATTTATGCGTATCACAGGCGTAAAAAAATCTATTTAATCTCACAACCACGTTTATTTTTCAGCCATAATAATGCTGACTGATCACACATAAAAGTAGTGGAAGAAGCAGTTAAATCAAGAACTATAAAAAGGAATAATATTCAGTTCATTCTTGTGCTTCTCACCTCATGGTCAGGAGTGGGTGAGGGGCTGAGGGACCCCAGGGAGTGTTTACGTGGCGTGGAGGCTGCGTGGTCATCCAGCGTCTGGGTCTCTTGCTGTCCAGGGGGTACCGGACGGCTGGCAGGCCTCTCCCACTGTGTGGTGCCTGTAGGAATGTGCCAGTAGTAGATACCAGCCATGTCTGTGATCTTCTTCCATCCTGGAGGCAGGTCAGGGTCTGTTTGGAATGACTGTTCACTCCAGATATCTAGCAGAGAAACACAAACGTCCATTTAATGAATGAAAAGTGCAAAATCATTCATCAGTAAACATGACTGTAAACAAACCTCTGCGACAGTTTGGAGAATAAATATATACATTTCTTTTGCATGATTGAATTTCTTTGTTGAATGAAAGTTAACCCTCCTGAACACAAATCAACAGCTGAGTGGGATTAACAAGCATCTGCTGCAGCTGTCATATAACAGCCATGTCTTTTCACAGACAACAACTGAGTCGAGCTTGTTGTGATGTTCCACTTGTGCAACACTCCCAAACACATACTTTCACATTTTGAAATAAAACATATTTCTTAACTAGAAGCAACTTCCAAAAAACACAGACAAACATGCATAAACACATTAATCCATCTTAAGTGTGGAACAGTTACACAGACAGAGGACTGACCTCTCTAAAGGAGAATTTGAATGTTTACAACTTTCTGACATGCCACAAATACAGACTTATTCTTGAATTACTCCTTTGGCACTAATATCAACTGTATCAGCCTCATGTTTCTAGCCAGTTTCATACAGATCTGCTCTCTCATGTCCATGTGTGCGTTCGTTCATCCATGGGTTCGTTCATATTTTGGTTCTCAACAGCTCATAACTTTGTCGATATGTTCTCAACACATTGCCGCAGAAATGGGTGGATTAAAAGCGGACTGTAATGTTTCCACAGGCCAGAGTCCTCTACATATTTGTGCTTACATGGAAAAAAAATCCACACCCTTTTCTCAGATACTGAATGTTTTCTGTGCTCAGTTTTTATTCCTAGAGGACATTTTTGTAAAACTGATAATATTAATAAATCAAAACCGTAGGGAGGGGACGGATTCTTTGTTCTATTTGTTTTTCAAGACAAATATGAACCAAGTTAGCCAAAAGTCAGCCAGCCATCTAAATTTGAATGAAACTTTTTTACTATCTCATCTATTTATGGATGGTAACTTTTTAAGATGCTCCTATTAATCATATAACAGCTGTTTGATTTAGACTTACTGGTTGAGTTAGTATGGCTGTGTGAAATATTTAAAATTACTTTTGGTAACACTCTGTATGAGCCTACCTCTTTATAAAACCTTACAAATGCATCCACAAGGCTTTATTATAGGGCTGGGCAATAAACCGAAAATTTCCCAATACCGAAATTTACGACAACACAGATGTCATTTTGTCCATGTCAATATATTCAGTGTCAAAAATAAATAAATAAATAAATAAAAGTTGGTATTGGATTTGTGTAGGTAGGCTACTATCTCATGTCCCTTTAAGACGCTGTCCTACATCAGAGACGTGACTCCACCCCATCCAGTCGGTAACAAAGAGGGAAAGACAGGTGAGGAGATGGAGGACGGTTTGAATGTTGTAGCGGCTGGAGCGGCGGCGGAAGTAGTTATCATCCATTTATCGTCTCCGAGTTGAACTGCTCAATATATCCTGATATTGATATGAGGCCATATCGCCCTGCCCTACAATCTTTCTAACAGGGAAAGTTGTGAGAGTAATGTGTTTTTAAAGCCAAAATTCAACAGATGCTGTTTTTTCTTTTGCTTTACCATATAATGTGCTATAAACCACTTTTGGAAGGTATTATGCTCACTGCTTATAACCCTTCATAAACACTGCCATGAACTGTAATAAATGTGTATTATCACTCATAAGAGTTGTTATAAAGCCTTACAGATACATTTATAAGGCTTAATAAATGTGCTTATGCTGTATGGTAAGAGGTGGGTTGATAGAAAGTGTTACCTTAGGGCTCCTAAAATAACACATCAGTATACACTGCACAGCTGATTGCCTTTAGTCGTTTATTTGGCAGTGAAAAATGTTGAGAAAATGTGCAACTTAACACAGAAGATACACTTACACACAACACTTAAATCACAGTGTCGTCACTCACTCTTGTACTACATGTCACCCCCCCTGAAGTTACAAACACACACGTATACAAAAAGAAACTGTTGGTGGAAACTTTGCCAATGAAAAGTTGTTGTAGTTGCAGAGGTAGTAAAGATGGTCCAACCCTGCACAGCAACTCGTAAAGGTGATATAAGCCCCGAGGAACTGGTCAGCTGTGTGTACTTTTGTGCAGCTGTGTGAGTGAGTGTCTGTGTGTGTGTGTGCAGTGGTGTGTGTGTGCACACGCCACTGCACAAAGATTTCTTAAACTGCTGACCATGCTGATGAAAAACAGCTTACGGGCATGTCGCCATGACGGCAGGCCATATGTCATCATGACGATTGGGTCGGTCCAGATTGAGTTAGAATTCAGACACGCACACACACACACACACACACACGCACACACTCGAGGACAGAATCTCTTGGAGGAGTCATGAAGACTTTAGTTTATCTAATGAAACAACTATTTATAGGGCTTTACAAAATGTTCTCCTCCATTCCTCACAAAAGCAAACATCCCTTTGGGGGTTAAGACTGTGCTTCAGAGCAATGAGCTGTGTAGCAGTGCCTTCTGGGAGTCGCAGTCTTTTATGAGAAGAAAATAGGTCAGAGGCAATAAAACTACAACACACAGAGAATCAGAGTCTCTACTACATAAAAGAGGGGAGATGGTGACTCTGAGAATGGGTTCTAGTACGAGATAAACAGACTCTTGGATGTAGATTAAAGCATGTGCGCACACAGGGGAGAGAGAGAGAGAGAGAGACAGAGACAGAGAGACAGAGAGAGAGAGAGAGAGAGAGAACTCTGCCTTGAGTGATATATGATGCTATTGCTACCCTCTGCAAGCACTGTGTGTAATTGGAAAGAAAGGCTTAAGCATGCAAACTTGTATGCCTCTGGATGAGTACTATTGTGGAGCTACGTAGCAGTTAGCCTCGGTTAGCATGCAGCTCCATGCCAGAGCAGAGTTGAGCAGAGGGGGAGGGGAAAGCAGTTTGCTTCAGGAGCAGAAAACAAACACCATAAATGCACAATATTCAGTCAATATACACACACACAAAAACTGTACACAGCATGCAAAGATTTCAGATTCTTGTAGATTCTGAGAGGACGACAACAGAGACAAACTTCACCCCTGTGCATGGAGATAAACCCATGCTTGACGCACACTCTCAGCCTCTCACACTCTTAACTCCACGATGTAGTTTCCGTCCGACTTCGGCAGATTGCACCTACCCTCGTAATTGACAATCACAATGGCCAGCATGTAGTCTTTCCCCAGCATCATAGTTAGCTAGCTACCTCTCATACAGCACCAGCCCAGACAGAGAGAGGGAGAGAGAGAGAAAGAAGACAGGGGGGACACAGCGAGCGAGGGGACGAGGTGAAAAAGAGATGGAGGATAGAGAGAGGAGAGAGCGAGAGGAAAAGGGGAGACACATTGAGGCGGTGAGGGAGAGTATGCTGTTAATAAGAGTGAATAAGAGGGGGAGAGAACAGAGAGAGAGCAGAGAGAGAGCCAGTGAGGCTGTGTGTCCCCTGCAGCTCAGCTATGTTTGCTGTTCTTGACGCTCCATAGAGAGGAAGTCAACAATGTCAAAACTCAAACAAGCCTGTCCTTCTCTTCCTGTCCTCCACAAACATACATGACACTCTAATCAAATGTCCACGTTCATCACTTTCCTCCTCCTCCTCCTCTTTCATCAACAACCCCAGAGCTGCTCTTGGTTGTCCTGGTAACCCCAAGCTCATTTTCAGTATCATAACCAGCAGAGGAGTAGGAGGAACAGCGAGCGAGAGAGATCCGCAGTCGAAGTGTTAAAGGTGAGAAAATGTGAAAAACAGGGATGGGGATAAACGGCAGGTAAAATCAAAGTTGTGTAAAAGATGTCGGACAAAAAAAAAAACAACTTAATGTGTTTTACTCGTTCACATTCTACTCATGTTCCCCTGCATGTGTTACAATGCATACTGCTGTGTGAGATTGAAGGGCAGCCTTTTGAATGGCCTTCCTAAAAACAGCATATGTGATATGTGTGTGTGTGTGTGTGTGTGTGTGTGTTTGCTCCTCTGTGTGAAAGCAGTGTAGTATTGGTCCTCTAACCCGCAAAATCCACACAGGAATCTGACACAGACCTGGGAAAACAACACGGGTTTGTCAATATGGGAGTGAGAGAGCAAGACAGCCTGGGGTACTTAGTGTAATGCATAGCCATCGTCTACTCTACACGACTCTTAGATAAACTCAGCATGAATGACGCCAGAGGCATGATTATCAGCTCTTCACAAACTTTTGGCAGACAACAACAACATCATGTTTTAAGTGCAAACAACAGTCCAACTTGTATCTACTTTTTATCCCCTTTCCTTGGTGAAAGTACTGATCAACACAAAGTCCACACCTCTCTACACAGAAACACAATGTCATCCCATGGGAGATTTTTTTTCTTAAATCACAGACAAGCAAGAGGATGTTGAGACAAAAGAACATACGGGAAGTAAATTCTTCTCAAACAGCTCAGTTTCAGAGGATGCAGCTCCAACAGCGCAGCAACGCTCAGGACGACAAGCTGCTGGTAATCATACTTGTGGAGAGATGAAATACACAGATGCTCGATTCAAAAGGGAGGGTGAGTCATCACAGGGATAGAGAAAAAGCATTGGAGGGGGGGGGGGGCAGAAGAGACTCAGAGCACTGCAACTCACACAGACCGAGAGGACGGTTTACAGCTGAGCTCATGTCAAGAGGTCGGGGCTGCTGCTTCAGATGAGATGGATGTGTTTCATATGTCTCGCAGCACAAGGTAGAGACTTATACGGGTCCAATTTAACTGAACAACAAGATTTATGCAAAACCCTGACAAAGAAATTCAATGACTTTAACAGACTTTCTGCTGCAGGGGAAGGTAAATATGGACTATGAGGAAAAAAAGGGGACAACAAACTTAAGTGGTACAATTAGCATTTAAGCTTACTCTTAATTTAAAGGTGGGGTTGGCAGGATTCCATTAAAGAAGCATCTTTTTTTGTGGTGTACATACAAAAAAGCTTTTAATATCAGTCAATAGCTATTAGTTATTAATGAACTTTGGTGATATAATGATATTGCTGTGTTTTGTTATGTCTGTGTAGTCAACATTTTAAATTTTTTGAGCGGCCCGCTCTTTCTGACTGTAAACAAAGCCGTTCTCCGCCTCCCCCAACCTGATTGGTTGTGAGGCAGACGCTGCTTCTCCATGTCGTCCACGAGCCCAAACAAAGTTAACATGCTACAATATCGGACAGTAGAAACCAACCAGAAAGTTCGGAAAATTGTCTGAATCCTCCTTTGGCCACGACTGCCGACACAAGCAAGAAAACAATGTAAATACCGGAGACTCTGGAGGAATAACGGGTGCTTAAAACGGAGGTAGACCGGACAAGAGCTAAAAAGCTGGATCAACATTAACATACACGATGGGGGACGCTTCGGGATCTTACGGACCCTGTAACCTTTCTACTGGACAGGTAAACCGCTTTAACAAAGTAAGACAAGTGTCTGTAACAGAAGTGTTTCTTGTCAAACGGGACCTGCTGCGTGTTGTAGCGCTGCTAAACTGTCCTCCCTCGGGTCCTGGACTATGTCACTTTATCCTAGCTGTAGAAGTCCTGCAAACATTGTGTTTGCTGGTAGTCTGTTGGCATCTACAGTAGCACCAATACTTTTTACTTTCACCTTGACTGGGCCCCATTTGTAATTATCTGAAGTATTTATCTGCATTATATCTGAATTTAATTGAAACTATACGATCGAGCAGGAGCGTCTGTTTGTGGGCGGGGCTTGCTGGAGCAGAGGGGGAGGGAGGAGGAGGAGCTGAGGGGAAAACTGGTTTGGAGGGGTAGAGTTTACATTCAACTTTTCTCCCAAAAACTGGCACTTCCTCTGATCCTGACTACCCCACCTTTAACATTGAAACTGAAATGCTTTTTCATCAGTGTGATTTTTTTTTTTGGCTGTGAACAGGAGTGCAGAGTTAAGCTTAGCGCTCCAGCTTGCTTCTTCAAACTGACAATACTGACTTCCTTCTACTTTCATACATCAACTAGCACGCTCCTTACAGATGAGTAATCCACACAAGCCCAGTTTCCAAACACCCAAAACTGTCCCTTTCAACTCTGCAGACTGCATGAAGGATTATTTTACAAACTGGCTTTAAAAATGTGATCCTGAACGAGCTGAAAAAAAAACCCACAGCGGGTTGTCATCTTGAACCAATATATACCATTGAAACAACTGGGAATAAAAAGTTTTTCTGGTGTAGCACACAGCCACAGAAACACATGGAAGGGCTCAGCGGAATACATGGAGGGTCACTATCCTGTATGTGTGTCCAAACATCTTCCTGTCCAACTCTGAGGTATAAAAGTGGAAAAATACCAGGAGGAAAGGACGAAACAGACCTGCAGTTCCTCTCTTTAAGCTATGAAGGGAAAATCAGAAATGTGGGAAGAGAGAGCGAGAGAAAGAGAGAGAGAGAGAGAGAGAGAGAGAGAGAGAAAATGGCAGCAACAGATTTTTTTTATGAAGTCGTGACTCCCATTCAAGCCCTGTTAACACACACAGACACACAGCGTGAAACAGGAAGCAGCTGATCTTTTTAGCTGAAACAACCCATTAGGTCATGAGGGCACTTCCTGTCCCAGAGGGATTCTGGGAGATTTGTGGGGGGCTGGAGTGTTTGTTATTCTGTTCTAGCAATGTCTAAGCTCTGCATATTCACACGCACGCATAAACACTAACGTGGTTGCCCAAAATGGAAACATGTCATCAGCAGAGGGAACACTGAAACCACTAAATACCCCAGAATAGCAGACGTAGACTCACATGAAAACTATGCAGAGCATCAGTCAGTGACAGTGACGGGTGGTTTTGCTGTAATAAACTTTGTGCAGCGTGTTGTGTTTGTGTGTTTGTGTGTTTGTGTACCTGTCTCCTCTGGAGAGTTGCTCTCCTGGGACAGCGTGGTCCAACTCAACTCCTCATCGCTTGGGTTCAGATTCTGGATTCGGTTCAAAGCACAGTCTGTCTTTGCGCCAGTCCTTCTGTCCTTCTTTGTCTCTGGAGAGGAGGAGGAAGAGGAGGAGCAGGAGGCCACAGAGAGCAGTGGCATGTCCTCAGGGCTGACCTGCTTGGGCGGGGAGGGAGGGGGAGGCACAGTCGTGTCCTTTCCTGATTTTAGGAGCTTTAGGTTGGGATGGAGGTCAGAGATAAGCTCCAGGCCTGATGAAATTTTGTGGTTCTTCACAGGAGACTCACTTCTAATTACCAGCAAAGGCTTCTTCTCCTCCTCCTCCTCCTCCTCCTCCTGCTCCTCCAACACCACCTCGTCACCATCTTCCTCAATCTTCATCCTCGACATGATTTCTTTTTCTGACAGGATGCTGATGTCATCGTTCTCCTCGGCCCCCATGTTCAAGTCCAAGCCTGAATCTGTCGTGTTCCCGTTTACGTTGAGCTCCACAGTTGTGTTAATGTCACAGTCTATGTCAGATTCAGTTTTCTGCTCAGGCTCGGGGTCACTGCTCATGTCTGGGTGTAGGTCCACATCCAGTTTACTCAGATCACCCTCTCGGTCATTGTTGGTAAGAGTGTGACTGTCTTGCTCCTCGGCTATGTTGACGTTGGGGTCATCTGCGGGGGTTTCTAAACTACAATCTGGGTCTGTCAAGTCAGTACCAGTTGTGTTTTTGTTGTGATCATGACCGGCCTTACGAAGCTGGTTGACCCCATTCTTTGCTAGTTTGGGATTATTAGGGGTTGAAGATGGGGATGATGATGGAGATGACGAAGATGGCACAGCTTCTCCGAGGCCCATGGCAGCCTGGATACTGGTAAGTGCGTACTTTTTGCGACACTTGGGAGGAGTGCCGGCGCCCTGTTTGTTGACATCGCTGCTGAGTAGCTGGTTGTGTGAGGAGCGGAGGCTGAGTGAGTTGGGAGGCGTCGCGGCCGGGCCGTTATGATTGGTCACATCCACTGACATCATTGTGGCACAAATCAGATCACCTAGAAGAGGATCAGAAGAAAACAGAAGGTGAATTAATCTAAAGTGCAGGGTTCGGCTTTGATCCAGGGTGTTGGAATAAAGGTAACTGGTTAGTTTTTCTTGTCGACAGCTTATATGGTGGTACAAGTCGTGCTGTGGCATTGCAACTCCATCAGTTCTATTTATTATGTTGCTGTGGAAGACATAAGATTTAGGGAAGAAGATACAGCTGGTGTTATTTTCAATGAGAAGTAGATGATTGATCATTGGCATTTATAAAGATCGATCAGCGAGGATATTTTGAAGTTCCATCCCTAATGAAACACAATGGTTCTAGAGGTTAAAAGATAAACATGAAAATAAATAAAACCTTTTATGAGCTGATAAAATTAGTCTTGGCATCATATAAACAGAGTCTAGTAGGCTGCACATGGGTGAGCAAATGTTCATTATTGCCTCCTCACATCAAGAGAATAACAGACCAGATGGGAAAAGAGGAGGGAAGCAACAGGCATGATAAACAAACAGAGCTTTAATGTAATATTTAAACATAACTGATCGATCAGTGGTAGTAGATTAACAATAAACAAGTATTGGGCTGCTTTGTATTTTGGTTTGGAATAATATGAATCATTTTCAACAGGGCTTTAAGAGGACAGAGCTAAACTTTGGTTAATTAAAACTTCTTTAGAAGTCTGATGAGATTCTTAGGGTTCTAAGTTTCAACATATTAAATGACAAGAACAAACTTGCTATTGTTGTTAAAAATAAATGAATGCAATTAGAGAGCCTGACCAGGGCTGGGCGACACACCAAAATTTACCAATACCAAAATTTACAACAATAACCAACATCATTTTGCCCACATCGTTATAGCCAGTGTCAAAAAAAAAACAAACATTAAAATCAACTGTAGACATACACACATCTGACCTGACTTCAGTCTGGAGTTTGCCAATTGAACACTTCCCTATGAGGTAAATTTCTAACATGAGCATTAGGGCTGGGCGATAAACTGAAAATTTGCCAAACCAAAATTAACAATAATAACCGGAATCATTTTGCCCATATCGGTGTATTTGGTGTCAAAAAAATAAAAAGTTAAAATTTGTTTTTGGATGTGTGTAGGTAGGTTATAGTCTCATGTCCTTTTAAGACGCTGTCCTACGTCAGAGACGTGACTCCACCCCATCCAGTCAGTAACAGGTGACAGGTGAGGAGATGGAGGACGGTTCAAAAGTTGGAGAAGGAGACGAAGTTAATGTGAGAGGGGGTGAGCAGCTTGTGGAGCAGTTATCGTCCATTTATCGTTATCGAGGTGAACTGCTCAATATATCGTGATATTGATTTGAGGCCATATTGCCCAGCCCGAAGCCAGACAGTTGCATCTACCCGACACCTTCCTTTGATTGTGTCAATACCAGTTTATTAAGAGTAGACTTTAGCAGAGCTGTAAAAACTTGTGTAAACACCATACCCACTGCTATGAATATGGTACAACATAAAACACTTCTCAGTCCTGTTTGATTGATGTTTGATACAGCAGCCAGCTGATTGGAGGGAACCGCACGAGGTAGAGAGAATGACACGGCCACGCTTGGCCTCGGCTGTTTCATGGGATTTGGTAATGGTGACAAAAATAAGGGCTTAAACTTTCAAGGGCTCCTTGGGGATATTTGTTGTGGTTCGCTGACTTCTTAACGCCAAGCTAACCCTGAGCAACGAGGAGGAATAGCTCAGCATGTAGAGGTGTTAGTATGAGGCTTCACAGTCCAATTGAATCCTAAAAGACAATACAGCATGTGTGCAAGCATGTGAGAGTGTGTGTTTTTGTGTATGTGCGTGTTGTACCTGATAGGGGGTCAGTTGTAGACTGGCGCTGGTCACGGTTCAGAGTTCAGTGGACTCAGCTGCAGATCTGAACACCGCCTAGAGAGAAAAAAAAAGTGAAAGAATGATCAGAAGAAGAATGCCAAGAATCCCGCATACTTCTTGGGTTGCCATCAGAGACCACATTCACCCATGTGGAACCCAACTACAGCTGGTTTCTATGGCGACAGTGGAGGGACTCTACAGAGGCAATCAAAATCATATGAGGACAAGAAAACAAACAGCTTACAGGGACTTGTGTTTGTTGATTTAAACAACGAGATCCAGTTTATCTCTGGGGTTTAAGAAACTGAATACTGGAGACTGTTTCTTTATGTCAGTTAAAATCTGAAAATGATGGAAACTTTATGTTTTGAATTCCTCAGGGGGGAACGACGACTGCTGAAGCAGAAGACTGAAGTTATTTCCAGATGTTTATGTACACGTAGATGGGACTTCTTCTCTACCACAGCACACAGCCAGGGGTTGTGCTTAAGAAGTTCAATGTTTATTCTAACAGGTGGCCCACAATCGTAAATAATAAAAGAGAAACCAGACTTGCATTTTAGTTATTACAGGAAGAGAAACCATTTCTAAGCACTTGTACAGTTTACAAGAGTCGATTTCGATACTAAAAACATGATGCCTTGGAATGTATAGTTTCCACTTACCAGGGAACTAAGGATTGTGGGTAACTCCGAGATGGAGTGGGTCCATACCGGTTCGCAAAGGTTTTCACTTCATCCAATCATGAGGGCGTTAGTGAAGCAGCAGCAGCGTCCTGAGGGAGAGACAAACATAAAACAGGTTTAATGAGAGCAAGAAAGAGGGAGGGCTGAAAAGAGAGAGAGAGACACAGGACTGCAGGACACCAGAGGGACAAATAATACAGAAACATCAATTATTCACAGACACGATCAAACATTAATACACAAGGTGTGTGTAGGTTTTTGTCCGTGTGAGTGTGCATGTGTGAGCGCACGTACAAAGGCTCATTTTGTACAGAGCTAATATCTCTTTCTTTGGCGCAGTCTTGCCAACCCTTCGCTGACTGGAACCGTCATAAACTTGATGCCACAAGAGACTTGTAAACCCACCCCAACTCCGCTTTCCGGCTTGTAACACACACATGCACGCGCAAACACATTACGACATAGTGCAGTCAAGACTTGTGGACAGTTCTCACCAACACGCATCGTGGAGGAAACATTACGAAGCAGAGTCAGAACACGCAATCAAATTCTTCTTATCTCTCGATTAAGCACTGAAAAAAGGGTTCTGTTATAGGAAATAGATGAAGTGTTATTCCATCACCTAGAGTTTGATACATTACGGATAGTTTGTTCTGAATAAAAAGTTGCTTCATTCAGCGTTTTAATCAGTTTTCATTTTTGATTGACAGAGGTAAAGGCAAGGATGTGCTGATGCTGATATGTGTTTGCAGCAAAGTTGAATTTTAGGTTCAATTTCCCAAACACTTGTTCCTCTCATTTGTCTGAATTATGAACATCAGCCTTAAACTCATTGAATGTAAACCAAGTCACAACCACTGACTGTGTTTACTATGGACAACTTGGTTCTGTGTTCCACCAGTAACGCTCTGCTCAAACAGCATATCCCCCGGCTGAACTACGCAATCTTCGTACGCCCACAGGCTGTATCAAGTGTCAACCATAGAAAACATGAACCCCTTATAACTTTTAAAAACGAAGCTGCACAGGAAAAAGAGGACTTGAGCACAAATCAGTCTTAACTACATGTCGATATCGCAACCAGGGGGGAGAAAAATTTATATTGTGTGTGATAAATTTGTAAAGTTTCTCCACAGCTCCATAGGGATTGCTGGAGGAGGCGGGATTTATGATTTATACTGCAGCCCGTCAACAGAGGGTGCTGTTCTCAGGGTGGCTTCACCCAGCGAGGAGGCAGACGGTGTCCATTCTATATACAGTCTATGGTCACAACCTTATTGTTTTTTAGATAATGAGAGATCAATGCGAGCCAAAAGTCAGGATCTCTAGTCAGTGGATAGTTTGTTCTGCAAAGAAAAAGCCATTTTCAATTCTTAATCGATCAAGCCAACTGTGTGAGCTCTCACTCTCCCGTCTGCCTGAAGGAGATTTGTGGTGTGTCACTTCGAATAAATAAGGCAGCAATGAGACAGCAATGTAATTAGCCTGGGTCTATATTTTTGCCATTTTGCATCCCAACGCAGATGCATTTCAACTCAGTCAATCTCAATCTCACAAATTATTCCACCACTAAACCAAGCAAATGTCGAATAAGCCGCTGAAAGTGAAAACTAAAAAGGTTATGATGAGGAAAAAAGGAGACACTGTTTTTATGCCATTTTTCCTGCAAAAATCTGCAGCCAAGACGCACTCTTTCCCGGCTTATGTAACAGCTGACTGTAATTCTTGAGGATGAATTGACCACACATAGTTCGGAAAACTGCAGACTTATATGAAAGCTGAATTACTAATGTGGTGTAGATCAATCTCTTTAACAGACTGAAGAAGAACAGTTGATCTGCCACAGTCTTGAACCGGGCATATACTGTTTCCTGATATGATAGATAAACAACATCTGGTTTATCTGGCTCCACTAAGTGTTACACTGACTGTGAAAAAAAAAGAAAGGGCATCTGAGGAGCAGCTGTATAATTTTCATCCCGAACCAGCTGTTTCTATTCTCTAATGGTTTAAGAAGAGGCAGAAAGAAGGATATCATGTTAGATAAGGCGGGTATTTTTCTTATGTTGTGAAAAGACAGACTGGTCTGCGGAACAAAAAAGACAAATGGGAATCTAGGACTGCAGTAAAAAAAAAAAAAAGTCACAGAAAGAGACGAGGAGAGGAGGATAGTGAGGGAAAGTGAATCATAAAACGGCAATAAAAACATGGAATTCTGGGATTAGCATAACAGGGCATGCCAAGTTTCTTAAATCCTGCTACAACAAGTCTGCATACCTGGGAACATGTGTGTGTGTGTGTGTGTGTGTGTGTGTGTGTGCGCAAGACTGTAACTGTTGGCGTTGTTTACACTCAGGAATATGAATAATTTCCCATGAAAATTCCTGCTCACCTGGCTTTCCATGTTGGGTGTGTTGCAATCAACAAAGGTGTACTCTACAGCTGAATCAAACCTGTTCAGTATTAACACAAGTGACTCACTGTATTTCTTATTACAAACAGAAACATATTCCCACACTCAGACAGAAAGTTATAGACTGCTTGTGGGCTGCCTCGGGGTTAGGTCAAGGACGGTACCAGATTTATTATTTATGTAATGTGGGTTTTTATTAATATTTCACCATGTTAATTTATCAAGTTACATTAAAGTGAAGGAAACTGATATTTGTCAGAGCAGTCAAAGAGGAAAAGCTCATGTAACAAATCAAGATCTTGTTATTGAGGATAACACAACCTGCCTTCTGTTATGTGGGGCAAAAGGAAACTGCAGTATTTCCGATCACTGCATTGTGTACGGTCTACAAAAACTAGATTGAAGGCTACAGTAATAATACTCTATTGTGAGCACAATGTAGAAAATAGGCTATTCAACTAGTTCAGTGACCAAGCCTGGAAAACACTCCACTTCACATTCGTTTTTATGAAACTGTTCGATTCAGGTTGGACACAACTAAATCAATGCAGCGAAGACAGAGATGTCTTCTTTCATATTACATAAACTCATCCTCTTGTCATGACTGCGTGCTGTTACCCACAATGCAACTCAGCTGATGGAAAAAAAGAAATGGATATTCAATCTCGTCTGATGAGGAGCAGACTCCAGAGATCTGGAAAACTCCCTTCTTATTCCTGACAGATATCCAGATTTTTTTTCCATTTTTCAGCTTGTAATTTTAAACCACAGCCCGCGTCGAATACATCAAACTCTGCTCAGCTCCCGCTTCGGTAACAAACACATGCAGCACGACTCAACAAAGACCTACAAACACACTTTGATGTGTAAAATCTTTAAAGTTACCACTTTAACCGCAGTTATTGTTTTGCTGCGAGCCCAATGTGCTGGACTGAAGCCCGAACACCACAAGAGTGTCACTGTCCAAACTGTCTGCAGACTGCACTACAGCTGCCACATCATGTCTTTCGCCTGCAGACACATGTAATTGGTAAGTTTAAGTTTTTTTTTTCTTAATGCTAGGGTGTAGCTACAGCTCAGCAGCATTTACGCACTGAAAAAATGTAAGTTTTAATAAATACTAAATCTGGATATAGCTTCGACTTTGGGGGAATGACAATGGTCTGGGGGCCTGTTTTGAGCCTCAGCAGCCGTGAAGGGCTCCCTGCAGTCCTCTGCCGTGGAAAAGGGGTCTACTTGACATAATTACAGGGCCCCTCTGTGGGCAGGGCCATACCGACGACACACAGACACTAACACTCTATTACAAACAGACACATAAATAGTAAATATGGGGCTATAGCTCTCACATGGAGTCAGTTGAAAACAGTTAAATGCACAAAAAGTCAGACGCAGACTGGCAGGCCTGCTGGAGACGCACTTGCACACACAGGCAGACAAAACACGCAGGGGTGGGAAGGTAATGCGATCTAGGATGTGTCACAGCATGACAGTGACCTTTGACTTCTGACTTTCTGGCCAGCCTGCCAAATGAGTGTTGTCAGTGTGTTGGGAGGTCCAGCTTCAGTAAGAATGAAGTGAACAGCTGCAAATGCCACACCTCTCTTGCTGTTTCTTTTTTACGTGTGCGCACACTGTAACCACCAGAATTCACTACAATCAGGACCGTGTGAGGCAGAGACAGATTGCTTATGAATTCAAATGCCAAGAGGGTGCCTGCAAGCGGTGTTTGATAGACCTCTCATCCTTCCTTCCTATCCTTACTTCTCAAGGTTTTTCTCTTCAGCAGTTCAGTTCCTTTGCTAATCCCACTTGACTTTTACCTCTTTCCCCATGTTTCCCGTCCCCTCCCATTCTTTCCTCTAAACAAATTCCCTTTTCACTCCCAACTCCCCCTCGCTCCATGTTTCTTTGTTAAGAAGAGAATTGCTGTCTTTTCTCATTAAAAGTGAAGAAGGTCTGTAAACTCTCATAAAACCACCCGTTCGACTCTGCAGCCCTGATTTACAGCCATTCTTCCCCTCCTTCTCTCGTTCTCTCCCCCTCCGCTTGTGAGAAAGCCCATCTGTTACCAAAAAAGAGTGACAAGAAAGCAGAACAGTAAGAGGCCAGGCCATAGCAAACAAAATGGATGGATTCCTGTCAACACAGCAAAGCGTGCGGAATAGAAAACGCAACTGGGTGTTTTTCTAACTCTTTGGATCAGGACGTGAACGTGTACAGCCTGCTGGACAATACAGGGCAATCTTCCCAGATCTTTCTTGGCTTTGTTTTTGTTGGCTGCAGAGATGGCTAGACCCAGCTGCAAACTACTACAAGACTGGGAAGTTAGCAATAATGCTAATCAAAGCTGTATATCCTTGTAGCTGGACAAACACTGTGAGAAAATCAATCATTTTATTTACAAACACTATCAAATTGTCCAAATCAATGCACTTTTGAGAGGCTAGGACATTTATTTCCTTTAAATTTCCTGCTTAATTTCTGTACAGAACAAAACAAAAACTCCCTATATTAATCACAATTGATCTTTCTGCATTTTGATCGTGTATAAAGCACTTAGTGTTCAGGAGAAACCTGCACTGCAGACTCCTGTTGTTTTATGTGCCTCTTTGTTCACGCAGGTCCCCTGACTGCAGGGTTATTATATTGGTCTGAACCACCCTCATAAGAAAAGTGGCTATGCAGCGTTTTCAATTATACTTCCAATCTGAAGAGTAAAAAGTTTTAAAAAGGATGTCAAAAGAAATCTGAGCTGTTGAAAACCTTTAAAATTCACAGGTTCCTCTAGATTTAACTAAATTCTTTAAAGTCCCACTCCAATCATTTTTTTACTACTTAAAGTGTTATCAGTGGTCTTTAAATTGTGATTATAAAGTTTTAAGCCAAACTCACATTACCTGTGTCACTTTCAAGGGCTTTCCTTCTGCAGAGCTCCAGTAGATCATTAGCAATTCACCTCTAAGTCGTGGGCAGAGACAGTTGCTCTGCACACTCCTCGTCAACGCTAGCTTGTAGCCTAACATTGCTGGTGTAGTAGAAGTGGCAGGTAACATAGGAGCTATTCAGCTCTGAGACACTAATGTCTTTAGGGGCATGATAAAAGCTACTATCATTATTAGCTTTCTTTCGAGAATTTTCCCAGAGTGGCCAGCATAGTGGGGCTCCGGGGGCGGAGCTTGGATTCGCTACGTAGGAAATCTCACTCAGTACATTTACATGACACTCGAGAAAACCGAATTATTGCCTTATTCCAATTAAGACCGGACAACTGAAGTGCATGTAAACACCTTAGTCCGACTATAATCGGAGTTTGAGAACTCTGATTGGAGTCGGAGAACTCCGATTATGACATTCAGATAATGCGATTGGAATTCAATTTTCTTTGTCATGTAACCAGCAGAGTCGGAGTATGATCGGACAATGCATGTGTGCATGTGTCTCGCCCCTGTAACTCCGGAACAAAATCACCAGAGAAGAGGAGTAGCATGCATCTCAACTGTACGACAAATACAACGCTGTACGATGCTCCATCTTCTTGCTTGAAAATGTCCAGCAGCAGTTGTAGCCACTTCTGATGTCTGGCACAGACCTGCTGTTGTTGTTGACGTTTGTATGGGGTTGCTGAAAAGACCCATATCACCCCCTAGTTTGGGGAGGGGGGCACGTTTACGTCAATAATTTAATTTTCTCAGCTTACATTAATTCGCGAACAAGGAGAGAAGTCCGTTTTGGCAGAAATAAAAAAAACGAATTATGAGCTTAGTCCGATTAAACTGTGCATGTTAACGCACTGACTGAATCTGAACCTGTCGTTTGCGTCTGTGAGAGATTCACAGCGATTTGAATGAAGAAATACTTAAAACTTACTTTTCTCATGATATGTCCTGTAGCTTCAGAAAAATGCCATATGAACATGTGAAAAACAAGAAAAACATGATTTTCACTGGAGTGGGTCTTTCATGGGTCCTAAACCATTTTCTCATTTCATGCTGCTCAAGTTCAGTATTTAAAGCAAAGTTCATCAGGAGCTTTGATAAAGTGGTTTGTATCAAGGTTTTTCCCCTTGATCTTGAGTCAAGGCTGAATAGCTGTCAGCCAGCCATATATACATGACGCATAAGAAGGCTTTCTTTCGTGGAAATAACACACACAAGAAAAACATAAATCACTAAATCCTGCACAAAGCCACCAGATGCCTGCAGGCCGACCCAGTCTGGTGCACTACAGATATAGTATTTCTCCAATCTGTGTGTGTGTGTGTGTGTGTGTCCAGCCATATACAGCATCTGATTCAGGAGAGGTGAACAGCGAGGAGGCCTAATATGTGTCTGTGTGTGTTTCAGTGTGAGTGTGTGTGCATCCTTGTATTGTCAATAACGGGAAATAACAGAGACACAGTAACACCATGACTGGGACTGCAGCCTAAACAAACAGTCTTGTGTACCGACAAACAAACAGACTCGCGCACCCTCTCGTGCACAGGAACACACACTCAGGCAGAGAGAACTGTGTGGTTTGAGCGCGCTCCCACAGCCATACATTGTCCTTGTAGCAGGAGTGTACAGCCAGTGTGAAGGACGGACAGAAATAGCTTCACTATAATTCCACTTGTGTATATAAAGCACACTTCGACACTTACTGTCTCTGTTGTGTGTGTGAGTGTGGGTTTTTTACCATCGTTTCAATGCACTGTTACATATGGCTGAAGGTATCATTTCTCGCTGGCGTGGCTTCCATAGGCAGCAGAGTAAGAAGCCAAAATGACCACGAAAGAAATGAAAACAGGGAGGAATTTTCAGGGTGTGCCAAAGAATCCGAGGCATGTCTCTTTTTTGGTGGGTGGGTCAGGGCGACTGGGGGCAGATAACCTTTAATTGGTCAACAAGAGGCAGACAACAACACAGATATACTAACTCACATACCTTTGAGATGTAGGTTAGTGATAGAGATTGTATTAACAGACCCTGGGGAAACTCAGGCCTGCACAAATAGGCTACTTATATTTGAAAAAAGTTGTTAGGCGTCAAAGGACTTGCATAAAGTTTCTTATTTCAATGCAAAAATATCAAATTGCATAAATTTGACGCAAGATTTTGCAGCATGTTGAATTAAAACCAGCAAAGGAAGCTAAAATATTGCTAGGGGCTCAAGTGTTTTGTAACAGACTCAGAAATTCGACCCCACGCACATTCAGACGGTGAAAACCTGTGGCACTGAAACAACACATTTCAGCACCAGAAGCCAAGAGACGACTTCCTTTATTTAGGAAACTTAGGAGCGAATGTGCAGCAACCCCTCTCCCCATATTCCCACATCAACTCCCCCCTCTCTCTCTCTCTCTCTCTCTCTCTCTCTCTCTCTCTCTCTCTCTCTTCCTTCCAGCTTCACCCAGCCCCTTTCCTGTGGGTGAGGGTGGAGGCTGGGAGAGAGGGGGAGAAAGAGCACACCGAGAACATACTGACACCGAGCAAACTCAGAGAGGAGGGAAGTCCCATTTCAGCCCTTAAAGCCTGCTCCCTCTATGGAACACGCATGAGGCAGCCGAGCAGTCAGTGCGACTTCGCTGTAATGAGACCGCAGCTCTTTCCTGGACGGGATGTTAAAGGGAACAAACGAGGCCAGGAGCGCAGGCTGACAACAAAAACAAGAAGAGCCACGTCTGGATTCTGATCTGTCATGTGCTTATATTCTTCTTTTTGTACAAATCAATAAAAACTTATTCTTAAATGTCCCAAAGTAGTTCAGAAACAGTTAAGAACAGCACACTTTGAACTCTTTAGACTTAATTAGCTACAAAGTTGAAGAAATTGTATAATTTGGAATATATTGTACTGCAATACTCACTGGATTGCAAAGTGTTAAAAATCACAATAATATCATATAGTGGCCTAAGTATCATGATAATATCGTATCGTGGCTCAAGTATCGTGATAATATCGTATCGTGGGGCCACTAGTGATTCCCACTCCTGCTGCTCTGTATTCCATTTATTCGCTTCCACAAAAAAAGCATGCTTCGGCAAAAACACATTTTTCAACAGTTGGTAAAGGTGCTAATGGAAAAAGGAGTCTACATCCAAGAAAAACATGACCTGTTTTGTCTGAAGGGGTCACTACAATCCAAAGCCTATATGTGCAAACTACCAACTGGCTCCAGCTACAGAGACATCTGTCATTTCAGTCAATGGAACATCTACCTCGATTCTGGAAAAGCATTTTTCTATTATATAACTTGATTCGGCTGCGGGTATATCACTGAAATAAATTGTCATGCAAGTAAATATTTCATATATTTTCATGGTTTTTGCAATTCAGGATGCATCGATAGTTTTATGCACTTACTGGAGGCTGCAGTGGAATAAAGGACAATAAAAATAAAAGTAAAGTCGATAAAAAAAAACTGCAGACTAAGTGTCAAAATAGTGTTTTATCTCAGCACACACACATCTAACACCCCTTTTTATCTCCTGGAGGAAACATGACTTACTCATAGTGTCTAGGCGCATAAATCAGCCATATAATATGAATATTCAAATTGATCTTACATCCATGTGTTTTCTTTAAATCTCTGCATTTAGTCTTCAAGCTGAAACTGTTTTCTTTCATTATTAAATTGCTCTCACCTGACATGAATCTTTTCTTAGTGTTCTGCCTCTCATCATTTTTATTACAGGTAATAAAAATCTTCTTGTTTCCATGCCAGCATAAAAGCCACCCTTTCACATAAACCGTTTTCTTTGTTTGGATGAAAACACACAGAGAGGCATACAGACAAGCCTGTGCATAAAAGTCCTGTTAGATCCAAGCCAAGGGGCAGAAGCAGCAGCAGCAGAGAGAGAGAGAGAGAGAGACTGTGTACATCCTATATATAGCAGAGCTTTGACAGGACATCCGAGAGGACAGGGAAGTCTAGACACAAACGACACAGCTCTTACTCAGGCTCTGTGTGTGTGCGTGTGTGCGTGCTCATCATGGCCTTGTTATCTCACATTTCATTGAAAGCCTCTGGCAGGCTGTTCCATGATAATGTCACAAGATTGTACTGCTATCACAGCCTGGTGTGATCTAATGGACTCGTGAGTTCTGACTTTGAGGCTGCAAACGGCGATGGCGAAGGGAGGAAGACGGTAAGAAGAGACAATGTGAAAACCAGAACGGAGGGGGAGGAGGAGGAGGAGGAGGAGGAGGAGGGTACCAGCTTTAGGACAAGGGATGTGAGGAAAGAAAAGGAATCAGGGAGAGTGACTCATCAGAAAAGGAATGTCCCATCTCTGCCAAAAGAACCACAGACACCACTGCAATGATTGCTCCCTCTCCAACACTTTAAATCAATCCCCTTCCTCACTCGCTCGCTCTTCTCCTCTCTTCTTCACTCATAATACCTGCTCTTTTACTCTCTTCCCGTCTTTCTCTGCTTTACTTTTCAACCGAATGTCTCCGTATACTCCAAACATTACTCCAAGTGCATTCTTCATGGTTTTTTGGATGGGGATGATACAGCAAACTGCCCACAGCTGGTGGAAACAGCACTGCACCACCACTGCTCGGAGCAGACGCACTCAAAAGGGCGAAGACTGCCTCTCCGGTTTGAGTGCCAAGCAGTGCAAAGAAAAGCCAAGAGGCAAATTCCATCACAGTGCGGTTTATCAAAGTTACACCATTAAATTACACAAAACCCCAATCAAATTCTTACTGCAGTTTTATGAATCACTGAAAAAAAAAAAACTGGCGCTCAATCACATCCTCACCACATTGTTAACTTATTATTAGTCCCACCATCACAGGATATGATGTAAGCTCAGGGAACTTTTCTGGTGAAGGGCCAAACTCACCACAATGACTGAGATCATGACTCAGCATTCCTATCACCTGTCATCCTCTGCATTCATCACACAGGAATGAGTTTTATACAGTAGACTTCCCACACTCGGGGTCAGTGAGACAAAAATAATACAACAAAGAAAGAAAAGTTTCTATCGACAAAAGTAAACGTAACATGTCAACCAAGAGGAAAAGTTTCAAAGTTTTAAGATTTATAAGCTCAAAACTGACCATTTACCTTCGATAGAGAAAATAAACGACAAGATTCAAAGTAAAACTGAATTAAGAGCAGGAAAAAAAACAACACCACCCCACATCACCAAGTGTTTGGTGATGTAAATGACAAATGACGGACAGATCAGCACACAAGTATGAATGCTAATAACGCTGCAGGCACCCTGGCGCCACTGTACGCTCTGTGTAGATTTGACCCAAGTGTCAGTTAAGTTTTGCACATTTTGCATTTGGGTATTTAAATCTGATCCCCACAATAAATGTTATAACTTTATATGAAGAATGACATGAATCAAGTGCTTATAAGGGCTGTAAAGTCCAAGTCGACTGGTTGACTTATTGGTCGATACGTTTAAAGTCGACCAAAATTCTAAATGGTCAACTTGATTTTTTCCGCGTCAATTTACAGTTTTGGTTAATTTCATCAGGAGGAAAGTACCAAATGCTAATGGGGGTGTTTCCACAGAACCCTCATTTCACAGGTAACAGCCTGTCTCAGAACACCCCCTTTGTTTTCACCATTTTGGATTCGCCCAACCCACTGAAGACCAGCTGGAGACAGAAGGATTGAAGAGCATCCATGTTAATCTACCTCTGGCGGTTCGCTGAATAATTATTTTTATTGTGTGATGCTTATTTTTTTGTTTTATTGTTTTATTTCATTGAGCTTATATCGGTGAATTTTCCCCACGCTCAGCTTCCGAGTCGCATCGTCCCCCGCCACAGAAGGGTTTGCCTTCAGAGTCGGAAAAGTCCTGACAAAAATTGAAAAAAAAATGGTAAAAAATGTCTAGGTTTTAGTTGACTAAGAACTTCTTGGGTTGAGTACAGCCCTTGTTTATATAGTTTGCTTCATGGTTTGCCAATTAGAGATGCATCGAGTATGAAGACGAGGGCAAGTATTGAAATTGGCATTCAAACTAATGATTCAGCCCTAACTCTGAAAAACTTATTTGAAAACTTTCATGTCTGCAAGCCAGCATTAAAATTATGCAGTTAAGTTTTTTAAATAACCCATGTGACAAACTGCAGATAGACACCTGCTACTGACATCAGTGTATTGCGCATTATTTGCTGATGGTATGATGTCTGTCAACAAACAGGACAAATATTGGCCTGTACCACAAATATTCAACTAATGCATCAGTGCTCCTCTGTCATCAAATGCTTTTAGTAAGCCTAAGATTATATGGAGAGTGCAAATAAGCCTGTCTAAGTCTTTCTGACATACATCCCATGTGTTTGTGTGTGTCTGGTTGAATATAAAACAGCCATAAAGTCGTGAGAAGCTGACAAGGCGGAAAGCAGAAGTGCTCCTGAGTTTAAATGTATGCAGTTAAGAAAGCTGCAATCTGCATTAGTGCCAAGGTATTGATAGTGCTTAACAAGATCACTTAGACTGTAGAGTGAGCAGTACTCGTACTTTCCTTTTGTTTGGAGTTTTATGTCTGTAACTCCTCTTTTGATATCAGTTACATATCATACAAGATTACTGCATGTCAGATTTTATTGTTTTGACAGTTTTCATGACAAGATTCGGAGGCAACTTTTTTGGCAAAATAAAGTCAGATAAAGTAGTGGTAACTAGGGCTGGGCGATATGGCCTCCAATCAATATTGAGCAGTTCACCTTGATAACGATAAATAATCGATAACTACTTCACAAGCCGCTCACAACCTCCCACATTAACTTTGTCTACTTCACAAGCCGCTCCAGCCGCTACAACCTTTGTACCGTCCTCCATCTTCTCACCTGTCTTTCCCTCTTTGTTACGGACTGGATGGGGTGGAGTCACGTCTCCGACATAGTACAGCATCTTAACGAGACATGAGACCATAGCCTACCTACACACATCCAAAACCAACTTTTATTTATTAAATAGATTTGACACCAAATATATTGACATGGGCAAAATGACGTTGGTTATTGTCGTAAATTTCTGTATCTGTAAATTTTCAGTTTATCGCCCAGACCTAGTGGTAACTCTTTTTTGATGGCCTTAAAAATGGTAGTGATAACACAAACAAAACTAAGCAGTAGGCGAGCTTGTGATGCAGTATGTAAACAAAGTTGTGAGCAGAGAAACATGGAAGACCACTGCAAGCAATCGACTGTTTAGCTCAGCTTCACTACAAAGATAATGATGCAGTAAGGCAGGAAGCATGTCCAACGTGACAGAGCAATTACTACAGCAAGATGTGACTTTAGAGCGCTCCAGTGGATTCAACGTGCTCTTCCTCACTTAAAACACCTCAGGGCTACACTAGCATTAGCAGCTCTGGCAACATCTTGACACACTGAGGTACAAAACACAGTTAAACTCACATTTGTGTTTTCGTTGAGGTAAACAAGCATCACAACGTCAAATACTTCAAATGTAGTTTTATTTTTTTACTCTACAAATGAACTGGAATTGTGTAAACAAAAATCTTAAAAGAAATTAAATGGATGAGTGGAACTGGAGTCAATCAAACTGAAGCGGTATCAAACCCTAGTACCAACTATCAAGTAAGATCAGAGCTTGTTTTGAGACACCGCAGCAGAAATCCTTCAACTTGCTGTAGTAGGCCCATTTACAGAGGCACCTGGGGCTCTGGATTTTACAGCCCCTTTCATCACATGCTGGCTTTCATAGTGTGTGTGTGTGTGTGTGTGTTTGAAAATCAGAGCTCGAGAGAGGGACTCTGAAAACCCTTATACAGCTGAAATGGGAGTGATGGGGGTCTGCATGTGAAGACGCAGTGACGCGGAAAAGACAACATCAGAATCTGAAACAAATAATGAAAAGAGAGGGAGTGTGTGTGTGTATGTGTGTGAGTAAGTGGAGTACAGGAAGTGTGTCAGCATTAAGTAAGTGTGTGTGTTAGTGTGTAAGAAGTTCCTTTTGAGAGTGGGAAAACTTGTCGGTCCTTGCCCTGCTTCCACAGGTAATTTGAAGGCAGAATAACACACATGCTGGCGATGCAACAACCACAAGGTAGACTTGACAGGAAGAAGGCAGCTGATCAGAGAGGGCTGCCAGGAGCTGACATGCTACACACACACACACTCACACACACACACACACACACACAGAAAGAAAACAAAGATGCCAAGCAAAATGAGCATGTGGGTGAAAACTGAGAGTGTCAGAGAGACAGATAGACAGAGCGACAGATGGAAAGGGGCCCAATCATTCAGTTTCACACCCTGCAGGATGAACAGGGCCTCTGTGCTCCTTCTCTGTTCAAACACACCTCACGGCTGTCTGCTCCCCGCAACAACAATGCACAGATACACACACACACATACACACACTGCACCCTGCCTGACAGTGGGCACAATAACCCTATTGAGAGGCATCGATAGGGGGCTGAAAGTGAAGAGAATAAGACTGAGGCAAAGATTGACAACTTACGTGCACACGCAACATTCAGCCTCCGCAACCACCACGACTACACACACAAACACACTGCAGTCTTAATTCATCATTCATCTGCCCAATCTGATCAGGCTCTACACACACACAAACACACACATAAACACACACACATGCACACTTGTTTGGTCAAGGGCGGACCAGCAGTATTGTTTCACAGGGGAAGCAGGGTGGTGATAGCGGATCTCTGCGTTCTTTATCTGATTGCTCTCACACACACACACACACACACACACACACAGACACACACTCAAACGCACATACACAAGCATGTACCCACATGCACACTCTCACCACCCTTTCCCATCAGCTGTTGTGCATGACCTCGACCACACGCAGACTAACAGGTTGGTGCCGCAAGGCAAGAAAGTCCCAACACCAAATACAGACACACAAACACATTTATGGTCTGGGTAAGATAAATAATCCAATCTGCAGAGCGCTCTGGAACAAGCTGAGATATCAGGGGGGATTTCGGGGGTATGACATGCTCACGACTTCAGGAGGTGACAGCTTACATTACTTGAGAGGTTTTTATGCCTATTTACTAATGCATTCTGGATGTACAATATGCTTAAATGCATATGTCTCCTTTATTTTGCCTCTGGTAAAAGCAAGCTTGGCAGAAGAGGGGCCATCTTGAAACTGAGACACTTTCGTAACACCCAGGCTAAACAAACAAGCACGCTAGAACAGTCCGCAGTGTTTGGCCCAAAACTTAGTCCTTAAATGTCCAAGTCACTTTTTCCATACTCAGCGGCTCGTGGTGTATAGAACTGCCAGAGAGGGAGGAGGATGAGAGTGCGTGGAAAAAAGGGGAAGAGTAATGGAGTGAAAAAAGAGGGAGCAGAAAAAGGGAGAGGGGCAGAATATAAAACAACTTAACAGCCCAAAGGCGCTACGCAATTAGCAGTGACATCGTGTATCTTCCACACACTGCAGACAAGGGCCAGGTTTGGATGAAGAGTAAACCAGCAGGGCAGGGAGGCTGTGGTGGAAGAGAGAGAGAGAGGAAGGATGACAGTGCACCATTTCTTCTCTGGTGGTACAGTCACTGACACATTCATGTGTGGACTGTACTAATAGATGTCACGATCAATTCCCACAGCTGTAACCTCGTAAAAATCACCACAGCCACTGCCTAAAATAGTACTGGCTGTTTACCATGAATGAGTACTTCCGTTTGAGCGAGTGAGCAAGTCCGTTTATAGATTAAAAGTAGTAACATTTCTTAAACATGGCAACAACTTCAGTACTCTCTCCCTCTCTCTCTCAACACAGAATGTAAGTGTACACAGAGATACACATGTCACAGTGCAAATTCTATGCAAAACAAATACTGGAGAGGAAAGTAAAGGGAGGAAGAGAAGCCTCAATGGTAGACTCCATTAAAATCACAGGTCCACTGTAACTTGTCTTCAACAGCTCTCTTCCTGTCAACAGAAAATCACACATTTTGCTACATTTCACAACTTTGCAGGCTCTCACCAAACATTAACAGAACTAACCCTTCACCAACTTCATCAGAAACTCTGTCAACATTCAACCTCTTTTTATGACTTAATTCACACAGACATATCTGAACCATATATATGTTCTCCATACCTCTCTGACACCAGGAGAGGTTTTCAGCCTCATTCTCCAGATTCCTTAAATCATAAGACATAAACAAGCCATTAAATGGCTCCATGCTTTTATAAAACAAACAGGCATATTATCTCAAGGGCCTGGTAGAGATTAGCAGAGTAAGGCTGGAAACGTTTAGCTAGCTACGTCCCTGCACCAATACAAGCCTCAACCATCACCCCCAAGGGACCGGCCTGGCCCACAGCCTTAGACTACTCCACTTAGTGTGACCATGTCAAGAGAATACCCTCCTTTATGCTTGTTTGTCTCACAAAGAACCTCTTTATCAATTAAATTGTTGCCCTGAAGCAAAGAGACGTGCATGGAAGGAGGCAGAGGACACAGCCTGGAGCCAGGAGCTGGTGAATCTCTGAGGAGGAACCAGACAATTGGATAAACCCACCTTTCAGGCTTGGGTTCAGAAACAATTAGTCTATTGACAACAAGTAATAGGACATCAGTCAAAGCTATGGACTGATTGTTTAACGAATTAACTTAACAAAAAAAGGCCACACTCTGCCAAGTCTTGTTTCTACAGGTTTCATAGTTTAGGTTTCTCCACTTTTTCTCTGACCAAAAACTTAAGTGTCTTTTTTTGTTTTCATCTGCGGAGCTGTTAAAAAAGATCATTTGCCTACACCTGTATTTCAAATAAATTACATTTATGTGGTGGAGGTAGTAGAAGGGGTTCAAACTTAGCATCTCCAGAGAGTTTATTGTACAAATTCACGTGCACCATTAATATTGTTTACAGTTTCTCAGGAACTATACCATGTATCTCTATGGGATGAAAAGTGTTCAAAAGCTTACCCTTTTGGCGATCTATCAAGGGTTTCTAGGCATTTCTAAACCTGCCACCAGGTTTACAATCCAGCAACAAAAATTGGTGTTTGATCAGAGATGTTTGATGGTAAATCCGCAGTGATATACCGGTGAAAACATGATTATTTATCATATTGTTGTGATAAAAAAGGTCGCTATCGCTGTTGCTAATTTCCTCCGGGTTTGACAAGCTGTTCTGATGACATCTTTTTCTGTCAAACTTTCGACCAACTTTCATCTCATATTCTTCTTCTATTGTTCCCTTGACGGTAGTGTCCAATAAGAGGCAACCAAAGATCAACAAGAGACAAGAAAGTTCCCAGCTGGTCGACAAAATAAGAAATAATGGTCCTCAATGCTTGGAAACAAGCAAAGAAGAGAATATAAGCTGTATCATGTGGTCCTCTGTCTCATCCCAGGAGTGGCAAAAACAACTGTAAATAGCAGAAAATGCCTGGAAGAATTAGTGTAAATAGTATGTAAATAGTTTCTGTTGTGTGTTTGTTCCAATCCCAATATGTCTTCTCCTGATAGCCAAGACTTGAGAGAATGATGTGCAGATGAGAAAAGGCTTGGTCACTGTAGATTTATGTGTTTTTGTGCAAAGTACTGTTGGTATCAATTTCCGTTTTTGTTTTTAGGTTGACTTTGATGGTTCTGAATCTACCTGTCACATTCATGTTACATAACTTTAGCACCCATAAACTGACAGCTGAGGTTGTCCTGAAAAAAAAAAACAGATGTCTATAAAATAGCAAAATATGGCTGTGAGTTCTAAGGGTTAACTCGCTGGTTCGTGTAAGTTTACCCTCATAAAAATGTCAAGATTATGACAACAGTTATAAGTTTATATCATGTTAAGAAGTGCCAAAAAACTTGGTTACTTCAGCGAAGTATGAACAGCGAGTACTTTACTCCTCATACGGTGATCGGTTAACTTCCAGTCGACTGCAGGTCAGTTTACTTACCGCACGTTGTGGAGATGCAGTACTACATTACCAATATACAGAAAGTAGAGGTTTAAGAGTTTTCAGATGTTAATTTGGAACTACTAATTGTTAATGTAATAGCAATTGGGTTTTCCACACTCAAACATTTCTTTCACCTATGGTTAGCTAGCCTTAAAGCGCAGCGGTGGTCAACGACTGGCTGATCGCGAGATCGTTCCGACGGTTGTTACCGCGCCGCCGCCGCCACTTACAGTCCCTGATACTCCAAGCGAGGACTCGTTGAACCTTCCTCTCCGGTAGAACAAAATCCTTGACATGAAGTCAAAAGAGCACACGCTGGGTCCTTTAAATGCCCCCATCTGCCGCCGCCGCCGCAGCCTCCCAATCTCCTCTCCCCCCACCTTCCCGACTTGTTTGCAACACAACGGGGCCCTCGGATGCCAAGGCAATGCGACGCCCGAAAGAACATGGAAAGTTACTCACGTTTCCACTCGATACAATGCAGAGGACGACTGCAGCGGTGCGGCGACGGACACAACTCCTGAATTCAAGCGAAAATTCTCAGCATACCACATTAACTCACCTCCCTCTCCAGTGTGTTCCCGTCCTCTTCGTTGCTGCGCTCCTCCTGTCTTTTCTCCCCTCCCCTCCGTTTTCCTCTCACCGTTTTCCTTCTCTCCTCCTCCCTCTCAGATGCCGCTGTTCTCTGGAATAGGGGGAACCGGGGGACGCTGCTCCGGAAGCAAACGCTCCTCCGTGATTTTCTTTTTTAATACAGCACACTTAAACTGCATACTAATTAATGACATTGTTTAACATATCATGGTGGAATAAATAAGTGCTTTAAGTAAGAGTTATGCTGCGTTTATTTATTTATTTCTCTTCTTTCTTATTTTGACTTATTGCCCTTTTAGCCTTTGTTTTACTTATAATCTTGTCTTATTTAACATTTTAGGCCTTTTATTGATGTTATTGTTTTTTCCTGCTCATTTTTGTTATTCCATTTTACCATCATTATGACTTTATTATCATTAATAATATCCTCTTTTTATACTTACAATCCCGTTCCTTGCTTTCTACCCCCCTTTTTATTACATTTCTTTTTCTTACCTATCTTATGTTTTTATTTTGGTTATTATGGTCTCATTTTATGTTGTAGGGTTCTTGTATTGTCTGGGTTTCTCATGACAAATGATATTATTGGCCTTCAATTTGGAGGCCTGGTTTTTAACTGAGCTTTTGTTTTTTATTTCCATGTGCTTTATGACTGTTTGTCAAAGCACTTTGTTAACTTCTGTTTGTAAAAGTGCTATAAAAATAAAGTTATTATTTAACAATAGTCATTGTACTGAATTAGTACTTTCACCCCTTGTTCCCACACTTTGTACTTTAAGTTTTACATCCACATAACATACAGAGGTTATTTTCTCAGACTTCACATCCCATTGATAACTGCAAACCGAACTAAAAAATTGGCAACATTGGGGACATGATTATTTGTAAACCACATAGTAAGTTTTTCCAAAAGTAATTCAGCTAACATTTTAAGTCAGCATTGAGTGGGAAATATCTAGAGAACTTTAATCAGGAAGCAGAGAAAAGTGACTTTGGTGACCTCACCTTTTTAAACAAACAGCCTGCTATACCAGTTAATTTATATGATAAACATCTGCTGCAGAAATGTTTTGTTTCCATGTGTGGATAGATGTGCTTTCTACACTTATGCATGCCATTGTATTGCGTGTACTGTATAAGTGTGTCAGTGCTGCTAAATCTACCTATTGTGTAATCAAATCAGGTAAAATGCTGACACCTGGTGGTTACATTTATTTAACAGCTTATTAGTTGTTCTGCTACAGCCACAGTGTACCTGAAGGATTATGTTCTCACCTTCACACGAGAGAAAATGACTTTCAGTTATTGTACATTTTATTTACTTTTGATCCAGTTAGAGTCATGACCATCGCAAATGACAGACTTAAACAGCACATGATCAGAATCCAGTTACAGGCCAAAACTGGAACATAATATGACTAAGGATGGGTCTCTTGATGTATTTACACAGTCAGGAAAATAACTAACAAAAAGTACATGAAATAAGTACATTTTCAAACAAAGGACAACAGAGAATAGAAAAAAATCTTCATCGGGATGAGGAAAAGTGGTTAGTAAACCTTAAGATATAGTTAGACCTATTCATCTGTCAAGTAACACACTGAAAGTATGTGTCACTACTTTAGAGTTATTACATGAACAGAAACAGGCAATCGTATTTCCATGCCAAGCTGAAACTGGTGAAAGTTTTGGCAAAAATTTAACCTTTTTTCTACCAGCCAGTCATGGAGAAATCATTGATCAAACTGTATACAACGACTGATAAAATACCCACATAGGGGAAAGTGGGGTAAGATGAGCCATTTTTCATATTTTGGATCACTACATCAAGGCAATCATAGTTTTGTCTCTAACTAGTGTATCTGCATATATTTCAAGATGTTGTGCATCCCTGCAAACCAACAGAATGAGTGTAAACTGTAAACTTATGTGTAAACTGTCTTGATAATATAGCATGCCAAAAAAAAGTGGACTCCTATGGTCAACTTACCCTACGTATGGGCTAAGTTGAGCAAATTTAAAATGATCTTTTTTGGTCTGAACACGATTCTTATAAAACTTATGACAAACTAAATTTACTTTCAAGCGTGAATTGATGACCATCTCCTAAATATTTGGTCACGTGATCAATTTCTTTTACCATTTCCGAGCAACAGGGGGTGGCTTCATTTATCCTTTGGCTCAACTTACCCCACTCTCCCCTACTTTCTTTGCACCGGGGAATCAAAAACGCTTACCTCTCTCCATCTCAGTCAGGATTGTAAATACTCCGATCCACTAGGTGGCGCTGTGCTGACTTCACATCCAGCTCTTGACCAATCAACGGTGTTCAGCAGTTTAAACACGAAGCGGGTCCGGCTGAGTCAGGAGGAGAAGTGAAAAAGAATCAAAACACACAAAAGTAAACTTTGCGAATGAACCGGTTGCTGAAATAGGCGTGAATACTGCAGTAGTACTCTTAGATAGTTTATATTCTTCTGCAGCTGTATCGTTTACTCTAAAAATGAAGCCGATAAAGTCGACGTTTCTCAGGACGTACGGTAAGCATTCGCGAAAATTGTCCGCCTGGATTTCACCGAATGACCGTAAGCAGGCCTTCGACAGCACCGCGTCGACAGACGCAGACGTCTCCGTGTTTGAACCGAGGGGGCGACGGTAGGTGGACATCGACAGACCACCACTGTGGCTCTGTTTTGTTTCTGTTTGAAGACATTAACTCCATCTGTCTGCAAACCTTTGTTTCATGGCTGTTTTCTTGAGACCTAAGTGGGAGTTACTTTGGTTTTAAGGAGAATCCGTGTTTGAATAACAAGTAGGAATGACATGACAGATAATGGCAAAAGTTACTTTGCAGCTTTAAGTTTCTTTGTCCCTTAAAATGATACTTACACAAAATAGTACATCAAGCTCATGCCTGAGCATTTTCACTCCTCTATCCTTTGACTAGTCTGTTGGATGATACATGGGTAGAAAATTATAAAGTCAACTAACACTAAATGTGAAAACATGAATGAAGGTAATGATCTTAAGGGAGGCACTTTTCAGACAAAAAATACAGTTCAAAGTGCCTCACAGAGGCTAAAAATAACGATTAACAACAATAAAAGCCTACCCTCTCATCCGCCCACCCACCCATGGACCCACACACACAAAGACACACACCCACCCTCACTCACTCACCCAAACATACCCACACACACACACAAGTGCACACAGTGTGAGAATTAAGGATATACTGTTGAAGAGGCAAGGCCTGACACCGAGACTTTACGTGAGGAAAGAGCTACCTTTGGAAAACACTGGTGATAAAAATAAAAATGGTAAAAAGAGAGTAAAACCTGATGGACTAAAACAAGAAAATAATATTAAATGAACAGATAAGTAAGAGCTCTTTACCATATAAAAAAGGGTAAAAGAAGTAAAACCTATGATGGGAATTAAGAAAAAGACTAAGAACAGAGATAATTAATAAAATGACATAAAAGAAACAATAAGAACTTCGATTCAAATGAACATTTGCAGTAAGAGAAAAATAAAAAGGCAGTTAGTGAAAAGCCAGGTTAAAAAGGTGAGTCTTGAGCCTCTTCTTAAAAACATTTGTCGGACTCAGTTTTGGGATATTACCACCCTTTTGAGTTAGAAGTTAGTTAATAATCTCACTGTCAGGTAAACCATTCCCTGGCTGTAGCTTCCATTGCCAAAAGAGTGACAACAACTAAAAAGTATCCTCAACAAATAAAAGAAAGTAAAAAAAAAATAGAAGAACAAACACAGTAAGTAGCCTAAAAGTAATTTCCCCAACAGAAATAAGTTAACAGCAGCCTTTCTTCCCTGATCAATTTTCCTGTATGTTTAACTGTGTATGCCTTCCACTCCTAATGTGTTCATCTCTGTTTTATGCCTTAGAGCGAAGAGGGTGAGTGTTGCCTCTCAAAGAGTGATGCGTCCAGCTAAGAAAAAGACCGTACTGTGTCCGACCAGCGGTGATGAGGAAAACTCCTTGTCCTATTCCCATCCACAGCCTAAGCAGCAGAGCAAGACAACCAGGTCAGTAAGAGCAGCAGGCTGTTTTAAAGGTACAGTGTGTGTGGATTGTAGCAGAGCAGGCTTTGTTGAAATGGACTGTTATATCTGTAAGTATGTTTAAATTTGTGTTCAGATAGATGACAGATGACTTTGTGATGGTAAAAACTTGACAAAAAAGGGGATTATTCTCACAGGAGCTTCTTATCTATGAAGACCACTTGGAGAGGAGCGTCTCAGTTTAGTCATCTGGATATCACAAAATTTTCCTATTTCATTTTATCTTGAAGTGATACCATTTTCTGTAAGTCCACTGTATATGTATTATAATTCATGTATTGTCAAATTTTCCCCTCGGGGTTAAATAAGTTCTTCCTATCTTATCTTATTGTGAAAAGACGACCTCTCAGTCTGGCTCAAACACTCTAAGATGCTGGAGTATTAAGACTAGGGATAGGCGGTATGGGCTAAAAAATTGATCAAGGCAAGATTTGCCATTCTGGCGATAATGATAAAAGTTGCGATAAAAATATTATAATTCCAATTTGTATTTTTGACTCAGTTTGTCTTGAGAACACCAGCTGGAATAGTCAAATAGATACTAAACCACAAGTTTGAGTGGTAGGTTACAGAGAAAACTAATGACATCAAACAAGTCTCAAATGTGAGAAAAAATAATTTAACATTTGTTGAAAACTTTTAATGCACAGAGTGAACAGCAGCAGATCTACCGTCTGATGTCAGGCACACCTGATTGTGCTCATCTAAGCCCCAATCTTGAAGGAAATCCCTCATGTGGAGCCTCGTTCAGTAAAGAGCTGCTCAGGAACGCCCTCTTCATTACCCTCAGCCATGTTTGTTTGTTATTCTGCTCTGTGTGGGCTACGGCTGCGAGTCTGTCGCTAGCGCTTATGTCATCAACTTGCATTTATCGTATATGAGATGGCAAATATTTGTCATGGAAGATTTTTCAGACAATTTATCATGGATGATAATTTATCGCCCATCCCTAATGAAGACGTTCAACTGTAGAAAAGAGGACATCTGAAAGCTTAGTCAGTGCAATACAACTTAAATGTGCAATTCTTATGGTTCTTCAGGACTTCATTAGAGCAAATGTGTATGCTTAAACTTTTCTATGTTAGAAGTCAACAGTGAATTAATAAACTGAGTCTAGATTTTGACGCAAGATCACATGACAGTTCTATAATGTTAATACCAGATAAGTGTTACAGTATTTTTTTTTAACCAAACCGCTCATGCTCTAGCTTGCCCTGACCATCAGTTGTTTTCAATCTCTTCTTTGTTATCAGAGTTAAGAAGACAAGTGTTTCCGGAGGGCGAGCGGTCCGTCCTGCCAAAAGAAAAGCCATGTCATGTCTGACAGAGACCAGCAGTGATGAGGAGAACAGCCACAGGCCCCCTCCTCCCCGTTCTAAGTCGGCTCATCAGAGCAAGACAGCCAGGTCTGTGCAGACACTCAGAGAAAAACACAGTGTAAAGAGACAAATGATTGCTTATATTCAAAGTTCATTTTTTCCTCTTTTTAATCACTACAGCAGTCTACAGTAAACATGTGAAATAATTAAATTACATGAGGTGTATTTGACAGTTTTTGTTTGAGATGTTTGAGAAAATCAAACCAGATGTTGTGAATAATAATTAAGCTAACAGCAGGTTCCAATGGATTTAGTTTTTCAATCAAATGTTGCTTATTTTACTTTTATTTGTATTAATTTCCTATGTGGGCCAGGTAACAAAAATAATTTTCATTGTGAAGAATCTCAGTCTCATTGTTCAGGCCTTCAGTTCAGTGTTTCAGAGTGAGCACAGATAGAGTTGAACAATTTTTTAAATTTACCTTTGATTTTTAACTGCACCCATTTGCAAACCGTCAGAAATAGTAGGAGAAGTTGAAAAAAAACCCACATTTGAAAATTTCCCACTATCCATTATGTGGTAGTGGGAAATGTGATTGTTACAACCATCAAGTTTAATGCTCAAAGCATGCTGGGATACCTGGTGACATTGACCAGACTGATGGCGCCACTTTCGTTCCCTCATTCTGTCAAAATCACCTATACCCAGACAACAGTAATGTACTATTTGGAAACCTGGTCAGGTGCTGGTTTTTACCTCTTCTTTCAGTTCCTGAAATGATCTCCATGTCTGTATCTCAACAGGAAAAGCCGAGTTTCAATGAGGCAAGAGGGGCAGCAAGTTTTATCATCCAGTAAGAGAGAAGAATCCATCACAGACTGTCACATCAATTCACCTAAAATGAAGAATGACTCGGTGTAAGTGTCCTGCCATTAAATCTATTTATCTCAGCATTGATGGTACAGCTCAATGAAGAGGGTCATGGCAAAAGAAAAGCTTGAGCTAAGCTTTAACTACACACAACTTTTGCTGAAATGTGGCATCATTGGAGGACTGTTGCACTAGTCAGTCATTTTGTGGTGGTTTTGTTCAGATTTAGATTGTATTGATACTCTTAATCCCAAAATTTGTTTCAGAAAAGTTGTCTGGTTTGTAGAGCTCTGAATCTTGTTTCTGGGTATTGTGAACATAGTGTGTTTTTTTCCACCTTTTAAAGACTAAAAAACTTGAATCCCAACTCATTCAATATCACGCCCGTTTAGATGCAGAACTGTTTTTAAGTCATCGCTGTTTGAGTCATTTTACAACTGAACCTTCTCCTCTTCTTCTTCTTTTGCTCAGTGTCTGTGTGCCCTCTGTTAGTCGCTTTGTAACTCGTCGCAGACGTGCTGTTGCGGCCAAACCCAAAGTTCCTCTAGCAACAGTCAGCATACTCAACTCTTCTGACGACTTTGCCTCTGGAGCCTTTGCTTCGCGTAAAAGGAGGAGAGGGGGGATCCCTCCAGCTTTTTTGGAGTCAGCGGCAGAGAACTCGGTGAACGCTGTAGAGACTGTCAGCTTTGCCACCGTCCCCTTCAAAGAGATCTCCCTTAATGAGTCAGCAGATCACAGCCTCGGATCCTGCTCCAGGAAACCCATCTTCTGCTCTACACCTTCAGCAGGCCCCTTCAGCAAACGACCATGCCTCAAACCCTCATCTGCCGTCGATCAACGTTTCTCTCCCCCGTCCATTTCTGTAAGCTGCATCGATGTCATGAGTACTTTCCAGGAAGAGCTGTACTCACCGGGACAGCCCACTCCCTCTCAGTGTCCTGCACCACCCACCGAACTTCATTCAGAGGTGAAGCTGCATTCAAGTGTCAGGGAGCCGGAAACTTCTGGTGATTTCTTTATGGAGCCCACGAGAAGCGGCTTAGGAGAGGAACACAAAAGAAACAGCAAGGACACAAATATCAAGAATGCAAGAGAACCACTACCAAGTCTGAATCTGTTCTTAACGGATGACAGTGAAAGCAGCAGTCATTTTGTGTCAGCAGCAGGAGGATTAGAGTGGCTGATCGAGGCTCTGAAGGAGAAATGTTTGACCTATCACTGCACAGTGCAGTTGGATAGATTGGACTTACTCACTATGACTCAGCTCTGCAGTCAAACATCCTACTCATCCTGTTTGGAGCAGTCAAGCTCAGTCTGCCAAACAAATGAACATCCACTCTCTGTGCACAGCCTTCAAACTGCATATAATCATGTATCTGATGAAACCACGAGAGGTAGGGATGATTTGCATTCAGTGAATGGATTTGAGTCTCCCGAACATGCGGCTCCGCTGACTGGAAATCAAAGCACTGATAACTCAATGGGCTGCAAGCAGTCAGCTGAGCAGTCATCCTCAGAGGAAGGCAGCGCAGAGCCGCCAGCTTCAAACCCCCACGCTGAGAGCAGTGTTGAGTTTATAAGTGGCACACAGTCACTACCGAACAACTCTGTGCAAACACTGTCCTCTGGAGATGAGGTTGAAGCTGTGAAGGAAACATGTCGGGTTAAGAGATGCACAGTTGAGCTCCAGAAATGTGCTCTATCACCTGTGAGTGTTCAGCAGCTCAAAGACGCAGGTTTGGCTGTTGATGAGAAACCTGCTAAAACAGACGTAAACAGCTCTGAAAGTGAGCCAGACAACCTCACATGTTCAGAGGAGGTCACTGAGACAATGATGGTCTCAGTCAGACAGTCGGTTAACAGCAGCAGTACTGGAAAGTCGAACGATACAGACAGGGACGAGAAGACAGCCGTGCTTCGAGCGCTGCTGAAAGAGGAGTGTCTAACAGATAAAGTCATTGTTCAGACGAAGAGATTAACTTCAACACAGCTGAAAGAAATCCTGCAGCTTAAAGGCACAACACTTCAATCAGACGCACATGTGTCAGACTCAACCAGTGATGACCAGAGAAAGACAGAGCAGCGGTTTGACGGCAGCGTTAATCAGAGTAATGAAGACGCTTCAGCAGTGAAAAAGAGAAAGAAAGGCTCGTCAAGCTCTGAAGACAAGATCGTTTCAGACAGAGAGGAAGTTGCTCTCCACGGAAGAAAAAAGACGTCTCGGGCTCCTAAAGAAAAGAAAAGAAGGAGCACGTCTGCCGACCGACCTGGGACGACCAGAAAGGCGTGTGTCAGCGGCCTGAGTGTGAGTCGTTGGAAAAACAAAGACCGCACACACATGTTCGGGAGCAGGACTGCACAGATGGGCGGGAACACAGACGTAGAGTGCAGCATCAATGAGCTAATGAGCTCCACAAAACAGCCAAAGGTGAGATCACAGCACATCAGAGACCTGTCTCCTGGTTACTGAACATGTTTTCTTTTCTTTTTTAGTCAGTCGTTGTCTGGCAAAAGCCATTGTCATGACTGGATTGTGTGTTTCTGTCAGAAGACAGTCATCTAAGATAAGATCAAAGTTTTTTTTTCCCCAGATGAAACTCTGGCATTAGCATAAAATAAGAGGAACACAAAGGAGCTTCAAATCTGCCAGAGATACAACAGCATCAAGTGTGTAGTAAAATAATCAGTCTTTGAGTCACGGTGTCCTAAACAGCATATCAGTGGTAGTAATCAGTATGAAAGTAAACTGAGGGCAGAAGTGATGACTCATTGACTGTAATCCTGACTGACATATTAAAGGTGGGGTAGACAGGACTCCGTTAAAGAAGCATCTTTTTTGTGGTGTATATACAAAAAAGCTTTCAATATCAGTCGATAGCTACTAGTTATTGATGATGTTTGGTAATATCACAACATCGCTGTGTTCTCTTAAGCCTGTGTAGTCAGCATTTTGAATTTTTTTAGCAGTCCACTCTTTCTGACAGTAAACAAAGCCGTTCTCCACCTCCTTAACCTGATTGGTTGTGAGGCAGACGCTGCTCCCTCATGCTGTGAGGCACGCTCCACGCTCTCGAATATCGTGCACGAGCCCAAACAAAGTTAGCGTGCTATAATATCGGACAGTAGAAACCAACAAGAAAGTACGGAAAATTGTCTGAATCCTCCTTTGGCCATGACTGTCAACACAAGCAAGGAAACAAAGTAAATGTGGGCGGGGCTTGCTGGAGGAGAGAGGGAGGAGCTGAGGGGAAAACTGGTTGGGAGGGGTCGTGGTTACATTCAAGATTTCTCCTAAAAACTGGCACTTCCTCAGATCCTGACTACCCCACCTTTAAAGGAAAGTGACTATAATATTGCATGAGGTTTTCATAATGTTATTGATGGAACGGGTGGTCATGTTTATGTTGTTGTAATGTGAAAAAGTTTTCATGGCCAGAGTAATAATTCAGTAAATATATTAGTCTTAAAATACACTGTCAGTCATGTGCTCAGTGGTTATAGAGTAAAGAAGATGCTTGATGTGGTCATGTGACTGCGTGTGCTCATAGACATGTTAATACTCTGAAATCTCTACGTCTGTTTAAAACAGTTGGCTTTGTAATCTAAATGGGTAGAGAAGAGCGAAGGCAAAAGCTACAATTGGGTTTTCTCCTCATTCTTTAACCATTTCTATTTTCATAATTCAAGGGTACAAAATAAAGACTGCTTCAATTCCTCTTCTCTTACAATCACAAATGTCAACAAGTCGGAGCACTATTGACAACCTTTGATTTTCACCTTGTGGTCAGGAGCTGCTGTCGGGGACCATGAGTTTTACTCCTGCAAGAGAGAATCAGCTCAACCTCTCGTCTCTGATGGCAGACTTGACAGCCGACACACAAACCTGGAGTCGACTCAAAGCTGCTCTCTCAGTTCACCGCAAGAGTATGGGTTATACACACACAAACACACAACCTATAAGTTGTAGTATGTTCCAAGCTGTTCTTGACCTCAAACACCTTTTTATTTACCAGTTAAGTTTCATAACAACGCCTTTATGATGTTCCCTCTCCCTTCTCCGATTTTTGTAATTTACACGTCTTTATCCCTCTACTCCTTTCCTTTCAGTGTTCCTCACTCCGAAGAGTCTCTTCCTCTCTGCGTCAGACCGTCCTGTAAGAGGAGAGCTGGCAGATGTCAGCCAGGATCTCTTTGCTACACCCCGTCGGACACCATTCTCCAAACGCCTGCGGTCACAGCTGCAGAGCTGCAGTTCTCTGGTACAACACGCACACACGACCAAAAAGACAGACAAGGGCAGACAGGCTGCCAACTTTCTCGTGTAAAATCCCCACCAAGAAGCGCATTAACATACAAGCAGCACCAAACCCAAATTTGAATTCTGAATTTTGATTTTGCTCCATGCCTGAGGTTAAAGTGTGAATGTTTGCTCATGTGTTTCCACCTTTCTGCTGTCTGTCTCACAGGTCGTGTGTGAGGATGAAGATCTGTCAGACGCAGAGAAGGTGTACGCTGAGTGTGGACAGTCACGCCCACTACCCTGGGAGGAGTGTATCCTCCGTCAGCGTATGAAAAAATGTGTGAAGATTGGAGAGGGGACATTTGGAGAAGTCTTCTCCACCATCAATACTGCAGGGGACACTGTGGCGCTCAAAGTATGTGTAAATTTTGTCAATATGTGTGTGTTAAAAACAACAACAACACAATTTTGATTTCACACAGAAATCAAATTCACTTCCTACCTGTTTACAAAGCTTTTGTTTAAATGTCATGACCTGCTTTAGTAAAAGAAATTTATCAAGTCATCACATGACCCAAATATGACATTGTTGTGGTTTTATTACAGGGTATCCGCAGGGTTTTAAAACATCTCAAATCCAGTAATTTTAATTTAAGGCCTTGAAATGTCAAAAATTCTCTTAAAATCCCATAAAATGTCTTAGATACGATTTTGAAAGGTCTTAAAAGTGTATTAACTCTACTTACAAGTAAATAATGTGCCACAGGAAACAAGATTGATTTAAAGTAATTTAAAATGTTTAGATGTCCCTTTATGTCTTATGTCCTGTTTTGCCAGTATGGATGTAAAATGGGTCTTAAATTGTATTAATTATGGTCTTTAAAAAGTCTCAAATTTGACTTGTTGAAACCTGCTGAAGTCCTGTAACAAAAGCAGTAAATTCAAAGTAAGAGACATGAATAAAAAGAAGATAAAATCAACAAAAGTTAATAAACAGTTGAGTATATTTGTTTATATATGATAAATAACGAAAAGGTCTATAGCTGCGTGTAATAGTCGTCAGTTGTTGAAGAAAACTGTTTGAAATGGTGACGCATGAGAGAATAAGCAGAATAATAATAATTGTGAATTCTTCTTTTGCATATTTTTATTTTGGAGTCAAGAGTTAATCAAGCCAAAGAACCCCATGTGAAGTTTATCTGTTGCCAGGAAGTCATACTGTTGTTCAACATTTATCACATCTCATCACATTTATTGCTCTTGCGCTGACAGATCATTCCTCTAGAGGGCAGTGAAAAGGTGAACGGAGAAGATCAGAAGACATTCGGAGAGATTCTTCATGAGATCATCATCTCAAAGTAAAAACAAAGCACACATCAGGGTGTTGTCCTACTTGAATGATTGTGATCCACTGATAATGATTATGCAAGCCGTTCAGCTGCTGAGTAAACAACATTGTGTGTTTGTGTGTGTGTTTTGTTTTCTACCAGGGAGCTGACCAGCCTCAAAGTGAAGCAGCAGAATCAGACCACTGGATTTATTGGTCTCAACGAGTAAGCCCCATCGCTGCTCTTATTGTTTATGTGCATCTGTTAGTAGTTTTGAGTGTTAACATGACTTGACTCTCTCCCTCAGCCTCCACTGTGTGCAAGGAAGCTACCCTCCAGACTTCCTGAAAGCGTGGGACACCTTTGACCGGCAGAAAGGCTCTGAGAATGACAGACCAGGTCAGATACAGAGACGTCTCTTTGGTTTGATTCACATTTTGTTTAATTTTTCATAACCCGAGGATCTGCAGTACAGCATTCATTATCTTTAGATGAATAGCCCAGCTGCAAATGCTCTAGTGTTCATTTATTTTAACTTGTTTTCTCTATTTATTTCAGATTTTTTTGAAAAGGATCAGCTGTTTATTATTCTAGAGTTTGAGTTCGGAGGCAGGGACCTTGAGAACAGTAATGGGACGGTAAGTCATGGTTTAATTTTATCAGTGTTGTCATTTGAAGCCCAAATGCCTCCTTTTTTTACCCTCAAAAGCCGAATCAAACAAAGTAAAGAAGGAGTGCAGTTCTCCTTCATGGTGTGATTATATTTCACCAAGCGCAGTCTGGCTTGTCTTCTCCCTAACTTTACAGTTTTATTTTAAGTCTTGTAAGCAGCAGCAAGCAGCAATTAAAGCAGACGAAGTTCAAAGTACTTAAGCGCTTTCCTCTCTTCACAGTCGCTGCTGTAGCTCATTTCGTTTTCACACTAACTTTAAAATGTGCTCAGGCATTACCGAGAGGACTGCACTCAAATATCCCTGTAATTAAGTCCTGTACTAAAAATGAGTGTGATCTTAAATCTGCATGCCGGGAGAAGAATAAAGCAGGAAGCCTCTGTAAGTGCGGGTATTGATTGGAAAATCACTCACTTTTTTCTTGTCTTCAGCCTTTTAGTTTGCTTTCTTTGCTGCCGTGTGAGTGTACGAGTGCAGGCTTAGATTCAAGCCTTCGTTTTTGTCCTGTAGTTGGCATCTCTGGGGGTGGCAAAGAGCATTCTTCACCAGGTCACTGCTGCCTTGGCTGTTGCTGAACAGGAGCTTCACTTTGAACACAGGTCAGTCATACAAATACACAACCACACACAAATTAATGAAATCTATACCATTGGATCCCAATCTGGGGTCCAGAGATCTCAGGTGAGGCATGAGGCTGAAACCACACAGTTATGCTGGAGGGCTGGGACGATATGCTTTCTCCCAATTCGATTCTTCTACGATTTTTTGGATGCCGATTCGATTTAAATTGCGATATTGTTGATTTTCTCGGTTTAGTCTGCATTTTTAACACCAGTGAAACAGTTGAAGGATAATGATTGTCTACTGACTATTCCAGGATCCATATTTCCCCAAAAAATACAAATTACATGTAAGTCAGTTTTTAAGATTTATTCTTGAATATGAAGGAAAAAATTTTGATTTTTGAACACAAAAATTGATTTAAAAATTATAAAACAAAAAATCATGATGCATATGTGAATCAGTTTTTTTCTCCCACCCATATTTTCCTGTATTTTCTTCAAGTAAAGCCTAAGTTTTGAACGGTTAAAAAGATTAAAGTACGTGTTTATTTATGACTATTTTGGCTCTCTGGGTTTCCATAATTATAGTGTTTGAGTGGGAATGATGTGTATCAAACTATACGTATTTGCGTCTTAAACATTGTATTGTTTCAATGTCTGGTGATGAGAACAACATGTTGTTGAGTTTAGTGTCCCACATCGTGTCTGATGCTTGTTGAGGCCGACCTCACACTCTGTAGGTGTGATCAGTGACACAGATGGGGTGTGTAAGTGGTGTCAGAGTGATGGATGCTTTGTCAGTATCTGGTAACAGCAACTATCCCCCCTGTGCTGTTGACTTCAGGGACCTCCACTGGGGTAACGTGCTGGTGAAAACAACAAAGCAGAAGACAGGCAGCTTCCTCCTGAACGGAGCAGCCCACTCTCTGGAAACCAAAGGGGTTCTGGTCCGGATCATCGACTACTCTCTCTCCAGGCTGGAAATTGGTCCGATTTTTTATTTCTGTGTGCACAAAATCTTTATCCCTGTTTAAATTATGAACAGTAAAAAGAACATATTCTCTTTTTTATTCTCTGCAGATGATCTGATAGTGTCCTGTGATATCTCCAATGATGAGGAGCTTTTCATGGGCCAAGGAGATTACCAGTTTGACATCTACAGACTGATGAGACAGGAGAACGGGTCTGTGGTTATATCTTCCCACATCGAATCTAAACTCTGTAAACAGCCAATGAGATAGATGTCCCTGGGTACACAGCACAGCGCATCTCTAGATAATAAAACGCATATCCTCTGATTTATAAATGTAGGTGTGTGAAATGTATAGGACAGCAGAGCAGCTAGCAGACTCCTGATTGATTTGACCTTGACTTGGTTGAATCAATATGTCGTCTAGAAATACGAGTCAGCAGTTTATAGTTACAATCACCAGATCTGATCTTGCTACACACGCAAAATGATTCACAATAGACCTCAAGTTTATAAGTTGGACATGTTTTTGTCTAGTTTAGATCGATGGAATACTGAGGGAATACTTTAAGAAAATGCAAAAGTAGGTTGAAAAAAATGACACCACTCAATAACATTAACTTATTTTACGCCCCTTTCGGTCAGTCTAGGTTGAGCTACAAGTTGTCAAAGGCGTTATCGTTCTCATATATCCTGTTTTGAAGTAAATTGGTTAATTTGTTCATTTCAGGAACAACTGGAGCACCTACCACCCCCATACCAACGTATTGTGGCTTCACTACCTGTGCTCGAAGCTGCTCGCCATGAAGTACCGGTGCACGAGAGGGAGGGGGGCCAAGGACACACGAGAGGAGCTGAATCGTTTCTATGGCAACGTCCTCCAGTACAGATCCGCCACCGATGTGCTGCAAAACTGCTCCATGTTTCAGGAACTGCAAAGACAGACCTGACTCTGTAGTGCAAATCACTGACCCTTTGTCTGGATCAAGGTTTTATTAAATGTTTTACTATTTCCACACACACACACAAATTCAGGTTAAAACTGCACCATGCGAAGCGGAAACCATTCACAAACATAATCCCAAAATGTTTTTTAACTTCTCAGGGATCGAACCCATTTAGGGTGGAGCAAGACCTGGCGGAAAGCTGTCCGAAGACTACAAAAAGAAGAGGCTCGTAGAAAAACAAAATATTTATTCAATTTGTCCATTAAGATTATCATACATTTTTGCATTAAAACAAGCTTCATTTTGGTATGTCGAGTCGTGTGTGTCCTTTTTGACGAGGATCTTGGTTGAATACGTCGAATGTATCCATACTCAAAGAGAAACTTGTTGGTTGTTCATCGTAAGAAATGTACGTTTGCCCCGGAGTAACTATGTGATGAGATTTAGAGAAAAGGTTGCATTCTTTTAAAAAAGGAAGACCGTTTAAAAAAAGAAAAAGATATGGAGACATTTCAAACTATACAAACAAGATCCAGCAGACCTTTGTTCACAAACGAGGTCAGGCATGTGTTTGAGAAGCACTTTTTGGTTGAGCTTTGAGGCAATGTTTGAGATGGCCTTGCTGGTGATGAGCCCATATGTCTGTTGATGTGTTTATGTATGTTTGTGTGTGTGTGTGATCAGAAGCAATAAACTGTATATGAAGAAATGTATTTGCAGATGCAGTGTGTGTGTATTTGTGCTCAAAAGGAGAAGTATTTGGTGAACCACTCCTGTTTTAGCCCCTCTGTCCCCCTTGGCTCCAGATACGGGCCCCTAAAAGAAGAGGAAAGACATTTGAGTCCCTGATATCACCAAATCTATTTTTAAATAGAGACCTAAAAAATGTTCTAACCTGATTGAATGGGCTTGCAGGTGCGGCTCCTGACAGGAGGGAGACACGTAGCGGATGCCAGTCTGTGCAGAGGGGCAGACGGGGAGCGGGGCCGTGGGCGCCGGAGTTGGAGGGATGCAGGAAGTCCTGGATCTGGTGGAGCGAGGAAGGCAGGGGGAGGACTGTTGGCTGAGGGAGAGGGAGGTGTGCTTGTGTGGAAGAGAGGAGGTGGAGTAATGGGGGGAGGTCTGAGGGTGGGAGGAGGACTGGTGGGGAAGGGTGGAGGAGGAGTGCTGATGGACTGAGGAGGTGGAAGACGATGAGGAGGAGTTGGGGAGAAAGATGTTCCTGTCGTAAGCACTGGCGCTGGAGATGCTGGTAACACGAGGCGGAGACTCCACACGCTTCCTCTGTAAATTAAAAACACAAACTTAGTCTGAGTGTAAAACTAATCCAAATGATGAGTCTATCAGTGATTAAAGGGATATTCCACCATAACATCGAGTTAGACACCCTGTCGAGAGATGAATGTTGCAATATCTTATACAATGAGGGCCTCTTCCAGCAGCCGCTTGTTTGTACAGAGACCTCAAGCGAGCCCATCACTACTGCAGTGGGGTGACACAGCTCAAGGAAGAACTTTTATGATCATTACTTTTTCATTTCCTTGAAGTAATAATCATCATATTAATCATTTTGCACTGCAGACACGGTAGTTCTGCCTTAGTGTCTCGGTCTGATTGTATTTCTATGAAGAAATTATCATAAATGTTCTTCCTTGAGCTGCGTCAAAATAAATTGATTTTATGTTGGAATATCCCTTTAAAATCACTTTGCTACCCTGTTGTATCCAAACCACTACCATGATAAGTTGTCATTGAACACATCAGCTAAAGCAGGATGTTTAAAATAGCTTAAACAATTAGGGCCTGTGTCCACTAACAGCATTTTTGCACCGGTCTCTGTACAAAACTGATGCAGAAACGTTTTTGGCCATCTGGGTCTTGTGTCAGCATCAGCACTTTTCATATCCGCACTTTTCATATGCTGTGCTCACACGCCTCTAAGAAAAAAAAATTTAACTTTTGGTACACCACTGTGTCAGTCAATGTCACTACTCCATCTCCAACCAATCAAAGTCAAGAAGGTGCAAGATCTCTGATCTCACAACAATAGCAAAAGAGACTATCAGCCTTATAACCAGTTTCTGCTCTCATGCTGCTGCTGCTGCTGCCAGAACACATTCATCTCTACTGTTTTTCCACTTTCTTTGCATAATTTCCTTGGGACTCATGAGATGAGTAAGACGAGACAAAATGCAGTGCAAGAAGGAGCTTTTTATACTTTCCAGTTCAAATGTCAACAGTGAGTGATACACTGAACAGTTTAAAGAAAACAGAACAAGATTATTTTTGGTATGAAGCACAACTTGCTTGTATACAGGACAAAGAACCTGCAACAGGTTCCACTATGTCTCCAATCTATGACTTTAAATAAAAACGAAACAAAGTTTACAGACTCGGGTGAGTCTTCTATTTTTAAATTTTGAATACTAGTTGTTTTAAAAAAGAAACTAAAGAGGTTCACATGACTATCATCTTAATAAAACATTTGTTGCATAATTTTTTTTCCAAAGACTGGCTTTAATGTGGTTTAACTACCACACGGCGGCTAAATCCTATTTAAAACTGTTTTTTTTAACCACTGGTTGATAACATAAAAAAAGGAAAGCACTACTATGCCAGTAAAACAAAACAGCAGAGACCACAACAAAACACTTTGTCGAAAATATCAGTGAAGTGATTGACAGCTATTTTTAAAATTGTCTGAAGGCAGATGTTTGTCGCAGAAAAAATCAGATGGAGTATAATTTTAGATGTTGTCTGCAAACATGCATCAGTCCTAATCTGAGATTTACCTGTAAGGACGGTCTGCTGTCACTTGTTCATAGTTGACACAAGAATGAATGAATGAATACAGGTTATTCACACCAAATCCTACACTCGCAACTTCAAATGGCAAAGATTTGAGTAGTTTCTGACAGGAATTTCATTTTAATCTCACTCATATAAAAACTGAGGGTTATAAGAAATAACCTGAAAAGAAACTATAATGTCAAGTAAAAAAAATCCTTCATCTAAGGCTGTTTGTCTCCAGACCAAGCTGAATATTATATTGAAGCTTTGTGATGTACGCAGAGACTTTGGCGATCTGTCGAGGGAGAACTTGGCTCTGACCCAGTGAGCACTTCTGGCTGGAAGGCGTCCGGCTCTGATGAAAACATTTGTGCCTGAACAGAACAGACAAACTCACCCTCATGGTTGGCGTGGCACTCCCCGGGCGGGACTTGCTGTCACGAAGCCGGAGGGTGCTGTTGTCCCCGGCCACAGGAGGGTGGAGCTGCAGCTGATGCCTCTCTTCCTGGGGGGAAGGAGGATAAGGAAGGACTTTCATTGGCCTCATTCACAGTTGGTGTTGTTGCTTTTGTGTAAGCCATGTGTCTGGAGGGTAAACTTGTTTGCTGAGCTGCCTCATGCCACACAGATGGCAGACACACACTCTCTGGCAGAGGACACTTCTAAAATAAGGGATTTTTCCAAACGCATGCATAACTGCAGATGATTAATGACAGCACTGATCAGAGTCAGGGGGATGTTTGTACTTATTACAACTTTTGACGAACCTGACAGTTCTTTGTGCACCGTTACAGCATACTTTCCTACTTTAATTTAATGAGGTTAATCACTATTTTCAGGGGCTTTTTATCATATCAGACAGTTTACCGCGTATTCAGTGAGATGTGTACGCATTTAATAGAAGTAAATATTTCTACAGACAGAAAATATGGAGTAAATGAAGGAGGAGCCTAATGAACAAACTAACTAGAGGTTATAAAAGCAGGGACATTGCATCAACATGAAAAACATCCTAACTACAAGGCCACCAGGACTCTACATTAAAAGACGCCCTCAGACTCCTCGCTTCCCCCAGCGGCATCTGAGCCAACCCTGTCTGCTAATGAGGCCCGCGTGATGTGAAGGGAACCTGCTCATTCAGCAAATGAGCGGACATGAAGAGGAGGTCGCTTGGGTCCAGAATACATTCAGTTACTTAAGTTATATATGCGTTTGGTTGTCATGGCAACCGGTTCTAGGAGACTATATGATGAACTGTTGAAGTGTCGAGCTCAAGTTTGATAACTGTTTAACTTTGGAAAGATCAACACGGTTACTTCACATGAAATCTTTTCAGGAAGATTTATCGTTGGGTTCCTACAATAAAAAACAGTTTTAAAAATTACAGATTTTTCGGAAACGCTTTCTTTTACAGTACACTTATTAACAGGTAATTAACAGGTAATTACCTTGTAACAACATGAAATTATCTGGTAATTACATTGTAACTACTAAGTCAACACTTTCTAGTTTTTCTTTTTTTCTTTTTTCTGTGCAGCTCCATTTTCAAAAGCTATTTGGGGTTCTTATTTTCTATGATTGACACTTGATACAGTCTGTGGGCGTGCCAAGATTGCGTAGCGATACGCTGTTTGAGCCGAGCGTCATCACAGCGACTCACCTGCCGAATGCGTACAACGCTACTGCGCAAGTGGTGGTTCCAGGAAGCGGAGAAAATCCTGGAAATACCAGAGAAATTCGGCTTCAAATTTGTATGATGATGGAAGGTTACCTACCTGGTAGCTAGACAGTATTGACTTAGTAGTTATCATGTCATTACCAGATAATTTCATGTTGTTACTAGGTAATTACCTGTTAATTACATGGTAATAAGTGTACCGTAAAAGAAAGCATTACAGATTTTTCTCATCATGACTCTTTTCCATATTTGATCAAGTTTTTGTCTTTATTTCTTTTTATTCCATTTCTTATTCTTCCTCGTTTTTCATCACTTTCCTCCTTTTTACTCTTTCCTCCACTTAGTTTGACATTTACCAACCAAGCCTCACTTTGTAAACAACTTTTTTTTTAGACTTTATTTTGCAGTTTTCCATTAACTGACATACAACTTCCAAACACAGACCCCCTCCCCCAAGGCTCTTCAAATATAAATTAAACAGAAAAAGTGACCTCTTCTCATAAGTTCAGAAAATCAGTGTTTTGAGCATGTTATAAAATGGTTCCAACTATCCAATACAACTTCAGATGTTTCATTGAAAGGGAGAACCTTCTTCAAATTCTATAAAGGGACTCCAGATCAGGGTGAAGTTTCTGTGGGCTTCACATGTTTGGTATCTCAGTTTCTCTTAAGGTAGAAAAGATAGAAAGAAAGATCCCTCAACCATTGTAGAAATAAAGGGTCTGAGTTTGCTTTCCAGTTAAAAAGTATGAGTCTGCGTGCAAGTAGGGAAGCAAATGCCAGAGCATCTGCCTGCAATACACTTTTGTTTGAATAGGTATATTAATATAAAGCTATTCTTATGAAGTCTGCTTAACCCGATTTCATACAAGTACTACAGTCTGTTGCGTAACAATCAGCACCAAGCCTATTTGTTCCAACTGAATATGTAACACTTCAAAATTAGGTCACAAAAAGATACAACTCATTTACCAAAACAGCTGCAGCTTTTCCAGAACACAAGAGGAGCGAACGGCACATTTGCCGTGGTCTGTTTTCAGCTGAAGACTGATTTACTTTTAGTGTTTTGTTGAGTCTTTACTGCAGCAGGAGACTTGATGTATTTCTTTGAATTGAAACAAACTATCCAATGTCTAAATAGCGTCTGATAAAATGTGTGTTTCCTCATGACAAATACAGAAAAGAGAGGAAAACAGGAAAAGAGGTTTTAAATATGAAGGGGCGTCCAGAGTCACAGTTTGAGTGTTTTATTGAGGTTTTTTTCAGCATAATTGCTAGGGATTCACAGATTCGATATTTGGATCGGATATCGGCTCCAATATTGACAAATTAACTGGATCGGATATCGGATGAATGATGCCGATCCAGATTCCGATCCAGTCTTTTTTTAAAATTATTTTTTCTTTTAATAAATGAAAGTCTTACTTCTTTTTGCTGTGTGCTAATGTGCATTTTTTTATTTGTTAATAAAAAACATTAAGTAAATTTACATCTGTGTTAATTTTTTACCTTTCTTTTAACAAGGCTAATGTCAAGTTTGATGCCTTCACTCACAGGGCAAGGTATACAGTTCATTCATTCAACAGTAGTATTGGATCGGTATCAGATATCGGCCGATACGTTCAGCCCAGGTATTGGTATCGGATTGGCTCAGAAAAAAATTGATTGGTGCATCTCTAATAACTACGGACAAAGCTAAAATACTCTTTAGTGGTAAGGAAACATTGTTGGTTTTCGTCTGTAACAAATTGTTGACAATAGCACCTCAGGTAAACAAGTGTTGTTCAGTTTTCGTGTGTGTGTGTGTGTGTGTGTGTGTGTGTGTTTGCTCTCACCACTAATCTTTTAATGAGCTGGTCCCTCTCTGTCAGCCGTTCCTGAAGTCTCCCCAGTGACAGGTCGTCACATCGCGGCTCCCTCCTCCTGCAGCGTTCCTCCCGCTCACGCAGTCTGCAGTTAAATCATATACACAAACACACACACGCCTTTCTCTCATACCTGTCCCCACGTTCTTGAAGTTTTGACATGTTGACATGTTTCCATGCTCTATCCTCTACTCACTCATTCTCCAAGGCCACGATGCGAGCCTGCAGGTGTGTCTGGGCGCTGCTGTACTCCGACACCAAACTCTGCATCTCTTTCTTATGCTCCCTCTTGATCTCCTCCACCTCTTCTCTCATCTTCTCCTCCTCCCGCTCCTTCTTCTTTTCCTCATCCACCTCCTCTTCTTTCACATCCTCCTCCTTTTTCTCCTCCCAGTGCTTCTGTGACTCCTCCAGTTTCTCCATCTCCACTCTCAGTTTCTCCACCTCTTCCTTCAGACGTTGTGCTTCTTCTTCTAGCTGGGCGTCCCTCTTCCTCTCCAGCTCCACACTTTCCTCTTCTTTCTCTTCTGTTTGAGGGTTTTGCTGCACTGACCTGAAAGTGACAGTAAACACATGGGAGGGGTGTAAATAATGAAAACTTTATGTGATGAAATTTCTGTGTTTTTGTTACAGTTTAAACTCTGGTTTTACAGTTCACTAAAGGTTCCTACTTTAGACATAGTTTTGTCCCCAAAAAAGAGCCTTTCCTGAGATGTTTTGAGTTAAATTTTCTTTTAATTTTCTTCAAAAAACATTTTTAAAAACGTACTTTTCTTTTATTATATTTGTGATTTTACGACCTGCTCTCTTTGTTCCCCACTTTGTTATCTGGACTTGTACATTGCTCTGTAAATAAAAGGTAGGTATTGTTGTTTTTATGTGTTTTATTATCAGGTATCACCTTCAAGAAAACTCTCAAGCTAATTCATTTTTATAAATTCATTTTTTACATAATGCAGTGCTCATGCCTACAATGCGTAACACATTTTTCTGACATTCAGAAAAATAAGATTTATGATGTTGGAGACCGTGTGGGGAGAATAAGGCCAATCATTTTCATATTTTTTAGAGGTAAAGAAGAGTATGGAAAAAATGTGAAACTTCCACTTACATTTGAAGTTTTATATTTGGGAAAAGAGAACCAGGAGATAACAAGGTCTGGAGAAAAATACACATTACAAATACGGATGCACCAAAAATAGAGGATTGGGTAGAGGTAATGATCGATATATATAGAATGGAGAAGCTGACTTTCTCATCTAGACTAAAAACAGATACTTTTAAAAACTACTGGAAAAACTGGGTTGATCTTGTGTCTCAATTGAGAGCAGACTTTGCGCAGTAAAGGCATTGTGTATTGTAGACTACTGATGCCCTTGGTTCAGGCTATAAACTTGTTCATTGTTCATATGTTTATTATGTTTACCCTCAAACAGGAGAAAAGGGACAGTGCAAGAGAGGTGAGAAATAAGGACATGAGTGAAAAGTGTTTCATTTTACTACACAGTTATTCTACTGAAACGTTACTAAAGTTTATGTCTGACTATGTCTCTGCTCTGCAGTGGAGAAATATTAGATACAGTTGGAAATTTGTGCAATATATGTAAAATGTTGATGGAATATTGATATGTGAAAGTGTTAAAATATGAAGATTTGTTGTAAAGTTAGTAAAGAAAAAGCGTCATGTCAGCTAAAAATTCCTTGCAGCACCTTGTGATCTCAGTGTTGTGGAGATATTTTCAAACATCTTTCTTACTTTTCCTTTAATTGTTTCTTCAAAGCCGCATTTTCTCTCTGCAGCTCCTGCATAGCGCAGCGACTCTCGTCCAGCTGTCGCTCAAACACCTGGTACTGGTTCTGCTGCTTCAAGTCCTACACACAAAGACACCCACATGAACACACACACACACACAAATACACACAGTAGATGTGCTAAATCAACATCTGTGTTCATGTGAAGATTCAGATTTGACTTTTAATTATGGTTAGTGCTTCTGCTGGGTGGTGTCATTAGTCGTAAACGGATGAGATATTTGAAAAGTAATTCAACTCAAGGGGGGGCAAAAGAAGGGGAGGGCACGGGGGGGAGGGGGCACCTTTTGCATCCTTATCACAATAGGATCAATGTGTGTTACCTGTTGCAGAGCCATCATCTGTGTGTGTGCCTGTAGTTGAGCCTGCAGGTCCTCTATCTGCTGCATGTGTCTCTGGGTCATCTGTCTGCTCCACTCTGTGTGCTGCTGGGTCAATTCTGCACGCTGCTTATCTGATATCACACACACACACACACACATAACACAAAGCACAAACACAAATCCAGAAAAACAAAATCAATTGGGCCCACTGTTACAGGTACCATTTCGCTGTTGCCATGGTGAGGGGTATCCATGGCAATAGCAACTTCACTGTTGAATTTATAATCTGAATCGCTCTGTGTGTATGTGTGTATTTGTGTGTGTTTGTGTGTGTGTATGTGTGTGTGTACCTGCTCATTTGTCCATGTAGCTGTGTGAGTGTGTGTTTTACAGAAGGTGTCAGTCTCTGCATGTGCTTATGCTAATGCTCGTGTGAATGAGTTGATGGGCATATGTGTGTGTGTGTGTGTGTGTGTATGAGTGTGTGTGTGTTACCTAGCTCCAGCTGGTGCAATGTCTGTAGTCGGTTCCTCTCAGACAGCACGTCTTCTTTGGCCTGTCTCTCCAAAGCCTGCAGAGCTACAGCATGGCTGTGTCTCTCCTCCGCTGAAGACTGAGACTGTGGTTCCTTTAGCACATTAAACACACAAGCTGTCTTTGTAAAAGCCTGTCTCTACACTACATATATAGTTCACTTTACTGTGTGTGTGTGTGTGTGTGTGTGTGTGTGTGTGTGTGTGTGTGTGTGTGTTTGTGTGTAGAAAAGTACACACAATCTCCGAAGCAGCACTACCATCACAGCTGCTTAATTATTCATCGCAATCCTACGAAAGTGAGAACATGTGATTTTTGTGTGTTTGTGCACCTGCAGCAGATCCCTCAGCTTCTTATTTATCTCCTTGGTGTCTTGGACCTCTTTCCTCAGCCTGTCAATTTCAGGGTTGCCATGGCAATCGTCTCCTGAGCCCGCCTTCTTTATCTCTGCCTGCATTTTTTTCGAAAAAATTATGAGCAAAAAAGAAATTGAAAGCTCTCCGCCACCATCAAAGTAATCCCCTGATGAGGATTTTGCAGAAAGCATTAAATTAAATGGAGATGCTGCTTTTGTCTCAGACTTCTGCAGACTGCGGCGGCTTTCTTAAAATAAATAAAATAAAATAATCAGGCTTCATTTTGCAAAACGGGCTTATGGAACTAATTAAAAACACACTCTAGCAATTCAGCAGCACATTTCCATAAAGTTGGGGGAAAAGAGAAATCAGTGCAACGGAGGACAAAAACCCAGATGGAGTCTACATGATGCTGCTCAGCATGGTATTTGGTCCAACTCTTGGCGTCTGGTGAACATTTCTCATCTTTTTTCTTCAATATAAAGTCTTTAATCAAAGCTGAATCAGGGAATCAAAACTCTCTGCTGAGGTCAAAATAAAATGTCTTTGAAGGCTCAAAAGCACTTACCCTGAGAGTTTGACTAGCCATGATGTTGAAGGTGCATACTTTTAACTTGTTTTGAGAAGCACTGCAAGCTATACAAGATTTCAATAACAGACCAAAGGTATCCATTAAGGAAATTACTCCATTCAACGAAATGACTCTTTAGGCTTGAATTGTTCGTCATCTACACAAGTTCCAAACTTACCCAAGTTCACAACGCGTACATCTCTCCAGCTTTTTATAAACATTTCAAGGAAAATACGGACAGCTAAATAAAGATACGGCTAATCGTCAGCTATAATTAGATGCCTCTATAGTAAAATTCCTCACGCCTGAAGTCCCTGAAAACCAGAATCACAGATGGTTCTTGGCAGTTTGGGGGGAAGACTCACCTGTTCTTTCTCCTCGCTCAGTTGCCCCTGCAGCTCAGAAATCTGCGTCTGCATCTCTTGCTCTCTGTTCTGCCATCTCTGCTCGCTCTCAGCCACGGCGGCGTTCATCTCGATCCTGAACTCTGCTCTGAGGCGATCCTCACACTCTGCCCTGCAAGCATGCGGCACAGCAGGTAGTGAGGCAGAGGTAACCTACATGCAAAAGCACTGTTTGTGTGTTCCTGATACAGTCCATTGTGTAATCATGCTGTTGTGATTTCTTTGTTGGTGGTGCACCTTTTTTATTTGAAGTGGGTTGATGGTTTTAAATTTGGCACATGCACTTCTCTGGTGTTGATTCATCCACAAACCTGGTTATCATTTTCATAGAGACTTTCATAGGAGTTGTGTTTCTAGGCTGCTGTACCTGCTGTTAATATACAAGTCTCATGATAATAGCCCTTGATATGTAAACAAGATGATAAACTCATTATGAGGTAGAACTCATTCTTTTGAATCCTTAAAGGGATATTCTGGCGTAAAATTAATTTAGGGTCAAACACACTGTAACACCGAGTTAGACACCCCCTTGAGAGATGAATGTTGCCGACTGCTTACTTCTCTAGTTATACCAATTTTAGTAACGATTGCAGGGTCTGAGGAGCCATAAACAAACCTCAACCAAAACGCCACTCTATAGCCACTAATAATGCTCAGAACAACACCTAACTTCATCAACAGTACATATAGGGTCACAGACATAGCACTAGCCACCAAACATCTTTTTAGCTTTGCCTAATTTCTTTAGCAAAGAGACTAAACACAACTCACCTACTCTCCTCCAGCAGCCACATGTTTGTATGGAGACCTCAGGTCAGTCCATTATGGACTGCTGCGGGGTGACACAGCTCAAGGAAGAACATTTATGATCATTACTTTATCAATTCCTTAAGTAATAATCACTATATTAATCATTTTGCACTGCAGACACGGTTGTTAATCTGCCTTAGTGTCTCAGTCTGATTGTATTTCCATGAAGAAATGATCATAAATGTTCTTCCTTGAGCTGCGTCACCCCGCAGCAGTCTGTAATGGACTCGCTACAAACAAGCGGCTGCTGGAAGAGAGTAGGTATGTTGTGTTTAGTTTCATTGCTAAAGAAATCAGGCAAAGCTAAAAAGATGTTTGGAGGCTAACACTTTGGCTAGAATCCTATATGTACTGTTGATGAAGTTAGGTGCTGTTCTGAGCATTATTGAGTACTGTTCTGAGGTTTGGACCTAGCTCCTCAGACCGCTGTGTTTTGCTATTGTGTGGTCATTGCTAAAGTTGGTATAACTAGAGAAGCAAGCAGTCGGCAACATAAATCTCTTGAGGGGGGGTCTAACTCGGTGTTATGGTGTGTCTGACCCTAAATTAATTTTACGCCGGAATATCCCTTTAATATACGAGTCTCATGATAATAGCACTTAATACATAAACAAGACGATAAACTCATTGTGAGGTAGAACTCATTCTTTTGTTTCCTTAAAACAGTTTTTCCTCTTGTATATGAGAGCAGCTGAAACACTTGAAGGAACAGTCAAGAGCTGTTTACAGTGTTGGCAATCATCTTCAGCTAGTAATGAAGTTACAGAACCACTCAGTGAGACAGGAAAGGCTAATTGGTTTCTAAAAACATTATGGCTGATGTTTATTTGAACTGTGGTATTGATTTAATATTTGCTGATGCACTGATGTTGTGTAATGCATGCTGTGTAGCATCATGTATCTTTTTTATTGCTCCAGCTAATGTCTTGGCATGTTTTTCTCTGCTCAATATTATATGTCAACACGAGTGACCCTAAATCCCCCTGGTTGGTTGGGGTTGGGGATGCTTTAGCTTTGAGCCTGCGATCTGCTAACATGAGGGCAGTAAGTGATTAAAGCAGAGTTCAGACTTTGTAATGTTAGCTTAAGCAGTTCTGGCAGCTCAGTGTTGATTCTGCTACCTGATCCGGTCCTCAGAGTGCCGCTGGCCCTGCTCTAGAAGACTCCTCTCTGCATTCAGTCGGCTTTGTTCCAGGACTTTCTCCTCCAGCCTGTGTTTGTCGGCTCTCAGGGATGCAATCTCTCTCTGCTGCCTATCCCTCTGCTTCTCTGCCTCCTCCTGTATTCGAGCCAGCCGCGTCCGGGTCTGGTGGAGCTCTTCCTCCAATCGAGTGCATTGCGGCCCACACGGAGGCGCAGCTTCAGGAGCGACTTTCTCTTTCTTGTCCTGCATTTGGATGACTGATTCAAGCCTGCAGATCTGAGAGCACAGGAAGTTTCACCTCACAAAAATTATCAGTTTTATCACCTTTATTTTTAATAGCTGGATGTTTTTTTTAAGCTGATGAACAAAGAAGATTGCCCTCTGACCTCATTAGTAGCATCTCTCAGTTTTGTCCTCAGCTCCTCTCTTTCCTTCTCCAACATGTTGTGAAGCTCCTCGCTGCGTCTTCTCTCCACTTCTAAATGCGCACACATCTTAAAAGAAAGTTCATAAAAACTATTGTTAAATTCACGAATTATCTCTTATTCACTTTAGTCAAACTAAATTATTTATTACTAAATCATAACTAAATTACCTAACTTCATCAACAGTACATATAGGGTCCCAGCCACAGCACTAGCCACCAAACATCTTTTAAACTTTGCCTGATTTCTTTAGCAAAGAGACTAAACACAACTCACCTACTCTCTTCCAGACCTCGGGCCAGTCCATTATGGACTGCAGCGGGGTGACGCAGCTCAAGGAAGAACATTTATGATCATTACTTTATCAATTCCTTTAAGTAATTAACCCCTATATTAATCATTTTGTACTGCAGACGCGGTAGTTCTTCTGCCTTAGCGTCTCGGTCTGATTGCATTTCCATGAAGTAATGATCATAAATGTTCTTCCTTGAGCTGCGTCATCCCGCTGCACTCAGTGATAGACTTGTCCAAGGTCTCCCTACAAACAAGCGGCTGCTGGAAGAGAGTAGGTGAGTTGTGTTTAGTCTCTTTGCTAAAGAAATTAGTCAAAGTTAAAAAGATGTTTGGTGTCTGGTGCTATGGCTAGGACCCTATATGTCCTGTTGATGAAGTTAGGTGCTGTTCTGAGCATTATTTGTGGCTATAGAGTGGCGTTCTGGTTGAGTGCACGGTTCTCTGTATTGCTACCTAAAGTTGGGGTGTCTAACTGTGTGTTACGGTGTGTTTGACCCTAAATTAATTTTACACCGGAATATCCCTTTAAGGTCAAACATTTTTTGCAGACAGGCATCTTATTTTTGAATTTGATTAGAAAAAAAAAGCATCTGCATAATAGTACCTTTCCTGCTTTCTAAGGACACCTAATTAAAGGTGGGTCATAGCAACTGTGAACCTGCTGACATGAGGCCACAGCTGGGCGATTTAAGAGGTCAACAGCCCAGAATGTTTCGACCAGACTAACCTGCATCATAATCAGCCACTTACTTACTGCTGCTGATTCCCTGTACATCACATGAACACAGAACAGCCTCTATCAGGTTTATGCAGTAAGTAAAAAGCCATTAAAATGGTGCAGGATCTCTTCTTGCGGCTCCTTCTTTCAATGTTTTTCTTCAGAGAGTATCTACAAAACGCTCATTTGCATCATACAGACAGAGCGAGGGAAAAGTGTGACTGTCACAGCTGTGACAGGATGAAAAGGAAAATTATTACTCAAAGCGTTTTGTCCTTGTTTGCAAAAAAAATAATTAAATGCCAAGTCTGAGTGAAGCTGAAACTAAAATAATTAAGCCTATGCTATGAGCTGGCTGCCACAGCTGCACAGTGGGCTATTTTTGAAATTCAGATAAAGTGCAAATTTGAGAAAGAAAAAGTGTCCTCTTTCATAACAGATCCTGTCCTTTTATGGCACTGTCAGTTTAAATGCTCTTACAAAGAGAGAAATCTGACAGCCTCAGTTTAAAAATAAAGTATTACAGGAGGGCAAGCCTTGCATGCGAACACATCCCTTCTGAAATCTGGCTTATTGTGTGAAAGTAAACATCTGAATGCTTGAGATAGTTTCAAAAGATCATGCTCATAAATCTGTGTTTTCTTATAAGGCGAATGATTATATGACTTTTTAACATCCTGTCAAGAAGTAAGAAAATCACGGTCTTATTCTCTGCATAGCTTTGAGACGGGATGTGTCTGCAATAACCATAAGTTAAAGCGCCTATGCAGTCTTTAGGTGGTTATTGAATAGACTGAGATTAATACTGATGTCCACAAAAGCAAGATAATCAGCACAAATCATCAGCATTTTTTCTATGAGGTCATTTTCATGTCTGAAATCAATGCTACATGGTTAGTGAGTGACAAAGTGGCTAAACCTAACAGCTTTTGTTTACATTTTTACACCACAAGTTTCTTGATGAGTGATAGATGAGACATCAGGATGCGGTTATTTGTCAGAAAACTCCACTTACACGAGTAAAGGGCAAGATCTGAAAGTTCCTGACTGTTGCTTTCAATGTGCTTTCCTTGTTATTTGTTTTATGATGTACTGTAATGACTAGTCTAGATTAAGAAAAGGTAAAAAAGTACGATCAAGATGATAAACAAACCAGATTAACGTGTTTTTTGTGCCACTGTGGACCTGTGTCAAGTGCAGCGGAAAGCTCAAACTGGTGCACATGTGTCCTCCCTGACAATAATATAAAATCAGATTAAGTATCCCCTCCCATCAGACACTTTCTGACCTCTTGGTTGGTCTTCTTCTCTGAGCTCAGGGCTTCCTGAGCGCTTTGCAGTTCAGCGGCGTGCCTCCTCATCACCTCTTCTATCGCCTTTCGCACCTGCTCTTTCAACCGCTTCCTGTCCTCCTCGGCCTTCTCCACTAATCTTCTCTTCTCCTCCTCCAGCTTCTGCTGCACGTTGGCTCTCTCCTGCTCCACCTGCTCGATGCTCTTGTCCAACTGTGAGCGACCACGAACTCTTTCAACTTCAAGCTCCTTCCGCAGCCGGTCCACCTCTTCCTCTTTTTCTCTCCTCAGACGTTCTCTCATCTCTTCCACCTCTTTGTGAAGCACCTCCTTCTCCTCTTCTCTTTCTTTTTGCAGTCTGTTTCTGTCTTTCTCAAACTTGTCTTTTTCTTGCTCTCTTTCCTTCTGCAGGGTTTCCCTCTCTTTTTCTATCTCCTTCTGCAGTTTGTCCTTCTCGTCGTCGGCATGTTTTTGGATGCGGCGCAATTCCTCAGCCTGGGCTCTCACCATCTCGGAACGAAGACTGGACAGAGCCTCCGCATGCTGTGGAAGAAATAAGAAGCTCTGAGGGGCCGATACTGCACTCAATGTACATGAACAGTTTTTATGCTTTCTTTTTTTAACAATCAAATCATTCAGTCAGTCAGTCAGTCAATAGGTGGAAAAACAATTGTGTAAATAGTCACAACATTTTCTGGAGCCTGAGGTACCATCTCCAAGTTATAATAGTTTCAATACAACTGTTCAAAACCCAGAGATGTTGATACTAGGGCTGGGCGATATGGCCTCAAATCAATATCACAATTTATTGAGCAGTTCACCTCGATAACGATAAATGGACGGTAACTACACCACAAGCTGCTCACCACCTCCGGCATAAACTTTGTCTACTTCAGCCTCCGCTCCACAACTTTTGAACCGTCCTCCATCTCCTCACCTGTCTTTCCCTCTTTGTCACAGACTGGATGGGGTGGAGTCACGTCTCTGTCGTAGGACAGCATTTTAAACGGACATAAGACCATAACTCACCTACACACATCCAAAACAAACTTTTTTCATTCAGTTTTTTTTTACACTGAATATACCGTTATGGGCAAATTGTGTCAGTTATTGATGTAAATTTTGGTATCTGTAAATTTTCGGTTTCTCGCCCAGCCCTAGATGATACCCCAAATGACAAAAATGTACTCTGCAAAGATTGTTTTGTTCAGTTTTGGTGTTAATTTTGGAAACATGTAATTCTTTTATTTACATTATTTAGCAGTAGTCATAAGCGTTGATTCTTAAAGATGTCTTCACTTCATAATGAACGAATAAAATGCAATCCAGTGAAATAACACAGAAAAAAAAACTGTTTCCAAAATTCAATGGAGCAGTAGCCTAATAGGACTCCAGGTGTAGTGTTTAACATACTGAGACATGTAACTGCACACTATTCTGGTTGTGTGTGTCTGTGTGTGTGTGTCACCTGGCGTATCTGTCGGGCGTGGTCACTGTTCCTGCCGCTGCTCTGCAGCTCCAGCTCTCGGTTTTTACTCTGTAGACGGCTCACCTGACTCCTCAGCTCCTCCACCTCAGCACACACACACACCTCGCAGCCTCCGCGGTTCTGCAGCTCCTCTAATAGACACACACACACACATGGAGAACACACAAAGATGTTATGCCAAACTAAGGGAACAGTAACGCACTTACAAAATGTGCACAATCATGAATTGATTGATTATATTTAATGAAAGCATTGGACCTACAACTGAACGGGGAGAAGCCTTGAACAAAAATCTTTCTTATGCAATAAATAAAATTTGTAGCATTTCTGCTGACTGGGTATGATGACACTTTGATGAACTGTTCCTGTTTGTGGAGGATGAATAATGTGTGTGTTGCATTTTCTGTATATATTATAATGGTGTGAGGCTATAACTTCATTAACCATGCCTGAGTCACAATGAATAATGGAAAAACACTGAGCTCAGCAGAGAGTTCTCCAGCTGACTAGAGAGACAGGCAGACTGACTGATCACCTGCTCTGCTCTGCAGCTCGTCCTCCTGGAGCAGCAGCCTCTCCTTGGCCACCGCCAGCTCCTCCTCCGCCCGTTTGGCCACGCCTTCGGCCTCTGACACGCGCCTCCTGTCCAGTTCCAGCTCCTCCTCCAGGTCCTTGAGAGAGGTTTTTGAAGTGAGGAGGTCAATGCAGCAGGGTATTGTGAGTTGACAAAAAGCATGGGGGAACAGAGAAGAGAGGGAAAAAAATGAGGTAGAGGGAGAAACTGACACAAATTTGATACAGAGAAGCAGGAAAGAGAGAAACAACCTGAGCTGGGGAGACAGGGAGTGTGATGGGAGAAAAATGGGATAAAATGTGGTGAGTCAGGAAGCTATCTGGCCCAGCTGTGAGCCTTAAATGGTTTACTGCCAGGGCTTATGTCAGCTCTGTGCCAGCTCTTGTAGGGCTTCTTAATGCTCATCCAAGAGGTGGTAATGGTGGTGGCGCAGCAAATTTATCCTGCTCAAACTGCTCATTAGCAGATCGCTGGCAGAGGGAACAGCCCTCACAGAGAACAGCCGGTGGTTAAGACAGGGAGGATCCCACCTCTCTTTTCTCTCTGTCTCTGCGCCCCCTCCCCTTAAACTCCAGCAGCAGCAGCAAGATTCTGCAACGTTTGGATTTGCTTGCATCTCCCTCTCTAAAAGATTCAGACTCTAGTTTCAGTGTGAAGAAAAGGACTATGGGTAATGATGTGTGTGTTTGTGTGTACCTGTATCCGCTCTTGTAGTTTGACAGTGTTTCTTTTGCTCTCAGCCAACCTCTCCAGGTGACCTTCCACCTCTGCCTCGGCCCTCTTCACCCTTTCTCTCAGAGCACTGTGCATCCCTTTCTTTTCCTCCTCTTCCCTCTCTTCCCACCTCTGCCGCTCCTCTCTCCACTCCGCCTCCATCTTTCTCCTCATCTCCTCTTTCTCCTCGGTCAGTTCAGTTATCTTCCGCTCCCAGTGCTCCCGTTCCTCTTTCTCCGCTCGCCTCCTCTCCACCTCCGCTCGATCCCTCTCCTCCTTCAGCTTCTTCACCTCCTCCAAGAGCCCTTTTACTCTTTCCAAGTCCTGCCGTTCCCCCGTTTGCCTCTCCTCTTCCTCCTTTTTTCTCTCCTCCTCTTCCCTTTGTCTTCCCTCATCAGCCACTGTCTGTAGCTCCTCGCATTTGGCCTCCAGCGCTTGGATTTGCTCACCAGCCTTTTCCAATTCTTTGCTCAGACATAAATTCTCCTCTTGGGCGTCAGTCATTTGGGCCTTGACCTCCTGAAGCTCCTCCTCTGCAGCCTGGAGTCTCTCCTCAAACCCTTTTCTCAGCTCAGCCTCGGTTTCACGCTCCCTCTCCTCTGCTTGGATGCGGAAGCACTCAAAGTCTGCTTGCACCTGGAGGCACAGCAGACAAAAGAATTATATAAATGCGATGACAGAAACGGGCTCTTCAGCATATATCCTGAGTACAGAGTGAAACACTCATTTCAAACAGCAAATATTTTCCTATTTCAAGTTTGATTGGCTCAATTGAGATCAAGAAACTGTCAAAAATGTCAAATTTGAGCAGTGCTCAGTGTAAGGTAACAGCAGTTCTAGCTAGAGCTGTTGACATCAGGCAGGTTGGAGATATAAAAAATTAAGTGTACAGGATTCTGAGGTGAATAATGAAATGCTGTACGGCTTTTTGAGAATAAAGTGAGTGATAATTCAACACCGCTCCATCATTTCTATTTTCAGGTCTTTAAAGTTTCCTCAATGAGGAAGATTTTAGGGGAACAAACATTTTTTTGCTACTTTCAGATCCAATCAAACTTTCACTACTTGAGAACCTTTCCATTTATCTTCAACTGGTTGCCTGCCAGCTTACAAGTTTTACATTTTATGTATTTTTTTCTTTTTGTTGTGTGTTTTTTTGTTGTTGTTTTCTCTCTTTCCTGGAGTGTAAGCATTGTATAATATAGTTATTTGTTTACTTTCTGTATACAAGTCAATGCTTACAACAAATACAACATTTGCACATGTGTACCTGTGATATACGATATTCAAAAATCCAATAAAATACAAATCATAAAAAATTGAAAAAAAAAATATATATTTTATGGTAACCCATTCAATTCTGCTAAATACAAATAATCAAAGAGGGGTCTGGCTGCAGACCTCCACTGAGAGGAGCTGAGGTGACGTTTTTTCTCACACGCTCTAGATTGTTTAAAGTGGTTTTGTATTTTGTCTTTGTTGAACACATGAATACACAAAAAAATCATATTAACATTATATGCATAAAATAGAGTCCCAAGAAGTAAAATACACTCACACGGGACAAAAAAATAAGTACTTCCCGGTGTAATCACTTTAATTTTAAAGGCTTCAAATCAACTCTGGGCGTATAAAAAGAAACTAATTTCCGGCTTACTTCAGGCTTCATTAAGTCTACAAAGATACTAATTAAAGAATGACTGTATTTGACATTTACATAAGACGCATCCATCACATTATTTCTAAGATTATTTTAAACTTTATTTAAAATTGTTTTGGAGTCACATGGAGTGAACAATCACCAGAATTGACTGACTCAGGATAGTTTTCATTTTCTTTATCTGAACACCTCTGAAAGTCTCATGTCTCTTTGCAAAGACCACTTACTGCTGTTTACGACATTACCTAATGTTACCTATAATCAGGTCATGTTTGTGCTCAAAAGAAGTGAACTATTCGATCTACAGCTCTGCGGTGTACTTTTTTATACTTGTTGTGTCTTTGTCGCATGTATCAGCGGCTCTATGGCACTGCCTGCTCCAATTTTGATAATGTATTCCTCCTACTACTAACAATATATTCATTTAGCTGTAGCCCACATTTCAGACTATCGCACAGGGATTATGTTTATGCCTCTGGTCATCAATATATAAAACCTCTTTTGCCACACTTTGGTGTTTTACACTGTTTCACAAAAAACTGAGTCTTGTCCACAAGAAATCAAGAAAGGATAAATGCATGAAAGGATGCAGGGGTGTATTTGTTGTTGGTGGGTATTAAGTCTCCTGTGATAAGAAGCTCCTAAAAAGGAAAAAGAAAATTTCCTACAGCCAAACCAGGAAACATATGGAAGATGATTTTCCAATGAAACTTTTAGGTCTCCATGAATGTTTTATCCCCTTAGTTGTTTAGTTTCTTTCCTTTTCCAGAGAACTTCCCACGGGTACTTTATAATGGTATTTCATCATGGTGTGTAGCATGTATATGAGGCATGAAGTTTTGGACATGGATGCGAGCGATCTGAATGAGGTTGACTGTTGTAGGTCACACCGAGGGTGATTCTGATTGGCTGCTTCCCCTGAGAGTTAACACATCAAATACAGCATTACACCCTGTCCTTGAATAGGCTCTGTTAATCTTGTGATCAGCAGGTTGAGGGTACAACCACACAGATAAACACACACATACACACGTCGATGCACAATGACAAGTCCCCACATACCTGAGCTCCAACCCTCAGCTGCTCATCCAAGGACTCCTGCAGCTCAAGGAGGCGCGTCCTCAGCGCTGACCCTTCTCCTTCATGACACGTCTCCATCAGGATGCGGTGCAGCTCCTCGTGGTGGGCGTGGCTCAAGGCCTGCAGGGCCGCCTCCTGCTCCTCATTCTTCATGTTCAGAGAGTAAATCACCTGGGGAGCATCAATGACAAGCCAGGAGAGACTTAATGAAAGCTGACATTTGTGCTTTACAGACATAATCTGGTGAAACATGCTCAGAATTTCATCTTTGTAATTAACCCAGTCTTATAATCTTCGCAGCTTTTACAGAATTTATGAGCAAACCGCCCCTCACTTTTCACATGTTCATGGTCATACGCTCTAATGATGAACCTTTTAAAGTCTTTGTACCCTCAAAATTTATAATAACTCCATCCTGATTGTGTTATTTTTACTCTCTTCCCCCACCATATCTAAGGGCTTTTTTCGTGATTATTTTTGGCTTATTTTGCGGTAGCAGAAAAGATTTATTTTAATGTTTTCTGTCCCTTGGGTCAAAGGATTGAGGGAAAAATGCTTTCGTAGAGCACTTCCGCTATTTTTGGATACAACTGCAGAGTAATTTCAGGAAGAAAGCGTCCATCATAGTCGAGCTTGAGCCGACTCTGACAGTGAATGATAGATTTTCCCCTTCTGATAAGAACTTATCAAAAATTGTGCCTCATTACTTGATAATATGAGGATAACTTGAAGTGCTGATTGATTTAATGTTCGTGCTCATGATCGAAAAAGTTCAAATCACTACATTGTTGATTGGTATCATGTTATCCCAGTGATGTTTTTTGACCAAGTTTGATGTAGAAAAATACTTATTTGAGCAACCAAAGCCACAGATCTGCCAGGCTGTTTACCCCATTTTTCATTTCACAAGCCTGCCACTGCAACCATCAAGGAACCGGTATAAATAGTCCACAAATATTACAATGTTGAGCTTACATTTTGAGCTTGCAGCTTTTCGACAACAGAGAGAGTGACACTGACTGGCGTGGCAATAAAATAATCCCTCAAACACAAACAACAGAGGTTAAAGAGTAACACTGGCAAACTGTGTGTTTGTGCTGCAAACAAAGTCCTGTGTATTAATGTAGTCTAGTCACTGTTGGTTCATGCAGTGATTCTTCTGCCTGCTAGCACATCTGACCAATATAGACACTGACTAACACCTGAAATATGGCCCGTTTCTCTCCACTATTCACTTTACCCTCTACACTATGTCTACAGTGTCATCATCCACTCCCACTGACCCTGACGTCTCACTTACACACTGACAGAGGTGTGTGTGTTTTTGTGTGCGCATGTGTGCACGGGGACACATAGGCTCATATTTTACCCAGACGCCTCTCTGTCTGCAGCACACAGCTGGCACAGCATGGGTGGACATTCCCTGTGTATGTATGTGTGTCTATGTGTGTGTGTGTGTGTGTGTGTGTAAGTACATGTCACCACATCTCTCTTGCTCACAAATGGTCTCAGCATTTCAAATGTCCATTAATCTCTGTTGTATTTCCTATGATTTATCAACAGATATCAATGATGGACACCTTTCAGGAGTGCGATCAGAAACTTGTCTCTCTCTGTCTTTCTTCCTCTCAGTCAAACAGCCTGAGTTGCTTGGTATTCAATCACGTCACAGTGCATGAACTTTGGCTCACAAACTATTACTCGTGGCTCAGGGCCATGAGAGGTGACTCGGAATCGAGGGCAGACTCTTTAGGGAGTGTACTTGCGTGCTGCTCTTGGCTCGCCCTTGTTGCCGAGTTTGAAAGGGAGACTAATGGTGAGGGAAAATAAAAGCAAAGAGGGATGAAGATTCAGAAGGCCTCTCCTGAAGGTTGTTTGATCCCACTTCCTAAAACCAGGATGTTAGGGCCACATGGAATGATACAGATTATAAAGATCTCGTTCCAAAACTACCTTCATGAATTTATCATAATATGCAACTGTCCTCTAAACAGGACTTGGCTCTGGAAATTTGGCCCCATTTAGTCACAGAAGTATCAGTGAGATCCACTGGAATGGAGGCCACCTTCTCCCTAGATTCAGGCCATCGAAACTTCTTTTTTTTTCAATAGAAGTTGACAAACAAAAAAAATCACACAACAATTAAGCTTATTTAGAGATTTTCCTACTCTTCTTTTTCGTGCTTTTTAAAAAATTTCAAGCAACCTCCACAGATCACTGCCCCAGTATTCAATCATTTCTACTTCTTATACAAATGGAATAACATTTCAAAGAGCACATTACCCAGCATTTGTTCAGTGCTACTTTCATTGGGTTATTAAAGCTAATGTAAGCTTAAAGGGATATTCTGGCGTAAAATTAATTTAGGGTCCAACACACCATAACACTGAGTTAGACACCCCCTCGGGAGGTTAATGTTGCCGACCGCTTGCTTCTCTAGTCATACCAACTTAAGTACCAACCGCATGATAGCAATACACAGCGGGCTGAGAAACCATCAACAAACCTCAACCAAAACGTCACTCTGTAGCCACAAATAATGATCAGAACAGCAACTAACTTCATCAACAGTATGTATAGGGCCACAGCATTAGGCACCAAACATCTTTTTAACTTTGCCGGATTTCTTTAGCAAAGAGACTAAACACAACTCACCTACTCTCTGCAAAATGATTAATATAGTGATTATTACTTTGAGGAAATGATGAAGAAATTATCATAAATGTTCTTCCTTGAGCTGCGTCACCAAGCAGCAGTCTGTAATGGATTAGTCTGAGGTCTCTGTACAAACAAGCTGCTGCTGCCGAAATCAGGCAAAGTTAAAAAGATGTTTGGTGGCTAGTGTTGTGGCTAGGACCCTGTATGTACTGTGGGTGAAGTTAGGTGCTGTTCTGAGCATTATCTGTGGCTATAGAGTGGCGTTTTGGTTGAGGTTTGTTTATGGCTCCTCAGACCGCTGTGTATTTCTATCCTGCGGTCGTTACTAAAGTTGGTGTAACTAGAGAAGAAAGCGGTTGGCAACATTCATCGCTCGACGGGGTGTCTAACTCGGTGTGTTCGACCCTGAATTAATTCTACGCCAGAATATCGCTTTAAGATCACAATATTTTTGCCTACAATTATCCTATTATTGCCGCTTCTGGCCACACAGAACATGACAGTCAGGGCAAGCTCAAGGTTAGTATCTGATATCATCTCAAGATGGTTTCTGATTTGCCTCGCACAGTTGAAGAGAAGTTGTTAGAGGAGGGACAAATGTGTTCACTACTTCTGGAAAAAAAAGAGGGCCACCATTGTCAAAAAAAGAGAGAAATGTTTCAGTATGTAACTGATTCCAGTTTTGCTCCGCTTGGGTTCTTTCTTTGAGCTGAAAATCCTTGTGAGGCTTGTGATTGCAGTTTGGGCAGAGAGTAGTCAGAGCTTCCTGCTACTGTAAATCCTGTCTCCAGATTCCCATATTGATTGTGTCAGTCGATGATGTTATTCATGTAGCCTCAGCAGCCAGTGGCTGTGCTTATTGACAATAACTTCATAGCCAGCAAAGCATGAAATGAATATTCTGTCTTTGGTGTAAAGAGGCGCTAGCTTCGACAGGGCTGTTGAAACAGGAGTGAGATGTGGACTGAAGAGATGGTGCACAGAGAAGAGGTTAGGCAAAGAGACAGGCAGGCCAGCGCACACTTTCTCTTACATCAGCCCACACCTACACACACTGAAAACACACACATTTACACAAAAAATGCCTACACACATCAAAGCAAATATATGGAGCATGGTGAGGAGAAAAACACATGGACAGAATCAGCCGCGCCAATCAAAATGTGTACATAAACACAGACATACACTAAAATATGTTACTGTGGACATATGTGAGTCATATACAGACACTACTCTCCACTCATGTGAGTGTGTTTTTGCCTGTTAGTGCACAAGCGTATGTGAACATTCACAACAGCCGGCCCGGTCAGCCCTCGCTTTCTTCCCATTGGCTTGTTCTGCCATGTAAACACACTCTGATGTGCTACTGGTTTATATTAAGCAGCGCCCATTCAACCAGGACAGACCACACTCTCTCAGAGGGGGGGAGGGGTTGTGTAAGTCAAGCATAAGTGTGTGAGAATGAGTGAGTGGAGAAGTGAGAGGAGGTGTGCTAAGTAGAAGTGCATATGTGAGTGTGTGTTGGGGGAGAGGAGGGGGGTTATTAAATATATAAGGTTACCACAGCTGACCCATTTCTCACTTCCTCCCCACTATCCCAAAACACTCAAATAAACTGTGTGTCACATTCCCAGCATCCCCGGGCTCAAAGAAAATGCTTACGCCAAGTATCCAATGTGATGATTCTTATATTTCATCAGCGCTCCCGGTTTCGGATTTATCCTCTGTGGTCATCAAAGAGCTAAAGAAGCAGAGTTGGCAGAGCTTGCACAAAGTTTCAAGAGAGAAACAAGTCCTGTCTTCTATTTTTATTAGAGGATGGAGGGAGCGGGGAAGGCATGAGAGGTAGAGAGACTTGGCTGGCAGATTCCTCTAACGAGCACAGACACAAGTGCTGACCTCTCCTCTGTGTCATCTCTGTTAGTGTGCGCCTATAAAGAAGACCGAGATTTCCAAACAACACACGCAAATACAACTGCAGCATATAGTGAGCTACAGACATGTCCCTGAACACAGGCACACACACACATACACACTTGAAGAAGTGAACTAACAGGGGAGATGGGAACTGCACAGTCATCAGTAATTGTCATAGCTCAACAAGCAATGGGTCATGCCCTGCTTCTGTAAGCATTATTGTGAACCAGAGAGACAGAGGGAGAATCCCCATATAGCTTACTGTATGAAAAACCAGCAGAAACAGACAAAGCTATTACTGCTGCTGCTGCTTTCAAGCCTCCCCTCTGCATCAAGACACACAGGAGCTACTGTAATGTGACTGCACTGAGGAATGTTGATGGTGATGTCAAGATTTTACTCATTACCAAATTAACACATTTTAACTGATAAGTATTTTCAGGCAGAATGTAGGACTGGGCGATATATCGATATAAGAAATATATCGACATATTTTTAAATGAGATATGGAGTTGGACCATATCGCATATATCGATATACAGATATCAGATGCGGCTGTTGACAGGCTGGTGTTTCTCACACAAAACCTTTCAACAAAGAAGGACACACTTGTCTGTCTAATGTCTACCTCAAGACGGCACTAACTGTTTATCAAAGTAAATAAATTTATTTCAGAAAAAGATTGGCCTATTTTACTTTATAGGCTAGTTTTATTTAAGATGTATTTTTCATTTAAATATGCACCTTATAGAGCTCCAATTTTAAAAAAAAAAAAAACAAAAAAGACACTCCTGTGGTTACACAATGTTGTTTTCGTTAATGATGACGTTGACAAAAATATTTCGTCAACGCCCCTTTTTTTCCACAACGAAGACGTGACGTTGACAAGCTAAACATAAGACTTAGATGACTAAAATGTGATGAGACGTTAGTTAGTGACAAGATGAAAACGTTAGTGGTGGACGACGAACAGAGTTGCAAAATTCAAGAGCAGTGCCAGTTTAAATAGATTTACTTGTGACATGTCATATTTGGTTTTGACGGTGACAAAACATTTGCTCTCACTTTGCGAAAACATTATCAGGATATATATTGCATATCGATATTCAGCCTGAATATATCAGGATATGAATTTTAGTCCATATCGCCCAGCCCTAGAAGAATACAAGGCGTTTCTTCATTTACTGGTTCAATATCACTGTTCATTGATACCTTTAAAATCGTATTTTTTTCACAGATTAATAGTTGGGATCTGTCACAGAATATTTGCAGCACTTTATTTGATCAAATCTCAATTAATCGACGATCATCTGCAGATTAAATAACAAACCCATCGCCCCTAATTGCTGTCACAGTTCAGGGTTTTTGGCTCTCAAATTGCCGGAGATCTGCAGCCTGCACCCAAAGCTCTGACTGATCCCTGATGCCTGATTACTGTCAGTCACGACGACCAATGAATCCAAGTTTTCCAAGAGGTAACTGTATGAGCAATCATCCATAGTGTTAAAGCACATGAGACTTTACCAGACTGTTATAGGCTATACTGATTGTGTTCTCATGAGTCAGTTATTTTTGGATAACGATCATTCGGTAAAAGATCGGTTTCATATCTTAATAGTTTTTTTTATTTTCTGGTTTATTATCTATCAGAGGATAATTACAGGTCACGTTCTTTCCACGAAATTATATTACAGCGCAATGGCAGCGTGAGGCAGCCGCCAGATCATCCAATCAGCCCGACACACTCAGTGACAGCGCGTGCGTTCGCCCGCCCGCCTGGCCGCGCGCATCTCTCGGTGTCACCGGCAGGTCTTACCTTGGTGAGTTGAGCGATCTTCTTGCACATCTTGCTGTGCATCTGGTAGTCGTACAGCTCCTGCTCGATGTTCTGGAAGTCTGCCGCAGTCCCGTTAACGGCGGAGCCCGGCCCGGGGGGCTGTGCAGCCTTACCGGCGCCTGTAGCCATGATAAACCTCTACGGAAGGGGAACTTTCCAGACCGGAGGGGTTGTCACAAATGGTCCTGCCGCCTCTCAGATGCGAATTCCCACCGTAATCGTGTCAACTTATCACTCGCGCATCTCATCCGTCCCTCGGTAGAGCCCTCTCCGTGAACAGCAGCTCGAGCGGTTTGCTGAGAAACATTGGGTAGTAGTAGATCGGCGGGGCTCTCCTCCTCGTGCGTTCCGGTTGTTGCCCCCCTCTCCCGCTATCCGCCCGGTGATCGGGTAGGTCACACGCTGGGAGTCCATCGGGGACGCGCTCGCGCCAACCGACCCCTCGCTGCTGTAAACAGATATGCGTGCGTTTTTTTTTTTTTTTTTTTCTTATTTCAAGAGGGAGCGCTCGCGAATGAAAGCATACAGTCCAACCACCTGTCTCGCGGCAGGGGCGGATAGGGGCGTGTGTATCCTATAGAACATTACCGGAGACAGCTCGAGAGGCGCACTGCTGCAGTGCTGCCCCGCCCCTACCGGCGCTGCTGTATCAATGCCGATCACCGAGTGGAGGAGGAGGAGGGAGGGAGGGAAGGGGAAGGGGAGAAGAAGGGAGGAGGGTCTCTGGGGTGTAGTCGTGTGATTTTACTCTGACAGTCAGGTGCCATAAACAGCGTGCACCGGGAGTGACAGCAGAAATATGGATGACAACCGGTGTGGCGTCACTAATATGCCTGTTCAAGGCCTTTAGTATCACATGATACCATTATTAATATTATTTGAAAAGTAGGCTGCATTAACTTCACACCACCGTGTATCCTATCATTAGTGATTCTCCTGCATACACTTTGACTGGACTATCATAGACTGTAAATACTCTTAACCCTGTAATGCTTGAAACCACAAATTATGGTCAGAAAATTCCTTTTTTTTTGGAGCTCAAATGTTGACTTGACTTCACTCATTCATAATTTTGATGCCTTCAGTGATAATCTACAATGTAAATAGTACAAAAATAAAGAAAAGACATTGAATGAGAAGGTGTGTCCAAACTTTTGGCCTGTACTGTACATTAGATGTTTTTAAAAACTGATAAACCACAAAACATTTTAATCATTTATTGGACTATATTGAGGTGTTCTTTTTTGTAATTTGTTGATAATATTGATTTAATATCAGTATAAAAGTATGTATCAAATATGATACAAAAAGCAATAAAGGGAACCTGTCCTCTCAAATAAACTCATTTGCTTTACAGGAATGTTTATCAACCAATTTAATTTCTTTAAAAAAGATCACTCGTTATATATAGGCCTTTTTGATAGGCAAGTGTTAAAATATGGAAAATTGTTCAAAACTTAGGGAGTGATTAAGACGCGAGTTAAGGCTCCTGTGAGGAGTTTTTGGCATTTAAAAGGTAGGATAAAATTTATATCACTGCCCTTTCATGATGTCCACAAGCAACCATGACCACTAGCGTCAGTATCAGCAATTTTTGTTGTGTAATTTTAATGCCTCAAACTGGCATTTGTAGGTACGTGTCAGCCAAGCACCTGCAGAAATAATAATAATATTTATTTATATAGCACCTAACAAGATCCGAAGAGATGAACAAAGTGCTTTGCAGTCAAATATACAAATACAGAAAAAGAAAATACATGACAAGTGACAAATGTCGCAAAAGTTTAAAAATGATCCTGAATTACCCGGAAGCCAGTGTAGGGCGAGAAGAACGGGAGTGATGTGACTGACAGCCTTTGCTTTTGCACTTTCCATATAAAATTCACAAAACATTATATATTTGTTGAAATCTTCCCACATCATGCAGCAAGTTGCCAGCAATGCAGAGGTATGACAAAGATCAGGGTATGAATCCATCTGAAGCCCCTTTATCATTCTTCCATCAATTTTAATTTATCAAACATAAATGCAACACTATGAATGCCACCATGTGAGCTAAACTGTCTAAAAGTGTGTGCTGTTCTCATTGGTATGATTTATTGCATTTGAGACTACAATGACACTCAAAAGACACTGACTTCTTCAAGAGAGATTTGGGGTTGCAGGCGGCTGCTGTCAGGAATAAGCTGATAGCAGCCTTTTACCCCTTTTTTTGTCATCATGGCTGCTTGGAACAGCTGTAAACACACTTATCCTCATACATTGTATGACCTAGTTTGACTGAAGCACGCTGAGGCCAAATACACAACCACCAGATTAGATGACAATGCAGGGACAGTTTTAGTCCTTAGTGGGACATGTCCAAACAAATTTGTAATCAATTAAATAAATGGGCCCAAAACAATAGACACATAGTGAAACTGGGCTTTGAGGGAGGGGAGTCGTTTGGGATTTGTCTGCTTTGCCCATTTTATAATCCAGACAGTCACTATGGATTATAGGATCAAATTTACAAGGGTCTGGAAAGATACACATGCAAAACCTGACGCATGAGCGTAAGGGTATGTAAAATTTTAGTTTGGTGACAGAATGCCGAACAATTAAGCACTGTAAGCATTTGTATCGTCTTAAGGTAACTTTTTGCAGAAGGTGACTCTGTCTCTTTTTGGTAAATGGCATGGTAGGTGTAAGGACTAGGGAAGAGAGTTTGAGTCTCTGCATTCAGCAGCATAAATATTTAATTTGATGTCTGCAAGACTTTGATGACTCTAAAATTTCTGGTTTTAGTTAATCTAATTATCACTTCAGAGGTAAAATTATATTAAAAAGTAAAGAGAAAAACAGGCAACCATTCTATTTTCTTGTAACACAAATGTCTTCAAAACAAGTGAAAACGTCTCCTTTTGAAGTTTTTTCAATGGTGAACGCTGTTTTGCCCTTGAAATACGGAAACATCTCAAACTTATTTTGTTACCTTGTTAATCTTTTATAAATAATTTACTGTGTTTTGGCCTTTCCACACGCCTTTTAACAGGTTATAGTAAAATAAAACTCAAGAGAGTTCAGTCAGGCATTGAGGGGAAGGATACACGTCATGACGCAGAGAGGTTACGCATCTTACCTCTCGCGAGATAGAACGATAATTGGATTTGAAAACAGGCGGCAGTGTTGTTAGAGGAAAAAACGAAGAGGAGGTAAAACAAAACATCTTTAATGCTTTCTGTTCGACATAGTGTTTGCCTTTTTGTTTTAACTTGGTGTAAATCATCTGTAGGAAACCCCCCCTGTCGATATATTCAGGTTATGGTGTTTTGCTGCTCTTTTACCGTCCTGGGATTTGAATCGAGAGTCCTTGTAGGTTAACGTTCACTAACGAGACTCTGGGGACCGACAGACTGTAGCTGTTAGCTTTCAGTAAAGACGACTGAGGAGGTGGAAGTGACTGCAGAGGACTCTTACACAACTTCTTAAGTGATCCAGTTTATTATTATTTGTTCTCTTTGTAAGGAAAAATGACTGCGGACAATGAAATGGACATTAAAGAGGCGTTTCAGCGCGCTCAGAAAGGCCACAATAACAAGGCGAAGCTGGTGGCGAGCCTGAGGAGCAAATACGATAAGGTAAGTGATGCATGGTGATTCATATATATATATGAATAGTTTAAGAAAACGGCTATGTCGGGTTATTATTAAAATACTTTTTAATGTTTGCTTTGGATTAGAGTTTTTCCATTGTAGAGAACATCACATCTCTACTGTATAACCAAACTGTTACTCTATCGTGACAGTCTGTTGTTGTATAAACAGACATAAAACATGACAAAAACGTGATTGTGCCATAAATGATAGATTTATTTGTTTTCAAACAGAGATGTGTCTGCTTTCTGTTTAAAATGCTTCAAAATACCTTCATTATAGTGTTGTAGCTCTTCATTGGTGTCCATAGGCTGTCATCCCATGGTCATAATTTACCACCTTGTCAGCTGTAAATATTGGCAGAAATAATATATTTAAAAAAGAAAAAAAACAACTCTCTAAGCTATTTTGATTTGCTGGTAATTATACTGATAATATTGTACATCCCTATGACAAACAGAATAAATTGAGGGTTTCAATTAACTCTCAGTTTATGTAGACATTTTATAGAGTTTAGTTTCCATGTAGCGCACAGAAAGCTTAGGTCAATATACATGTATGTTTTGTCTGAAAACTTAACTACTATTTGGCTTTACCTGCTATTGACAACATCCTACCTTTCCTTCTCCAGCTTGAGGACAAGACACTCTTTCATGAAGAGTTTGTCCATTACATGAAGTACGCCATGATTGTCTACAAGCGTGAGCCTGCGGTTGAAAATGTTATCGAGTTTGTCTCAAGGTTTGCCACAAGTTTCCAGACTCCACCTAAACCGGAGGAGGAGGAAGAGGAGGAGAATGGAGATGAGGAAGTTGAAGAAGATGAAGATCATCCATTTCTCAGTTTCATTTTCAACTTTTTGTTAGAGGTATGAACCTTTCAAAAAATAAGAGCAGAATGAAGAGTCAGTTTCCCTTTTTGTTTGTGTGCTATGTTAACAAGAGATCAACATCATGTATTATTTTTAATCATTTGCAGCAAACCTTTTGAAGAAATCAGTTAACTCCAAGGCGATTTATTTTTGTCCTGTCCTATGTGTTTTCTTTCTTTGTCGCCCCTCCCAGGTCTAATGCATTTTCCCTCCTTTCCCCTCAGTCTCACAAAGTCAACAGCCACGCGGTGCGTTTTCGTGTGTGCCAGCTGATTAACAAATTGCTGGGCAGTATGGCGGAGAATGCTCAAATAGATGACGATCTCTTTGACCGCATCCACCAAGCCATGCTGATCCGTGTCACTGACAAGTTCCCCAATGTGAGGATTCAGGCTGCTTTGGCCATGACACGCCTGCAACAGCCAAAGGACCCAGACTGTCCAACCATCAATGGTTTGTGAGACAAACAATGCAAAGTATTAGTTACTGTCTTTGATAAGTACTCTTTATAGTACCCTTTGATATAGTTTTAACTTGTTGTACTTTGTAATAAGTCCTCTAACTGTTTGATTCTTTGGCTCTGACCTTTGTTTAGCATACTTGCTGATTTTGGAAAATGATGCAAATGCAGAGGTGCGACGTGCCGTTCTTTCCTGCATCGCCATGTCCCCTCAGACCCTCCCTAAAGTCCTCAAACGTACCCGGGACATCAAGGAGAATGTCCGCAAGCTGGCCTACCAGGTACGACAGATGTCTTCAGATGATCTGGTGTGAATTAATGAACAAACACAGCAAGTATTCTTCAGATAACAAAGGAACAAAGGTGTTTTATTTGTTTCAATTTACACTGCACTCTTGAACTTAACTTTGATTTCTGTTGAAGGTTCTGGCAGACAAAGTTCACATCAAAGCTTTGACCATCGCACAGAGAGTTAGTCTACTCCAGCAGGGTCTCCATGACACTTCAGGTAGTATTTGTTTACTGAAATCGACTGGAGCGGTTCATTGATTTGTGAAATCGTTCCCAGAAAAACAAATCATTTTTACATCTCTTGTTTACTCGTAATTTCTTTGTACCTGGGGTTGGCTGTGTTGCAGAAGCGGTGAAGGACGTGGTGTGTTCCCGTTTGCTGCCTTCCTGGCTGCTTCGGCTGGACGGTAACATCATCGAGCTGCTCCACAGGCTAGATGTGGAGAACTGTGCTCAAACAGCTCTGGACACACTGACAGCCATTCTTAAGGGCACCCCTACAGAAGAGCTGCTGCAGAACAGAGTGGAGCTGGACAACAGGTACTAAAGGCTATTTCACATCACATCATATGTTACATAAAGAAAGAGCTCCAAGTTTGAGATTCTGTGTGTTTTAACAGGAAGCTAATTCCAGTGGACTCGCTCAGCTGTGAGACTGTGCTCTACTGGAGAGCTCTGTGTGAGTTTATCAAGGCCAAAGGAGATGATGGTGATGAAATGCTGGAGCAAGTGTTACCGGATGCTGCGACTTATGCCAATTACCTCTGTGGGTAAGAACAGAGACCCTTTTTGCTGGAAGACATTTTTATTTTCTTCCCGTCAGCTTCCTTTTTTAACCTATTTCAGAGTTAATTCTCAACCAGATGACTAATAGCAACAGGCTAACCAAATGTATTATTCTTGAAGTCATGGTATAGGTTCACTGTATTGTGTGTCTCTCTAAAAAAGCTAACAATCCAAACTGTCTTTTTGCAGTATAATCTTTCATGCTGCTTATACCAGACTCTGAGTCTTACTGTTAGTGCTATAGAAAAACCCTTAACAGTCAAAAAGTATAGAATATCCAGTGTTTTCACTCTGCGAGGAAAAAGGAAAATTTCCCGCAAAAGGCCATAAATTTGGAAGATTGCTAGTACTTAAATTAGTGTAACATTTATGTATGGATGGGGACCTGATCGTGGTTTAAAAACGAACATTTATTTGATATCGATCCTTAACTGAGTGTGTAACATTATTACTTTGTGATGGTATGAATTTGTAACACAGTGTGCCATTATCACCATGTTACTTAGGTATCTCAGTGGTCCGGTGTTCTCTAAGGAACGTTATCTGTATGTAACTGTGTGTCGGTTTTTGCTTCAGTTGAATTCCCCTGGCTTGCTACAATAAAGCATGTGGCACAAACATATTTTAAAAAAAAAAGTCTTCCCTACAAAACAAGCATAAAAAATGAAGAATTAAAGAATTCTCGATTGAGTTTTTTTTCCCTACTTACAAAATGAGATCTGGTAATTTTAGAAGCTGGAGCAATCAGATGGATTTGCATCAAGGATCCCAGAGATCTCAAATGAAATTCAGCTGCAGACCTTTATAATCAAAGTACTAGACTTACAAAGTAAAACATTTTTGCATAAGTCTGCAGTTTTTCATAGTGGGATTTTAAAAGGATCTGTTTTTACACATCAACATTAAATCAATTTGCTCATCCTCCACTTGTGCAGTGATTGTTTTGGTGGAGTGAGAAAAGCTTCTGCTTCATGCTCGGCATTAATCGTGATAAACTGCTAAAATGAAACGATCCCTTGGTGGCTAGCTGGTAGCTAATGTGACTGCAGCTTTTGCTGGTTGGCTCTAGCGTGAATCTACTTACAGATTTTCAGAACTGCTTTCAATAACATTCATCACCTGATTTGAGAAGTACCACTGTGATTCTGGTACATGGTGACAACCAAGTTTACTGCACCCTTTGACTGACTCTATTGTGACACCTGACTCTTATCTGTTGTAGATATCTGAAGTCAGTGCCATTGCTGACAGAGGAACAGAGAGCTGACTTTAACCAGCTGGAGCTTGTCATGACTAAGGAGTTCATCTCACAACAGCTCATCCATCTCATCGGATGTTTGGACACCAATGAGGAGGGTGGCAGGTGAGATTCAGATGAGAAGCTCAGTTATGAAAGTAAAATGTTATCGGTTGTTAAATTTTTTTGTGTTTGAAAAGGAGATTCAGGCATCATATTGAAATCTGCAAGATGTAAAGGTGTGTTAAGGCAGCTATGAAAAAAATCATGTGTGACTAATTTTCCTTCTTTTTTTTTTGGGAGTTCAAATATTGTGAAATCCTGTCTGTGATCCCCCTTTCAGGCGTTGTTATTCACTCTTGTAAATTTGTTCTGATGATATAGAAAGAGAGTGCTGGCTGTCCTGCAGGAGATGTTGGCTCTTCCACAGACTCCCTCTTCTCTGGTCTCTCTTCTTACTGAGAAACTCATCACCCTCATTCCAGACGACCACAGACGCATACAGACTGTAAGTAACATTGACTCTAAAACCTGAACTTATTCACTAAACTACATTCATCTTAAATCTGGGCTGTTTTCCACTCGGCACACATGCAAATTCAATTGACATAATAATTGAAGATGAGATAAACCATTGGTTCTACCTGCATGAACTGCTGAAGACTCAGTTAATCACAGTTCACTATAAAATGTTGTCCGTCACAAAATTTAAGAGATATTTCTGCCCTGTAGCTGTGTCATCACCCATGAGATTGATGTCTAAATATACCGGCTCTACCTTGAACAGGTTGCAGAGATCATCTCAGATGTGAGGGAGCCCATCGTGGAGGCCAGTCTGCCCGTGGAAGAGAACATGAGCCGTCAGCAGCAAGTCCAGGTGGGGAACTTTACCAACAGAAAGTACCCACAAGCAGCCAGGCTCTGTAACTCCTCCAATTTCCCTGCTGCTTCTTGGATGGATGATAACACCACACATTTGGCACACTGGGACATTCGGCTTTTCTTCAGTAGTGAGGCAGAAATGTTCACAAGGCTGCGTGGTGAACATTTGCACATTTTGCATTGTGAATAATCAAAGTTGATGTATAAAGCCGAACATATTCTGAAAAAGAGATGAAGAAGAAATGCTCTTTTTCGAGTTTTAAGCCCTTCTGTTCTCTCTTTGCCTCCATCAGTTCCTATTTGTTTTTCTCTCTGAACCTCCGGCTGCCAGATGGTTTGTTTTAGTAGTCAAAGCATGTTTTAACAAGCAGTCTGGAAGGATCATATTATGCATGCCAATCTGAACTCTGCCTGGTATATCCAGGTCCAGTAATTGTGATTTTTTTTTTTTTTTAAAGAACACATTTCTGATTGCATTGACTGTGAGAACAAGCTTTCACCTACACAAATAAGCACAGAGGGGATGCTCACAGCTTTTTTTGGCAGGTGCAACTTTTTAATCCATCTCATTTTCTAATTTTCAACAAGCTCTCAGCAGATAAGGTTTCAAAGGCAGAATCGGTGCCAAGGTAGTCAGCTCCCTTGTTTTAGCTCCCATTGCTTCACCTGCTCTTTCGCCTCATTTTTACGCAGCAACATAACAACGAGACAGTTGTAACCTGCCCCAGAGCCTCAGCTGCTGTTGTTTTTCCTGATGATGGAGGTGTAGTTACCTGCTTCACCATACAAGAACCCTCAGGAGAGTATTCCATCAAAGACCCTGCCTCAAATTACTTCGCTCTCCCCCTCCAGCTTGCCGAGGTGAAGGTGCGTATCCTGGAGGCTAAACAAACCCTGGAGGACTGTATTACTGCCCAGGATTTCAGCCGTGCTGCAGAGGTGAAGGACTCCATTACCGAGCTGGAGAACCATAGGAACAGCATAATCCAGGAAATCGCAGCTAGCAGCCAGCCGACTCACAAGGAGAGCAGCACTGAGAAGGTAAAGATGGGAAGCAGCGTCTTTGTCCTTGAAAATGTGATTTACCTGTAATACAATTAAAGAATTTCACGGTTCAAAACATTTTCTCCAACAGTAAGAATGCACAGAAAGGGTCTTGAGATATATTTTATTCTCTGTCTTTCAGAACGATCCAGAGACTCTTCTGAGATGTCTCACAATGTGCGCTGAGCTGCTGAAGCAGATGAACATCAAGACAAAGATTGGTCCAACAACAAGTGCCCTTATGTCCTCACTGGTATAAATTCACATCATTAATGTCATCTATATTTGACTTATATCACTGTTCATGGAAACACCAGTAGGTTTAAGTATTTGGTTAATAAATGAAAAGATTCAGAGCTTAGTTACCTGCTGTAGTTTGATGAAGGTTGTTTTTCTACAGCTCCTTGACAACCCATTATACTTTTACTGTTATTTCATCTAAATTTTCTAACAGTCAAAGATTTTGGCACTTTTTGTTGTCACCCACTGCATTTATTCTCAAAATGGACAGCTACACACAAAGTGCTGCATCAGAAACAAAGTAAATAGACAAAAATCATCTGATACATCAACTAGCTGTTCTTCAGCAAGAATGTATTTAACTTTAGTGTTTTAGCTTTTCAAACCATTGTTAAAGGGATATTCCGGCGTAAAATTAAATTAGGGTCAAACACACTGTAACACCAAGTTAGACACCCCCTCGAGAGATGAATGTTGCCGACCGCTTGCTTCTCTAGTTATACAAGCTTAAGTAACGACCGCATGATAGCAATACACAGCGGTCTGAGGAGCCATAAACAAACCTCAACCAAAAAGCCACTCTATAGCCACAGATAATGCTCAGAACAAGTCGGTGGAATTGAAGTCTCATCCATGCCAGCATTGTTTGTTCTTGGCATAAATTGGCTAAACTGCATATGGAGATTAAATCTGTTCAAAAAGGTACTTTGGCATAAATGGTCTGTTGTTGTATTTTATTGTAATTGTGTAATGATTTTTGTTTAATTGTGATATGTTTTTGTCACACTGCTCCCCCCTGTGTAGAGTGACGTTTCTAACGTTTCCCTCTGTCTCTGTCAGATTTTGCCCAGTATAGCAAATGCTCACCCAGCGGTCCGTAACACAGCTGTGGTGTGTTTGGGAACATGTATTCTGCACAGTGCAGAGCTGGCCAAAACCCACATGGTCCTGCTGCTACAGGTAACGCATCTATCAGTGTCTCTCAAATAATAACTGCAGTGAATAATAATGATTTTTACAGAAACAGCATTTTGACGGTAATTCCCAGACCTGAAGCTTTTCTTTGGTGTGTGTGTTTCTTAGATTGCCCAGCTGGATGAGATAAAGATCCGTATCAGTGCTCTGCGGGCCATCATCGACCTGCTGCTGCTGTTCGGCTTCCAGCTGCTCTCTGACAGAACTGCCAGTCAAACAGCCCCACCCACCCAATCCCAGGAGAGACAGGAGGAGGATGCACCTTCGACTGAGGAGAAGGGAGATGTCCCAGAGGACACCGCACAGAGTATACTTGTGATGCTCTCTGAGTTCCTGGACAGTGAGGTGAGGTCAAGAAAGTCATATGAATTTCAGTACAAATGTGTTTGTTGGTTTTTTTTAAAGGTAAGACAGCCAAGCTTAGTTTTGTTGAGTTATGTGCTTGTGTTCAACACATCCAGGTGTCTGACCTACGAACAGAAACAGCGGAGGGTCTTGCTAAACTCATGTACACAGGCCGTATCTCCAGCGCCAAGATGTTCTCCCGTCTAGTGCTGCTGTGGTACAACCCCGTCACTGAGGATGACACCCGACTGCGGCACTGCCTCGGCGTCTTCTTCCAGCTCTACGCCCGTGAGAGCAGGTCAAACTAGCACTCATACACACATTGAGCCACGTGATCATCTAAAGTGTGTGTTAGGTGTGATAGTTGATGTGTTATGATGTTTATACTAATGTGAAGTTTACTCTTGTGTTTATTAGGGCCCACCAGGAGGTCGTAGAGGAGAGTTTCCTGCCTACCCTAAGGACTCTGATAAATGCCCCAGCCACCTCTCCTCTGGCTGAGGTGGATATTAACAATGTCAGTGAGCTGCTGGTAGAGCTGACCCGTCCAAGTGCGCTTATTAAACCCTCAACCAATACGGAGGTAAGAAACATCCACTGAGAGCACTATGAACCTACCAAATCCTCACTGACTAATCTGAGATGTGTTAATGAGAAATTCCTCATTAGTGTACAGTTTTTTATGACCACTCTGAGGTTTGATAGTATTGCTTTCTTTCCACATACTTATTTTATTTTTACAGCAGATGAAGTCTGAATATGATGGTTTGGTTTTTTATTTTAATCTATATTAGAGATTATGCAGCATAAAATCTCATTAAATCGCTAAAGTAGAGAAAACATAAAATGCAGTGCTCTGAGTCCCGCCCTGCTTATGTCTTTTCAGGAGGTTTGTGTCCATGACTATTTGGCTGTGCGTCTGTGTGGGGAGATGCTGAAGGACCCCACAGCCCCCGAGGTGCGTCTCTACGCGAAGATGCTCGGCAACCTGGAGTTCAGCCGAGATGAGACCGTCAGGAAAGACATGCAGACGCTGCTACAGCAGCTAGTACAGGTACACGCACGGTCCACAGAGGTCAGAGACACCAGCAGCTGCATGAGGCTGTGTCAAGACTAACTGATACTGACAATGAAGAAGCCAACATATTTTTGCTTAGTATTGAGAATTTTAACCATCATGTATGTGTTGTAGTATGCTAACACTTATCATTCAGAGTCAACAGATCTACTGCTAAGTATTAAAGGGATATTCCGGTGTAAAATTAATTTAGAGTCTAACACACTGTTACACCAAGTTAGACACCCCATCAAGAGATGAATGTTGCCGACCACTTGCTTCTCTGGTTATACCGACTTCAGTAACGACCGCACAATAGCAATACACACCGCTCCGAGGAGCCATAAACAAACCTGAACCAAGACACCACTCTATAGCAACAAATAATGCTCAGAACAGCACCTAACTTCATCAACAGTACATATAGGGTCCCAGCCACAGCACTAGCCACCAAACAGCTCTTAAATTTTGCCAAATTTCTTTAGCAAAGAGACTAAATACAACTCACCCTCTCTCTTCCAGCAGCCGCTTGTTTGTAGCGAGACCCCAGGCAAGTCCATTCTGGACTGCAGCGGAGTTACGCAGCTCAAGGAAGAACATTTATGGTCCCTTTGAGGACTTTTTATGGGTTCTTAAATGGCTGGACAATTAGTCATTGAAATCTATCTCAAGACTGTACTTCAACATCATGTATCTACTAAGATTCACTACTTATTTTCCCTTTTGCTCCGCCTTTTCTTCAGGTGGTGAAAGATCGCGTCTGTCTTCGTGCTCTGGAGAAAATGGTGGATCAGCTTGTTGACTCCAAAGAACAGGCAGAGCTCCTGAGTGCCAGCGCACTGCAACCCCTGGATGTCAACGCAGACGGTACACATGCTAACACAGTAACAGCGTGTATAAACAGCATCCTGGCTTTTGAACAAGTGTCTCATCAGTTTGTGTCAAACTAGATTTGCTTTACTCATGTTTGTGACAAGTCTCCCTGTAAAAGGATTACGTGTTATTCAATGATACTAAGTGGATTAAACATCTCACTTTATCCTATCTGTGCTGAGAGGGACTGCAAAGTATGAATTTTCTCTCTCACGTGTTCACAGAGACTGCAACAGACGATCCATCTAAATCTGCCAAGAGAGTCAAAAGAGGTAACGCAGGTTCTGTACACTCATCCGCAACTGCAGCCGTTGATACCGCCCATGTATTTTTAGAGCTCTTCTCGTCTACCTGAGGCAAGGGGTTGACTCAGCGCTGTGAGGTAACCCGAGTGTTTTGTATGCGCAGGTCAGAGGAAAGTCGGCACAGCCAAAGGGAGCAGAAAACCAAGCAGGAGGGCAGAGTCATCAGAGGAGAGGTTTGTTTTTGGGCCAGATTAGACATAAGGATGTTTGAGAAAAGTTACAAAAAACATAAAAAGATTTGTTTTCTTTGGTGAATCAAAGTAGCAGGATTTATATCTGATTGGCCAAAAATAACACACCTACTTTTTAGGTGTGTTACTGTCCTAGATACTGTTCTGATGTATCATTGCTTCCTTGTAGACATATTTGAAGGCCAAAACCTGCTGTTCTGTTTGCTCAACATTTTTATTAAAGCATTAAAAAAAGAAGCAATTATCTTCTTGATAATAGGCTTGAAAAAAACCTTTTTATTTTTATATTTGCTGTCAGTAATTCCTAACTTGAAATCAACAACAGTTGCTCTCTAGTCTAGACCAACCTCCCACATGCCTATGACCTTGTGTACAATATTTAATAGAGCATCACATTTTCAGTCTAATCTCTCCTCTTTATTTTTGTTTTGGCTACAGTGATGAAGAAAATCTTCCAAAGTCCCCTTCTGTGGTGCGACCCTCTCGGAGAGCCAAGACTGCAGCTCTTGAAAAGACAAAGTTGGACCTCAATACCCTCATCAACCAGGAGACAACTATCCCATAGAAGTGAGGACACAAGTATTTGATCTAAATCCTATACAGGAGATTATCTTCTTTTAAAATGTACTCCTATTTCCTGTTATGTCAGCCTCACTGGTTTAGATGTTTTTAACCAAAAGTTAAACATGTCAATAAAGCTTATTATACATTTCAGTTGAATCAAAATCTCTTTATTGTTCCAATCACAGACACCTATTCACTGCATCTGCAATGGACAGTATAAAAACACGTGATGAAGAAAATTTACAACAAATGTTTAGCACCAAGTTCTTCGACAGAGCTGATGATTATCACAGAGCCCTCACCTCCATTGTGTTGAAATGACGAGCATAGTGACGTACATACAACTCAGACACACAATACTCAGTAACAGGTACAAGGTTTGACCTACAGCCAGACGTTTTGGAGCTCTACAGGGCAAGAGTCAGATATTGATCCTGGATTAGTATGTCAGTCCCCTGTCCATCACATGGTTGATAAATCAGTAGGACTAGCTAAGCCTTTGGGGGGGTTTGAGAGGGGTCTGGCTGCAGACCTCCACTGTCAGGACCTGCTCCACTGTAAGGACCCACAGTGACATTCCTTCTCACGCACTCCAGTTCGTTAGAAGTGGTCATCTCATTTTGTATTTTCTCTTGGTTGAATAAATGAATGCACAAAAAATCATATTAACATTATATACATAATATCAAGCACCAAGAAGTAAAATATATTCTCACAAGACAGAAAATACGTACTTCCCGGTATATTTGCTTTTATTTTGAAAGGCTCCAAATGAACTGCCAGTCCACTCAGTGGAGGTGGGTCCTCACAGTGGAGGTCTGCAACCAGAATGTCTTGGGGGCATTGTTTGCTGCAACTAAAAAAAAAACATTTCCACCTGCATGTACTGTAAATAATGCTAGTTTATTAATGATAGTTAAACTTTAATGCTTTTAGAACAGTTAAGAGGCTTTACTGGAGAGAACAGCAGGTGGAAGAAAATATTTAGTGATACTTCACACAATCACATTACACAGCTATGGAAAAGAAAGAACTAACATCCCAGGCCAAGGGTAGGGTACATCCATTTGTCTGTGAGCAATAAAATACTACATACAAATAAAACATCTGGGTTTGTATTGCACCAAATATATTCTCTATTTTTACAGTAGGTTTTGGTAATGGGGCATGGGATGTGCAAAATATGAGGGTGGAATCTGTAAAGAAGGGGTAATAATCTCAGCTGGAATAGAGCAAGATGGAGATCCAACACCAACATTTAGTAAATGCTTTGGGTGAAAAGAAATTACTACAAAAAAAAAAAAAAAACAATCATGATCTACAACTGCATCGTGCTATTGACTTCCTTACTTCCAAGTACCTTTGCATTTTAAGGGCTGAATTGGCAATCTTTAAATTGAACTATGCTCAGATTGGAGTAGGTGGTTAGAGCTGAAAATGTCATTTTAAAGAAATGTGAGAAATAAGAGTATGAGATGTAGTTTAATAAATAATTTTGTTTTAGGACCCAACATCTGATTGTGACTAAGGTAAAAATGGTTGATTTAAAAAAAAATCCTTCATTCAACCATGGAGTTTTTTGGCTACTAAATTATAGAATTAAAAACAGTAACCAAACATCAAGGAATCATTGAAAAAAGAGGTTCTGGTAAAGAATGTCAGAATTTACTTCAACTTCTAAAGTGCCAAAATAAGGTGGGCTTTAAATATCTGAAGGATTTAAGAGCTTTTCATTTGGGGAGCAATGACTTATGCGTTAAAAATGTCATTCAAATTAATGTTTACGCAAAGAAGTCATTGCTGTGGCCTTGATAATGAGGTATGTGTCAGGGGATGGCACTGTCGATAAACTGAGATTATTCTTCCCACATTCAAGCACTTCTCTGAAACTGTTCAACATAAGCTTTGATCTTCTATGCACACTATGAATGACCGAAGCAAGACGAAAATAGAAAATAAAATCACACATTCTGTACATACTTATCCAAAGATAAAAGTAGTGCAACATCAAGCTTTTGTTAAGTTAGACTGCTACATAATTGCTGAGTGTAAGACCAAACCATATCAGAATGGTCGGTCCGGGTGGTCAGCTTAATGTCCAAAAGGCACCACGTTAAACCACAGTCCCTTTACCCAGGTCGGAGGCTGCCTCATGATTCATTTAGGTTCCTGTGAAAAAAAAAAGAGTCCATGTTATTTTGTGGCAACTTCAAAGTAAAACTTGATGTCTCCAGAGTTGTGAAGTAAAAGAGGCATAATAGTTACCTAATACAAAGTCGCACCATCTGGGCCCACTTAGGCCCCTCATTCGCGATTGTCTCAACATTTTCGCTGGTGGTGGTTGTTCAGTCGACAGAACCCCAGGGCTTCTGTATTTGCCGTTCTGCCTCCCAGATTTAATCTCTTTCTGCTCCTGGACTAATTTAGGCGCTGAGCCTGCGAGCTCTCTGGAGGCATTTTGACTCGTGCCACGCTTTCTTTGAGTTCTCACAGCTTTGACAACTTCAGCCAGTTCTCTCTCCCTTCTTGCAAAGTGGTATGCTGAGGGGGACCCATCATCCAGTGTCACAGTACAGGAGTCACATTCTTCCTCAGGTGATTCAGTGTCTGGAGAGTTGATCTTTCTCAGAAACACCCTACATTCCTTGAGCGTCTCAGGACTCCAAGCTTTTGAAGATAGGTTCTGCTCCTTGCGTCCGTCAACAGGCTCCCGTGTTTGTTCTGTTGAGTTGGTGGCAGATCTGTTCTCAAAACATTTGAGCAACTGCGTTTTTACTGATCTCCGTAATGCATTACATTTTGGATTTGGTCCAGACCCCATCAGTTCATCTGGACTACCAACAGCCCTTTTTGGATTTTTCTTAGTCCTTTGAATCTTCCGCCATTCCTCTCGATTTTTGGGGGATAGGAACCTTGTCCTTGCTCTAGACAGAGTGGCCTGATATTTGCCAAATGCTTGACTTGTCTTCCATTGGGCTCCTTGACCTGGCCTGCCTTTTGCCAGCCCAGGACCGAAAAGTTGACGCCTAATATGTGCTGACTTAGGCCTCTTGCCCCTTAACCCTTTTTGGGCCTGTTGATATTGCAAGGGACTTTTTGGCATGATTTTTGCAAACTTCTTTATGTGTTTGCGGAGTCGCTCTGCCTGGGGACTGTAGCAAACACTTTTTGTGTTGGTGGAACGAGGGAAGTGCATGAGCTCATATGGATTGCGGGAGCTTGCCTTCTTAACGATAGCCAGGGACTGTGTCTCTGTAGTTTGCATAAACCATGAGCAGAGCTGCTGCATGCTACAAGCCCTTGGTTTGTTGGGAGGACAGTCAAACAGTGTGCGAACCACAGAGGAATGTTTGGACTTTCTGGTCAGTGGACTGTTGCTCTTTGTGTCTATTTTAGAATCAGACGCAAGTTCTTTTTCTTGATTCTCCTCACTGCTTGGCACCCAGGTGTCCGAAATGAGTCGTATACGCCTGGCGAGCTCCTGATTTGTTGTCTTGTCCTCAGCTGATGCTGCCCACCACCTTAGTGTCTTTGTTGGAGTAAAAATGGAGTCCACAGATAATGCTCCCACTCTGCCCATGTCTTCAGAGATATAAATCCTTTCCTGTCCGAAGAGTGGCCTTTCTTCCCCTAAAGTTTGTGCACTATTCTGCTGCTCACCCTGTTTCCGTTCATTAACCTTATTCAGCAGAAACTGTTTAGAGCGCCGTAGCAGAGCATTACTGTGGCTGTATGATCTCGAAGTGGAAGTGGCAACTGCATGCAGAAAGTGGATCGAGGGCTTTCTCACCCTCATTGACTGGCGCACTGCTACAGACTGAGTTGGCAGTTTCTCTTTGCTTTCATCTCTTGTGTCTACCCCTTTGTCAGTGTGACTGTTTCTGTTTGATTGATAACCGATTGTCCGGGGCTCTTTGGCACATTTGATTTCTGGCTGAAGTACTTTCTTAAAAATCAGTGTTTTGGGAGACTGCCGAGCATCCTTGTTAAGTTGAATTTTACGTTGCCGTGGTGATACTGTAGTCACTGTGACAGAGATTCCAGAGATTTTAACTTTAGCTGGTCTGCCAGGTTTCCTTAAGGTAGCAAAATCATCTCGCTTCTGGCATTTGACCTTGCTGCTGGATTGAGACGAACACTGTTTTGCAGGGCTCACAAAGTTTAATTCCTCCGGCAATTCAATAGAGGCTGTTTTGACATTACCTGAGTTGGTCTTGCAGCTGTGCATTGCAATGCTGCAGTCAGTTTTGGGGCCCGCTGCTTGACAGGCATCATGTAATTCTGTCTGCAGCTGGTGGAAGCCTTCAGACACTGTTCTCTTGTTTCTCCTTGACCTGCCATACACCACTGTTATTTTGAGGTTCTTGTTTGCATTCTCTTCAATGTCAGGTGATAAAACACATGTCATGCCATTTTCAGTTTTAGTGCCTGTGTTTGAATCCGTAGCCTTCTGTTTGCGTGGCCTACCAATTGGCCTCTTAACTCTTTGCTCCAGCTGCGGCCCCAGTTTCTTTGGCCTTCCCGGGCGCCTTTTTGGAGGTGTGGTTTCATGGTAAGTTGATAAGTCACCTGGGGATCTTTGGCCCCCAGGACTAGCTACACCCTTGGTTGGAGTAACTTCACCCGATCTTCTCAAACTTAATTTAGGTGATGAAGAAGGGGACTTAGGTGAGGAGGCAACCTTGGCTGGTGAAGGGGTTGATTTGCGTGGTGAAGGGAGTTGACTTGCTTGGTGAAGGGGTTGATTTGCGTGGTGAAGGAGTTGACTTGCTTGGTGAAGGGGTTGATTTGCGTGGTGAAGGGGTTGATTTGCGTGTTGAAGGGGTTGACTTGCTTGGTGAGGGGGTTTTCTTTTGTGGTGACGGAGCTGATTTGGGGGGTGAATAGGCTGACTTTAATGGTGAATTAGCAGACTTAAGTGGTGAAGAAATACATTTTCCTCTTGAAGTACCAGACTCTGTGTCCTGGCTTTTGTGTTTCTGAGGTACCCCTGACCATGAAGACTCTTCACATGGATCAAAAGGTTCCTCTGCTTGTCCACTAGAACTGGAACCAGCTGATTTGAGACTATATCTGACCCCTTCCTCGTCATTCACTTGTGATACAAACATGAGCTTTATTGGACTTGTGTATTGGACCTTGGAGTTGAGAGAGCTATCAACACATGCAGCAGGTGTGATGATGACCTCCTGATGCGGTGAGGTTTCAGGAGAACCTGAAACAGTCTGTGAGTCCTGTTGTCTCTTTGTAGATGATCTTAGCCTTCCAAAAGGTTTGGCAGCAGTGTCTTTTCCATCTGTCTCTTTGTTTGAGCCGTTTTCTGTCAGACAGTCATTTTCTTTAGTCTGTGGAAGATCTTGGGTTGTGGAAATGCAAGTAGACTTTTTATCCAAGTGTTTTGAACGCCTCGACTTGAGATCAGGTGGAGACTGAGAGGGTTCCTTTCCTGATTCGTTCCTTGATTCCAATGGGGTGTCCTTCATTTCACAATCTTTGGATAAGGTAGCCGATGTACTGGTCAAAACATCATCCTTTCTTTTGTCACTAAAGATGCTTTCAGAGAAACATGCAACAAAGAACATTTTTCTGGGCTCTGTGACATAGGAGGAGAATCGCTGCGGAGGGACAATGTTTCTCTTGGATCTTCTTGAATCCTTGGTGTGGAGTGTTTGACATATTTGCTTCTCTCTAGGACCATGGCAATCTTTATCTGGTGTTTTGTCACTATCAGAAGTTGGATCTGATGGAGAACTGCCTGTTGCACAAAGCTTTTCACAAGTCCTGCCACCCAGTATTGCTATTTTTGCACTCACTGGCATAACCTGGCTTTGTACAAGGTCCTCCGGTGAGCCTTGTTTGCAATACTTGCTCTGCACCTCAGGGGTTTGAAAGCCAGAGATTAAATCCTTCTCCTCTGCAAATATATCCCTTGATTTCTCTTCAGTCTCAATGTTTTGAACTTCTTTGTTCTCTGTTTTTTCATGTATCTCCTCCTTTACACTGATACTTTCTGTTGTGAAGTTTGTCAGTCCTTCCTCAAAACGACTATCCTCAATGGGTTTTACATTTTTAATTTCTGTTTTAGATTCCTCTTCAATGTGGTTCAAATCTGAGGTATGTAGTTTGGTATCAGCCACATTCTCATCTTTCAATTTTGGCCTCTTGGCTGGTGGCTGCTTTTTCCTGCTGTAAGACTGGTCAAACATAGCAAGGTCTCTTTTGATTTTTAATGTTTGCCTCCTGGTTGAAGCATTATCAGTTGGCGTTGCAATAGCAGAAAGCACTTCTTGGCGACGGCGGGATCGGGTATTGGGTGACTTTGGCTCTTTGCTATCATGGCGGTTGAATAGCTCACTGAGACTGTAGTCACTAGCACTACCTGTGTGAAGGACTGTTGTAATGATTTCAGTCAGATGGGAATCAGCATGAAACTGCAAGTTCTGAGAGGATAAAGGAGACTGTGGCTGCTCCTTTTCGGAAGAATTATCAGCAGTAGAAACCAGAGGTCGGTCCTTTTCTAGAGGGTTGATTGTCTCTAGTTTCTCACTGAAGCGATTCACCACATCTTGCAGTGAAGTCCCACTTGGGTTCTGCTCACCAGAACTACTTGTTGGGGACCCGCACTCTTGGTCCCCTTTCCTGTCAATGCTTGCTCCCTGGTGGTTTGCATTTATGGCACCATCTTCCAGCATTAGGTCAGCTTCCTCTTCTTGTTTATGGTGAAGGAGAGAGGGTGGCTTTTCATTAGTTTTCTTATTGATGTCTGAGGAGATAGGAGACAAAGGTGGTGGAGAGGGGGTCTGCTCTCTCTTTAGGACAGGGCAAGGAGGATCACCATCTCCAACCCCTCTTTCTATTGTATTCCTAACCTGCAATGGACAAACATGGTTTGAATAACAGAGACAAGGGCGGGGGTTGTGCTGATTACAGCAGATCGATGAAGAAGGGCATGAACTAGACGCAGCAGTGCACAGGGATGGAGGTTTTGACAAAGAGGGAGAGGACGCAAATGAACACTCTTTGTTGTTGATATGACCTAGAGCCAGGCTGTGGCAGGAAGTGCAGTGCGGCCTCTTGGGGCAAAGAACAGTGTAAGTTTCCATCTTGCAGCTCTGCACACAGCCACAGCTTGAGCACAGAGGGGCTTCGTGTTTACAGCCCGCAATAGCATAGTGACCGATGGTACAATTAGAGTCTCTTGAATTGCACATTGTGCCTCCAAGACCTTGATGTTCACAATCAACTGAAGAGTAGCACCGGCAGCTGCTGTGGACTTTACATTCACTTAATGGGACTGCATTACAGATGACATTATTGTGTGGGTTCACCCCACAGTGACAGCAGATAGAATGAGTTTGGCAAAGGGGTCTGTGATTGACCAATGTCAGCAAGTTCTCCTGGTGTGCCAGCTTTAGGATCTGGTAGATTAAGGAACTGTGTGATGGGCAGAGTGATTTGAGAACGGAATCCAATACAGAGCTCTGATGACACTTGGTCCCTCGCTGTCTCTGATCCCCCAGTTCTTCTGAAAGTGATGGCAGAAGGGAGCTAGAGGCAAAAATAAAAAGATGGAGGTTTTACTATCAACCAACTTAAAAAAAAAAAAAAAAGGAAATAATCATGATTCAAGCAAGATTGACTGTTCAAAGCTACAAAATCACTTGCACCAAATTACTTATTCAAAGATCTAATAAACCTTTTTCTTTAAAATGTTTGCAAACTATCACACCGCCAGTTTGATGTAGTAGTACTTTGAATAAGTTTCCTAAACTAGTTACTGTCACTACAAGCTATTATCAGCCTAGCTCAATAAAGCTGTTCTTTGAAAGGCAATCGGCAAGCACTATTTTAACACAAAATGACAGTTTTGTTGAAATAAGGACAAAAAATGATTAGAGAACCGTTTTATTGATGTTTTGTTGAAGGTAAATGATAACGTTCTGCTTGGAGCAGAAGGCTGATTGTAGAAATGCCAAAATCAAAAATTTTTTCAAAGCACTTTCACCAACAAACCAACATCCAAAAACAAAACAAAAAAAATGTAATAAATAAGCCTCTACAGTTTTAACCAACCAACAGTTCTTGTTATGTCAGGTCCTGTGAGTAATTTTGTTACATCAAATGTAATAACATTGAAACTTCTCAGGTGTTTGATAATTCAGGTACTGCTATTTGCCCCGACCCATCAGGGCTAAACTAGGTCAGATGCAGTATAAGATGGTTACATTCTGTAATGTTACTGTTGAGTTCATTACAAACTAATTTTTAATCACTTAAATCATTATATTTTAACATAAGCACAAAACAACTACAATAGTCAGGGATGTAATTTCAGGATTATATAAATTAAAGAACTTTCAAAGCTTTCATGCAGTTAACAAATACACATTTCGCACTGCATCAAAGTGCCTGGAAAAAAAATCAACAACTACATCAAGCTTTTAAAAATCACAGTTCTGAAGCACAATCAATAAATAAGTTTCCAGCAACAACACAAGACATATTTCTAAATTAAAAAATGCTTTTCATAAATCATAGTGCAAGCATTGATGTATGCATAAATAGCACGCCTCTGTTGACTTGTTAGTTTTCTCAGTCCAAAAACACAACTAATGACTAAAATACTGTTTGGAAAACAAGCCCAAGGGTGTTCCCAGAGTATACTGCAATAAGAGGTTAAACGATGAAATAATTACGCCATTCTATTTCTGAGGTGTTAAGGCTTGTTTACAAACTAGTCCTTTGATATAAATAGCAGGTTATTCCCAGAGTAGAGCTCAGGCTGCACTATGCTGTAGCCCCAGACACAGGCAGTGTGTTCTGCTTTGAGCAGAGACATTCAGGTGAGGAGACATCAGTATTTGTATAGTTGAGTTTAAAAGATTGAAATTCAAATCAATCTGATTAAAAATAGCTTTGAAGGAAAATTTAAATAGCTTCACAATTAGGCTTCAACAACAAATAACACGTACAAATATAACTACAAGAACAAATACTTGCACTAAGAATTTCGTCTTCCTGATTGTAGTTAAGAACATGGCAGACCTCCTGTAATTGCCACTGGTATATAAAAAAAAATCTCACTCCACTACCTGGATCACTTAAATAATCTAACTACGTAGATTGAAGCATTGTTGATGCCAATATATTTACACTGATTGTAGATACTGACAACGTGATATCTGCCTGGCAATGACCTTAAAGACATTGCAAGACGGAAACAAAAATGTTAGACATTTCACAATGTGTCATAAGATAAAAGAACAGTTAGAAACATTGAGCCTTCCATGATCAATTCCACCACCTGTTCCCTGAAGTTGACAAGTAGAAGCACAAACCATCTTCTGTGCACAACTGTAAACATGAAGCATTAAGGGAATGATGTTGCTGGTGCACAGTGATGATTTCTTCTCTTTGTAAGGCATTTACGCATGAAACACAGCCAGTATGATTTACATCACTTACAACGCCTTTGTTTGTTTGTTTACATTCTGGCTCCCGGAAGTCGGTCCCTGCCACTTCGGCTCTGACAACATTGTGCAGAATTCTAAGTACAAGTTATGTATGGCTGGGGACCAACATGGTGGCTTATGTGTCGCTTTCAAGTCATGGCATGCATTTGACTCTTGAATTTCTGAATATGACACACTGATCACTGAAAATATCATATAGTCTAAACCAGTCATCAGATGTTATTCCTTCAGACTTAAAAAGGCTGATGAATGCTTCTAAGCCAATAAGAGCTCACACCCTGGCAGATTTAGTATCATACGAGAGAGTGTGTGACATCCGACACTGGGCTACAGGCAATTTAAGTTCAGAGGTATATGTGGCAATGAGGTTAGAAAGAGAGAGAGAGAGACAGGTGGACTGATATCACAGCAAAACAAATGGAAGCAGCTTTAAGTGGGTTATCCCTGAACTGCTGCTTTGGTAGTAGCACTGTTGATGGAAATAGGCCCATCTCAAAGACAGACATGAGTGTAGATCCAACATTTAGCATTTCCCTAAATACAAAGAGGCCTGTTAGTCTTGCGCTGAATCAAGTAATTGTCACACTGTCAACCTTATACCAAGAATTACTACTACTTCTACTACTGCTAGACCTTCAATAGTCAAAACAGTCAACCATCACGATAGTTAATCTTATTCACTGATTAAAGTGCCACACAATTTAAAGCATGTCACTTTGCAATCATACTACTTAAAATAGCTTCTCTGTTTTAGGTTCGCTTCTTTGTGCCAGGGAAACAGCTGATTAAAGTCTAAAGCAGCAGTCATGTATGAGGTTTACAGTAATACAGCTACAAGAGCAATATCAGTAAATATCTGATTTGAAAAAAACAAACAGATAATTTTTCACAAACACTACGTGTACACAAGACATACATTTCCCAAGCTTATCAGTGCACATTTTAAAACATGCTGAACAGTTGCATTTCAACTACACTCAAAACACTGAGACTAGCTTGCACAAATAGAGGAAAACTATGTAGACACAAAATGGCTTTCTCAAGCAAATCTCTTCAACAAAAACTCAAAACGAGGCTGTTGCCAACACAGCAGTTTAAACTGTACATTCTCCCTGTTTTAGAGGTGTATACTCATAGCGATGAGCTTTTAATCTGTTATAATGGCTGTAAGTCACTTCAGTTGCCCGGGTAAAATACCCAGAGAGAGATAGAAAGCTGCAAATAACAATCATCAAAGCCCACAAGGAGCATCAAGAATAAGTCAAACCTGAATAACCTTAATAATCAGACATTTAGCAAAGGTGAAAGTCACACTTTTTTCCTCCGCTCTAAGAGGTTCGCAGATGTTTTTCTCATGCTTGGTTCTGGATAGTTTGCTGCATAACAATTAGTCACTTTTTTAGCAAAAAAAAAAAAAAGAACAAAACTAAATGAATAAAGAACTTTCTAAAGGTCTTTAAGGATAAAGCTGGTATTGTTCTAACCCCTGATTACCAAACAAACCAGAAACAACTATAGGACTTATCCTTGAATATTTGTCTTTTTTCAGTTATTGATTTATCACCCATGTACATCTGTGCCATAAAAGGAATTTGTTTTCAGAAATTCACTGTTTATAGAGTGCACACCTGTAAACAGGCTTACAAATAGGAAACAGAAAAGTGGATCACGCTTTGGTTTCAAAGTTGATACCCATCAATAGAATAAGTCCCTCAAGTGTTGTGGTCTTTTGGTGGTATATTTCAATAACTAATCACGTCATGTAAGCTATATCCTTAAAGATCTTAACGCTTTGGTGAAAAACTCCTCGTAGTTTCAGGTTTGGAGTGTTGCAAGATGCAGAGAAGACAGCTCCTTTTTGAAAAAAAAAAAAGTACCTCGTAGGGTCATTGCTAGGACCAGGACCAAGCTAGAGTTAATCAGCTAAAAGTATGACTGTCACAGTACAGACACATAGTTAAAAACCTGAATATTGATTTCCATATATTTTGTCAAGGCATGTGTTGTGTTTAAATAAATGTCTCCAGAAAGCATTTATCTTGTAAGAGGTGATGAGTTGAAACGTTGAGGAGTTCAAGAGGCGTTTCGTGGTCTAGAACCTCTTTGATTCAGCAGTTGAGGCAAGAGTCCCTGAGTTAGCAGAACCAGTGGAGGTACCAGAACCAGATGAGACAGAACTGGAGGAATAATAGTTGGCAGATTTCTTCTTGGGCGGGTTCTTCAGTGTCCCAGTGCGCTCTTTGACTTTGTATTCAAGTGTGCTGTGGGGCACCCCATAAACTCCCTGGGCCTTGGACACGCTCATGCGACCTGCCATTACCATCGTGATGGCTTCTTCCAGCAGGTCGTGGTCGTACTGTCGGTATCGCCCACGTTTCTTTCTTGGTTGCTTGTCTTTATCCCGAATGCCTGCCCCATCTTCTGAATCATCCAAAGAGGACCTTTGTCCAAGGCGCTGTGGTGACTGGTCGGTAATGCCAGCACAGCCATGTGGTAAGAAGGGAGGTCTGAGCTTGAAGAGAGAAGAAGGTCTTGCAGTTGCTGTTGTGGAACTGGTTGTACTTTCCACTGATGAGGTACGTTGGTGTAGGTTTTCAGAATTTTCAACTGGGATTGACCTTGTGTGGTCAGACAGGGAACGGACCTGAGGAATACGCAGGGGTGTGAGAGGCTCCACACTGGGAGTGGGGCTTGGTGGGGGCTGGAGGGCATCCCTGAGCTGGGGGAAAGATTGTGTGAGGGTTTTCTGTAGACCGCTTGGTTGATAGAAAGGAAGAGAGGACGAAGGGAAGCTCAAGACTCCATTTTCCTCTGCAGCTCCTCCAATATCCGCCTGTTCTGTCCACGCTGCCACTTTCTGCAGGACAAGACGGGCTTCTCCACCTAGCATTGTTGACATCACATTGTACGACGTGACTTCATCCCTGAAGTCTCTGCTTCTGGGTGCAGTCTGATGAAACATCCCAGATTTCCCCTCAGCCCAGTTGTCCAGAGCTTGCCTCAGGGTGTGAAGAGGTATTCCATAGAGCAGCGCAGCCCGCTGCTCCTGCAGCCTCCCTGAGCGTATGTCCTTCAAAGCTTTGGACAGCAACCCCTCAGACAGCTCCAAGCTTCTCTCTATGTACTCTTCCTTCTGCCTGTGCTGCCTCCTAAGAATGGGAGGACCAAACAGCAGGGTCAGGATGGGAGTGATGGAGGGGTTTTGTTTTTTCAAAGGGTACAGAGGGAGGGTGCAGAGCGAGGGGTCCACTCCTTTATGCCTTGTGTTGGTAACATCACTGCGACTGTTTTTTTTTCTCATGTCTGTCTGTGCTCAGTCTGTTTCTGGGCCCTCACACACACACTGCTGTTGTGTGTCTCTCAGGCACACTTTCTTTGTGTGTGGCAAAGCCTCTTCACGTCCAGGTGGGACAGTCTGTGAATGGCTGTGGTAACTTTGGCGCTCACACACAACCCCTGTTGTTTTGTGATATCCTTTAGTGAGAGTCCTACATGCTTGAAGGTTGAATAATCAAATTCATGGTAACTGGAGTAACAAAAGGAGGTACAATCATTGTGAGTAATGCAATGTTCTCCTCATCTCCTCCTGAGCTGTTTGAAAATATTAAAATACGGTGCCATAGTTGTGACGTTACCGCTCAAGAGATAAAAGAGTCAACCCCACAGAGCAAAAATACCAAGTGCATGCTATCTCTCCATTATCTAACAATGAACTCACCCAACTTGCTGACAACCAAAAGAAGTATGAATAGTATTTTAGCCATTCAGGTGTAAATAAGTTGAATTAATTTAAGCTATGCAGGTGAAACTGTGACTATCTAAAATGCACAGCACTTATTTTGTTAACTGGATGTTTCAACGTTATAAGTGAAGTAAACATGTTTGGAAAGAACCCTTAAGTTCTAGCTAATAGTAAAAGTAGGGCTACTTTGAGTTTTTGCCACAGGGCATGAAAACTATCAAACATAAAGATAAACGCATTACCAGAGTAAAAAGAAAAGTCATACCCTGGGGCCTTGTGATTGGACGCTGAAGATTCTGAGCAGGCCGAGTTTCTTTTTGAGAGGTCGAGCGCACCATCTGTGACAGAAAATCGGTAGATGAACTGGTTATATTCAGAGCTACTAATACAACACTGATGTAATGCTTATCAAGCATTAATGTTAGAGACTAAAAACTTAAAAGAATAATTGTATCAGTTTTGATTTCAGAATTAATTAGATGTGTTTTGTACCAGGGTCACATTCAGTCTCCTTCTCTTCCTGGGTTCGGCTCACTGTGAGGTCCAGAGGTGCATCTGGTGTTTCTGAAAAAGGTGATGAGGTCCTTGTTGTAACACCATGTGTACTGGTGTGGAGCAGGCACTTGGATGCATACTCCTTGGCAAACTGATGTATCATTTTCTGCATCAACTCCTGGGCAACCAGAGGGATGTTGGAATCACAGCCAATGGACACATCTGATGAAGAAGGCCGAGATTGGCAGGGAAATTAAAACAGTGGATTATTGAAACAAGCAGAAACCTCCAGGGAAAGGAACAATATGAGGGGCATCTTTTGTTTGCAGTCAAGTTTGTCTTACATTGGTTTCCAGCTAAGGTTGTTTTGATACAAGATTTTTCATTTCAATGCAACACCAGTTTAAAACATTTCACTTTCTGAAACTTGTTTTAACAAAGACACAAAAATAAGGCGCCCATTTATGATTAATTTTGTTATTTTTGATATCTAATCTGCACAGTCCAAAGTCCTCAAACACAGACAAACGTTTCACATGCTTCCATTTATAAATTAGGAGATTTTATAGTTTGTGGTTATGATAGTATCTCATCAGCAGCAATACGAATCTGTTGTTTCCAAGGCAGTTGAATCCAGTTAGACGTAGAGCACTGACTCAACAGTGTACAAAATAGATGCAGTTTTTCTCTTTGCTCAACAAAATGGACTAACACTCGTCATCGCCAGACTCACCTTTCTTGTGAAACACAGCTTGGAGGAACCTGTAGGCTGACTGGTTGCTCTCAGAGATGGTTGAAGCCTGACAGGGAGAGTAGTCAGAGGGGGAGGAAAGAGGCGACGTGGCAGTGGGTACTTGATCCTACAAGAAAAAGAGAGAATGTTAAATTCACTAACAGTTTTTGTACAATCTGAAGAAAATATATTTTAGTACTCTATAGATATAAAATGTGGAGTGTCAGAAGCAGAGGCAACTAAACTAGCTCCAACTTAAGATGCTTTTGTTGTTCATTCAAACTACAGTCAGTCTTACACTTTTGTCCAGGTGAAGGTTGCAGAAGGAACACAGGGAACAGTTTGCATCTGACGTCCAGTCATCTACCTCTTCAGGTTCACAGTCTGAAAGACACAAAATCACAGAACAGGCATGGATAAATAAGGATTATCAATGATCGAGCGGCTTAACATCTGTTGTCAGATTTTTATTTAATACAATAATTTTTCCAAACGTGTCATTATAGTCATTGCAGATGAGACATTAGTTTTCATCATACGATTCGCAGAATATTTTCAAACCATTATAGCATAACACTTGGAGGGATACACTTTCGCCTAGATTAATGACTAAATTAACACATTAATTTCTTGGATCATGGTATTGGTGTTTCACTTGTGTTATATTGTAGGTTAACAGGCCTGTATGGCTTTTTAGAGTTTACATCTGATAGTTGTTCTCAGGTGCAGGAATTTTCGAGTATTACTGATGGCCAGCATAAAAAAGGTCTACCATAAACTCTACCATTAAGTAAAAAAAAATTGCAGTCATGTTTCATGGATTTTTGTCCAATGAGCTTATCCGAGGCTGCACTTCTTGAAAATTAACTGTAATGGCCTCACTGTTGAACCTCCAGATAATTTATGTCAAATGTAACTCAACCATGCTGTAAAATCCAGAAGGATTAAAAATCACATTTTTATTGCCTTTTAAATAAATAACAGTTACTCATTTGATAACTTTTGTTGCGAACAGTAGATTGTGGCTGATGATTACTAATAAAAATAAAAAGATCAGATCAGTGTGACTTTAAAATAAACTCTTTCAGCACAGTCTGAGATCCTTTCTAGCTCAGTAAACAATCAACTCAATGCTTTATTTTGAGCCTTGTTCAAAATCCAGATAGTAATTATGAAAGCCTTAACACTGTAAATTGAGTTAAGCAAAGTGTATGCTAAACTGTATTTACACCAAACTGTATTACACCAGCCTGTGGAGTTGATAAGAGTGGTGTAGTCTATTAGTCTACTCCACCTGGATGTCAAATTCATCCTAGAAAAATAGAACTGGGCAGAAACTTCCAACAAGATGTTCTGTGCTTTGGTTAAAATTGTTTCTATCAATCCTAACTCAGATTTTTTTTAACATTGCCACGTGGTGCTTTACAAATGCAAATAAAACACTTAGTTATTAAATCAAATATCATTTAACTGGGGCAGTCTGGGGTAAGTATGCCATGTACCAACCCTGATGTTTGTTTCTGCTGTGCTTGACTGCTTGTGTTAAATGGCATGGTAACCTCTTTAGTTATAACAAACAATGATGTGGTGAAATTCAACCCATTGTTTTTACTCACTTACATAAATTTAACCACCTATGGCAACAATTATTCAAAAGAATGCAAACTCTACCCATGTTAGCACCAAAATATGGATACCTAATGATCTGAAATACTAATACTTTTTGGGAGAATTGCAATGGATTGTATTGATTGGAGTATTTGTCGACAGAATACTGTCATTTCAATGTAGTGTCAATTCTAATAGTTTCACAGATATTTGTTCAAATTTTAATTGAGCTAAGTGATCAAGATTTTTAACATATAATTATCAACTGAAGCCCAAAGCTGCCATGCATCAAACTTCTATGTAATGTCAAGTAACTTACAACTGTTTCCAAGAGACTCCAACTTATCAGTATTTCAAGATAAGAGAGCTAATTATCACAAAATGGTTTAATCCTTTGTTCGTTAACATAACAATAGACTGGTTGCTTTGGGTAAAATGATAGGCCAGGCCATGTCAGGCTGCCATTGCTCAGACAGATGGGGTAGTTAAGGAAATGAACCTACCAACAATAGCATTATGAACACCTGGGCAATCGAATCCAATCCAATACAGCCTGACTACAAATTTTTATTTCAAGAAGCTTCTAAATTATCAGTTTTTGTTGACATAATTATTTTACATTCATTATTGAAGACAGTGGGTGTTGTGGTATAGTGCAGTGTGTTTAATTGACAGGTATCCTTTACACTTCATTAACAAACATGTGGAGCAAAATGTCAAGAACACTATTCAATAGAATTCAACTTCTTCAACAATGAATTTACTTTTCTTTTTTTACAGTTCTTTTGATACAAGTTATGATTATGCATGATGCATGTCTGCTTAAGACTTCAGCACTAAAGACATACACCTACCATCAAATAAATTAAGATCTCTCAGCAGCAATGGCCCGTAGATTCCCTCCAAAATGCTTTCAAACCCTGCAGGGGACAAGAGAAAAACACTTGAGTATCGTGGCAAACAAGATTTACACACACTCCATGTAGTTGATGTTTTGCTAATGGGTTTGAAACCCATAAAATGCTTGTACTTGTCGACATAATTCAACAGCAACTACACAGGACCTAAGGTCCTCAGCCAAGGCTCTGCTCACCATTCCTCAGTCAAGGCTGAGGTCCAAAGGTGACCGAGCCTTTTCTTTCAGAGCCCCCACCCTCTAAAACAACCTCCCTGAGGAGACCAACATTACAACTGCTTTATCAACTTTAAAATCACTTTTCAAAACACATTAGTGCTGATGTTTTTTTCCAGACGTTGTTGTAACATTTATTCTGAGCCCAAGGAGTATCATAAGCTCAGCTTTTACATTTTTTGTTGTTTTAACCAAGTCATCAATATGTTGTGAAAGCTTTTAAAAATTTTAGTCATCATATTTCACCCATCTCTCTTATATGTCTGTTGTTTTTCTTCTCTTTTTTGATTCATACAGCACTTTATTACTCTTATTTGAAAAGTGCTACTTAATTATGATTGTCATTAAATAACCGCCTCAAAGCTGACATCCAATGCTCAAAATCCTTAAACTAATGCTCTTTAACACTTTACTGACTTCTTTGAATGTATATTAACACTTTGTTTAGATGATCTTGTGTACTGAGATTAATTGAGATTGTGATTTTACCCTGATCAGAGGGTAATGCGCTAACATTTAAGTCTCCGTTTAAAATAGCAAACAGTGTGAGAAACACATCACCCGAGGCCAGTAGCAAATCTGCTTTTCTCATGTTGCAGTGACATTAGCTGTCCTAGCAAAGCAACAACACTAGCTGCGCTACAGTGCGCATAGCCTGTAATCATGGTAATAGCGTAACAAAACATACAGCAAATGTCAGCGAACAAATCCTGCCAAGGCTTAAATAATAAGTTAGCGACAGATTGTTTGTTATGTTAATAGACGTTTCATGACATCCTTTTAGTCATGTACAAACACTCGACTGAGCTAGCTGGAAATTAGCACGTTAGCTCCGAGGGACAAAGAAAGGAGTCAGCCTGAAAGGCTAGCCAGCTGGTAAATATTAGCCTAACCGGTTCAGTCTACCCTTAAAGCTGACCACCAAGCTAGCTGTCGTTTAGCTAGCTCGAGCTAGAAATTTAGACTAGCTCCGGTTAGCGCTTCTTATGCTAGCGGGTGAAATATCTCCGCCATCTTTCACTTTTCTAAACAAAACAGTACACTTATCGTGGCTCGTACCGACGCAGTGTATCAGTTTGTGTCGCCAAGAATCAAGTTCCCGCCGAAACCCTTTCCTTTCTGCAGAGCATTTGGAGCACTGCACGGTCGCCATTCTTCCTTCCCCCCTCTCTCCCTCTGCTAGCAAACGGCTCGGAGCTTCTTTCTTCTCCCACTGTTTCTTCAAGCTCTGATTATCTCAAATATGGACAAAATTCATGATCGCCATCTACTGGACAGGAGTGTGGCGCATGAGCATAGACCATATAAAACCTACAGTCTACGAGCAAACCTGAGACAAAACAAACTACATTTCTTGTTTTCATCTATTTCTCTCAAAACCCTGCTATAAAAGAATTATACTCTGTTTGATCTTTCTTCTTAAGCTTTAAGTGAACAAGTATGCATTTTATTGAACCCATTTTGAGATTAGACGAGATCACGTTAGGTTTTTGTTATACCTTAATTATTTACAACCCCTGTCCATTTCTAGTTGTGTTGAAAGTGATAATTTTCTCCCAATATGAATGATTTTGTGGTTGTATGCAGTATTCGAGTTGGATTTTATTGTTTGGGACAGATATTTTGTTCTGATGACAGTGCACATGGTGGGAAACAAACTGTCTACCCATTTTATTGTTACTTAAGGACAAAGATAATTATTATATTACATAAACGCTCAGATTGAGATGTCGTTTGGCCATGATACTAAAATCACAACAGCCTCACCAGCACTGCTCACTGATGTCGTCTTTTTAGAAAAAGGAAAATATGTGTCATTTTCACAGATGCCGCCTCACCTTTTTTTTTGCCATTTTAACTAAGTTTTTACACAATTCAGTGGAGCATTATTTTTTTAGGGACTCATGGCATGCAACAAGGGAATTAATTTTTCTTGCATCATGTGACCACTTTGACCCTCCATACTGTGAAATTGCCGTAATATTTCTAAAGTTAAAATAGTAGTAATATTTCCACATTCATTAACAAAAATGGCTCAAGGGATGGAAAGTTGGGATGGCCGTTTTGGAAGGGGAACAATTTTTAATATTTTCATTCCAGGGGGATGCCATCCCCCCTGACCCCCCCTCAACTCGACTACTGGTTATACGGTATAATGGATTGCGAGCTGGTGCGTTCGCTTTCCACACTGAGTGGAGTCAAAACCGTGAGGATATTTCACGGACCATGTACAAAGGCCTTGAACACGCGGTAGGCCTACCGGTACGACTTCAGTCATAATGTCGAGTCGAGACATTTTAACTAGAGTTGTAAAACCATTCCACAAACAGAGAAACCGTGTCAAATCTTCTGTGTATAAATAGTGAGGGACTATCACAGCCCAGATGAAGATAAACCATTAAATACCGCCGGATAAGTCCAAAACCACTGATTCTTGGCTAGCCTACCTGCAGCAGTGGAGCTAGCTTTCTCATACAAGAGGCCTGGCCAATAAAACTGTTGAGTTTCTTTCACTTACGAGGCTCGTGGTTAAAGTTTTTCATAACAGAAGTTTCTCTGTCATTTCTACAGATGCACAGACCCACTGAATTATTGTGAGTTCTCCACGTTGAGACCACAATGAAGCTGAAGAAGCTGAGGGCCTGTCTAATGGAGTTGACCTGGTTGCTGCAGTCTCCATTGCGGCCTATCAATTACACAAAGTTTACAGGTGAGGCATTTCATTTGTTTTTATTCTTCTATGTTGGCATAGTTCATTCTTCACATCTTGATGATAAGATGTACTGCTGCATGCTAACTCATGGAGTTAGTCTTAGCTGTTTCTTTACCCATTAGTCTGTATGTTTGTAGTCTGTATTGTATGGAATTGCCCCCTGTGGGACTAATAAAGAAACATCTTACTTCTATCTAAACCGTTCTACTAGAGAAATTTTTTCATGAGATTCCTAACAAATGAATTTCCCTTTGACACTGTGTAGTTGTCCATCAAATGTAATGAATGGGTTGTACAGTTTAGACATAAATGTGTATATATTTTAAAGAAAAAGCGGAATCCACTGATTTAACAATCCAGAAAATGTGTTTCAGTAAGTGTGGTAGTAGACACAAAACCCCCCGATATAGGTTGTGTGATGGGTAGCTAGTCTTTTAAAGAAGTTACCTAGAAAGACAGAATTTTCTGGTATTTTGTGCCTAATGATTATAGGACTCGCTCAGTACGATTTGCTTTATAGATCTGAAAGGCATGTGGGTCTGAAAAACCTTCGTTGAATGGCTTTACATTGCAACATTGCCAATAACCAGCTTCATCCTGTTTGATATAGTTGAAGGAAAAACAGGACTACACCATATAGAGAACTGTTTCAACTTACTCTGTATGCAACACCATGCAAACTTGGAAACTTTTATATAACAGTGGTCTGTGCACAACTTGTAAAGCGCCTACCTAAAAAGTGTATAACATGGTTCTGTAATTTAGTACGGACTAGGTGATATGATGGCATCAATGTGAATGCAAGGCTGTTCATGTGGAAGTTTATATGTAGCCACACGAGGGCAGCAGAGAACTTTATCAATATCAGAATCAGATAGGTGCTGGGGTATATGAAAATTGAAGTATTTGCAAGGTTGCAATTTGAAATACAGTCCTTATTGCCATTTATCTAGCTCTCTAAACCTCTATGAATTCAGTATCTGTTCACTTCCAGTCTAGTTGATGAACTACATTCTATGGGACCCCACATGCTTTAGTTTTGTCATATTAAAAAAAAAAGAAAAATGTAGGTTATGTTACTAGATGATGTAAAACTACACATCAACCAGTTCATTATCACCTGTACTTATGGTTTTAGTACTGAACTTAATATCTGTTTTGGAGAAATCAAGACATTTTGGGGGGATTTAAATGTTCAGTGTCAAATTAAAGCTGCTAAAAATTGCCCATCCTCATTTTTGATGATACGTGTTTTTGTTAAAAGTACACAATTGTCATGAGAGTGAGATAATCTCTTTAAGGAGTACTGATTGGGCTAAAAAATTAAAATAGGAAGCCTTGTGGTTTTCCCAGTGTGCACTTGTGAACTTGTCTACACTGATGCCCAGGCACTGGACTGTCCAGAAATTTCAGCAGGGCCCCCCAGCTACTTCCCTCCAAAGGCTCCAGGCAGGATAATCAGGCTAACCGTCACATAATGCAGAACATAGGAACAGTAAAGAGAGATTTATGGCGGGTGTGTCAGTGATGGTGTGATGGACAGAGCAGGGAGGTCGATTAGAGAGCATGTGTAATAGAGTTATAAAGAGCAGACATCATGTGATTGAATGGCGAGCTCAGAGGAGGTAGCAAGTGTCGCAGACCCAGGTGGCTTTCGTTGTCACGGTGACTTAGAGCAGGGTTGCCGTGGAGATGATGATGAAAGACAACAGTCTTGTGAACTGCACTTTGGGGCTGGAGCGTGACCAACAACTTGCAGCGAAATGTGCCCAAGGGGACGTAGATGGTTGTGTTTGGGGTCAGCGCAATGTTATGTTTGTTCAGTGTCTTTATTCGGCCTGTATTCAGTGTGACACCCAGGCATTGTACCAAGTGTTCGTGAAATGAGTGGCAGTTTAGCACCAAGGTGGTGGTCCCTCTTCAGCAGCCTTGAGAAACTTTTAACACTTCAGCTACAAACATATCTCATTACTGGAACACCACGCAGTCCTCAGTACAGTCAGTGCCACTCAAAAGTGTGTGTGTCAGTGTGTGTCTGTGTGTGTGTGTAAAGCCAGAGCACTGACTGTATAAGAGCGCACCTGGATCTTGTTAGGAGAGAGGGACACGGTAGCTACACACTTTAATTTCCCTCAGTCTCAGTGCCTCACAGAACCCAAACATAGCAGCTTGAAAAAGTACGTGACGAGCCAGGTTTAAAGTAAAACCACCAGATAAAGCAATCAGCAGAACTCATATCACCCTTGAATAAAACATGTCCTAAAATAACCAAGGCAAAACAAGGATCAATGAAACAGCTAATTGTAGTTACATTTGTTCATCTTTGCTTACAGTGTTTCCCACCTTTACTGCAGCTCCTTTTTCTTTCCTATAGAGGGCAGTGTGGATGCTGCTAGGTTCGAAAGTGTTCAGTAAATAAAATTTGCAGGTGCATTCCATGAGGCCATGGGTTATTTAAGATGATTAGAACCAGTTCCCTGGATACCATAAAAAGAAACACCCCACATATTCAATATAAACAGGATTTAGCTGGTATTAGTAGGGTTTTATTGTTCACACTAACAATTAAAGAGGCTCGGCATGCAGGCTTGGAGTGAGCTCAGTCTCCTTACCCTTTGTGGCCTTGAACTAACTGTGGCGCATGTTTCCCCTTGTGTTTGTATTCTGTAAAAAATTCCTTAATTTGACACATATTGCTGAGTTTACAGCATCGTGGAAGGGTACAAACCACAGTTTTGTTGTACAGTTATGGATTTGGCATCACATTTGCTTCCCCCCACATAAACGATATGCAGTATGGTGTGCAAGAACCAGTGGGGATCTTATTTGATTGGAAAGTGCCAGATATCAGAGAAACACTTCAATAAGGCTTTATGAATTCAACTCCAGGCCTGTTGCAGGGGATCTGGCTATTTTCAAGGAGGTGAATTGTGACAGTTGATGGATTGTGTAAGCTATTTGTGCTAATACTAAAATCCGATGTGTTTAATCCTTTGAACAATGAATGAATGAAAATGTGCCTGAAACTGGGGTGAAACCCCAGGCATACCAGATTTGAGGTGTCCAGGGTCTCATTGAGTTTTTGGCAGCAGCCTGCTGTATAATCTCAGACGCCTAGCACACTTTGAGTGGGGCCTTTTTAAAATGGGATTTCCAAAAACCAAGTATTTAACCCTTTTAAAGAGGCTTGGCATTGTTTTTATGAAAACATATGAAAGTGGGGGAAGGAATATGAACAGGGAGAATAACATGGAAATGATTACCTGGGTGTTTGTTAAGTATGTGTGCTTGAGCGTTCGTACGTTTAGAGTATATATGCATGAGTGTGTGAGGTTAGAGTCCTGGGGTTTGGTATTTTGGTTGGAGAAGGGCCATCATGATTACCACAGAGGTGCAGTATTCTCGTCCCTACAGAATCCAATTTTAACCCTCACTTCAGCTTCCCATGTCTGAACACACCACCACTACACTCACTGTTGTGCAACCGAACGCATGCAGACATCTGTTTGGAATTTTGGCTTCAAATGAGAAATGGTAGTCACTGTATGATATGTTGATATTTATTTGTTTCACACTTCTCTTGGCTTGCATCAAAGATGTACCTTACAATAAAAGAAGTGATAAGCTGCAAAATTGGAGGAATGGATGAAAAAGTTACACGAAGAATGGAAGAAGAGAAGCAAAATAAGACAAGGGAAGTTTAATGGAAGTTGGAGTGTGTGTGGATGTGCATGCAGAGACCCGGAGAGGTGCACCGCTGTGCAGGGAGACATTGAACCGCTGCTGGTTTGAAGAAGTCTTTCATTACCTCAGCCCTGTCCAGCTGGTTCCAACTGACCCCCTTACGCTCCCTGTCTGTCTGAGCTGTCTGTCTTCTGTGCATCTGGGCAGGTCTTTAGGTAAGACAGGGACTCAGTGAGATGTGTGTTCTTCTGGAGGTAGAAAGTAAAAAAAAACAGCTCGAGGGGCTTGTGCAGCACAGCAGCACTACGGAGGATTATAATTAATGCTGCACACAATAATGCACTTGACTTTTAAGACTAATGCACACACACTAACACCATTTGGGGAGGGTGAAGGTGCTCTGGAGCTGGATGGAGGGTCATTTTAAGTCGAGGTGCACAGGGCTGGACCTCGCCCCAGGGATGGAGTGGGGAGGGAGGTAAGGGGGGAAAAGGAGGAAATAGGCAAACTAAAAACACATGCAAGGTCAAGTGTAGTCCTTCATCTAACATATAATGGAAAGGCAAGCTAAGAACAAGCCATGTTGCTGGAAGAGTGGAGTTTTTTTATTCTTTTGCCTGTTTTATGAATGTTTTATGCATGATGATCTGTTTGTGTGTCAGTTTTGTCCGAAAGGTGAAAGAAAATACTGGATCTGATAATCAGTTAGTGTTAACTTCTGCTATATAAGTGTAACAGTCAGGTTATTTCAGAAAAACACTGCCTTTCTTTTTCGTTTTTAGTCTCTCTGAGATCTTGAAATGTACCAGTGCAGAGGATTTGTCACAACTGGATTGCTGTGACTCTTTGTTTCAATTTCGGCTATACCTTCCCTGTCCAATTTACTGTCCCTGCGATCACTTTCAGAGCACTGTGTGGTGGGCTACCATCTGTATTTGTGGCTTATACAGCTCTAACCTCCACTATGTTTGCACCTGAAACTTAAAAAGATCTGGCATTTAAAGCAAGACAAAAAAATTAGAAAAAATATGAGAAATATGTCAAACGACAGCTTTTTCTTTCATTTGGTTGGTGGTCTCTATCAGGCCTACTTTCTTTTAGCCTTAAAAAACTAGAAAGAAGACTCACACAGACTTAAATAACTCACTTTAAGGGGCAGCTGTGGGTCAGTGGTGGAGACGATTGTCTCCCAATTGCAAGGTCAGGGGTTGGAACCAGGTCTTGCTGCCCACATGCCATGGTCTCCATGAGCAAGACACTTTATCCCAGCCGCCTCTGCTGGCTATACCTAGTAGTGGGTGAATGGAATTAGCTAGTGTTGATGAATGTGGTGTGAATGTGTATATGTGACTTGTCATGTAAAAGCTGTATAAACATCGTTCATTTACTCTTACTTTCATAGTACTTTGAAATGGGATGGACCGGCTACCAGTTTGACGGTATGCCAAGCCGAGGTTGGGGAAAAAAATTAAGGTGTCAAAACCACCAGTAGTCATCTCCATACTGTTCCTACAGTGAGATATCGATCAGCCTCTAGGAGGAACTGCAAGTTTTAGGGGCTTCTGTTCAAGCCAGGGCAAAATGATGGAGGACTTCAGGTCAAGACTTAATTTTATGTGATTTTTACCATCTAACACATGCCATCTAACTAAAAACTCAGAAGCCAGGATAGTGCTGAAGAATACTGTCAGAAGTATATTTTTTCTGCTACTCTTGCGTGTAGATTTCACTCAATGCCTAAAAAATTGGTTCTGGGATCAGATCTGAGTAATTCTCTGCATAGACCTGCTGAATTTTGCGGCACAATGTTGTTGGTTCGACTCCTGGCAAAGACCTTTTGCTGCATATTTTCCCTCTCTTCCTACTCGCCACATTTCTTCAGCTGCCCCATCAATGTAGCTAAATGATGCCCCAAAACCTGATCAGTAAACATTAACAAAAAAAAAAAAAAACACACAAAAAACTTACACCAAAACAGCTGTTAAAATGTAGATGCTATGGATATGGCTCTGATCTGCCTTTACTGGATTTAACAGAAAGACATTTAGCATGTGGTCATTAGAGATGAACCAACAAAGACTGGAGGAGCATAATGGCCTCCACACGGGTTCTCACTTGAACCACAAGGCCAGAGGAACCCCATATTGACGGTTTAACTTTAACTGACACTTTCTAGGGACACAGGGTGTAAAACATCTACCGTGCTGGTGTACTTTATGAGCTTGTGTGTACGTTACAGTGTTGTTTTGACTGAATGTGTGTTTCCTTTTGTTGCACCTGACACCCCAGATGGTACTGTCAAGCTGCCCATGATTCAATGCACCGCCGGGCACCTTGTGCGCTGAAGCAGCTCTCACCTCTGACCTGACGGAAAAGCACAAAAGAGGTGAGTCCAGATGATACCACAAAGAAGTTGCATGCTCACACACACACACACATTTTTTTTTTAACTGAAATGAATGTCAATCACAATTCGTGTTAATGTCAAACAGACGGGCCTTACTGTTGATATACAGCAGCAGAGACAGAGATGCAGAAGATGGGAGTGGGGGTAAAAGGCAGTTAAAGAGCTGTCCTCATACATCATCCACCCAGCTGAGCACCCTCAACTCAGACACACTCTTCTCTCACACACATAAACAGACCAGACAAGCAGTAAATACATTGTAGATGTAGTGATAAATATCTGCGTTATCTGCCTGTGCAGGTGTATTCATATACATGCACATGCAAGAGGGACAAACTGTGTTATCTAATGCACTTCAATGTGCATCTTTACAGTGACTTAAAGGAGGAAATCTGTCAAAACAGAGGAGATTGTCTGCGCAGTTTGCTTACTAGCTGTACTTTTCATTGATACCTGTCTGTTTCTGGTGTCTGTGATGGATTTCCCCTTATTCCTGTCTCTCAAATGTCTTCTTTTCTGCTAAGTATATTACCTTGGACCTTTATAGCACACCCCCTCTCCCTCTCTGTCTCTCCTCCTCAATAATAGAACTCGGTTTATAAGGCTCGGCAGACCTGGCTAATCTAACCCACATGCCAATAGTGCTGTGCCCGTTCTCTCTCCCACTTTAATGAAGCTAACACAGACTCTGAAACTGCAGTATGCTTGTGTGTGTCCATGTGTGAGTTGGAACACCAGACCTGGCAAAAAAAATAACCTTACAACTCAGTCTGGACCAGTGATGAGACGCAGCAGGGAAGAGAAGAAGAAAGTCGAGTTTCTCACTTTTAAATCAGTTATGATTTGTACACACTTTTACATACAAACGCATAAACACAAGCTGATCCACACACAGATGTCTCAGCTAATTGATTGCGAGTGTGCGGCTCGTAGAGTCATTGCCCGTGATTGGCTCTAAGTGTGTGGTTTGTTTGTGGCTGACACTAATAGACCACACAGCAGTGCTTCCCTCCCTCCCCCCCTCCCCACCCACACAGACTTAATTCAATCAAGAATCAAATCAGATGCAACTGTTGCCCTGATTTTATACAGCCATGAGAAAAATTGTTTGAAGCTGCTATCAGATGGAGCCGGGGGCGTGTCCTGAGTGTTTTTGACTGGGTTGGCCAAACTGTGGCACTGATAAAGGAAGGGGTGGACACACAAAAATGGCATTCAGCCTGTCTGATTTCACTATCTACTTTATTGATTATCATTTAGGAGTTAAACAAGTTATTTTTGAGGTTTTTTTTTTTTTTTACTGCACGAAGAAAGACAGCAGGGTCCGTAACATCAGGAAAAAAACAGGGAAAACCAATAGTTGGTTTCAACAGTATTCTTGGGATGGCTAGTTGGAGTACAAGGGGGCTGGTACCAAAACTTTTCTTTTGGGTGTTAACAACCAATAAAATAATGATAATAATACTATTACTACTACTACTACTTCTACTAATAATAGTAACAACACTAGTGATAATAGCAATAATACTACTACTAATAATAATACTAATAATAATAACAAAAATAAAAATAATGATAAAATAACAACAAAAATGATAATAATAATGATAATAATAAAAATACTACTACTACTACTACTGCTATACTACTTAAAATAGTAATAATAATATACCCATGTATTTAGTGTCACACAGCTGCTTTTATGCTGAGGTGTTCTATTTAGGATTATTTTATGCTGGTTTAGACTGTATTCTATTTACGGAGATCCAGTGTAAAGACAGGATAAGATTGAGCCCTGTTTTATAAACTCAGACCCACTCTGGTCCCATCTTCAACTACATGAGTGTAGCTCTTAGCAGCATCTCGCATTTAGTCAGAGTTGCACATAAGAACTTCCTTATACCAGGCAGAAACCTTGAGCGGAACCAGACACATGTAAGACAGTCACCTGCCTTTAGTGCAATGGGTTTAGAGAGGGGATAGAGGGAGATGCAAACAGAGGTGAGGTTGATGCATGTAGTTGAAACAGCTGGAGAGTCCACAGCTTCAAAATGTCTGCAGCAGTGATCCAGAGGAACCTGCAGCATGGTGGAGCTCAGGGACTCCCAGAAAAGACTGTGTATTAGTGATTCTAATGGGACATGATGATTTAAAGTTTTTTTGCACCTGCATTTTAAGAGTGTTTTAGAAGAAGACAGGCGACTGCATCTGTTTTTTGTGGGGGGGATCATGCCCTACTTTTGAAACCAAAAGAAACATTTTTCCAAGTTCAGCCACAGAAATCGTCATTGTTAACCCAGCTGTGCTTATAAAAATAGAAAAAGGTATCCATGCACATTAATCTTAAAGATTACATTTCAGAGCATTTCCACAAACTGCCATGAGATCAGGACTGTATAAATGTGCACAAGCTTTTTGCCGATCGAAGCTGGAAGTGTCTGAGTGACTGTGTGCCCGCTGCTCACCAGAATAACACATGCTGTGGCGTAATGCTGGAAATGTCTGTCAGTGAGTGTGTGAGTGTGCTGACTGATTGAGAGTGTGTGAGAGTGTCTAATATCGGCCGTGTCATCTCACACGTTCAGGGTACCCAGCACGCCACCTCAAGATCCAGGAAAGACTGCAGGAAACTAGGATGGGGATGTCCCTGTGTACGTGTGCGTGTGTGAACTGAAGAGTGAGAATTTTTTTATAAGTTTGATGAGAGAAGTGGGGGAAAAGGGTGGAGACTCCTTCGAGATTTCTTTGGCACTTAATCTGAGCGTCTTGAATCTCTGTTAGTTCTGTGCTGATGTCTGTGCAGGCAGCTTGTGTATGTATGTGTGTGTGTGTGAGACAACTGCTGCATGTGTTCGGTCCACAGTTGGTGAGACATCCTGTGGGGCTTGGCAACACAGTAGGAGGCAGCTTACCCTTTTGACTTTGCTGTGTGTGTATTTGAGCGCATATCTGCGAATGTGTATCTGTGCGCACATGCGTGTGCTGACAGGATTTACTATTCGTCAGTCCATCCTGTCATCACCTCGTAACTCTGGGACCGGCTGGGATCCTGAAAAGAGGCAGCTAACGGCCCAAAAGTTGAGTCTTGAGTTCTGCAACATTTGGTTGTAAGAATTCTCTTGAGCAAATACGTTTCGCTTAAATAGCACAAAATTAAATTAAACAAAGTAGAAACCCAAATGGTTACACTGTACTCAATCGAGTAAGGCTTAGGATGTACCTGAAAAAGCTTCATTATCTTTTCAACCAACGCCTCAAAAAATCTTCTGCAAACAAATCCGTGAAGAAAATGGTCCTTGAATATGCCTCAGTGTTTTGTGTGCTTTTGGAGAATTCAAAATACAGAGGCCCAGAGTCCATGGAGAAATGCTTAAAAAAAGGTACTGACCTTGCCCCTGCTATTCTGACAGGGAAATCTCTTCTTTTGCAGCTGCAGTGACGCAATAAAAATGTGATTCTCAGGGCCAATATAGTCTTTTAGCTTGTCTTCAAAAATTCACCCACGTTGCTGTCCTCCATACTGACTCTTGACCCTGTCATATTCCCACAGTGTCCCTTTTGTGTCTGAGGATATACTCAACAAATTAGGGCTGGGCGATATGGGAAAAAGTTTACCATGATATACTTTTTTCATATCAGTCTTTATCGATATATATCATGATATTAAAAATGAAATTTAACAGTGCTTATTGGTAGCATGTCTTTTGCAATTCAATAAGCAACTGCATCTGTGAGGTCTTTGTGTCTCCTCCATATTTTGTCGTGAGGCATTGCAGTAGAGAAAGCGGGCTGAATGGTCGGCTGCACAGGCGCAATGGGCTACCTCCTCCGCTCGGGGTTTGTAAACTTTTGCATTGCGCGTGCTCTGCCGCATGGTACTGCTTCAGGTGGTGAAAAAGATTTGATGTATTCCCCGACTTTGCGAGAACGTGTGCTCGACATAATTTGCAGTGCACATGACTCTGCTTCATGTCCGACCTCAAAATACCTCCACACCACTGACGTTACAGTGCTATGGTTGCATGTAGCTGCAGCCTGCTACTAAGCAATTGTTTGCTACTTGGTTCTTATTCAGCACATGACTGGTTCAGCGCAAAGTGGACCCCGAGCATGTTTTAGATTGATGTTGAGGAAATTGATTTTTGATATATATTGTTATCGTTTTATCACCCAGCCCTACAACAAATGTAAATAAATAGTACTAATGAGCACTGCTTATTACATATAGGCTTGAAGTTGATGCTTAAAATTCTCCTTTGATCCCGGGAATGCCCGCTCTACAAGAAGTGTAGAGGGTATAGAAATGGTCTCAGCCAAAGCTCAATGAAAACTAGAACTGTTTGGAGTTTCACAATCTTCCCTCTATCTCACATAGAGACGACCAAAATAGGCACGAAAACACCATAAATTTCCTCAGAACAACTTGTGCACCATTTCCCAAGTGTCTTCAAGCCAAATGATTGCAGTACACATCCAACTGGCCACAGTTACTTTAATGTGTAATATTAATTTGTGCTGGGAGGAAGTTGTGTAGAGTTTCCATTGACATGAGAGTGTGTTGAAGAGCGAAAGTTAATAACTAATATTTCTGCCCATTAACTGCTCATTAAAGAGATTGTTAAAAATGATGAGCCTTTTCTCCTCCCTGAGATATGAAACTCCAGGATGATGCAGATTTGTAAGCAGGCTATACCAATCACAGTGACTTTCCCGTCTCCTTCTCTGTCGGCTCATTCAGTCATGATGTGAATACAACAGCAGATTAACAAAAGGGAGAGCGAGGCAGAGAGAGGGAGAGAGCGAGAGAGACAGGATTGTCTGGAGCCTGTCAGTTAGATAGATAGATAGATAGATGGATGGATGTAGATAGATGGACAGACAGATAGACAGACCGACATCAGGGGTTGTGATGTCCCTGGAGAAGGTGATGTAGTATTCTATAGTCATTTTGGGTCTAAGCTGCAGAGAATACCCTAAATATCACCAACTGCATGAATGCATTACACAGAAATTTAAATTCAACCATCACCTACTTAAAGGTGGGGTGGGCAGGATTCTGTTAAAGAAGCATCTTTTTTGTGGTGTTTATACAAAATAGCTTTTAATATCAGTCAATAACTATTAGTTATTGATGACATTTAGGAATATCATGATATCACTGTGTTCTGTTGTGTGTTTAGTCAACATTTAAAATTTTTTGAGTGGCTGACTCTTTCTGACTGTAAACAAAGCCTTTCTCCGCCTCCCCCGACCTGATTGGTTGTAAGGCAGATGCTGCTCCCTTGTGTTGTGCGTCCTTGAATAATGTTTACAATCCCAAACAAAGTTAGCGTGCTACAATATCAGACTGTAGAAAACCAACAAGAAAGTACAAAAAATTATCTGAATCCTCCTTCGACCAAGACCGCCAACACAAGCAAGAAAACTAAATACTGGAGACTCTGGCGGAATAATAGGTGCTTGAAATGGAGGTAGACCAGACAAGAGCTAGAAAGCCGGGTCAACATCAATGAAGCATAAATGATAGGGGACGCTTCGGGATCTTACAGACCCTATAACCTTTCTACTGGACAGGTAAACCACTCTAACAAAGTAAGACAAGTGTCTCTAACAGAAGTGTTTCTTGTCAATTGAGACCTGCCGCATGTTGTAGCACCGCTAAACTGTTGACCTCGGGTCCTGGAGTATGTCACTTTATCCTAGTTGTAGAAGTCCTGCAAACATTGTGTTTGCTGGTAGTCTGTTGGCATCAATGCTTTTTTACTTTCACGTTGACTGGGCCCCATTTGTAATTATCTGAAGTATTTATCTGCATTATATCTGAATATAGTTGAAACGATACGAGCGAGCAGGAGGAGCTGAGGGGAAAACTGGTTGGGAGGGGTAGTGTTTACATTCAAGATTTCTCCCAAAAACTAGCACTTCCTCAGTTCTTGCCCACCCCACCTTTAATCACTACGGATGCATGACCTAAACAGACTTAAACTAGTTTTCCTGTTTTGTCTCTTTTTTTTTGTCTTTTGTCCTTAATTCCTCACAAGTTGTGTAAATGTCAGAGAAAAATCCAAACTTTCAGACAGATGTATTCCTGTGATCTATCCCTTCCCACCGCTTACCTCTCATCACTTTTCTTGCACACGTCAGAGAGATCGAAATGTCTTCCAGTACTTCTTTTTCTGGAGGAGAAGTGATAACACGAGAACGTCGACATGTCGAGATGGTTCCTCTGATAGTGCTTGGAGGGCTGATTTGCACACATGGTTTTACTGATCTACATCTGGAAGTTGTCTGGAGATTATCTTCATACTTTGGATTTAACATAGAAAAGCGGGGAGATTACACGACTGAAAAGATGTAGGGTGAAAAAAGGATTTTTAATGTTGACATTCTACGTTGGATACAAGGTCCAACATCATGTCAGCAGCCTCAAGTGTTCAGATCGAAGAAGTCTGATGAAACTCTTCCTTCCAGTGTGTGTATTCTGCTCTGTAGGCTCACATACATGGGTGCCTGTACGCCTTAGCCTATTTAAGTGCACGCTGGCAGACAGGTTATTGATTTGCGAGGGTGAATTTGTGTTAAAATTCAAGGTGGGCTTTCTGTCTTGTCTGTTCCCCTTGGCCGACAGAGCTCCCCATAGATCTGCATGCACTCTACACACCCTCTGTTCACTAATTCATTAGTTTCACTCTCACACGACTATCAAACACTATCATCTGGCATCCAAGTAGCTGCTGAGGCAAGTCTGCAATTTCACCTTTGGGGGAGGAAATGCACAATGCAGCATACCAAATGCCATACAGATGTAGAAAGTATAGAGCTTGACTTTTTTTCCCTTTTCATTGAGCGCAAACCACTGCCATACTAATGGTGTTTCTGAACTGATTTATCTGGAGAGTTACTGTTCTTAAAATAGATTGATAGATAACATTTAAAAATACAAAGTCATTCTATGTGATCTGCATATTCTTGACTATAGTTTGGTGATGAGAATATATCAGAAAATCATCTGCTTAGATCAGGGCAGAAAGAGAGGCACATCGGACCCCGGCTTCCCTTGCAGAATTTTGTAAAAGTAGCGTTCCTGGAAATGCTGTCGAGTCAGGAAATATGTTTCTACCCAGTGAACCAATCACAGGTCTTGCAGTCAGCGCTGTTTTGACATGTAGTCCTGTGTGATGGACTTCATCTGATCTACACAGTCTCTTTCTACCTCAGAGAGAGTTTTTGACCTGCTCTTTGTGAACAACTTAAAAAGATGATTTGGATGATGGTGGCATTTATTATTATTTCATGATGGTGAGGATTTGTTCTTTTGTTGCTGTGGTAATAACATAAAAAACCTGCTTTTTATAAACCTTGTGCGTTGCCTCTGGCAGTGGATGGCATGACCTTCATTCAACTGGACTTGAAGCTGTTGGTGTCATTCACTCATGTGGTGTTGTTTTCCTCCTGTCTTGATCTTTGCTTGCGTTGCACTCATAGACTGTATATAGAATAGGCGCTGTCTGCCTCCTCACTGGGTGAAGCCACTCCGAGAACAGCACCCTCTGGTGATGGGCTGCAGTATAGGTCATAATTCCTCCTCTGCCAGCAAAGCTAATGAGGCTGTGGACAATTTATTTACATAGAATTTATTATACAGAATATAACAGGAATTGCTTAGCTTATATTAGAGGTGATAGAGGGAGTCAAGAATTAGGATTGACTACAGAGAGGTTAGATTAAGGCTCTGCCTCCCAGACTCCTTTTTTTTAGACTTTAGGTACCACATGCCCACCTGCATTCTGTGAGATGAGATTTTCAGGGATAACAAGGTACTAAGAGCTCTTGTACAAAAAATGGTTCGGTATTGCTGATAGCAGGCATGGTTCCCAATGTTGACAGGGCTCAAACCCTGTCCAGACTCATCTGTGCGGGCTTGTCAGCTGTTTAGCTATACGAGAATAGTTGGTATTTGGAGTTCTGGCCAACATCTGCAAACCTTAAGACAAGAGATCATAAAAACTCTGAGGGGAATACAAAGTTACATTTGCAAAAAAGAAATGGAAATGAATGCAAACTGATGGTAAAAGAAGAGGATAACTTGTCTTCTGGGAGTCTAAGTCTATGGTGATGTAATCAGGGGTGGTCCAAAGTATGAGGCCTGAGCAATCCCCAACTATCAGCTTTATCAAAATGAAGATGACTTTGCTTTCTCTCAAAAGTAAAGCAACTGTCTAACCTCTGGACTCGGTCTGGTAGATGATTCCATGAAAGAGGGTCCGATAACTTAAGGCTCTACCTCCCATACTACTTTTGGAGACCTATGGTATCTCAAGCAAGCCTGCAGTCTGGGAGATTGTTCAAGAAGAAACTTGTGAAAATAATGCTGTTGTAGAAATGACTATGCTTGACTGCGACCAGACATAATCAAGGATTTTAGCAGAATTTGAACTCTTTTACTAATTCTTTGTAACTAAGAAGAGAGCTCTTTCCTTTTTGCTCTTCCATACTTGCCTTATTTCTTCAGACTGGGAGTTGTCGTTTGGTAACTCCCTCTTGAACGCCGTCTCTAAAAGCTGAGTTAAAAGAGAGCTTTGGCTGATTCATCCTCCAAAGCTCTCTGCCTGTCTCTCCCAGTCAGTTCAGGGACAGTTGCGGGGAGGAGTGCCCTTTTGAATGCCGACCTCGTTGGGAACGGTGACCTCCGGCAGGTTCAACAGCCACCGCAGCAACATAGCAGTCCTGTCATCTCATCCGCAGGGTTTGCATGGCTAACCACTGCCCAGCAAGCAGGATGTTTGTGTGTGGCTGTATTTTTGTGCACTAGAGAGAGGGAGAGTGTATGAATGTGTGTGTCTGTGTGTGTGTTTGTGGTAGTTTGAAGTGTGCAACTGTAACAGTGAAGCTTTCTAAGTGTGACCCACATAAAAGGTCTGAATGAGCCTCAGGACTCTGAACATACATGCCTGACAAGAACACGCGGACCTAACCACAAACTATCATACAACACACACAGGCTCTCTCTCTCTCACACACACACACACACACACAAACACACAATGGCCGGTTGTTCCCATGGTGACTATGTTCTAGTGAGTGGGATTTTCCAGGCGGCGTCCGGAACAGTGGACACTCCAGAGGTTGTCCTGGAAGTCTGCTTTGATCCAAGTGGGCAAATCAACCCAAATCTGGGACAATTCCTGACACACACACACACACACACACACACACACACACACACACACACACTTGCCCTCAATGGCCTTTTTCATCTGACCAACAGAACGACAATTGCTGGACCCTTGATGATAAAAATGATGAGGTGATTTCTCTGTTAATAACTTAACACTTTTAACAAGTCGTCTGATTTATTGTGGTTGTAGTAAAATATCACAGGCAGCATTAACTCTTAAACCTACATAAAATAAAGGTGTCTGACATGGCGATGACCAAAAAATGTCTATAAAAGTCACCTAATTGTTCAGGGTTCAAGCCTCACCACTGGTCCTCTTGGAGACAGAACAATCACACACAAAGCAGAGCTGCTTGTAGTTGTCTTTACGATGTCCTCAGAGAAAGGGTGGACTAGACACTACTTATAAAGCCTCTGTCTCTCAGGCTGACTCAGACACCAGATTTTACAGAGCTGGCACTGCTTCACATGTATGTGTGTGTTTGAGAGTGAAAGTGTGTGTGACTGCGAAGACGTAATGAAAGTTAGCATGTTTTTACCTCTTCCTACTGACACATTTATTGTCTGTCTGAAATCTGCGCCGAAAACTCAGACACGCAAGTCCAGCTGAAGTTCTCACCACACAAATTTACAGTATAGAAGACTGAGAGGGGATGACACACACACACAGACACAATTGTTGAAAGGCAAAGTTTATTCTTGAGCAAATCTTACAGTCATGTTTTGAAAATAAAACACAGGAGCGATACCATTACAAAGATATAAATAAGCACAGGAGACAGACAACAAATGACACACAATAAGTGTAGACAAGTTAGCAATCGTCAATGTGGAGAGGTTGTTTCTACATAGTTACAAAAGTTCAATTTCAAATGGCCTTAGTGTGTTATTTTTAAGTGTAACTTTGTCGTTATCTGCCAACTAACAATTGTTCATGGTAATAATTTAATGTTCTTGCCTCAAGAGTCACAAAAAGTTTATTTTGGAGTTGCAACATATCTGCATACCACAAAATCTTGTTCTCGAAATCATGGTTTTAATATGACAGTTATAATTTTGGAGCGAGTTTTATCCATTTAGTTGGTCAGAAAGTCTCTGCGCTCCTGCCTTTCATCAGCATAACTAAATAAATTGTAAATGATTGCCCAACTTCCACTTAATTTATCACACATTATTCATCTGTCATTTTCATTTTTGCCAGCTGGACAGCTGTAACTGTCTGCGTTTGTGCATGGGAGGGGTGTGTTCATATTACCGTACTGGACTGGCACAGATCTCTTGTGTGTCATAACCCCACTTTCACTGTGAGGGGAAATTTCCTGTAACTTAATCCTCAAACACAGGCTCGGTGTCTGGGTAATGTTTTCGAAAAGTCACAATTTAGGAACTCTGTCAGACACAGCGTGAATATCTGAAAATAAAAATGTCAACGAAGAGGTCGGATCTATCTTTGTCTGTCTGGAGGAGATCTCACCATCTCTCTCTCTCTCTCTTTTTTTCTTTGCGTACGAGAACACAGATTCTTCTCATTCTCCACATGGTCATTTCCTCTCTACTGATTGACGTGTCCTGTTGAGGAAACAAAATAGAGCTAGTTAACACACTCACCTGGAGGGATAGAGTATCACAGGCACAGAAATACACACACAGGTCAGGAGTGGGGTCACTGAGAGAGAGAGCTTCCTTTTGCAGCTGAGAGAGTTGAATCTCAAAAGAGCAAAGAAGAGAAACTAACATTGCTACTGCATTTACACTTTTCTATTCATATGAAATCCTCCTGAAATAAGTTACATTTGAAAGAAGGAAGAATCCAGGGAACAGAAAAAAAACACTCAACCTCCTGTGAGGGGATTTTTGCTTCCCCACCCACTTCCTAAGTGTTGTCCCAATCTGAGAACATAACTGTGAGTGCTTGTGTGTGACACAGATTTGTACAGAAGATGGTAAGACAAAAATCTTTCCATAGGTCGAATATTTATTTCATTGAAGTTCACTTCTTAGACCATTTAATGTAGGATCAGCTGTCTTTGAGAGTGCAAATAAGACAGTAATGCTGCGTTCGAGTTACCTCGGAGGTCAGAAGTCTGAGCTGAAAATGACGTCACACTGGAGTTACCGGCGTTTCAGTTACCAAGTCCGAAAAAAACAAATTCTGAGGCTGAAACAAGATGGCTACATCTACAAAAGTTATTTTAAGTTATCTACGAAAGTTATTTTACCTTACATTCGGACAAGGCAAGCGCTAAAATAACTTTCGTAGATGTAGCCATCTTGTTTCAGGCCTCCAATTTTGCTTTTTATTGACTTGGTAGCTGAAAAAGTGGGAACTTGGATGTGACGTCAATTTTTTTAGCTCCGACATCTGACTTCCGAGGTAACTCAAACTCAGCATAAGGTCCTGGTGCAGTTTAGGAGAATGTCTGCTGATGCAGGATTTTATGCTCTGGACCTTTGAAGTCGGATGTCGGAACTGGCTAGACGTTACAGCCGAGTTGACGGTGTTCCAGTTAACAAGTCGGAAAACCGAGATGGACGCCTACAGTAACCCTTTGTTAGCTGTTGTTTACAATTGTTAGCTGTCGTTAGCCGTTGTTGTTCGCTAAACCAGTTGTAAACAACGTATAATTCAGTATTTTACTCTTACAAACACCATAGCACCGTGTTCATAGTTCGATGTTGAGCAGTACAACATATCTCACTTGTTTAATTTCAGGAAAACAAAACAGAAGTGCTAATAAATTATACATTAGGAGAGCTTTCACTGTTACTCTTTACTGTTGATGCACTGTGCTGCCATCTTGGATTATGACGTTGTCGCCAAGTCGGGGTTGGTGAGGATCATCCGACTTTCCGAGTGGGAAATCTGACTACAAGGGGGCGTTCCAGATGAATTTCTGACTGGGAGCTCAGAGATTCCGACTTCCAAGTACAACTGGAACGCGGCACAAGTGCACCTTTACAATCCTGTATAATGATCTAATCAGTATCAAGTGGAGTTAACTGATTTAGTAAGACTTCACACCATGTTTTTGTTGTTACAAGTACCAGTAATCAACCCAAACTGAAGTATTTTTGACAAGAGAAGTTGTGATGCTCAAACTACATCAAACTGAAACAGGTTCACAAGGTTAATTATGTGATTTTATTGTTCCCATGACAACAAAGATTTAATAAGAAGTGCAGTTGGCCACCTGGCTTATTCATTTGCTTAATTGGGACACAGTGTTGTTAGAGCAATCATCTGGGGGTCAGGTGATGCGTTTCTTCATAATTATTTTCCTGTCATTTTTGCCTTAATTGGATAAGTGAGCTGAAAATAGACAGAACACACAGAGAAGAGAAAGCTGATGACATGAAGGAAAGGGGAGCGGCTAAAATTTGCCCCCAAATCCAATATATTTCGAAAAGTAGGCCTATACAGTTTCCCAGTTTAGCTCATGTAGGAAGAAAGAAACGTTTCACAAGATTCTGGAATATCATAAAAGTTTCTAACAAGTTTCTAACTGCAGCACTGATTTGAACCAATAAGTCAGAATCAATTTAATATGAACAAGTTATTAGATTAGTTCAAAGTTCAGATCATGTTGTGGTCACGTTCAGGAAATGACCTGTCCAGTCTGTTAATGTAAGAGGAGACAGAGCCTGAGGGCACCTTATCAGAGCCATCAACAGGTGGGCTCTTACTTTATAGATGCAAACACACACACACACACACACACACACACACACACACACACACACACACACACACACACACACACACACACATGCATGCATGTAGATGCACATATAAGTGAAACCTCTGCACAAACGCCCCCAGGTGAAATACCTGAGAGCCATGGACCACAATCCCTGCCCCCATCAAACACACACACACACACACACACACACACACACACACACACACACACACACACACACACACACACAGATTCACTCTTTCTTTCAAACACACACTCCGCTTCAGTCTCGCATACCTCAGAGTAAAGCGAGCATATCGGAGCACTTGCAGCGCACCCCACAGCCTACCCTCCCATTTAATCTGATTTCACATTCAGAAAATACAGGATCCCACGCATGCCACACAAGCATACTACATACACTCCAAGCACAGACACAGACACACAGCTAGAGAGACAGGAGACTGCAGGGCGTGTAGACTTTCTGCTCTGAAGTCTTGTGTAAATACCTGGACGTAATCTCCCAGCTTAGATGAATCCAGATGAATCAGAACCTGCTCTCACAGTTTCCCTTACAGTCTGCTTCACATCACCGTGTGAACTCTTCTTGGCCACACTGAAGTCCGCAGCTCGCTAATAGGAACCTGGCAGCTCAGTTGTGATTCTGCGAGTGAATGTGAGCTTTCTGCGTCGAGCATGATTGTTACATGATTGCTGCTTCTTCTGTGTAACCTGACCCTCCAAAGAACTTGTGTGGAGTATCCAGAAGCCATGATTTTGATAAAAGCCTTTTCAAGCTCTCCGTGGCCCGACTCCAGGCTGCCAGTTCACTAAAAGTATCCTGCAGGGGCAGATTTCAGGTCAACTGAGAACAGACCGAGGTGCATGCTCTTAGGAGTTAAAAATTGCTTCATCAGAGACCTTGTTGTCCTGTCCTGTCTTTTTTGCTACCTCCACCAAGGAGGTTATGTTTTCGGTAGCGTTGGTTTGTTCGTTTGTTTGTCTGTTTGTCTGTTAGCAACTTTACGGAGAAAGTTACAGACGGATTGACCTGAAATTTTCACCAGAGGTGTGTCTCAGCCCCATTAAATTTTGGTGGTGATCCGGACAAAATTCTGGATACTGTGATCCAGAACACACAAAAAAAAGGGTTGTTGGAATTGTCAATGCTGAAAGATAACCAATGGGCGGCACAGTGGTGTAGTGGTTAGCACTGTCGCCTCACAACCAGAACATCCTGGGTTGGAATCCTGGTCAGGGCATTTCTAGTTTTAGGAACATTATAAACAGTGAACAAACCAGTTTAAACACAAATAAACGTTAATAAAAGACACGTAACAGTAAAAGTTTTGGTGTGAATCACAATATAAGAGGGGACATGAGCTGCTTGGCGGAGGTCTGCGCTCTCCGAGTGCTTTTCTAATTTGTTTTGTTTTTCCTTTTTTTTTGTCTTTTACCTCTACTTATTCACCTGTAAAAAAACAGCTGCAGCTCATATGCTATAGAGTAGGGCTGGGCGATAAACAGAAAATTTACCGATACTAAATTTCACGACAATAACCGACGTCATTATGCCCATGTCAATATTTTCGGTGTAAAATAAATGAATAAATAAAAGTTGGTTTTGGAGACGTGACTCCACCCCATCCAGTCAGTAACAAGGAGGGAAAGACAGGTGAGGAGATGGAGGACGGTTCAAAAGTTGTAGCAGCTGAAGTAGATGAAGTTAATGTGGGAGGGGGTGAGCAGCTTGTGGAGTAGTTATCATCTGTTTATCATTATTGAGGTGAACTGCTCAGTATATCGTGATATTGATTTGAGGCCATATTGCCCAGCCCTACTGTAGAGTCAAGAACTGTAACATGAACAGTTTTTTTTCTTGATTAAGAGAAAGTGGAAATGCTTGCAGGACTTTGGCTGCCAGCTGATGTTTAAACATCTCAGCTGCACATTCAGTCTTTACACTCAAAATGTTAATGAGCGCAGCATTGTATTTAAGAATCTGTAAACCGGCTGCTACAGCTGTGATAATTAGTAAACACATTAAAGAACCTACAAGACTTTAAAGTTGAGCTACTCTCAACACTTTGTGTGTATTGTAGCAGAGACCTTTGTATCCTGAACTGCTGCTGTGCCGCAAGATGAATTTGAACTTTTTCTGCATTCGTTCTCAGTCAAGTGTGATCACAGCCTCGTTCTGGTTCTGCACCCAAGATTTCCCGTCAGTGATGCTTACAGCACATTATCTTAGATTGTAGATCATCTATCACTTGTACAATAAGAGCAATCACATATCAGAAGAGCAATCCCCAATCAAAGATTTCCTCGAAATCAGTCAGAGAAAGCAGAAAAAGGTCCTCCCTAATCCTCCACGATCTCGGTCAGATTACTTTTTGTGATTGTCATGACTGTATTTAGAATGCAGCCCTCAGTGCTGGTGAGTGAAAGTGCTGTTTTCCAGCTCCACACCCTGTGAGAAAAAACCCTGTTTCCCTCTCTCTTCTGAATGGAAAGTGATTTTACATTCTTTCCTCAGACAAGAGGATAGAAGGGGGAGCCGCAAAGAGGAAAAGATACTCTAATGGCAGTATCAGAGCACAGTAATGATAGATGCAGGTTTCAAGTCTGATCCATGGGGAAACATATGCGGGGCATGATGGGATTGATAGAACTATTAAGGCATGCTTTGCTGCTATTGCTCCTGTGCTGCTGCTGCTGATGAGGCTGCTGATTGACGGCCCGGCCTGGAGCAGCCTGGTGAGGTCAGGTTTCGGGGATGAGATCCATTTACCTTCATTTACATATCAATCTAGCAAAGTGGAGAGCGGGGTTATGTAGGAATTGTCATTTTGGAGTGTCATGTGAGTGTATTCCCGGATTTGTGTCCTCTATATGAAGGATGTTAATTTCTGCAGTCAGGTACAAAGGTACAGACTGTGTGTGTTGGAGGGAGGGTGACAGGAAGAGAGAAGATCTTCCTCCTAACGGATATGATGTTTGACATTTCATTTACCGAGCCTGACCGGTGAGGTTAATAATGCTACAAAAAGCAATCAGGGCTATCTGCTCATACATAGCACACGCGCAGGTACAACACATGCGTGTACACACACATACACACACACACTCAACGTAATGCATTCCAGTCATGTCAACCTAGTTAAGTGGTCCTAAATAAGATGTCATTTTATACCAGGAATTTTAACCGTCTACAAATCTCATTCCCCAAAAAAGTAACACACACACACACACACACACACACACACACACACACACACACACACACACACACACACACACACACACACACACACACACACACATATATTCTCGACACTGAAGATATATGGCAGGTCTGCTGTGTGGGGCTGATGGTTTGGACCCCTTCACTTAAGATATATTTGTCAAATATTTGAGTGGCACTTTCCAAGTTCAACAACCACAGCCACCATGAACATGCCTGAGTTACCACAAGGGCTGTTCCTGGTTCAGGGTTTTTCACAGTGGGCACTGGCATGAATGGGGGATGGGTGTAGTCTCTTTCTCTATGGTCGGGCACTGTAGTTATTATTGATGGATTTTTATTATAATATCAAAGATGAATGTGAAACATTCTCTCTTCTGCCCCGTCAGTACTGTAGCACAAAAGCTCAGGAGGTAACCTCTCAAATCACTTTAACTGATTTTTGCTGTTACTTTTTAAACTCTGTAGCTGTAATGGTTTTTCAAACAGAACTTATTGCCTCATATTGACTTTGATTACAATATAAATATTGCAGCTTTCCCACTACCTTTAAAAAAGTCGCTTGAGGCAGAGAATTGGTCCTGTAAATTTGTGTGACACGCCACTGCTGATTCATAGAAGCACCCACAGTTCATCGAGGTTTTGGAGCTTTAATAACACAAAAACGCTTCTACAGTGGCCAATGATTTACATGCGCCCTAAGATGTAATATGTGTACACTTTGCAATGTACAACGCAACGCAAACAAAGAACATAAACGCAGTCAACAAAAAATACGGCTACCTAGAATCACCTCTCCATCCCAGAGCAGGTGAAACAGCCCCTCATATAACCCCTGGGCTTTCAAACACAGTGCCCATGTGACCCGAAACTCAGCGAAACCAATGGCAACCAGACAGAGGAGCTGTGGACAAACTTTAGAAATTTATTACACAGTATATAAATTTTTCTCTCGTCTGCTTGTGATGTTGACATATAGTTAGTGTAAGACTCGTCTGTGCTCAAGTCCTCTTTTTTTCTGTACAGCTCAATTTTTAAAAGTTATTAGGAGGTTCATGTTTTCTATGATTGACACTTGATACAGCCTATGGGTGTACGAAGATTTAGTAGCTCACCTGAGGGATACGCTTTTTGAGCCAAGCGTCGTCATCTCTGCGACTCTCCCGCCGAATGCGTACAACGCTACTGCGCAATGTCAGTTTCAGGAAGTAGAGAAAAATCACGGAAATACTGAGAGATTTTTGGCTTCAAATCCGTATACTGGCGGAAGGCGGAACCAAGTTGTCCATAGTATATACAGTCTATGTCTGCACTGTTTTGATTGAATCATGACCTACATCAATAGAGGTTTTATCACAATGGGGCTAATTTACGTTATATTTGCAAACACAAGCATTTGCACTGCCCTTTTTGAAGCATTGCCGTACTTCACACTGCAGTCTCTTTTTTCTAAACTAAACCACTTCTGTAGCAGGTAGTTCTGATTTGGATAATTTAGTGAAAATTCTCGACTGCAATGTTCACACTCACATGAGCCTGCAACAGTCCGTGTTCAAAGAGACGACTTATATGTTTGGACAAATTGTTCCTGCTTGATGACTCAAATCATCCACTTTCAGAGAGAGAGAGAGAGAGAGGAAGAGAGGGTTAAATTCTGTGTTTCACTATAGCACACACACACACAAACACACATTCATGCATACCTACACACTTAAGTTGATCAGCTCTGTGTGTGGTAGATGTAATCTCGTGTGAGTGGTGCGCCAGGCCAGTATAAACAGGAGGATCTCTTGTTGTTACAGTGTAATGAGGGTGATGATCAACAGGTGGAGATAATGGAGCTGGGTGTCTTTGAGCCGAGGCACACACACACACACACACACACACACACACACACACACACACATGCACACACTTAAATTAATATTTGTGTCTGTTAGTATTAAAAAAAGACCCTGAAGTGTTAAACTTATCAGAGCAAAAGATGAGAAAGTGATTATGTTGAGGCTTAAAGGAGTAAGAGGTTTGGGGAAGGAGGAGTTGGGGGTGGTGGTTGGGAGCTTGAGACCCTCATGGTTTTTAAAAGTAATGGTGGAAGGAGGGTTGCAGGTGGAATGTATTGCCTGTGTGTGTTTGTACTCTGCACTACTTATGCACTTGATTTTGGTGGTTAAAATGGACTTATTCCAGATTGTGCATATGTGTGTTCACATATGAGTTGAAGAGCCAGGGAGTTTACTCTTGACAGGTTTTCTATTTCAACCACAGATAGAAACATAGTCATAAACCTCTGGACCTGAAGGAGGGAATGATTGACAAAGGGGATTTTTGGATGAGGAGTTAAAGAGAAAATGATTGTACTCAGAACCAAATCTATCATTTTTAACATAAAAATGGAAAACAAGATGGGAGGATATGAGCAGTCTTAAGTTTAAATGCTTAAGATTTACAAAGAAAGCAAAGGGTGAAACGGGGACAGGTTTTGGACAGTTAGCTTCTCGATGAGGCAAATCCTTCTAAGACTTCAAACAGTTTTTCCTGAAATCTCACAACTTCTCATCCACCCATCTGTCTGACTGTCCATCTATCTGCCCGTCGATCCATTAGTCTTGAAATGTTTATGGCATTGAAGTTGGCCATTTTGAAACTCTAGTTGGCACAGTATAGTAGAAATGAATGTTTGGAGGTGGATTCTGCCAAAATTTGATTACGACTACGAATTATGCATTAGCTGCCCCCCTACCAGCTTGGCCTTAAAGGGATATTCCTGTGTAAAATTAAGTTAGGGTCAAACACACCGTAACACCGAGTTAGACACCCTGTTGAGAGATGAATGTTGCTGACTGCTTACTTCTCTAGTTATACCGACTTTAGTAACGACCGCAGGATAGCAGTACACAGCGGTCTCGGGAGCCACGCACGAACCAAAAAGCCACTCTATGGCCACAAATAATGCTCAGAACTTCATCAACAATACATATAGGGTCCTATCCACAGCACTAGCCACCAAACATCTTTTACCTTTGCCTCATTTCTTTAGCAAAGAGACTAAACACAACTCACCTACCCTCTTCCAGCAGCTGCTTGTTTGTACGGAGACTTCGGGCAAGTCCATCATGACTAAAGCGGGGTGACGCAGCTCATAATCATCACCACATTAATCATTTTGCACTGCAGAAATGATCATAAATGTTCTTCCTTGAGCTGCGTCACCCCGCTGCAGTCACTGATGGACTCGTCCAAACAAATAAGCGGCTGCTGGAAGAGAGTGGGTGAGTGTGTATTGCTATAGTACGGTCGTTACTAAAGTTGGTATAACTAGAGAAGCAAGCGCTCGGCAACATTCATCTCTCGACGGGGTGTCTTACTCAGTGTGATGGTGTGTTTGACCCTAATTTAATTTTACGCTGGAATATCCCTTTAATATCCAATTTGCAAAGTTCACTATCTTGACATTTAACGCACACCTGGCTATGAAGTTCTGCAGTTTGCTTTTCTGTCGTATCTTTTTGTGGACATGAGATATTATCATCTCATGTGCAAAGCTGCACTTTATTCTGACAGAGCTCTAATCTCTTTACATGTGAAGTAACTAAGTTGGCAGGGAAGGACTTCATGTACAGATATATTATTTTTAAATCAACCAGAAGATGAAATGTTGTCATGATCTCTGAAAAGCTATGAATGCTGCAGTACGGTTAACACCAGCTGTCAGCAGGTAGTTGGAGTTTCACACCAGCTGTAAGAAGCTTGTATTGTATTGTTTAAAGTAATGAGGTTCATTTGCATAAAAGGCATTCTTGAACACATAATGGCCCATCAAGTATCACCTCTTCATCCTCCTTAATGTTGGACTTGCAAAGGTAAATGTTCAATTTGATCTAGCAGCAACAAACACCTTATTTTTGTGATGCTAATGTAGGTGTAAGAAAGTTGCTCACCCAGGTACTCATATGCAGGTTTTTTGTGAAGCTTTATTCAGTCTTGACTGTATACATAACTGTATACAATCTTTTTGTTTTGTTTCTGTTTTTGTTTCTAAATTTTTGCAAAAAGGAATAAAAAAAGATTTCAGCCTGCACCAAAGCGGTGAAGCGACAAGAGATTGTTGTTGCTATCCGGATAGCAATGCTGCAAACTTCACGCAAAATATCTTTTATCTTTGAATTTCCAACAGGACCAACTTACCCCAAAAGAAAATATTATATGAAGCAATAGCCAAAAGCATGAAACAAATCTGTATGATAAAATATTTGGTGGTTTGTCTGGATAAACTAACTGGGTTGCCCACAGATGAAGTTTCGTTTGAAGTGTTCAAGGCACGTTGACTTCTAGCATTGATGGAGGCCTGTTTTATCTGCTGAGGCAGAGCAACAGATACCCGTGTAATCAAATCTGCTACGCCAGGGGCGCATTTGAGAGCCAAAACCCTCTACAAGCCAAATTTATACAAATGGGCCTCTTTTGTTCACAGGATACAATACAGCTGCTCAATTTACTGCTGCACTCCGAACGGATGCAGCGAGGTGAAACGCACTCACACACACACACTCACATAGACACACATACACACAAAAGTATTTCTGTGTTCTTTGAATTTTATTCTCTCCTTCGTTTCTCATTACACACACGCACACTCAGCCGGGGCAAATTTTATCTAAGTTGTGCTGATCAAACCTCTGGCTGATGGTGGAGATAGCAAGGGTGGAGGAGGTAAATCGATGGCTGCGTCGAGAAGCCGTGTTCCCTATTAAAGAAAAGGCTGACACATGCAGCGGGCCTCCCCTGCTAACTGACAGCTGTAAAGATGAACAATGAGACTATCCTGCTTCATAAAATGGGAAGACCTAGCTTTTTTGGAACTTGCGTCTGGGGTTTGAACCACATTTATTATTTCTGTCACGAAAGGCTGTGTGTAAATGTGTGTATTTTGTGAGGAGTTTGCCTTTATAGATGAATACAACCGAGAGCTCTTTATTAGGACAGTAAATAGATGGTTTTTTATGGAGGTTTCATCCAGAAGGGGCAAGGGACGGGGCAGCTTGAAACAAAAATGAAGGGGCCGAAGGTCCTTAAAGGTTGGGTAGGAAGGATCTGAGGAAGTGCCAGTTTTTTTGAGAAATCTTGAATGTAAACACTAAACCCATCCCAACCAGTTTGACGTGAAAGTCAAAAGCATTGGTGCTACAGTAGATGCCAACAGACTACCAGCAAACACAATGTTTGCAGGACTTCTACAACTAGGATAAAGTGACATAGTCCAGGAGCCGAGGGAGGACAGTTTAGCGGCGCTACAACACGCAGCAGGTCCGTTTGACAAGAAACACTTCTGTTACAGACACTTGTCTTACTTTGTTAAAGCGGTTTACCTGTCCAGCAAAAAGGTTACAGGTCCTGAAGCGTCCCCCATCAACCCAGCTTTTTAGCTCTTGTCCGGTCTACCTCCTTTTTAAGCGCCCGTTATTCCTCCAGAGTCTCCGGTGTTTACTTTGTTTCCTTGCTTGTGTCGGCAGACGTGGCCAAAGGAGGATTCAGATAATTTTCCGAACTTTCTTGTTGGTTTCTACTGCCCGATAATGTAGCACGCTAACTTTGTTTGGGCTCATGAACGGGGGAGCAGCATCTGCCTCACAACCAATCAGGTTGAGGGAGGAGGAAAATGGCTTTCTGACTACACAGATGTAAAAAAACACAGCAATATCGATATATTACCAAATGTCATCAATATCTAATAACTATCGACTGATATTAAAAGCTTTTTTGTTTATACACCACAAAAAAAGATGCCTCTTTAACAGAATCCTGCCTACCCCACCTTTAAGTGCACGTAAACACCACCTCAAAAGGTAGCACATGCACGCTAAACTGGAGCAAAGGCCTGACTTGCTTTCCCCCAGAAGTAAAGGGTGGCTTTATTCCGAGCCATGCAGGGAGCCGATTCATGGAGTTCCCCTTTTTCTCTTTGCAGTTGTATTGTCAGAGCCTTTTGCTCGAGGCGCTTTGTAGAGCCATGAAGTCAGGCCTACAGCCACTATCTACAAGTGTCCTACCCTTTCCTTCCTTTCTCCCCTCGCTCTCCTTGTCACTAGTTATCGCCGTCAAAGTCCAGCTGCACTGTTTATGCTGGGAGCTGTCACAGAGATGTGTCACCGCCGTGTGATGCTTCACACGCTTGGTGACAAAACAGTCAGTCACGATTCACACATGCGGCAACAATAAATCTTTTCCGCACACACAAACACACAAACATTACACACTTTATCTTCTACCTGTGGAGATATCTTCTTCCCTTAGATTCATTTTTATTTAACCAGACAGACCAGAAATCAATTCAAGTTCAACTTTTTTTCTGCTTTCCAGGAACAGGTTTGACAGGCGAAGGGAAAAAGAAACTGTGCGTTACAGCCGCACTTGATTGCTCTTGTCTGCTCGTACTTAGTGAAAACTTTGCTATTTGTTAATGAATGTTTGGCAGGCTTGCCACTAGCAGCTTGTAGTTGCAGCTTTGTCATAAGCCGTCGCTTGTGGCATTTCCACAAGCCGACTCCATGTGCTATTTCTAGCAGCTGCAGCAACGTGAAGAAAGACAGCGAATGAATGTGAGTAGAAAGGACAGAGCGAATTATGAGACTCTCCCAGCGCCAGTGTTAACATTTGGATGTTCTTACTAATGAAGTAATCTTATGCTTTATTACATCTGAGATCAGATATAACTCTCATGCTTTCACTTCTGCTTTCTTTCCTTCTTTTTCGTGTCTGGGAAAATAATATTCTCCACATTTGGATTTAAACTGTTTTTAAAGGTCTTCTAATGTGCCAGAGTGGATAAATACATATAATAAAAGTGATGTGATTGATCAGTTTGTGAGTGGTGAGCTGCGAAGGAGAAGACCTCTGGGGCTTACATCAGCTCGCTGGCCACTCCTTTCATACCATAACCAGTCAATAAAGATCTTTGTAAGCTGTTAACGTTTGAGGATAAATGTAGTTTTCCTTTAAGCCAGGCAAATATTTGACATCAGAAACAGAAAGAGGTTCCAGTGACAAGATTTGTTTTACATTATACACTTGACCACAGCTCCAAGTGAAGACAGGCTGGGACGGAGGTGATGGAAAGTGGGCTTCTTCACATCCTCTTCTCCTCGACTTGCTGCCAGGTTTTAAACTTGTCTGTGCTCATCTTCCAGATGTTTTAAAGCTGGACACCTCGTGGTGCTTTAATACCCTTAGATCCAAATTCTCATGCTTGGAGCTTTTGTTTGAGGTGTATCCATATGTTTTGTTGGAGACCTTTGACTGGAATCGCTACAAAAACATGCTGAAAGTAACATCTTTCCACAGGGCTGATAGAGACAGAGCTCTGCCTTTTGAACATCTTAATTTGATTGAACTCATTTGAACCTTATTTTCTGAAATGTGCTGTCTCTCTTCTCTCTTTGCATCTTATTTAGATGCATGAAGACAAGCTTACAAAAATTTCGTCTGTTTCTTTCCATCTTTTTTTCCCTCAATCGTGGCATTTTATGGTGCAAATCTGGAAACAATGAACCTCAGCCTAGGAACCAGGCGAAGCTCGATTGACTCGGACAGATGCATCTTCCCCTTTTCCATTCAAATGCTTTTCTATCTGGTCTAATTCAGGTCAGGCCAATCACAGCTGTTCATATCCCACTGTATGAGCTTTGTTGTGTGTTTTCTTTACCTTGGATTCTGGGCGCTGGAGGGTTACATCAGACAAGTGGACTGTGTTTCATTTCAACTTTGGAAGGTGTTCAGCCCTTAGCTTTCATTGTTGTTTGCTTTGTTAGCTAATGCCAAACGATAACAATGAACTACTTCATAGTTTGTGCACAAATGCAACATGACAAAAGTCCACGGATAGATGTTGCGCAATACTATCGGTATGTTTGATTTAGTGCCACAAAATAAGACTGAGTTGCTCATAAACATGCACAAGGTACGATGCAGCCATCTTGGGTTTTGAGTTCAGGGTTACTTAAGTTCCTCTGGTTTTCAGCGTAGGAGAACAGACTTCAAGGGGTGTCCCAGACGACTTTTCAAACTACCGAGATCAAATAGAAATCACACTTGCAGCAGCACTGGCAGCTAAGATGGCTGCTGTTGATGTGTGGTTCTAATCCCCTCATCTTGCCAGTACTGAACAACTGGATCGCAATGAATGATGCACAGCAGTGACTGTTGCTGGCCATGAATGACCTAAATGAAGTAGAAACCATCATTAACAGAAGTTAGATCCATGTCTCCGATTCTTCCTTGTTTGTTTTTTATGGTATCTAACGGCATATTGATTGTTATGAAATCAAACTTTTTTGTGTGTTTGGTCTTGTGATACCAGACTAGATGACCCTTGTTTCCACTGTAATCAGGCCACTAAAATAACCTGCCTTTGTCGGTTATTATCTCCAGCCTCAGTTAGAAAAACCTGTCTTCGTTTTTAGACATAAAAAAAAAAGTTCAAGATGAAAAAAGGGAGGAGAAAAAAGAAAACAGCACACAGTCAGTCATTGGCTGCGTCAAAAGCAGAAGAAGCCAGCTGCAACAGAAAGAAACACTTATGCACGCAAACATGCACTCAGGCAAACCCTAAAATGGCCTGAGTGAATTGAGGTAATACTCGAGAAGAATTGATGTGGTCGAGTCTGATGGGGATTTCATATGTGTGTGTATAACTCAGATAATGAGCCAGCTGTTAAACTGTTACAATGACCAGATTCATACACACACTTACACGGACACTAGGTCTGCCAAGAGTTAAACTATAACAGAGACAACATGTGCAATAAGGCTCCATTAAATCAAAGAATGCAGCTTTAAAGGAGTATTAAACATACCTTGTCTGTTTTATTTCAATCCCACATTGTCATGTGTCAGACTGACGTGTGTGTCTGTGTACTTGAGTATGATGTGAGTGGCGTCCTGAGTATGATAGTTGGTGAATGTTTTCTGATATGCATTTGCAGACTTTGAAGCAAAACACTGAAATAACTTCATAAGTGTGTGAGTGTGTGAGCGAGTGTGTGTTTGGCGTCTGCTCTCAGTTGCATTTCATTCCAGCCTAATGCCTCTGAACTTGTTGGGTGTTCTCATATTTTCAGCTTTTTTTCTGTGTGCACACCCTTGGTCATATTTCATCCTCTGTTGTGTGCACGTTTGGTGTGTGTGTGTGAGTACATGAATGCTCGCAGAATGTGGCGCTGTGCCTGCAGCCGCTCCACTCTGAGGTTGTTTCTCTGCCTGCAGGTCTGCATCTAGTTAGTGTGGTGCAGAGTGTTAAAGCGATCATTAACCTCAAACCAAACAACAACAACACAATCCACCACGACACCACAAGTCCTCTGTCTGCTGGCACAGCACACTTCACACACCCTTTCAAATGTCAGCCTGATCAAAGGCAGACATGAGAAATGTTTAAAGGGCGGGGAAAGGCGCTGACGGGGCGCATATGCTCCTAACTTTGAGAGATTATGTTTATAAACCACTAATTTGCAAAAATTTGAGAGAGATTTAATGCCAATAAATGTCACAGAAAGGCATGTAATAAATTTATCTGGCATGTAAAAAAAAAAGATGATACTATTCATACCAGCTGAATATCCAGAGACAGTGTATTTCATTTGTTTTCCTAATTTTTCCACTTGTGTTATTCATCTCAGGAGCAGTGATACCATCAGATGACATCATCATCTAATTTGCATAATGTCTCAGTCAAACCCGGCTACCCATTGAGAAGTGTATCATCAATACCTGCTTTCATGTTAGAGTTTCTAAAGTCCAGAAAAAGTCGCTAGATTTATCACTAGGCGCTTTTTTGAAAATAAGTTGCGAGGGGGGTCTGAAAAGTCGCTAAACCTATCTAGGTTGGCAACTTTGCTAAGGAGCCTCATTTGTCCACAGAGCTGTCAATCATAGCCTAATATCCCTTCTAACACATATATGCTTTCTGTCATTTGACCAACAGGATCATAAACAAAAGTCAGTCTTCAAGTGGTATCACCTGTTGTTCTTCCTTGAGCTGCTTCACCCCGCTACAGTCCGTAATGGACTGGCCCGAGGTCTCGCTACAAACAAGCGGCTGCTTGAAGAGAGTAGGAGAGTTGTGTTTGGTCTCTTTGATAAAGAAATCAGGCAAAGTTAAAAAGATGTTTGATGGCTAGTACTATGGCTGGGACCCTATATGTACTGTTGATGAAGTTAGGTGCTGTTCTGAGCATTATTTGTGGCTATAGAGTGGCGTTTTGGTTGAGCGTGTGGCTCCTGGGACCGCTGTCTATTGCTATCGTGTGGTCTCTACTTAAGTTGGTAAAACTAGAGAAGTAAGCGGTCGGCAACATTCATCTCTCGAGGGGGTGTCAAACTTGGTGTTATGATGTGTTTGACCTTAACTTAATTTTACGCCGGAATATCCCTTTTAATATTACTTACTTTCAATCTCCCATGAGAAGTTGCGCCAAATTGACGCAAACTCAAAGTTCTTCTCAAGAGCTTCAACCCAAGTGTATTTTAACCCTGACCTTAACCATACTGCTGTGTTTTTGTACCAAAGTCCTGAGGGGTGTAAACCCTCCATCCCACCTAATCTTCTTTACACTCATTCGTTGGGATTAATGTTCCCAATAAATAAAGTCCAATAATACTTCTTGTTTTCTATGTAAGCATAAATCACTAATGAATATCAGTGTATAGGTGTGACTTCAAGTAGAAAGGGAAAGCCAACATGTCAAGTCAGGATGTGGGAAACAAGGTTGTAGAAACACACAAAAACCAGTTTTGTGAGCCATAGAAGAAGTATTGTGATATCACTTCCCTTCCTAAATGAGGTTTAATTCCTTTATTAAGCATCAGCATGCGCCAAGTTGCAATTATCACTCCATGGTGCAGCCATAACTCTGGAATACCGCTGCTCTTATTTTCCAAGCTTGCAAACGGCTCGTCCAAATACAGGCTCATCAGTGAGTCATGAGCGAGGAAAGACTCCCGTCACCCCCTGCCAGCAACATTCATAGAAACCGCCATGAAGGAAAGAGGAGATTTAGTTCCTTGATTTTTGCTGCTGTTAATTGTGGACGCAGTGTTAAGGACGCACACACTCTGGCAGGGGTTTCCATAGAGTACTTCATGTTGTATCGTCATAGGGCCAGCCCGATTCCCTGATGTCTGCCGTCATCAGATTAACCTTTAACCTGGGCGACGGCAGGGTGCGGGTGCCAGGTGGCCATGCAACACACAACAGCTTCAGGTCAGTTGTATTTATGCTTGTAAGTTTGTGTTGAAGGGTTGAATCATAGTCCCTTTTTCCCCAGGGTTGTTTCCACTTCTGAGCCCCTCCTCATCCTCATGTCTCTCAAACCCTCACCTCTCTCCTCCCTCCTGCCTGCAGTGACTCATTGCGGTCTGTTAGCACTCACACCCACAAAACCTGGGCTGGAGGATGGGTTTGGGTGGGTGGGGGTGACGGGGTGCAGTGTGGGGGTCAGCTGGTGGGTAACGGGTGTTTCCCTTTATATTCTGGATGGCTGCACATGGACCAGCGAGTGTGTCGAGCGACCTCTGGAAGGCTTTTGCAAGGTGTGGACATTATGACTGGATTTAGCTGTAATGACAGTTTTAGTCCACACCGCTTGCACACACACACACACACACACACACACACACACACACACACACACACACACACACACACACACACACTCACACACAGAAAAACAGCTGCTGGAACACTTAGTGGTGAAGCCATATTTGCTGAAATCACAGTGACAAGCGGTATTAACCCTAAACGTCAGCGTCAATTTGACCAAGAAGAGCACAGCACGTTACGCCGCTCAGGCCAAGGTTTGGTTTGGCTGGATCCCACAGGGAAGGAAACCCTACTCTGCTTTTTAAATGCGCTGACTTTAATCATGTTTTAAATTTCGTTTTATTATGCATTTAAAGAAGCTTTGTTTCGCTGTGTGTTTTACTGTTACTGCCTGTGATTTGTCAGGGTTAATGTGACTTTACTGTATCTGATTGTAGAAATAACTCACCTTTATGAGACTTGTCTTGTGATACAGTTGTCTCCGGTGAGATTTATATCTTCTACACATGTCAGCATGCCATCGCATGGTTCTCAGATCATGTCCATGCAAAGACAGCTGGATTTGAAAACACATCCTCATACCCCAAGGTGGCCTGTACACAAATTCTTGTATTTTCCAGGTAGTTTAATTCAATGCCAACCGGCAAGCTAAATACAGTGTTAAGGCTAGAGTTGCAAAATTCCGGGAATTTTCAAAGTTGGAAACTTTCCATGGGAATTAATGGGGAAATATGGGAAATAATGACAATCAACGGTAACAAATCTGAAATTTACAAAACTGAAGGTTGGCCCTCAACAGGGAACTTAAATATAGCTGGGTAAAATATATTGTAGCATAATCACCCCCTACATGCACTTTGCATTCCTCTGTCACATGCACAGATGATTTCTTGAACCCTGGAGGCCGAACTTTTGAGCCCAAAGCACAAGACATTTGAGTCCACAGACTTTTTAAAGTCAAGTAAGTTTTAATATTATGGGGTAAATATATTTGATCTATAATAGTATTAATATTTAACTTGCAAAAATTAAATAAAAATAGGTGCTAAATGTAAGCTATTCTTCATTTCATTGACTATTTAAGGGACTCGTTTATTATGATGGTGGTATCTACCTCAAATGTGATGCTGTTTCTTCAGACTCCTGCAAGACGTTTTTCTATAACCATATAATAATTTATACATCAATTGTCAAATATCTGAAAGACCATTCCAGTTGTTTAGCCAACTATTTTTCTGTTCATGCCATTGTTCATTGCCATTATTTGTATTATTTTGCATGGATGTCTGCTTATGACAAAACAAAAATTTTTACATTTATGTTTGGATATGATGCAGTTTGTTTAAATTACCCCCAATTTCCAGTTAATTCCCATAAATTCCCAATAATTGCCATATATTCCCATAATTCCCATATTTCCCATGGAAAGTATTCAAGTTGGAATATTTCCAAAATTCCCAAGCTTAACTTCCCGTGAAAAGTTTCTGGAAATTTTCCGCCCCTTTGCAACCCTAGTTAAGGCACAGCTAAACATGGGATCACAATGTCTGCAGGCAAACGAACGCGAAAGTCTTAGAGAGAGGGCTAAAGTTAACAGAGCAAGCCGTCAGTCCTTCTTGCAGGGTGAAGTTCACATGTTTAAGATGGCTATGCATTGCTCCAGTTGAGTGGTTATACTTCCACTTTACCACAGCTTCCATGCAACTTGATCTCCATTTTCTAGATCAAAATACTGTAAACCATGCTGCGCTGTATGATACCACCAGTCATCAGTACTTGCTACAGCAGGTTTATAGTATTATAGCAGATACCAGTAACTGGAACAGCAGCCCGGCTAATGGTAGGGGGCTGCACTAACAGCATAGACACAACATAAGACCAGTAGTTAGCTGACTAACTACACACAATCCTAGGTTTGACTTTATGTTGAAATGCTTTAGTTTTGGTGGGGTTGTTGTTGGAACCTAAATGTAATCAGGTTCAATGTATTCTGCATCGTTTTAAAAAGAAGTATTTGTAGGTGATACAGTCTTTTTTTATATGCTATAGTATTTCATCTTTTTCTTATTTTGGTATAACTTGTGTTTATCTGGCATGGTAGTGTAAAAATATGTTCTCCTTTGATTGCCTTATCATAAATTGATCCTGCTAGCTTCATGATTTGCGCTCTGTTGTCATAACATACCATGTGGGAACCTTTCGGAGGTTACCAGATTCCTGTGCCTGTTAGTTTTTTGTGGACTAAACTACGATGTGATTGTTTCTTTATGTATTCAGTAAACTTGCAAAAGATGAGGTGATTAATCTTGATAAGGCTTCCCTTGTTAAATGAAATAAATATCCCTCTCTGCGCGTACATGCAGATCTTTTCATATCAGTGTAAGGCCTCAGGGTGGTAACAGTGGAGCTCAATTAACACTTACAAAACACCACTTAGCACCAAGCGAATCAGCCACGGGGATGTGACACACATTGCTGGAAATAGTTCTCCTTACTCTGACTGATGACACAGTAATGTGTGTGTGTGTGTGTGAGCTTGTGTGTGTGACTACGGGAGAATGGAGACTGTCAACACTGCTTTTGTTAACAAACAGCCGGAGGGGACACATGTGAAGGGGAGAAATGCTATGCACAGGTTTTCAACGGCAGGGTTAGAGCTGAAAGATCTGATAATTCAATCAGACTGTAGACCTCAGTTACAGGTTGGGACATATTGTGAAATGTTGATTAAAAACAGAATTTAATGGTTTGTTAAAAAACATATGGATTTTAATTGAAATAGTTTGAGAACAACAGTCAAATGTTGAGAGAAATAAATTCGCATGTTTCAGAAAAGTTTGGACGGGGACAACAAAACACTGACAAATATGAATATGCTTAAAAAAAGACACCTGTAGGAACATCCACGCTACATGATATTATAATGTTTATAGAGCTTGGAGAAATCTTTGTACAAAAGAGAGAGTAAAAACTTAAATCAGTGATCTCTGTGCCTTGAAAACAGACATTGGTGGAAATGACAATCACTCCCCAAAACCAACGTCTGTGAGCAGAGTTTGTTGCTGCTTCAACATGTATGTGAAAACTGAACTATTTAAGGAGAAACCATTTATAAACAGGGTCCAGAGACACCAGTAACTGGGCCTGAGCTCATTAAGGATGGACTGGAGCAAAATGGGGAACTGCCGTGTGGTCTGACAAATCTAAATTTGGCATTCCTTTTGGAAAACATGGAGGCTGCATCCTCGGCTCTGAGAGGGGAGGGACCTCCTGGCTTTTCATCAACTCAAAAGTTAGCACCCCTAGAGATACATGCATTTGATCAGACTTATTTAATATAATAGAACCTTGATTACTGTTGGGTTATTAAAAGCCTTGGCTGACTTACTCAACACACAAGGGATCTAAGTTGGCTCTGCTCCTGGAGAATCAGAACAGATGCTAAGCCATTAGCGACTACGGATGTGGTCAACTTTACTGCGTAATTTAAGAAATGCAAAGAAAGCCCAACCCAGTGTGTAAGTGAATGCAACAGTAGGTTCTCTTTCACTTATATTAACCCCAACCTGTTACTTCTGCTGCCCCTCACCATAACTTAAGCTCAAACGGAGACAGGAGACTCTACAGAAACATGTTTTCAATGTCAGTGAAACACTATATGAGAGGGAAGCACGCTTGAACTCGGCACTGGGACTGACTGTTTAATTTTCCGCCTTTCACGATCATTTCAGAGATCGTGTTTGCGTGTTTCTCTAATAAAAATGCCAAACTGTATGATATCTGACTCGAATATTTAAGATCAGATTTGAACTAATAAGATAATCCTGGAAAGCCAGCCCTCTGAAAAGAGAAAAGAAAATAATGTCACATTTTTTACCCACTGAGCCATGACTAGATCATCTAGAATAAAGTGACACATTTTGCTGAAGTGCCAAGTCTTAGTTGACATGTATTCTCTTGTGCCTAAGGTTGAACAATCTTGTGTGTTTGTCATGTATGTGTGTTCATTGTTTTTATGTCAGACAAGCTGTTAGCGGCGACAGGGCTACAGTGAGGAAACTGGTACACTAATACCATGTGACAAGGGTATTCAGAGTCGACCCAGCCGCAAACTTTCTCTCCTTTTTCTGTTGTTTTTCACATCATTTTCTCCGCCTCTCTCTGAGCTCAGTTGACAGCGGTTGTGTGGAAGGACAGCCCTCCAGTGTTATTTTTCCATGTCACTGTGAAGCACTGTCATCCATCCAGACTCAGCCGCTCTTGCCAGCAGTCACCAGCCGTGATTCCTTTGACATGCTTTTGGTCAGCTCAGGGTTTCAGCACAATACTTCAGCAATGTGAACCTAATGATCTGCTGGTGCCACACATTTTTAAGCCAGCTATGCGGACCTTGGTCTGATTTGAAATGAGCTAATTAGCTCTGTATTCTTAGCTGAGGAGTCTAAGGAAGGATTAGGAGGAAAGGGGCAGGAGGGGCATTTGTGTGTGTGTGTGTGTGTGTGTATGAGTGTATGGGGTGGGTGAAAGTGTAGCAGAGTTGGGTTGTTGAAAAGCAGGAGAAAGTGATGGGGAAGGAAGAAGGAAAGAGGGTCAAACAGAGGGTGACGTTTTTGTGGGTGTCTGAGTGGGGGGAAACAGCCCGATAATTAGCCCGTTAATCATCTGCTTTGAATCACTGACGGAGCCCCAGAAGCCTTCAGGTTACACACATCTGTGTGTGTGTGACTGTGTGTCCAGGTATGCTGAGTACCTCTGCACAGTTGGTGACCCCATAAAGACCCGCCTGCAGGTCCTCCACAGCCATAACTCAGAGCTGTGACCAACCTCACAAAGAGCCTGACAGAGCTGATCTATGCTACTAAAGCAGACAGCAGATTCATGTGCATCAATATTCTACAGACCAATGACCCACAGACTCCATAAAGCTCCTCGCAAAGTGCTCCGGTGCAGATCTGAAGTTACAGTCATTTCAGCAAAAATTTTACTTCACAAAAAAAACTTTGATATGTTCCAGAAACAAGCTGCAACTATTTTTTCAAAAACAACTTTGGCAACACTTTAAAATAAATATCCATCAAAACTAGTTAATAGATTGTTATTAATGACTTGTTAAATGTTTAACAGTTTGTTAAGGATTTCTAATGATGCCTTATAGAGTTATATATGATTAATAAACTGTTAGTTAATAAGCTATAAATGACTTGTTAACTGTATGTTAATGATTTATAACTATTCCTGATAAATAAGTAATAAATGATGAGCAAGCTTTTAGTAAATTACTTATGAGTTAATAGTTCATGTTATTGGGACATTACTCTAAAGTTTACTAACATTTACTAACTGTTAGTACATGAGGAATAGTTTCAACTTTTAAATAACGTTCCAATAACATAAATAAACTATTAACTGATATTTAACAAGTCATTTGAAAGTAATTTACTAAAAGCTTGTTCATCATCTATTACTTATTTATAAGGTGTAATTATAAATTATTAACATACAGTTAGAAAGTCATTTATAACTCATTAACTAACAGTTTATTAATCATATATTAACTCTATAAGGCATCATTTTAAATCAATGTAAGTGTTTACAAACACTCAACAAGTCATTCGTGACTTTTTCATTAAGTTTACTAATACACTTATTTATTCTTTTGCGTTATTGTATTTCTGCTTGCGTTATCTTGTTTTTTGATTGTTTTATTTGTTTTTATGTCACTGTACAGCACTTTGGCTACCCTTGTGGTTATTTTAAATGTGCTATATAAATAAAGTTGATTGATTGATTGATTGATTGATCTATTAACTAGTTGTAACGGATAGTTATTATACAGTGTTACCACAAGTTCACTCAGTACAGTTATAAAGTCTGATGACCTTTTCAATTAATTTAATTCACCAATGTAGTTCAGGAGGCACAGTGACAGCACATTTACCTGCTGTTCAAAATAAATTGATCTGATTGATTTTGGACCAATTTGGCTTTGGAAGATACACGTTAGTCTGAATGAAACTTCACCAAATCGCCAAATATTATGTGGACAGTGTGGTTGGGAATCGATTTTCTTTTCCATTTATAAAACCTCCGTCAGACTGTAACTAGCATTGGTACTTTGTGCATGCACCACAATTTGCATGTGGGGCTGTCCTAAAAGGTCAACAGCAAAAATTCATTGTCAGGAGGAAGGATATTATACAGGACAAAACTGTTGAATCAAACATAGAAAAGGTACATCAGCCTCTTCCTACTGTGTAAGACAATGTAGAAGCCATGAAAACACATGGTAAATTTAGAGAGAGAGAATTCTTTGTGATTCTTGTTCACACTTCTAAGACCATTACCGATTCTTTTATCATGTCTACTTGTAGTATTATGGCCTGAGAAGGAGCAAGAAGATAAAAAAAAGTGAAGTAAACCCTGAAACCTTGTTTTTCCTCTCAGGCCAGTCCATCAGAACATTTTTCCCCTTTGGGTGCGACAGGGGTAAAGGTTAAAACCCTTCATATATCACAGTAATAGCCAGACCACCTCTCTTCCTACATTTCCAGTGTCAAAAGTGACTATCGCTCAAAGCACTTTACATGCAACACGTGGACCAAAGAGGGTAAAAGAAAAAATCTAGGCTTCAATGTTGGTCAGTCGGTAAACTGTGGAAATGTCTCATCAGTTTAAGTTGGACTAATAAACAAGGTAATAATTGGAGGAGGTAGTAATAGTTAAAAAAATTTTAACAGTTGTTTATTTATGCCTCGATGGCAAAGTGAATTCAACAAGTGCGACAACTGTCTCCTTGGCTGTCCTTTTATACCTGCCCTCTCTCGCTTTGCGCTCTCACACATTAGGTGCCAAATATAACACAAGCGTTGCCTCTTTAAGTTAATGTGCTGTTCTGTTTGTGTAAAGCTGCGACATCAAAGTAAGGGACATCTCTATGTGAACGACGTAAAGGCATCACTTTTACAGACAACCGAAGCCCGCAGTGTTAAACAGAATCTACTGCTTCCTTCTCCGTCAAAGTGTGCCTGTGTGTGCAAGTAATTGTCTCAAGTTTGTGCCATATTTTACGTCTGAAAGGGCTTTTGGCGAAATGTTGCGGTTTGAACGAAGTGAACTCTTGAGCTAAATAGTGCTATTCACACAAAGAGCCACAGGTTAAAGTTGGCCAAAGATGCCCAGCAGCAGCTCAATCAGGTGTGTCAGGACCCTCAGACAGAGGTGAGTTATTTTAGTATCCATCATTCACCCCTACATGACCCCGCACCCCTCCCTCTGTAACAGTAGCTCTTGTTTTAGCAGCCATAATGTCCTGACCAACATGCACCTCTTGTCTTTCACATCTGGAGCTGCCTCAGGATGTGCGCTGAAGCTGACTAGTGTTGGCAGGCCTCTTTGACTGGTCATTGGCGTGCTTATGTGTGTTTGATCACAGGAATGTGTGCGTGTGTATGTGCGCGCACTCTCACCTTGCTGTGGGCGAGACATTACAGTGAGGGTTGAAGAGGCTGTTTTGAGGTCACACGCCTCCGCGGTCGCACAACTTCTCTGCGAGGCGTTTTGAGGTCAGCTGCAGTGTTTCCCTGTTTCGGCGTCTGTAAGGAGACGTTAAGATCAGATTTGGAGATTCGAAGGGAGGAGAAGAAGGGGTGAAGGAGGGGGGGGGCAAGGGCTGGAAGGCCCTGACGCAGGTAGGGATGCATTCATCCAGCTTTTTAAGACTCGATAAAAGTACATGTGACACAAATTTATCACCCTGTGAAATCCGTACACTAGGGCTGCACGATTAATCGATTTTAAATTGTAATCAGATTATTTGATCATGAGGATGTTGAATAAAATAAAATGGTCAAATTGACTTTCCTCTCTTTTATGTCTCATACCTCCAGGCCACTGTAGACTCCCCTTTCTTGCAGGAGTGCTCCCCAGTTTCCACACACACCAGTGTAAACAAACATAACGTCTGCAAAAGAAGGCAATAATTTCATGGCTGAATAGGGCAAGAACAGGTCAGTCGTGTGAATTTGGTACGGCTTCTCAGTTTCAGATGAAGAGCAAACCACTTCCCGCTGCAAAGTCTGTCTGAAGGCAGTATCAACCTGTTCACACGGAAACGAAAGGAGGAGTAAACGCAGAAGTTTTTTGTCGTATCGGCTTTTACGGATGACTGTAAACAGTACTTAATGATTGAATCTGCCCGTGACCAGCCAAAACAAACTATACGCATGCTCTGTACTCTTCTTCTGTCTTCGGTGCATTTCCACGGCAGCGTTACAGCACCACTAACTGGCTCGGCATATGTACTTCATCGGTTTCAGTGGTTTCGTTTTTAGAGATGATTGAAAAACTTAGAGTGAAGTTTGGTGAAGTTGTCACTGAATCGAAATCGAAAATCGAGTTTTCAGAGAAAAAAATCTGGACTTTATTTTTGGCCAAAATCATGGAGCCCCACTGTACACCTGCAATGGTTTCTGTGATAGTCAATCACATTCTACTCACTGGTGAATCAGACAGATCTGTTGGTTTATTTGATCTAATCTGAGTTGGGTTTACATGTAATGCACTCAATAATGTTTACTGTCGTGAGTCACCGAGAAGGCTAAAGCTGATGTTACGTCCTCCGAATACACAACTCTTGGGCAAAATAGACTGTAAGCCAGGTCTTTGCTTCCTCAGTCATGTTATTCCTGACATCTGTTTGAGATATTAGGCTTGTAGTCTCATGAATTTAAAACTACAATCAGCTACCTAGCCTTGCAGTTTACTACTTTGTCGTACATTTTGTCAATGTGATTCATCGCAGGTTTATCCAGCGGCTTGTTCAAGCGAAATTTTGTTTTGTGTCTGTTAAAAAATGCTTTACGCTGATCTGTTCGTCTGAAAATTAATTGTAATATTGGATCAATGATAACATAAAAAAATTGACTGAAAAAAAGATAGTTTACAACTATCTTCAAAGGATTTATTGAGGAAATGTGATAAAAATGCAGGATCTAAGTACAGGACTGGATGACGTATCACAAGAGTTATGCTCTCTTTTTGTAGTCTGTGAAAATTCATTCTCTTGCAACTCAAGGCCATGGCCATGTAGAGGAAAACCGTCTGTGGGGAACAAGAGCAGTGGAACAGGCTGAGCAATGCAGATCCCATCATGGGTCACATGACCAGGATGTAGCTTTGATCAGCGTCTGAAGATAGATACCTGAAAGAAGTGCGTCTGTGTTTGTCACGGCACAAATCCAGCTCCATTTTTGCTTTTCAAGTCACTTGCTGGCGTGAATACAAAATCAATATTTGAAAACGACATTGTGCAGCCATTTGAAACAGGTGTTCAACAATTTTGCTTGACTTTGACAAGAACTAGGACAACATTTCTTTTTTGTACACCTTTGTCTTTTTTGCCAAAAATACAAGACAAGATGCTTGTTACTCGTTTCTTTGATTCAAAGCTCTTCAATACAGTTCAGTCTCCTCCTCCTCCACCTCCTCTCTCTCTGCTCTAGATCTGTTTTTTCCATCACCCCGTGTCTTGTAGGAATCTGACAAAGATATTATTAATGCGATAAAGACTTTTTGCTTCCTCCTCCTTTGGCCTGTAATAAAAAACTCTGTGTAAACATGGCAGAGCGGTCCAGATCATACACTATGCAGATCCCTCTCTTGTTCCCTGATTTTCATCTCTAGCTCAGTGTGTGTGGTGGAAATCTAAGCCCCAGCAGGGTTTTATTCATTGCAAAAAAATGCACGGGTGAATGATTTGCTAAAAGGTTGCTGCAGCCAAGCACATAAACACTTATGAACACAAATGCACCTGAGGACACTGGCATAGAAAAGAGACTTCATGCCACATAAATATGAAAAAATATGACCCACAAATGCCTCAAAAATGCTCATGCAGTCAGTTTTGATGTGTCTGAGAGCCATCTGTGACACCAGCTGAGGTCTTCTGTGTATAAAGTGTAGACAGACATGGGAGCTCTGTCTGATGCTTTTCTAGTAAGTCATACTGTCCCAGTTTGGATCAAAGCTCGTTTCATTTACTTCCTTTTGAATGGAGAAAGTTAACAGACCTGATAATGATGTTTGAAATATCTGTGGTTTATTTCCATCTTTCTCTTCAGTATCCCTCGTTTTGCCACGGTTCTCTTCCTGCAGCTGGCAGAATTATGTCTTCCAAGCTCAGAGATGTGACTGACGATATTTTAGGAGATTTAGAATGGGATCTCTGTGTTTGTGTACAGTGGAGGTACTTTGCTTCGAAGCCTCAACATTCCTGAGTGACACTGTTCCCACAACTTTGCTCAAAAAACCAAACGTCACATCCTTTCTGCCCTTCTAAGGACATCTCTGAACTCTCAGATGAACGGGTGCAGACGTGTAAACGTAGAACTTAGAACAATAAAGACAAATTTAATGGGACAAAGAAACCTTTGAGGAAACAGAAGGTCGTTCTGCATGCCTGAAAGTTGGAGAGGGAAATGTTTGGGAATTGTCAAAGACTTAACTTTTGGACTTTGACACATATGAACCAAACATCACCTGAGCATGTAAGCAGCAACAGAGTCAAAAGACGAACACCCAAACATGTTTTAGGGGTGTAATCACATTTCTTGTGTCATAACAAGTTTTTATTTTGAGCTGAGATGGATCCTCATATTTTTATATTTCAGTGCATTTGGGGCAGGGGTTGGCCTGCAGCTTTTTCAAATGTATGGAGGCTTAAAGGGATATTCCACTGTAAAATTAAGTTAGGGTCTTCTTTGGTTGAGTTGAGTAGGTGAGTTGTGTTTAGTCTCTTTGCTAAAGAAATTAGGCAAAGTTAAAAAGATGTTTGGTGGATAGTGTGATGGCTTGGACCCTATATGTACTGTTGATGAAGTTAGGTGCTGTTCTGAGTATTATTTGTGGGTATAGAGTGGTGTTTTGGTTGAGGTTTGTTTATGGCTCCTCAGACCGCTGTGTATTGCTATCGTGTGGTCTCTACTAAAGTTGGTATAACTAGAGAAGCAAGCGGTCGGCAACATTAATCTCTCAACGGGGTGTCTAACTCGGTGTCACAGTGTGTTTGACCCTAAATTAATTTTACATCAGAATATCCCTGTAAGACCTTCTGAATCCCTTGTTGCATGTTCCCCTCTCTAATCTCTGCTCCTTACATCCCCCTGTCCCTCTTCAGCTGTCCTATCAGTACAGGGAAAATAGAACAAACTATACCATACATTTTCAGTGATCAAGGTTGATTGAAACAATTTTTTTAATTTTATTTTCTAATCATTTTATTAATCCAGAAAGTGAAGTGTTTGTTTCACCACCACAGTGACTGTAGAGGATTTTTAATTGCACTTTTGGGCCAATGTTCTCTTGGTCTTTGGGTAACGGGCCAGCCTGTCACTGCTTTCTGGAGGAGTTACTAGATTTCTGTAACAAAATATATTCAGTCCCTCAGAATCACACCAATCTGAAAGTAGTCAAACCCACTTTGGCCAACTTAAAGATCTCCAACAAATGGAAAAGAAATACAAAGTAGCAGTGGCTGTTTCCAGCTCTAGCACCGATACAACAGTGGGTGCTATAGTGCCAATTTGAGAGCTGCAGAGAGTTTACCAGAGGCAATCCAAAACTAAATGGAATATTAACAAATCCACTGAATTTACAAAACCTTAGATAGAAGACCAAGGCTTTCACTAGCTAACAGTGTTTTTGGAAGAGTTTCTTGTGTCAGCGCTCCTGATATGATCCCGGCACACATTTACAGTCTGATCAGAAAAGTCCGTCCACAGACATTTGGACATCTAGTCCAGTGAGTGTTGTTAGTTTGACAGCCGAGTGGTTCCATGAAGACTTCATGGTGAAAAGCCATTATTGTGTACACAAGAGTGCTCCATTTGGCAATTGAAGAGTGACACTCATGACAAGTGATTTTATTTTTGGTAATAGTTAGGACCTTGGCATTTATTGTAATGTAGGGCCCCTCATCACTCAGGAAAACAATATATAAACCACATTTATTGGTAAACAAAACAAAAAAACACTTAAACAACAGATTGTTTAAAAAAAAGTTGCATTGACTTCCAGTTTCATTTGATAGGTAAACTCCTGCAGCGTCTTGTGCATTAAAGTCAACCAACTACTAGACCTTCATAGGCACTTATTCGACAACACCAACTTCAACTGTGGTTTAATAAAGGGGTATCAACATTTTGATTTCAGGAGTAATGCTGCATTCGAGTTACCTCGGAAGTCAGATGTCGGAGCTGGGAATGACATCACACCTGAGTTACCAGCGCTTCAGTTACCAGATCGGAAAAAAGCAAAATCGGAGATGAAAACAAGATGGCTACATCTACGCAAATTATTTTAGCACTTGCCTTGTCTGTAAAAAGCAACTTGTGGACAAATAGGCGGTCCTTCTGCAACATCTTTTTTTCCGCCTCTGATTTCGCTTTTTTCCGACTTGGTTACTGAAACGCTGGTAACTCGGGTGTGATGTCATTCTCCGACATCTGACTTCCGAGGTAACTTGAACGCAGCATAAGGCCCCCTACAGACCGTTAAGTACTGTCACTGGATTTTTATTGATGAATTTACAAAATAAGATTTTTTGGTCCTCTTTGATTATCCTGGATTCCTACAAGTTTTGTCCAAATATGTTCCCTTTGCTCCTATAAATTCATTCCTCAGTCAAATTCTTTCTTTTTCTTAAACTACTTTCTTCTGTACATCACTTTGATTTTTCTCCTTATGTAATGAGACATTACTTAATGATGGCATTCAGTTCTAACACATAAAACATAAAGGGCCACAAAAATGCAACTGTTGAATTTGTGGTTAAGGCAGAAATAACCCTAATGTGTTATTTAAGAAATTTATTCCTCGGCAGACGGCACAGTGGGAATAAACAATGTTCATGCTGCAAGGCTTTTGAGGCTTTGTGGAGGTTGTTAATCCAAAGTAATGATTAAGTTGTTTTCCCTTAAATTCAAAACCTGAAATCACAGTGTGCTGCTTTACCTCCCTGAATATAATACTGCTCGCTTCTCTGAGTAATCGTCAGACATTTCCTGACTTTATAGTAAAGGCAGCTGGTCTCCAGTTTGAGTGTGTGTGTATGTGTGTGTGTGAGTGTTACAGTGGCAGCAGATGATAGTTTTGTGTAACGATACCCCTGTGTATCTCTCTACACACGCACACAATCTCTTACACACACACTACCATACGTATTTTTCCACCCTGTGTGACTGTCCAAGTGGTAGAAGGTGCCAATAGCCTTAAAACCACAGGAAAATTGCATTTCAGATTCATAAATTCAATAGTAATATGAATAACAGCAGATTGGAGGCAGGGAGAGGGTTGTTTTCCCCACGATGAAATAAACGAACTCAATGTAAAGATAATGACTTTTTCCACAGTTGAACTGTGCCGCAAATTGCATCTCACGTTACCAGACAAATAGGCAGTTAAAATAAAGTTGCACTTGAACCTTGCATGGTCATTTCATTTTTTAAATGGGTTACTCCCGAGAGTGTCTTCAAGTTATTCAGCGGTCAGTAAATGTGAGCGGTGAGGAAATGTACGCAGAGAGAGCTGTTTGTGGTCGGCTTATTACCCTTAAGTTAGAGGCTCAACGGTGACTTTGCATTAGCGTTGAATTTTCCTTTCTTGTCTGAGAAAATACCCATGATGCACTAATTCATACACAGACACAGACACATTCATGCAAAGTCAAGGACCAGATCTTGGCGGTGGTGGTTGTTCTCATAACACTGTTTCATTGCTGGCATTTTTCGGTGGTTCTAAATCCGGGTGCATGTTTGTTGATGTAGAGGGTGGAATGGGTGTGTGTTTGTGTGAGTGTGCGCGCATTATGAATAAAAGTCATAAGCTATCCCTAGTCATTCCTCGTCATAGCGTCTTTATTTATTTGCTTAAACCAGTGCCTTGATTTCCGAGAACTTGATCCTCTGTAAGTCTTTCCCTCTTTCTCTGCTCACTCTGTGTCCTGATCTCTGCTTCTGCATCCCTGCTCTGCTGTTATCAGGTATCTACGGTATACTGAGCCCCCAGACAGAGGGAAACCCTTAGATGGCTGCTACCTTTACTGACTCTTTAAATGATAGAGTCCCAACATCTTGAAGTTGATGTTTGACATTTATAAAATACATGTTTTCTCAGTCCAAAAGAGTGGATCAGCAGATTTTTGATACGGTCAGGTCTGTAAACTGCCTGTCAAACCGATTAATTTGGGACGACTATACTGTGTGAATTTTTGAAAACAAAGAAAACTTTTTTTTTTTAATTTCATCACTTTGCAGAATAAAAAACAACCAGTTTAACAAAGCAGTCTGTGACATTTGGCACATGAATGCTCTATAGCACTCTTTCTGCTAAAGAATACATTTTGAATGGTCTGCGTAACATTTGCAAATAACATGGCGGGAAAATAGGAACCTCTATTTCAACTCGAACAAACACCCTTTTTTGACATTTGTGACTGAAATGCTACAGCAGTTTATGAGAACTTAAACAGCATATGAAGACTCGAACTCAAGTCAAGTGGAGTTTAGATTTTAAATACTTATAAATGGACTAAAAATTGAATGTAATGCTTCATGTCTTTTACTTGAGACATGTCTTGGTGAGCGCCGTCTTTATGGCGTCTTTATTTTCTTCAAAATCTTCTCCAGAAGACGTTGATCTTTTTGATCATCAGCATCATACAGTATATCAGCTTTCCATGTAAGCATAACCTTTCCTCTTGTTACCTCCGCCAAGGAGGTTATGTTTTCGGTAGCGTTGGTTTGTTTGTTTATGAGTTTGTTTGTCTGTTAGCAACTTTACGGAGAAAGTAACCGACAGATTGACCTGAAATTTTCACCAGAGGTGCGTCTCAGCCCCAGGAGGTTCCCATTAAATTCTGGTGGTGATCCGGACAAAATTCTGGATACTGTAATCCAGAACACACAAAAATAAGGGTGTCGTTGGAATTTTCAATGCTGAAAGATAACCAATGGGCGGCACAGTGGTGTAGTGGTTAGCACTGTCGCCTCACAGCCAGAAGGGCCTGGGTTCGAATCCTGGTCAGGGTGCTTCTTGTTTAAGGGGGGACATGAGCTTCTTGGCGGAGGTCTGTGCTCTCCGAGTGCTTTTCTAGTTTACAATAGCCTCCTTTATGTGGCTATAATTTAAAACACAGTCCTCTTTATATTAAATGTGAGCACTACACATGCACTTTTTTTACAAGCGTACCTCTTTTGGCAATCAATTCAAGCATCATCCTTTTTGCACACAGTTTCAGTATCATCCCTTTTCTTTTCATGATCCTTTCAACTATCAACTCGTCTTTAGTGCTTTACAGTTGGGCTAATTCTCTTTGCTGCACCACTAATCCTTCATAAACTGTAACCTTTAACTCTGCGCATTATTTGTTTTTTCTGTGCTGAACAACTTGACCAAATGGTCACCATACTACCAAAATGTATTTTCACCTGACTTGTCATAGTCATTTTTGTCATGATAAGATGATAAAACAGCAAAAAATTGACCTGATTTTATTGAAACACACAGACGCACAACCCACACAGAACTCCCACAAGTTCGCAGGCCAGTTCTCGTATCTAATCCCAGGCTTTTAGTGAGACAAAGGACTCTGTTCTCTCCACGGTCACCATGCTAATCTGCCCTCTGAACTACAAAGGCGCTGCTCTCTGCCTCTACAGGGATTACCATTCACTTATTGAACCAGCTCTTACGGGTTTGAGACACTTGCAGAAAGAGAGAGGAAGAAAGAGACAGGGGGAGATGTAGTTGCATACAGTTTAGGGGAGCAAAAGGCATGAACCCACTTGAATTTAATTTCTTTCACTGGGCTAAAAGTGTGATTGAATGTTAATTTCCAAGCCCCTTGATCCCATACTCTCTGCTTGTATAAATTTCTTTTTTTGCTGGAAATGAAAGTAGAGGAGGTGGAGTCGAACTGTAAGAAAGAAAAAAACAGGAGTGTGATACAGAAAAGCTGGAATGTGGGAGCTGCCTATAAAAGTGCCCCATGTAATCACGAGCGTAATCCTTGTAAAATAACCCAGCGAAGGTGGTGTGTATGTGTGTGTTTATTATGCATGGGTCTAATTATAGTAGAAAACTGAAGACGCCATCATTTTTGATGCTGTTACTCTGCGGGTCCTGTTTAGTTTATTATTGAAATTTACTCCAAGGCTGATCTGATGTGTGTTTGCCTTTTACGGTGAGATTCTGCAATCCATCCACAGACGCCCTTAGCTCCCATTTAACACTCCTCGTCTCTTTTCTTCAACAGTTGGATAAGATTCCAGTCATGCTCTTATTCACACACAAAGCGTGCCAAAACTGATCATTCACCTGGTGAGCAAGAGGATAGTCCAGGGTAAAACATTCTTTAAAACAGGAGCATTACTAGGATCCCACTGAGCAATAGATGGCTGTTAGATGTCTCGTTTTTCTTTTTTAGACCCAATTTTAACCAGATTCTGTATATTTTTAGAAGGAATTTAGACGTTGCACTGTAACCCATTATTTGATAACCATTTATTTCAAAAAGCAACTGCATAACTGATCTTGTGCTTAAAGGTGGGGTAGGCAGGATTCCGTTAAAGAAGCATCTTTTTTGTGGTGTATATACAAAAAAGCTTTTAATATCAGTCAATAGCTATTAGTTATTGATGAACTTTGGTAATATCATGATATCGCTGTGTTTTGTTATGTCTGTGTAGTCGCCAACATTTAAATTTTTTGAGCGGCCCGCTCTTTCTGACTGTAAACAAAGCCGTTCTCCGCCTCCCCCAACCTGATTGGTTGTGAGGCAGACGCTGCTCCCCCTTGTCGTTCAGGAGCCCAAACAAAGTTAACATGCTACAATATCGGACAGTAGAAACCAACCAGAAAGTGCGGAAAATCGTCTGAATCCTCCTTTGGCCACGACTGTCGACACAAGCAAGAAAAGAAAGTAAATACCGGAGACTCTGGCAGAATAACAGGCGCTTAAAACGGAGGTAGACAGGACAAGAGCAAAGAGGCCGGGTCAACATAAACGATGGGGGACGCTTCGGGATCTTACGGACCCTGTAACCTTTCTGCTGATTTAACAAAGTAAGCTAAGTGTCTGTAACAGAAGTGTTTCTTATCAAACTGGACCTGCTGTGTGTTGTAGCGCCGCTAAACTGTTTACTTCGGGTCCTGGACTATGTCACTTTATCCTGGTTGTAGAAGTCCTGCTAACATTGTGTTTGCTGGTAGTCTGTTGGCATCTACAGAAGCACCAATGCTTTTTACTTTCACATTGACTGGGCCCCATTTGTAATTATCTGAAGTATTTATCTGCATTATATCTGAATTTAATTGAAATGATATGAGCGTCTGTTTGTGGGCGGGGCTTGTTGGAGCAGAGCGGGAGGGGAGAGGAGGGGCTGAGGGGAAAAATGGTTGGGAGGGGTAGTGTTTTAATTCAAGATTTCACCCAAAAACTGGCACTTCCCCAGATCCTGCTTACCCCACCTTTAACCAAAACATATGATAGCCATTGAGCAATATACAGTGTAGTATAGATATAGCCCAAAATTTTATTTAAACTAAATTTAGACGTCAAAAAAACTTTCATTTTTAGACCTGTGGTCGCCTGATTTTAGACCAGTCGTCTCGGCTACATTTAGACGTCTATTAGACCAAAAAATGCTCACTGAGGATGAGGTTAAAATCCATTAAATGTTGTAATTAGTACTCAAGTCTTGCTCCAGGGAAAACCCTCTCATCAAATTTAAAGTGTTGAATAACCGTTACATTTTTTAGCCTTGATTATTGTCCCCCCTGCTTCCTCTCTGTCTCACTGACCTTTTAACATCACACGGTCAGCGTCAACACTAGCATCACAACATATTCACACACACACACACACACACACACACACACACACATTTCCCTTTTCTGAGATGTGAACACAAATAAACATCCTGATTGGGACATTAATCATGCACGAACGCCTCCATACATATACACAGCACCGACACACACACCCCCGTGTTGTTTAGCAAATTAATTAGACCAGTGTTCAATAGGCTCTCAGCTGTAATGAATGGAGCTTTAGAAATTAAGGAGTGACAGCAGGAGTGAACCAGGAAGGGACAAGTAGCCTGAGAAAAATGAACAAAACTGGTTATTGCTCCCTCAGCCTGACATCAGAGGTCAGAGATATTTCCTGGCAGACCATCAAACTGCGTGGTTTGAATATTTCTTTGATAATTCTGTGAATATTTGTAGTTTTTTTTTTTTTACAAGGATAACCAATTTCCTGGCTTTCGCGCGATGGTTATGCTGACATCTCATTTCAGCTGGTATTTTACTTTGATATTGTTGAAGTTTCATCACCTTCACTTCAACAGTCTCTGCTTGATATTATTTGTCAATTTTTAGATTTAGATTTGTAACTCAACAACGACAAATAACACATCTGTGATATGGTGATACAATATAAGAGTAGAAACTTGGTATTTTAAAAAGTATCAGGCAGTTTGAAACAGGAAGATATTTTTATCCGTTGTCGAAGAGTTTTGTTCATAAACAACGTTGTTCTGTATCAAACAAAACGCAACAAAGTAGAGATGAAGATATTTGATAATATGTAAACATAACGATCATAATCATTTCCAAGACTTCACTATCAGATAGGTAAGAGCAAAGTTTTTCAGGCAACTATAGAACCAAATATCTGTAAAGTGGTGCTCATCGATGTTGCTTCTTGACCAATCAGAATCGAGAGGGGGCGGGACTTCTAATAAGTCTTCGTCTGTGTGTACTGTAAGAGATCTTCAACATTTCGTCAACAAATTAAACGTGTTCTTAGTTAGTGGAAAGGGTGCTGCCTTGGCTGCATCTGTGGAGGTGGGCTTTTGGGGACAAATCTCATGGTGGGCAGAATGAAGAAGGGATGCTGTTCTACAAAAATGACGCTGCAACAAACATTTCATTTTTCAACTTTCAGCACTCTTTTTGGACGCAGACTTTTAGATTTGGGTGGATTTAAGTGAAAGTCTTGGATTAGTTTTGGACAGAAAAACAGATTTCAGGCTAACCATAGTCCTGTAATCCCAAATTATATTAAATTCTGTCTGACACTGTCGCGGTGCTTCTGATTTCCATTTAAGACGAATACCTTTTAATACCTCGGGCTCTGTGGTTAGGGCAAACATCACAGTTGGAATGAAGTATGATTTATGATTCTACATTAAATTTTGGACCCAGCTCATCAGATGTAATGGAATATTCAACGGAAAAATTCCCAGAAATGTGGATCGGCATCTTTGGAGAAAAGGGACGTGGGCTGACTTAATCTTCCTGCTCGAATATTCCTTCAGTTCCTGTCACTGACCCGTTTGTAACCTCTCTGTCTTTGACTCTTTTCTCTTTGGAGAGCATCGATTCCTGTCCTGCTGATTCATCGTGGACGCCCTTCACCACAGTGACGTAGGCAGCTGTGATACCACACACACTCCCTCTTACATACACGGAGGAGACAAGCCCAACAATAGAAGCAGCCAAGTCACCTCAGTCCATTTTCCTTCCGCACGCCTCTCTCATCTCTCTGACAGCCCGGGTCAGCGGCTGTGTCTGGCATGCAGAGAAAAATCACACAAAGATTACGAGTCCATTAATGTTCAGGGATAGTTCATCTTTCCAGCAGTAAATGTATCACCTAATCCACAAGTTATTCATCCCTGATGAGTCCAAACTCCTGATCCAAGATCTTCTCAAAGTGTAGTTGATTTTGCCTGGTGTTTTGGCTTCTCTTCTCACCGATAAATTCTGTTTATTGTCGTATAAATCATTTTCCTGCACATAAAAAATGCCAGAATGTTCTGTGTTTAAAAAAGTAATTGCGGAGCTTGTTGGTATGTGTGTTTGTTTTCATGTGCAGATGAATGTATGACATTTGTATAAAAGCAGAGGCATCAGACGGTGTGTGTGTGTGTGCGTGTACGTGTGTGTGTGTGTGTGTGTGTGTGTGGATGTCAGGCCGATATGTGGTTCACATTAGCTCTGTTTGATGTCTCCATCACAGGCCTCTCTCCTCCTACTTCTACACTACTGTTTGATCTGCACCAATCTGGTCCTGATCATTCCGCCTTTGTTTACTTTCAAAGACACTTTTCATTTCTCCTTGTTTCTCTAACCTCCGCTCACCCACTCCGCCTGTCACTCTCACTCAGTGTGTGTGTGTATTTGCGCAGGTTTAAATGTCTTTTGTTCTTCTGAGCAGATGTGTGTCGGATTACAATGCGGAGAAGTCAGGGGTGTTTTACATCTCGATGGCTGTCCTGTGCTCTGGGTTTCAAAGGCATTTTCTTTAAATTAGATTTGAGAAGTAACATCACTTCTTTTTTTTTTTGTGAGGTCTTTGTTACCGATGATGGTTATGATTCGAAGGCAAACACTGCCTAGGAGGAGTGGAGTCAAATCATGGGACATATTTCATCTCCATCTGGATCAGACATAAGGAGGTTAAGTACAGGTCCACACGGATCTCACGCTCACCCTTTGTGATTCAGTCTGTGGATGATGCATAAAGACCGGGGTTTATGAGCCAGTCTTTTTCAGCTATGAGTTCAAATTTGTATAAACATGGATTCCAATATTTCTGAGCTTGAGTGTGACATGATCCCAACGCTGTTATGTTTCCTGAGGTACAGATCAATCTTTTTATGGTTTATTTGTTAAGGAGAGATACATTACACAGGGAGCAGTCATTCGATGCAAGTATCATAGTGTTTAAAGTGGATTAAAGGAGCCATGTGAAGGTTTCAACCACTTGTAGGACTCTAGAGGAAAGTATTGGCAGCTGATTTTATTGGAGAGGATAGAACAGCTGGCAGAGCTGGAAGGGAGGGAGAGAATGAACTGCAGGCTGGAACTGAACCTGGACTGCCCACTCGAGGCATAGCCTCCATACATGGGATGCACACATCTACATGCTTGTCCAGCAGCACCATCTCTCTCTTAGTTTTATTGCGTGCAGGCATAGACCAGCGTACACACACGTCAGCATGCTGGAGGTGAATTACATACAGTACAGAGTAGTTGTAGCCTGGCATTGCCAAACCAATCAGCCAGCTCATATTTATATTTACTGGCATATGAGTCTGGAGGCTGCCATTCTTAACGTTTCATCTTAAACCGCACCAATCACAACGCTTTGTTCAAGCATATTTACTTCTGCATACTGTGCCCAAATCCTCTGGCTGATGCTGCCCCTGTTTACTGAGGTCTATTTAGGAAAACAAACGGCTATTATGTGGAGCCGCCAGGTCAGCTGGTAAATTAGCTCACCCTGTATCTCTGCGTTAAAGCCGTTTTTACAATGAAACTTAAACATGCATTCAAGAGTAAGAATAAGAACTGTATTGATCCCTGAAGGGAAATTCAATTGTCTGTCGTTTCATTTGTTATGTCTCTAAAAGTCATCTACTATTTACAGAAGAGTTGTAAAGTCTGATGGCTGTTGGTACAAAAGATCCTCTGAATCTTTCTGTCCTGCAGCGAAGAGAGAGGAGCCGTCCACCACCATTGGCCCTTAGGTACATGAAGGTGTTGTGAAGTGGGTGATCCATGTTCTTTAGAATAGTCTCCACCTTCCTCAGTGTAGATCTCTCCACCACATCCTCCACTGAGTCCAGCTTGAGTCCAACCACAGAGCCAGCCTTTTTCACCAGCGTAGAACAGAACACTGTAGACACCACCGACTGATAAAGCAGGTCATTGTGTGAGTTTATTAATGTTATTCACGATCAGTCGACCTGTTGCTTGTCTGTGGGAGTGGGTCTCAAAAGTCCATCATCGTGTTCACTGTCAGATGAGCTGCATTGTGTGTCCTTGCTTGGCTGTGTGTGTGCGTTGTGTGTAGTCCTATGTGACATTTTGTTGGTCTTGTGTGGTTGTAAAGGGGGGAGCTGTCGTGCATTTTGCACCCTCCTCTGCTGTCAGCATATTTTGATGAAGTGCACATGTAGTGAATGTGATAAAGTGATTCTTAGAAGATTTGTGGCTTTAAATCAGCTGTTTTCTGTTTTGGTGAAAACTCAGTCTTAGATGAACTAAATTGAAGAGTCAGGGTTTGATAGTGATTTACACTGAAGTTTCACTTTGGTTTACGTCAGAGATGTGATACCAAAAAAAAAAAAAAGGAAAAGATTTTAGAGTTATTTACCTCAAAGTAAACTGGTCTTAAATTTGTTGGTATAACAACATCATCGTGTGGATTTGTAAGAAGTAAAAATCCAGGTTTATCATGTTTGTCCTCAGGGACAGAAGAAGACAACTTTTTAAATGTTTATTGAATGGAGAGTGGATCGATCATCTGATGCACTGCAGGAAATCAGGAAATCTAAACTCTGTTCAGCTTCAGACTACGTTTACACATGCCCATTTAACCCTCTCTGTTTACAAAAAAAAAACAAAAAAACGGAGAGAACACCACTACGTTTTCAGAAAACTTTTCATTTATATTAACCTGTGTATATCTGCTGTCAAGAGCATATCAAACATGTGGGTGGCATTGTAGCGAGAAGCTCACGTTAGCCAATCAGAATCCCTCATAGCAGCAACAACAACATCCCTTCCTTCTTTCTTGCGCACAATCTGCTGTCGGCTACACATATCTCCGTTTTCCTGTTTTTCTCCATTTACATGCAAACAGAGTTTTCTAAAACCTCCACTCTGGCCGGAGTTTTTAAAAAGCACAATTTTCAGGGGCAAACGATGGTTAATGTCGCCGCTTTTAAAAATAACCGGGTACATATAAACATGGCCTTAGTGATCCAGTGTTAGAAAAAAATCTGTCCCTTAAATTTAAATCTTTGATCTTTTACAAGCTGCTAGCCACACTAGCATGTCATTATCTGTTAAAAGAAGAAACTTAGCCATCATCAGACTACCACTCGATGGAAACCATGATATCAGTATGACAGACTGAGTTTGAATCCAGCTCACTTCATCATACATCTCCATGCAGAACCCGTAAATAAAGATTACTGTTAGATTTCAGGTTCCATGTGGACTTTTCATCGACTTTGAAGATTAGCACCGTACAGACCGTCTCTTTTTGCCTACACCGAAGCTGAAGCAACAGATTGTATCTGTGTCACAGATACATACTGATCTGAGTTATAATTGGTTATGTAGCCCAGACATGTGTTAAGATCCCAGAGAACATTGAAGTTCCCGTTGGGGATTACGTCTTCTATCATTCCTCTGAACACCTGCAGGTCCCTCACACAACAATGGCGTGCTTGGATGTGGGTCTATCTACCCATATTTACTTCACTTCTTCAAGCACATCTCTTTGTCTTCCATAAACCTCTGTGCTCATCTGCTCATCCCTCCTTCTTTCTCAGGGAGTTTCTTGTGAGAGTTACATGTCTAAGACCCATTAATACTAAAAGCTGTTGACATATAGTGAAATTCCTCTTTCTGGCGACGGGTAATTCAATGCTAGAAACCATTTATCTTCCTACAAGGCCGTTCTTATTCTGTTTAAACTCTGTTGCAGACAGAAAGGTGTTTCTAAGAGTGGGTATAAATGGTGCAACGGAGGAAAAAGTCATAAAGTAGATGAGAGAATGAGGACGACCTGCAGAGAGTGTGTGAGTGAGAAACCCTGAGAGGTGATTACAGTGTCATAATCATGCAGGCATGTACAGGGGTGTACATACATGAAGTGATGACATGAACAAGTACACATTACAAATGTAACGTGTCCACACCATGGCAACCACAAGGATAAATTGTTGCTCACAAGGGTGGATGGCTTCCCTCATATCTTCAGGTTGGGGTTAGAGATGGATCTGCTGCCAGGATGCTGTATGTGCACATGTTTTTAATTAACTTACTTTCCCACTATTCAAACTATTGGGCTCTTGAGTGCTGAAAATATTCATTTACAGTCCTCAGAGTCAAATTCTTTCCATCTGTGACAATATCTCTGCAGCACAAATTAAGCAATCAGTGCGTAATTAAGTAATTCTTCTGAGTCAGACTTTCAACTTAAGGTGGAAATTATCTCTGTCAATCATCTCACCACATCGTGTAATGAAAAGCACACAGTGGAGGACCAGGCTCTGATTAGATGGGATATAATCGGGTCAGAGGAGTGTGAGATAATGAAAGTGAGAGTTGTTCTGCTGTCGTCCCGTATGTTCAGGGTCCTGTGGGACTCAAACAGGCCTGTTAAACTTTATTAGAGTGAACAGGCTTCCCGAGTCCACACAACACCGGGCCTGGGAGAAAAACCCACAAACAGAGGCCATAAACATAAACACAACAACAGACTATTGTCTCTGCCAGTGGGGGAATGAACGGATGACAGGATGGATGGATGGATGGATGGATGGATGGATGAATGAATGAGGGTCCTGTTCTCTGCTCATCTAGGCTGCTCAGATAATGCCAGTGCAAAGATATGGGTGTAATTTTAGGTAAAAGTCCCGCTCCGATTGTTTTTTTTTTACTACTTAAAGTGTATCAATGGTTTAAATTGTGATTGTGAAGTTTTTATCCAAAATGATGTTACCTGTGCTGTTTTCAAGGGGTTTTCCTCTTTAGCAATTTACCTCTGAGTTGTGGGCGTAGACCAGGGGTGTCAAAGTCAAATGGAGGAAGGGCCAAATAAAAAATTTAGCTACAAGCCGAGGGCCGGACTGATAGAATGTTCATTGAAAATTTTTTAAATGACGCATATAGTCTAGTGAACCTAATTGAACCTACTGAAAACCTAACAAATATATTCCAATATGATCAGATAAATAAAGCAATATTTTCTTATGGCTCTGTCAGTAATCTTTAATTTTCAACAGACACAAAAGACAAATTTCCTTTATATAAAAATCCCCATAACATGAACATTAAATGAAAGAAACCGGTATTATTCAAGTCACCATCAGTAGCCTATATTTTCTATTTTAGCAAAAGTGGGCTAAATTTACTTCAAAGAAAAAAATAATAATAGCAATTTTCTATCATCCATTTTTGAACAGAGCCTGTCGAGATTTGAGGCCTCGTTTTAATTCCTCGGCCTTCTGTAGCCTTTGTTCCATGTCCATATTCTTGTTTTTGTCCGCGTGTTTCGTTTCATAATGTCTTCTCAGATTATACTCTTTCAGTACCGCCACACTTTCTCCACACAGAAGACACACAGGTTTTCCAGCTACCTCCGTGAACATACACTCCGACTCCCACCTTGTTTGAAACCCCCGGTTCTCAGTGTCCACCTTCCGTTTTGCCATTTTTGATGGGTATCTGAAAGTTAATTTTACTGTTATGCTGACCACTGCTTTGCTAATAAATATTGAAATGAAGCAGCCTACTGCTCGGTGCGTCACCGTTGCATTGTGGGAAATGTAGTTTTGGTGCGTGTAAAAGATCTGCGGGCTGCCGGCTTGCTGCGGTCTGCGGGCCGGTTCTAATAATAAATCAAGATCATCCCAGGGGCCGTAAAAAACCTTCTCGCGGGCCACATCCGGCCCGCGGGCCTTGACTCTGACATATGTGGCGTAGACAGTGCTGCTCTGCACACTCATCTTCACGCTAGCTTGCAGCCTAACATTGCCGGTGTAGTTGAAGTAGCAGGTAACATAGCAGTTATTCAGCTCTCTGACATGAATGTCTTTGGCATGGTGAAAGCTAACAGCATAATTAGCTTTCTTACAAGCATTGCAATCCACTAACGAACACGCTTGGTTCGAGATCGTCCTCTCTACTTTTCCGAGTGTGGCCTCCAGGGGCGGAGCTTGGATTTGCGACGTTGGAAATCTCACTAAATTTGAACCTGCCGTTTGGGTCTGCCAGAGATTCACAGCGATTTGAATGAAGAAATACTCAGAAATGCAAATTTGCACTTATTTTTCTCATGATATGTCCTGTAGCATCAGAAAAATGCTGTATGAACATGTAAACAACAAGAAAAACATGATTTTCAGCGGAGTTGGTCTTTGAGATTAGAGGTGTAATGGTATCATGATCTCATAGTCTGGTTGTATCATCGTATCAGTCTGTATTTATTGTTGTATTTAAAAAAAAAACTACACACAAAAATGCCATTTACATTCATGGTTATATTCTTGCTTAAGGCTCTGTGTAACTTTAGCCTTTGTGTCATTGTAGAGGGCTGCTCACAGTGTTTAAATGAAGAGTGGCTGTGACAGGTATTAATACTTAAGCTCTAGTGTGTTTCCTAATCTTCAATCCTCCATTGTCAACCACAGAAAATGTCTGTAGGTCTTAAGCTATTCAGTGATATACCTGATGATCTCTTGAGCTCTCACTGATCTGGGAAAGTGAGACTGTAAAGCTTCCTTTAGAGTCTCTTGGCCCGGCTGGATTTATCATTTTCTTTTACTTCTCAGTCTTTTCAAGGTGACGATTTACCAAGTGGCATTTTTCATTTTACTCATTCTCTACAAGATGTCAGTCACTGTGGTCTGACAGTGTCTACATCTTGTTTTGGTTTGTCAGACACCTTTTTTCATTACTTGACCTGGGGAAACCAAAATGCTTCCACAGCTCTGCTTTTAAAAGCCACCAGAGTACAACAATTATAAAATTGCCTCCCTGTGTCTTGACCCGCCATTTTTGCTGAGGTAATGAACAACAATGAGATTTGTAGTTCCCACTACTCTCTGCTCTGCTTCTGAAAACAACTTCTCTGTCATATGGTCTTGTGAGATCAAGAAGATGGTGCTGATAGTACTGCCGTCAATAATAAAATGTAGTCATCTATAAAAGTGCTTTAATAAGGGTTCATTTCTGAGGATTTCATCTACTTCTTCTGCATGAACAGTTTTAACTGTGAGCAATGTTATAGCCGGCTGATCCTGCTTCGATCAGGTCACCTCTTTTTGGTGGCATTAAGGTACAGTGTTCACTTTCCAGAGCCTCTCGACATGCTTGGCTGTCTTCTAGAGGTGAGGCTGAGGTGAAAAGACACTGTGCTGGATGGGCAGGCTGCCTCCATGAGCTAAATAGGACCTTGAAGGGTCCACCCAAGGCTGGTGTAGATTGCTGCTGGGCCACCAGGTGGATCAAGTTGACCTGGTTCCACAGGAATAATTAGATGGGACTGGTCTGATCCCATTAGCAGTGCTGGTTCTGCTACTGCTGGCTCAGAAGGAAAAAAATGAAGAGGTCATGTCCCGCAGGTAAAAAAATATAAATTATAATGCCTGATAGAACTATTGATTGTAAAAAAAAACTAAGTCCATACTCTTTTGAATGCTCACTGAGGTGAATATGTTGTCTATGCAGTAAGAGCATGACCCCTGAACTCTGTATGCCCTGGGAAGTCTGAGCTAGTAGCCACATTTACATGCAGACTTTTTTCTCATTCGGATTATAATCATTCCGATTGAAGCTCCCAGGCGAACTGTTTACATGGAAGCGATCTATTCTGATCTGGTGTTTACATGTGCCACGGCATTCAATCGGAACAGCTATTTACAGACACGTGATACCTTCAAACATCACGTGATTGATTGATCACGTGATCTCCGACGCAGACCAGTGCATCGTGCTCTGTTTGGAAGCCGCCATCATGTTTCCATGTGAGTCATACGTCACTGCTTGTTTACATCAGGACAGAGCATGCGCAGACAGAACCCAGCCTGACAACTTTCCGATTCACCGTTTACATGACAGGATTTTGCTTTTAATCGGAATGGGAAAAGGAATATTCTACCCCTGTGAATCGGAATGAAATTCCATTCGGAATGGGCCTGTTTATTCCGAATGAGGTGTTTATATGGAGCATTTTCATTCCGATTGGGCTTCTAATCCGATTATATTCGGAATATTTGGCTCCATGTAAGTCTGAGCTAGTGATGTGTCGGTTGTGAACGAACCGGTTCAAAGAGCCGACTCTTTAACTTGAACGATGGGCGGCAGCTCCAGCCTGTGAGCCATTTTCTTTTTCTTTTTTTCTCTCTTTTTTTACCCTCCCACAGAATGTAGAAAAAAAATGCCTCAATACACCAAGCAGAGGGGGGCGGGGGTGTGCCATGTGTTTGTGCTCATTAGTCAGATGCGCTCAGGATGGCTAATTTTTACTTGTGAATACTTCAGTTCAAAGGATGTATTGAATTATACAAGAGGTATGTGTACACATACATACATATCATAAGCCAGACAATGCTAAAATTGACTGAGTTAGAAAATGTGTAAGTGGTAAAATGAAGAGCCGTTTGGTTGCCGAAAGAGCTGAGCCAAATGATCTGGCTCACTGAAAAGAGTCGTAATTCCCATCACTACTAGCAAACACGTAAGTTGTTGTTGTATAGTGCTGACAAAACTGTAAAGTGGGTTGTATGACCCTGGATTCATTTTTTTTCTTAGCTGTAAAGAATACACCAAAGCTGAACAAGGCTCTGCTTCGTCTCTCTTTCAACAGCTTCTTAATCCAGCCTCAAACTCTAGAGTCTGTCTGAGTAGTATACAGCAAAGTATCTTTGTGACTTTTTTATCCATGTTTTCATGTCGGAAACTGTTAGCCACATACTTAGTCACATTGTGGTGTCCTGGTTTGAGTCTACCAACCAATCAGAGGCAGTGTTCCAAACTTTGCACCAACCACAGGCTCTGTTATGAATGTGAGTCACTGCTGATCCCAGTGGATGTTTGCCAGTGAAATATTACTCCCCCGTGTCATTCATTGTTTTAACAGCGTAGCACTCTAAATTAAAAGTAGGAGTTTTATAATCTCATAAGTGGTCGACCCTGTGTGTCTTTTGATAGCACATAATTGGACCGGGACCAGACCGAATGAGAATGATATTTTTTTTCTTGTACATTTTATTTGGCATCTTAACAAGGACATTGACAAAAAGAGATCTCAGAAGACGAACAGCTCACTGAGCCCAGAGATTTAGTCCCAGTCTCTTAACCCAATGCTGTTGCCCAACCAAACTGTCGGCAACCAGATTGCTTTACCGCCTTTTAAAGACCCAGGCTCTAATCTCAGGGTATTGACAAGACTGATTTTGCCCTGTCACTGCCCTACCACTTGGTCCCTAATATCCTCATGTCTTAAACTCTGATATAGATGGACACCAAGAGGCAGCTTATCATCATGTTATTAAAAGGGCCCCTTACTTTGCTGGTGTTTTATTAAGTTGGGCCGGTAACACCTCAGGGGGGCTCGACAGTCAACTCCAGGAACCTAAAACCATCCACCTACATGTGAGCTGTAATTACCTATCACACCCATGCACAAGAAAAGAGAGAGGTAGCAAGAGTTTGTAGAGAGATGTTAGAAAGATTGTTTTGGGCTAGATCTGATTAGGCTGTGGGCCCTTCCTCCCTCTACTTCCCCATTTTCATGAGAAAGCCTCAAAAAATCAGAGCTTGTGTTACTTGTATTTTAAAGCTGTCATGAAACCTGGCAGTTGAGGGTGCAACAATAACAGACAAAAACACCAAAATCCTGCAGGGACTGAAAAACGATGTCCACCCCTGATCTTTGAAATTATGTACTTACTGTTGTGATTGTGAGGCCACATTCATGATGAAAGTAGCAGCTACAGTGAGTCATCAGGGTTGGATTTGGTAGTAAACCACCCGTTAGGATCTGGCCTGCAGCGTTTAACTGCATGACTGTGTGATCACCGTCCTGATTAGCTGCTGCATCCATCACTGAGTGTTTAGACGAGACCTACAGCCCTGCTGATGGACATGAGCTCACTCCCCTGTGCAGGTGCTGAGAGGGTGGGAATATGTGTAACACACTCACGCATTACCATTTCCACACATCACTACAACACTATACTGTTAAACAAAGTTGTAATCAGTGAAATGTTTAGTTTTGGCACTTTAATAAATGATAAACAGTCATTGTACTGCAGAGTCCCTGTTGATCGAATTTGACTTTCTCTTGGTGTTTCCATTTACATTGACTCATCAGTCAGGGTGGACCTCAGTACCCAGCATGCAATCTTTTTTTCTCATGTACCTCTTGAGGCCCATCACCATAGAAATAAACTGTAGATGTTAGCTGTCTGAAAAAACATGCTCTTAAAAGATTTATCCAAATGGCAGCCTGAAACTTGGTGTTACTGAATACTAACATCATAAAGGTCAGGGTTGTTTCTCCTTATAACAAGTTTTATATCAATAAGAGGTACCACAGAATAGGAACACGCCTTATAGCTCTGATACGATACAGATATCTACAGTTTAGTATCGGCCTATACCGATCCAATTCCGACACAGAAAAGCCGCGCTGTATTACCTTGTGTTGTAACCTGAAGTTTTACCGCTGCCTCTCATAACGTTAGCTATGCAGGTACTGCAAGTGGCCGTCGAGCTTGTCGGCTGAGGTATTGTGATAAAGTTCAAGATAGCAGACCCCTTTGCTCGCTCCATTTTAAAAACAATGTGTGCATCCGCTCAGCGTGGTTATTTGTGGATGCCACTCACGGCGCATAGCATAGAGTTAGACTGAATTTTTTTTTTTTTTTTTTTTTTTTTTTCTTGTGTTTTTGTTTTTGTTTTTGTTTTTTTTGTTTGTGGTTTGCTTTTACTGGACTTTAATTGTCTTGAATGACCTTTGCAAGACTGTACATGTTTTATTGAATTATGTATTGTATTGTCTTGTATTGTATTGTTTGTTTTATTTGTGGACCCCAGGAAGAGTAGCTGCTACCTTGGTGGCGGATCCGTATGAATAAAGAATAAAGAATAAAGAATAGATCAGCCCCTATGCATCGGGCCCATTGTCTTGATACCCGATCTAGAATTTTCCTCAGTATCGGAACCGATGCCAATATCAAATATCGGATTGGTGTATCCCTACCACAGGATATAAATAAAATGCCATCATTGTCAATATTTGTTACTATCAATCAGTTTGTGAAGAGTTTACTGAAAAAAAACATACTTTACCAAACTTTTTTAATGCATCTCCATCTTCAAGTTTCTTTGGCCCATGCTGTTGGAGTAATTGAAAAATGGCTGACGTTTATGTTCCCTGAAGTGACATGTATTTTTTATTACAAAGACGATTATTTCAGGAGAAGTCTGCAGTGTCTGTGTGCATTTTTAACAGTAAGCTGTGTGGAATCTGCAGCAGCAGCACGTTTAGATCTATGCGTCTGCAGCCTGTTGAAGCTGATGAGTCTCCAGAGCTCCAGACTGATGTCTCCTCTCACTCCGCCTGATCTGGGAATAATCACTTGTGGAGATTGGTGAGTGCTGTGTCAGAGACATTACACTCTATCTTTGTTAATTACCCATGTGTGTGTGCACTTTAGCTCGTCTGACTGGGAGATATGGATCATTCTGATAAGTCTTTGTTTCGTCAGAGTTTGTTATTGTCTCTTCCATCTTTTCCCCGTCTGTCTGTCCGTCTGTTTCTTTTCTTTTTTCTGTCTTTTTTTCTTCCTCTTCATGTTTTATTCTCTTAATTGTTTCCAGAGTGTTTGTTTGGAAATTTGTAAAGTTCTCCATCACACGCAACCAGGATCTAAGCCAAGGCATTCCCTTCTCCACACACCCTCATGCACACACATACACACGAATGCAAACACACTAGCTCACAGAAAACGCCACAACTAATCTACTGTGCACATGCATGTATCTGCACATACCAGCCTGTATTAGGTGAATAAAGGAGGATATTGAGATCCAAATTTGGAATGTATATAATTAGACAGGAGTGCGAACACACTTATCTTGCTCGTGTTTGTGTTTGCGTTGCCATGGTGATGCCACTTGCTCACTTAATCTTCATGTCTCAGCCACAGAAGTAGGAAAGGTGAGAGCACCACCCATCCCTTTCCTTTCCTCACACTGCCACGCTTTGCTCATTCTTATCTGTTTCCCAACTTTATCGCCCGCTTTTCTCATTTTCCCACCCCTTTGTGTCGTTCACACACATACACACACAGAGACACACACATACATATACACACACATATTTGTGTTTATTTGATTTACATTCTTCACCGACCGTGCTCCTCCTTTGCTGTTCTCATGATATTTACTCAGGCAACAGGTCAACAGGTCACGTCATATTCTCTCAGCAGGAACTCAATTTCCCATCAGCCACTTCACGCTGAGCTAAACCTTTCCTCACGCTGTGGTCAGATTAAGGTTGCAGAGGGAGGGATGAGATCTGACAGATGAGAAAAGAGACATAAAAAAGGTCCTGGCTGAGGCGCGTTGACATGGTGAGAGTTATGAAGTTAGATGCTGCGGAAAGGGAGGTGCAGAAGAAATGTGGGGTGTGTGTGTAAAAGAGAGAGAGAGAGAGAAAGAGAGAGAGAGAGAGCGCACATGTGTGTGCATTTGTGTATATGCTGGGGGGCAGCAAGGGAGGGTTTGAGGGAACTGTAAGGTGCTTTCCCAATTCCAGTTTTGAATTCATTGTTTTTGCAAAACATGTGGTCTGAATTTGGTTTGGGGAGAAAGAAGGACAAGAGTTCTACGAGAGTACACATGAGTTCTTCATGTACACACCAGTGCATACCAACACACACACACACTTGCCGTCATAGGCACACACTTAAAATTGTCTGTGAAGTCACGCCCCACATGAAGGGGAGAAAATGCTGCTGAAAATCCAAAGCAGTGATTTTAAGGGAAAAGGTTTTGTGTGTGTGTGTGTGTGTGTGTGTGTGTGTGTGTGTGTGTGTGATAGTTGCATTTTCAGCACCTTTCAGTCTAGATCATGTCACTGGCCTTAAAACTATAAATCCCTGACAAAACAGTCAAGTGTTTAGAATAAATCAGCCAATCACCTGCTTCCTCTTATAAGGTCATCAGGTAAGAGCCCTCTGATTGGTGGAGACGTTGTAGTGTAGCAGAGCTAATTGGTTAATGGTACTTTTCCCAGATCTCTCACCGCCACCTCGCTACTCATCTGGTTTCAATCAGGAAATAAACCGCTGCCTCAACTTCTCACCTCTTTTCCTCTCTCTCTCTCTTTTTGTTTTACATCTCCAGCTCTTTCTCTCTGTATTCGTCATCCTCTTGTTTTGCTTGCATAAAAAAAGGGGGAAACCCAGAAGTTGTGGCAGTTGTGATGAGAATATTGTGTATTCACTGTGGTTTGAAAAAGAACACACAGTAACACACACTTCAAAAACCCTTTCCATTGTTTTGTAAAGTTAATGTTCCTTCACTCAGATTCAGACACCATTTGTCACAGAAAAGGAGCATGATGTTCTTTATGCGTTGTTTGTAATAGGCTGAAACGCACCGGACCATTTCACCTGCTGGTGGAAAAATTGTAATCTGGGATCTCGCCACAAACGCTCCTCTATTGCACATCAACACAATACATAGATAAGTTCCTAAAAACAGCTGAAAAAGACCAGAGATTGAACAGCCCTACCTGGTTTGACGGTATGCTCTGAGTTCTGACTGTTGTTTTTCTCCGGACTGACCCATGCAGATAATAGAAGAGAAATAGAATAGAAATGGAAGAGGAGTCATTTTATGCAGATTCAGATGTGGTGAATAGTTCATCTAGTCTCTGTGGCATATCCATTATTGACGGTGATGCCAGATTGTTCGTTCTCTGTAGAAGATAACAAGAAATCTGTTGACTTGTCTCCAGTCTGTCTGTCCCATTAGACTTCACTTTAAACTGTCAGTCTCATCATTTATTCAGATACTGTAACATCCCTGCTATAGTCACTATTTCCACCTGTAGTTTGTTTATGACCAGGTCAATTTAGGGTCAAACTGCTGCATTTTTTATTGTTTGTTCTTTGAATATAAACGAAGTAAAAACATTTTAAGGAATTTTACTTTTTTCTAGGGCTTGGCGATAAAACAATAACAATATCAGTATAAAACATGGTCAATATGCTTTTCAATAGTTTTGGTTGACCATGTTTTTGTTGACTATATGAATAGCCAATGGAAAGGGGAGTTGCTTCGGGACGCGACACGCTAAACCAATCGTGCAGAGTAATGTGCACTGCAAGTTATGTCGAGTACATGTTAAATTTAATTAAAGAGTGACAGGGAACATGTAAGATTGACAACTGATTTTTCTATTATTGTGATACATATCGATATCGACTGATATGAACAAATATAGCATGATAAACTTTTTCCCATATCGCCCAGCCCTACCGTCTCCCACACACACACACACACACACACACACACACACACACACACACACACACACACACACACACACACGCACACACACGAAAAGTTGTTCACATTTGCCAAAGTTATTTTGAGATTCAGACATTTTCTGTGATAAAAAGTGACAGAAAACAATTCAGAAACCTTCACATCCAGACAGGTTGTGTCATCATAAATGTTAGATCAGGTTAACTTGGTAACCATAGTGACAATACTTCCAACATCCAACACATCCCATCCAACACCATTTTAAATGAGATCTCTCTCTCTCTCTCTCTCTCTCTCTCTCTCTAAATTCTGCTGACCTGTGTCTTTGGTAGAAGTTGTTTTCTTCATCTGCTGTGGTGGCAAACTGCAGCATTTATTAGGAGAATAATGAATGTGCGGAAGATCACTGTGAGAGTAAAGGAACATCCTCCTGTGTGTGCACAGAATAAATGAAATGAGGAAATTATGGTACAATACCTTTTGCAGATTCGGGGAGGATCATTCTTTGAATCAAGGTTATTAAGCCAAGGTAGGTGAGGGAATCAGATGTAGAAATTCTCTCTTAGAGAGAGGTGAAAAATGTTATCCCTTGATCTTAATAATATCCCTTAAATGACTCTTACTGCAGGAGACACAAGCATGATGACAGAAGTAGAATCTAGCTCCCATCTTAAAAATGCAGTGGTGTCCTTTGTAAGACTGAAATCAAGGAAACCTACAAATGTGACACAGTGTCCTTGGAATAATGTCATAAATATTACCAACAAGAACTGTCAACTGTATGGTATAAAAAAGAGAAAAAAAACTTGAAGGGATATTCCGGTGTAAAGTTAAGGTTTGGGTCAAACACCGTGGTAGACAACCCCTTGAGAGATAAATGTTGCCGACTGCTTGCTTCCCTGCGTCGTGTGCTGTGGAGTTTCGCAGCTCAAGGAAGAACATTTATGATTATTACTTAATGGAAATGCAATCAGATCAAGACGCTAAGGCAGAAGAACTACCCCATCTGCAGTGCAAAATGATTATTATAATGACTATTACTTCAAGAAAATGACCCGCTGCACTCAGTGATTGACTCTTCAGGGCTCCCCCACAAACAAGCGGCTGCTGGAGGAGAGTGGGTGAGTTGTGTTTAGTCTTTTTGCTAAAGAAACCAGGCAAAGCTAAAAAGATGTTTAGAGGCTAGTACTATGGCTGGGACCCTATATGTCCTGTTGATGAAGTTAGGTGCTGTTCTGAGCATTATTTGTGTCTATAGAGTGGCGTTTTGGTTGAGGTTTGTTTATGGCTCCTCAGACCGCTGTGTATTGCTATCGTGCGGTCGTTACTAAAGTTGATATAACTAGAGAATCAAGCGGTTTGCAACATTCATCTCTCGAAAGGGAGTCTAACTCTGTGTTTTGACCCTAAATTAATTTTATGCCGGAATATCCCTTTGACAAACCAGATGTTTAGTATAACAAAAAGCATCATGGGTAAGTCAGCATACTCGACCAGTGACAAACCGTTTTTTAGATCTTTTACAAATCTTGATTGGATTATTTTGGTTTGTTGTAAATTAGGAAAATGAGACGTAACCACCAATCCTTTAAACTTTCCATTTTCTGCCCATATAACTACATAACATGACCCATCCACCCATGCATTAGTCTTTTTTTCTATCACCCATCAGTCCACCATAATACATCAATCCACTCTCTATCCATCCATCCATCCATCCATCCATCCATCCACTCTGGGTCTTCACAGTGTTTGAAAGAGAGCATAAAGAAAAAGTCTATTCTGTGAGTTGTGCTGAAATAAGACTCTCCAGGTTTTCAATGAACCCTAGATGGATTTCTGCATTTATTCATTCAGCACACTCTTCACTCCAAAGCTGCTACGAGTCTAGAGGTAAAGCTCAAAGAACCTCGTGTAATTCTGCAGCTGATATTTGGAAATCGCATCAAGCTTAAGCCTGAGGATGACTCACTGTAAGAGCACAGCTCTAAATCCCTCAAGGAGCAATACGCAAAAAAGGAGAGGAGATGAGAACTTGGAAAGACTTTTTCCGAGTGTTATAAGACTGAGGATGAAGAGGTGATGAGGGATAGAGGGGTTTTCTAAAGAGTCCTTTGAGGACACTGTCTTTAATTTTTAAGCTGATATCAAAGTTGTTTGTATCATATTAGAACATAGACTCACCCTGAAAAGTAATTTCCTCTGGAGACCGAGGACATTAGGAGGGGAAATTTTGAAGAAATTTGATCAGCATACCTTAAATTACTTGTAATCCATCTTGTTAAGCAAGACTTTGTTGAAGAAAGAAAGGACACTTTCGTTTGTGTATGTGTGTGTTTGTATACACATCTATACATGAATCCCATTAAGAGCGTGTGTGTGTGTGTGTGTGTGTGTGTGTTGGGGCCTCTGAGCTGTGAATATTCATGGGCAGCTATAAGTGGTTATGAATGTGTTGAAAGTGATTTTCAATGGACACATTATGAATCACGCCCTGCAAAGGAGCTCATTCAGAGGCATCTGTTACCCAACACTGCTGCTGCCAAACGTGTGTGTGTGTGTGTGTGTGTGTGTGTAGGTGTTCATATTGGGTTTTTGTGTGCATGTTTTTTTTTTCTATATATTGTGTTCATTGTGCCAAAGCCTGAGGAGTGTTTTGTATAAGTAAATTTGTGCCAAAAGGGGCCTAAAACCCTGTAGGAGACCCTGATTTGTTGGTGTGTGTGAGTGTGAGTGTGTGTGTGTGTGTGTGTGTGTGTGTGTAAGACTTTCTGCACGCACTGCAGAGGTTTGAAGCAAATGTCACTTTTTGATTTAGTGAAACTGTCGGTTCTCCGTATTCATGTGTGTGTGCGCGCCCGTGTTTCAATGCATCAAAAGAAGAGGATATAAAAGGTGAATGTCAGTCTTTGATGTAAAACTTCCCACTGTTAAACTTCAGCTTCAATCAACATCTTAACCCCAGCACACACACACACACACACACACACACACTTAAACACACTTACACACACCTAGCGCAGCCACAGTTTAACGTCCGACTTCTCAGTGAGAAGTTTAAAAATCTGGAGACGGAGGAGAGTCAAAGGAAAACAGCCTAATGTAGATGAATGTGGTACAGACATGATCATCCTCCTCACCTGTTCATTTCGCAACAGGTGTCTTCATTTTCATCTGTGTGCGTGTGTTTGTGTGTGTGTGTGTGTGTGTGTTTGTGTCTGTGCCGGTTTGTTTACGTCGCGCTTTAGTTGCAGTCTTGTCTGTGTTACTTGAGCGCGGGCGTGCACGTGATCATTTACATGATCACACAGAGAATTTGGCAACAAACCACCAGCCTACCATCTGCTACTACCCGAGCATGCAGAGTGCGTTCACACACGCACACAAAGACACACACACACACACACACACACGCACACACCTGTCAATCCATTCTGTTTTGTGCGCTCAGTGCTTCGATACGCCACGCTGACTTGCTGGATTAATTGTGTGATTTATTCAGTTGGTTCCTGATTTGGGGTGAGGCGGCCTTTTGCAAAGGGTGGAAACCATCATTAAATCTGACATCACCCCCCCCCCCCCTCCCTGACATGCACACACTCACACTCACACACGCTCGCTAACTCCCCCTTCCTAAAGCACATACACTCTCTTAACAAAGCAGCTGTTGCATAGCATAACACTGAAAATGAGGAGTCTGCTGCATTTCGTGCATCTTGATGTTTTGATTACTGAACTTATGTTGTGTGTGTGTGTCCTCCTAGCAAAGGTGTCATAATGGCCCCCTGCTGTTCAGACCTCAATTAACCCCCTGCAACTGCACAGCAGAGACACAGTGTGGGGAAAAGAGGGAGGAGGGATAGAAGAGGATGGTGGTGTCAGAGGAATGATAGAGAGATAGAGAAAAGTGGATTTCGTGACTGGTTAATTTCTCTTCCTCTGAAGAGTTGTATTTTTCCTTCTTTCATCTATCCATCTAACCCTCCTCGCCCCCCTGTCCGTCTGAAAGGCGCCTGGGGGCAGATGCAGGAACTGAATTCAGGAGTGGGACTTGGACAATGGCGGGTTGAGCCAGCTTTACAAACCCCTGACCGTCAAGTGGACGGCCTGTGAAAGCTGTTAGCCTCCAGACCTGCAAAAATACTCGGCACACACACACACACATCTACAGAGGAGGAAAGAGAGAGAGAGAGAAAGAGAGGGAGCAAAGGAGCCCTTTTCTTCTTTACACTGACAATAATAATAGCCAGGGTAATCTTGTAAAAAGCACTTCAGGACAATCTGAGAAAATGTGGCCCATAGCCCGTGGCTTGTGACTGAATGTGACCCTGCAGATGGCAGTGACACAGATGGAGTTAGAGAGGAAAGTGACTGAAAGCAACCGTAAGCAAGAATCCACTCATTCAGTGCCAGTCAAAGCCACAAGATGGTCCATTTGCAGCTGTGACAGCCTCATCCTATTTCAACTTTGCTCGGAGTGTTTGTTCGATCTGTCCTTTCTCATAAAGCTGATAGAGGGAGAGAGTAATGAACTTTTATCCCATTAGCTTCCCTGGCATCATTCTCCTGCCCTCAGCAGTCATAGCAATGAAACATATTGGAGCTGAGGACAGCAGGGACACACACAAACACACACACAAACAAACACACATTTGACTACAACAACTGATTCCCACCCTGACTTAAGGGCACCAAATCTCCCCAAACTCAAAATCAATGTACAGGCATGTTTAATTTAAAGGCATGCAGGCAAATTAAACATCTGCACAAATACATGTACGCACACACACACACACACAGACACACGGAGACACACACACACACACACACACCAAGGGGAGCCCAGGGTCAGACAGGACTGATTGTCTCTTCCAGTCGCTCCAGAGAGCATATTGATTTTTCCCACACTCCTCTTTCTACACACCTCCCTCTCACTCACTCGCCTCCTCGATTCCTCTCTTTCTCTGCGAAAGACCCGTCATATTTTTTCTCTCCCTCCTTTCTCTGCCCTGTTGTCCTTTCCTCGGACCTCACTTTTTCTTTCTGAACTCTTCTCTCACTGTCACTCCTCCCACTCTCTCCAGTTCTCCATCTACCCCCCACCCCCCAACCTTTACACTTTGTTTTTCTGCGGTGTTTCAGTCTCTTCCTGTGGACTCCTCTCAAGTGTTGAACAGGACTGACCCTTATTCCTCCTCTGGGGATTCGGAAACTCACTTTGATTCCTATAGACAGTGTTACAATAAAACACATCTCCAGGGTGTTTTGGATACGTGTGTGACAGCTGTAAGTTGGTCCCCAAAAACTCAAACAACATCAGTTACACCAAGAATCAGGATCTTGTTTTTTTCTTTTGTCAAATCTGCATTTTGGTGCAATTTCTTCCTATTTATGGACCCTTAGTTGCAAGTTGGTCACAAGGGAATGACTTGAACATTTATTTTTCTTCTTTTTTTTTATCATGTAACCTGTATACTTGAAAACAAATCAAAAGAAAATCAGTTTTTAGGGTTCATATAAACTGGGTAGAGGCTCATTTTGACTTAATAATTACAGTAAAACTGAGACCCATCCATCCATTTTCTACCGCTTATTCCTGTTTGGGGGTCGCGGGGGGGCTGGAGCCTATCCCAGCATCTTCGGACGAAGGCAGGGGACATCCTGGACAAGTCGCAAGTTCACAGCAGGGCTGACATATAGAGACGAACAACCATCCACGCTCACATTCACATCCACGGGCAATTTGAAATTGGCCAATTAACCTAACCCCACTTCTGCATGTTTTTGGGATGTGGGAGGAAACCAGAGTATCTGGAGTAAACCCACGCAGACAAAGCTGAGACCCACTCGACACAAATGAAAAGGCGCCTCCTTGGGAGATGCAAAAAAACAGGAAATGATGGCGTTCACTTTGTAGTTGTTTTTGGCGGAGCGAATCTTGTGTCACTTTTGATCAGTACACTTGAACAGCAAAGACGGTCTTCTGACTAACTATTGGTCGGAATCATAGACTGAATATACTATGAACAACTTGGTTCCGCCTTCTGCAGTATAGTATTTGAAGCCGATTTTTCTCCATTTCCTAAAACCAACATTGCGCAGTAGCATTGTACACATTCAGTGGGAGAGTCGCTGAGAGTCGCTGTGATGACGCTCGGCTCAAACAGCATATCCCCCGGGTGAGCTGCTCAATCTGCATACGCCCATAGGCTGAATCAAGTGTCAATCATAGAAAACATGAACCCCCTAATAAATTCTAAAAATGGAGCTTCACAGAAAAAAGAGGACTTGGGCACAAACCAGTCTAACAGTAACTACATGTCAACATCGCAAACAGGGGAGAGAAATTTATAGTCTGTGTAATAAATTTCTAAAGTTTGTCCACAGCTCCATAGGGATTGCTGGAGGAGTCGGGATTTATGACCTATACTGCAGCCCGTCACCAGAGGGTGCTGTTCTCTGAGTGGCTTCATCCAGCAAAGAGGCAGACAGCTTCCAATCTATATACAGTCTATGGTTGGAATCCCTTGTCAAGCTGGTCATCATCCCCAGAGGCATTTATAATACAGAAAATATCTATTCATTGATTCAATATCAAATTAAAGAAAAGAAATACAAACAAACTATGTTCAACAAAGACTTATCGAATAGAAAATAGAATCAGATATATCTACACCATCAAAGCCAGATTTCCAAGCTGCCTTTCAGAGTGTAGGAACCTCAGATGATTTACCTACCCTCCTTATACTCCTCTTTCACTGAAGCTGCAGGACTCCCCACATCATTCCTCTGATCTGACACAAAGCAGCCCTTTTCCATAAAGCCCCATCTGCAACAAGAGCCCCGCTCTTGTCAGGGAATCATATACTGTGTCAGTATTTAAGAGCCATTTCTTCAGCGCAGCTTATGGGTCGCTATAACTCATTCACTAACTTCTCCTGCTGCAGCACCGCTCTCATCAAGCTGGGGCTTTATTTCATCATGTTTGTTACACCTGGCTCTCTTTTTTTTCCTGCGCTTGTTAGCTTTTTTTTTTTATTCTTGACGAAAAAAAGTCTGAGCAAATTCTCAGACAAATTCCTGGATTATGCACAGGATGATAAACAGATGACAATATCTCAAGCATGGACGCCGTTGCCGACAAATGTGCATAAGTGAATATGGGAGTGTGTCAGGATGCAGTGTTTTATGGCCCAAGTTATTAAATCCATGAGGCTTTTTCAATAGAGGAGGAGAGAAAAGAGAGGAGAACATGCTCTTTTTTTTCTTTTTTCTTCAATTCAGAAAAGAAGAAAAGAAAAAAGTAAAGAGGAGAAAAGCAGGATTATATTTTCTTTAACCTATAACCTGTTCAGTCTTTGCTTACTCTTGCTCTCTGTCCTGCATCTTGCCTTGATTTGGAGGAGAACATCACAAATAGGAAATATTCAATCTCTCTCCTAATCCCAATGAGGGTTTCAGATATAGCTTCAGACAGATGTTGAATCTGTTGTCACAACAGTGCCACCCGATCTGCAAACTCCGCACAAGGCACAATAAGTTTCACACACATGTTTATCTTGTACTTACGGGCTATTTTAGGGTTATGGCGGTTGAGTTGTTTTGGTTCACATCCACGGAAAAGCCGCAGTCAGTGCTTAAACATACAAACGCTGAGGGATGATTGTGTAAAGGGATTAGAGTGGCGGAGACTCTATTGTTGCGCCATGTGAGGAAATATGCTATGACTATCATGTCTGGTCGGATACTCTGTCATCTTATTGCTTAACACACATTTGACCTGATATTATATAGAAACTGAAGGTACAAAAAAAGCCGACTAAACATAAGTTTAAATGTTTTTTTAAAAAGGTGCCAGATTTGTCATTTTATGTAATAATTGATCAAGAGTACCTTAAAGTTACTTCAATTGAGCTAAAGACAAAGTTGTATTAGGAAGTTGTGGTTCACTCTATTTGACGCCTGTCTCTTTATGTATAATGCGTTACTATCATGTTATAGCACTGTATAACTGTAGTTATAAACATTCATAAATGATCATAATGCTTTATAGCAATAATCATAACACATTATGAAGCATTTATCATGACTTACAAGGTCAGGTATTATAATGTGTTATAACTGTTAACTACTCACTGACAACGCCCACATAGATAATGCAATATACATATATTTATTATGTGTTATCATTTTCTTATAAACTATAACTATCATTATAAACACTCATTAATCATCATAAGGCTTTATAACAATAGGAATAACACACTATAATACCTGACCTTGTAAGTCATGATAAATGCTTTGTAATGTGTTATGATTATTGCTATAAAGCATTATGATCATTTATGAGTGTTTATAACTATAGTTATACAGTGCTATAATGTGATTATAACACATTATACATATATTTATAATGCGTTATAGAGAGAGGCATCAAATAAAGTGTAACTGAAGTTTTACAAGTAATTTTTTTATATATTTGTTTCTCTTTTTTTTCATTCAGGTAACATGAGCTGATTGATTATCCGTCTCAATCAGAGGCTCTGTGAAGGCAGACACACCTTTCCGCTGCAGCAGCAACAGAGGAGGAGCAGAGGTTTTCCGACGTACCGCTCTCTTCACTGGATCCTTTCTACCTTCTCAGCATCTCCCCGGGCCTCCCTCTGCAACAGGGTGTGTGAGCCAGACAACACAGCTTATAGTCCCATCATAACAAAAGGTAACCAGCGACCTACACACCTCAGGGCCTCAATCCAGTTTCCATACACCCCAACACACGCTGACAGAGGGAGTGGATGGAATCTCAGTCAAAGGGAGGAGTTTCTTTTTTTTTAATGTTACTGTTTGTGTGTTTTGGTGTGGCACTGTGTGTTCATCCCACTAAATGTGAGTGTGTGTGTGTGTGTGTACCGGTGCAGCTGTGTAACCAGCCCCTGTGTTGACAGTGCCAGTTCAAACACAAACATCATTGAGTTTTAATAATGTGATTATCTGACTACACAAACGAGATGGATCTGATGCAGCAGATTTGATTACTGAGGTTAATTAATACAAAGATGTAATAGAGCGTTTGATATGCTGTCTGTGTGTCTGTCTGCTTCACTGTGTGTCTGCGCATTGATGAATATTTGCAAGATGTGTGTGTGCGCGTGTGTGTTTGTGTGAAGCTTTTAGCCGCATGTGTCTCAGTAGCAGCTGTCCAGAGGCCAGGTGGCTGAACTGACCCAAGACACACACACACACACACACACTCACACACACTCACCCTGACCCTCACACCTTCAGCTTTACTGCATGGCCATAAACCAAAGATAACACAAACAGCTCCTAAATCAACAGAGCAGATTGAGCAGCACCAACATCGCAGCCGTCAGACAGATTCACTTCTCATTAGCAGCTCTGCAGCTCTGCTAACCCGCCAAATTCAGCATCCATGAAGATCTCATGTTGTCATGGTTATAGAAGAAACACATAAATAAACTTTAAACCTTTTTTCTCCATAATGACAGCATGCCTCTGTTGTTACGTGAAAGAAGCTGCATATAGTTTGAGGTTTGGGGTCTTGCTTTGTTTTTCTTTCTTAAACGTTGGAAAGTCTTTAAAATATTATTGTGGGATATTTAATCTTGTGTGGGTGAGGCAAAAATATTCACTCGTTTATTATTTTACAACAAACCAAGACTCTATAATTTAAAACTAGGACTTGGGTTAATGACAGTTTAGCTAAAATTGTGTTAAATCACTAAGTAAAGTCGGAGTATAGTGAAACTGTAGTGAATCTGAGAAATCTAGTTTGTCTAGTTGCACCTGCCTATATTAACAATGCTAATGTCATGTCATGTCACTTCCTGAGAAAATAAAGGATCTTTGTTCTTGCTGCCTCGAGGGTTGAACGCATTTTCACGTCAACCGTGGCATATAACAACTTTGCAAACATGACTCTTAACTGAGTCATTTTGCTTCACTTTGACAGTGTCAAAAAAAGCACTTTTAATTTACATTTACATTTAATCTTCATATTAGCCAACTCTTGGTGATTAAAGGTGATATTCTACATGATAAAAAGGGACAACTAAGTCATTCACTTGGCGGGAACATTCCTGTATTCACTTTCTGGTTAAACTGGAGAAAAAGTTTGCTGGTAGGCAAAACTTTGTCTGCACAGCCTTTGGCAAGAGTTAAACAATCTTGCAGTTTGACCTGAGCTTTAGGAGTAATCTGAGGCATCACTTGAGTCTATGTATGTGTGTGTGTGTGTGTGTGTAAAACACAGAAGCACAGGTGAGGTGAGGCTGTGTCTAAACAGGCTCAGAGCCCTGGGGCTTCACTGTATCGTAAGAGATAGAGGTGACTCTCCATCTCCCACCCTCTGCTTCCTCTTCTTCTTCATCCATGATACTCCACTGTCACTTACTGAGCTTCCCTATCTCTTGTCCTGCCTTTCAATCAACAGTAGAACAACCCTTCCCTTGAAAAAAATAAGAAATAGTCAATAAAAACATTAGTCTGACTAAAAGTGAAAAGGAGTCTTCCAGAGAAATATATTTTCCTCCGTCTGAGGTGACTGTTTGCAGTTTTGTGCCTGTTTTTGTGAGATTGGGGGGCAGCATTTGAAGCCCAGCAGCCCCACAGAGCACATATCAAAATCACTATCACACATTTTACACATTTGTCAGAGTCAGAGAAGGATCAAGAGAAAAAGACAGGGTTTAGATATCTGAACTATGGTTGTCAACACTGTGAGACTTTTGTGTTATATTACAATTTAAGACACTGGCATTGACAGATAACAAAAGAGTTTTAAAGAGTGGGCTAAGCTTCAAAGTCAGATATATCCAAATCAAGACACAGAACTTTGAAATGATTGAGTCCAAAACCAGAAGATTAAAGGCCAAAAAATAGAAACACTCACTTTCCTTCTCCACACTCAACCTCAAGGTCATGATTGTCCTGGAAGTTCAGCCTAAAAGATTCACATCACAAGACCTCACAGAGCTGAAGGACACTTCAGAGGTCAACTGGTCAAAGTTGTAAGATCACATACTGATGCTACACGTGATAAAAGATCACTGAATCTTTCTAAGACAAATTACATTTGATGTTAAGATATATTTGTGAGCAGAAGGAAGTTTTTCATCCGAGTTTAATCTCAGACATCTACAGCTTATAGAATATATTACAAGTAAAAGTCATGACAAAAACAGAGAAGCTGTGTTGACTTCATGTTCAGAGGCCTGAATCCTCACAAACAGCCTGTTATTGGCTTCAATTATGACGGGGAAATCGGTAATAGTCAAGACGAATGCAGAATAGTGCACTTTGTTCTTCAAAGTGTCACGAGTTTTGTGTCCACAGTGAAATAAAACTTAATATTATGTCCATGACTGTTGCAGCTGGTGAAGTTAGAACTACATCTACCAAAATAAGAGCCTCATCTTTACTAGTTAATCCCTGTTCTTTATTTGATCTGAAGCATTTTTGTTTAAAAATCCTCATTTTTTAAATCTCAGGGTGAAAAAAGTATAAACAGCAAATCTGTGAAACTTAAGTCAAGTAAAAAAACACATTATCTGTAATTGAACTTGAATAAACTTCCTTAATAGTTTGCACCAGGGGTTAAGTAAAAGCTGTAACTGAGAAATGAAGGTTCGTCTTTCTGGTTTGGCCTAAAATGTCTCCATCGTTTATAGGAGCTGTACTCAAAAAAAAAAAGAGAGAAAATGAAAAATAAATACTATAAAAACATGTCTGGGCTTAGGCTGTTGTAATTGAGACTAAAAGCTCATCATATTCAAAGGGATTAAGTTAACTTGATTTTTTTAGATTCCCTGTACTTGAATAAAATCCCACCAATAACACGCGTGTGTCCATCATGGGACAGGTGTACTCTTTATGTCCTTTAGGCTTTAATTCGCCGTGGAAATCAAAACCTAGTCTGGAGCTGGAGGGGTTTCCTCTCTTTTTTTTTTTTACCGTATTATTTTTCACTAAGAAGCTCTGTCGCCTTATAAACACGGCATCAGGTGACCGGGACACTGCAGCGAAAGAGAAAGTCTCCTTCCTTGGCCGAGGTCAACTGTTGCTTGTCTGACAGTCGGCCTGCTGGAGACCTGCTGCTGTTACGTCGGAGAGAGAGAGAGAGAGAGAGAGAGAGAGAGAGAGAGAGAGAGAGAGAGAGAGAGAGAGAGAGAGAGAGAGAGAGAGAGAGAGAGAGAGAGAGAGAGAGAGAGAGAGAGAGAGAGAGAGAGAGAGAGAGAGAGAGAGAGAGAGAGAGAGAGAGAGAGAGAGAGAGAGAGAGAGAGAGAGAGAGAGAATAGTCTGGTCAGACGCAGTAGCAGACGTGCCCGCTCCCGTCTACCTCTCTCTCTCTTTCTCTCTCTCTTTCTCTCTCTCTCTCCTCTCATACACTCTCGGGAGCAGCGCTTTGACGCACCATACTCACTTGGATTATAGTATTGCGCGTTGGGCTTTCACGAGGCTTTTTTCCCCTGCTGCCTCACGCTGCCTTCCTTCACCCACTGACCGGCAATCGATACATGATCAGGGATCAATACCTCTCCTCCTCCACGGTGACCTGTGCTAAGCTTTTTTGGGGGGGAACCGAGCGCTGCTGCTGCCTCCTCTCTCCGGACGCGTGTTGTGAATTAACAACCCAGACAGCCTCACCTGGAGTGTGTGTGTGTGTGTTTGCACTAAAGTGTGTGTGAGAGTGTGTTTCCTGGGATAAGATCAAGGTGTTTCATCGGTTTGGGTCCGCAAACACACGCACACAAACACAGCATTACACCGGGGGGATTTGGGCACCGCATGCCGGGGACATGTGGAAGTTTGCGCCGCTGTAGCGCAGCCAGAGAGCCGGTCCACCGCCTCCTCGAGCTCCCGTCTCCCTGCGCAGGGGGACCACACGGCCAGTTTCCAGCCCCAACAGACCGAAACACCTCTGAGAAGAGCCAAATGTAAAAATCAGAGCGAGAAATTTCACAAACACACGTCTGCAAAGGGAGGACGAGGCGAAGAAGCACGGAGTCCTGCTGTGTGCAGAGTTTGGTGAGCTCTTTCGGGGAATTTCAGGGCTTTTATTTTTCAACGCCCTCGTTGTATTCTCTCACTTTTTGTGGGTTTCATATCGGCCCCCACTTGCCGCAGTGATGGTGGGAGCTGTTAGCCCCGTTAGCCGCTCCTCGGTGACTGCGCCGGGGCTGCTGGTGGCTGTCGTGGTCCTGGTCCTGGTCCTGTCCGGCGGAGCGGATAGCCAGCCGTGCCCGGCACAGTGCTCCTGCACCGGGACGACAGTGGACTGCCACGGCCAAGGGCTCCGCAGCGTGCCCAGGAACATACCTCGCAACGCGGAGAGACTGTAAGTACACCGAGGGGGGAACAGAGTCAACAGTTTGGCTTCAACCTGCAGCAGAAACATTTTCTCCACATTTGGACACAGTTTAGAGGGAAACCCCCAGATTAAGATCTATTTCTGCATAACAAGTGTGCACTGACCTGAGTCTAGGAGTTGTAAGAGTTTGCAGTGAGCTTTTCACACAGTTTTCAGGTATTTAACACGCATGATTAGTCCACGTTGCAGGGAGTTTTGGGAGCAGATCTATATATTCTAAGGACAAAATGTATGGAGGTTTGTTCCTTGGAGACAACATTTCAATAGCGCAGAGCTTCAAGGTGTCAAAAACTCTACATGCAAAATGCAAAAAAATACTGTCAACCTTGATCCTTCCAAACCTCACCCTGTATCCACAGGAGCTTTTCTGAAAGTGTGGGGATATATTTCTGATCGCAGAGCTGAAGTTGGGGGGGCTCTGCATCTGTGGTCGTGTTGGTGGTTTCGCACTGTTGCATTAGCACAGCCTAAGTAGACCACATCGGTTTGTCTGGAGACCAGCAAGTTAATCAAAAACGGATTTGGAGAAGTGGCTGTTCACTTAAAAACGGGACACATTCTATGATTCTGAAATTAAAATGTTGCCACAGTTGAAATGACGTTTTCTGTGTCTGCCTCAGTATTAAGTTGAAAATACAGCAGACCTGTTCTCCTGCTCTTAAGATGCTCTTATAATAAAATGTCTCATGCACTCATGCTCCATATTTCCATTTTCTCAGGGACCTGAATGCAAACAACCTCACCAAAATCACTAAGGCGGATTTTGCAGGACTGCGACATCTGCGAGTGTTGTAAGTGGCTTTTCTCCTTTTTCATTTTCTCTCTTTTTTCCTCTCTCTCTCTTTCTTTGCTCTATAAGGAGAAAAAATCCTCTGACAAGCAACAGCTTTCAATTCCAACAACTTTCCCCCCGAAATACCCACAGCGTCCAGTTTTAACTGTTTCCACTCCTGTTCAGCATCACGCTGCCGCATGCAGCACTGCGTCTCTCTCCGTGGGAAGCTGGCGTTTCATTCAGCCCTTGCGCGCGCGTGTGTGTGTGTGTGCGTGTGTGTTTGCACAGAGTAGAAGCGGCACCTGTTAATGCTGTCGCGTTAATCTGCCAGTGGAAGTGTCAGGAGGGGCTTATTTTAACCAGCGGGCACACGGGGAAAGAGATAGCGGTCATTAGGTGTAACCGCGGAGGGAGGAATGCAGCTGGAAGGGAGGGAGGGGACAAGGAAAGGAAAGGAAAGAGTCAAGTAAGAACAGGTTTCTTACCTGGGATGGATCCAGGTTAAGAGTTGGACAGGGGATAGCAGGCTCCTATTGTGTGTGTGTGTGTGTGTGTGTGTGTGTGTGTGTGTGTGTGTGTGTGTGTGTGTGTGTGCTTTTCAGCTTCTAAAAGTGAATGGCAGTGGAATACACATTGCTGGAATTCCTCCTGAGATTATGTTCTTAATTGAGTGTTTGTGCTTGTGTGT